GCTTAACTGCTTTCTATAGCGGCTACTTATTAAGGAGCTCGCCTATATATAGGAACTCTTTCGTCGCCTTTAACTAAGCATCCTTAGGCACTTATTAGACTAGCTATGCTACTAAGAGTGCCGTAGGCTATATTAGCTAGTTCTAAGTAATATTAGTAGGACTACCTTCTATAAGATCTAGGCGTTAACTAATAGCGTTAGGAACGATCGCTTCTACGCCCTTCTAGTACTATACTTCTAAATTATATTCTTAGAATTCCTCGATCTAATAGGCCAGTCTTTTACTATATATAGTTATCGTCTATAGATACTATAAGCTCGCGTGATTAGTGATAATAGTTATCTTCGTCCTATTATTAATAAAGCGGTCCTAGAGGCGAAGGGCATACTTAATCGCTAGGAGCTCCTTCTCCTAGGTTAGGTAGTTAAGTTCCGCTCCCTATAACTTCTATCTATTAAAAGCCACTAGATAGAGACGTCTATCTATTCTAACCTATATTAATACCGCGCTGATCGCCTATTCTAACGCGTCTATCTTAATTATAAATAGTTTCGCGCGATCTAGTTAGATTAGGACGGGGGCCGTTATAAGCTATTACTTTAATCTCCTAAATGTATTAGTATAGGTAAGTGTCTATTAGATAGATCTAAACTTCTTCTTCCTTATTATAGCGTCTAACTCCTTTAGTAGCTCTAAGAGGGATATAGAGATATATAAAAACCCCTTAATAAAGCGTTAATAGTATATAGCTAGGCCTAAGAACTATTAGATCTTATAGATATTAGTTAGTATTAGCTAGTTATAGATTATGGCGACCTTAGCTAGGACTAGGCGGATGTATCTATTACTAATAATATATCTATAGAATTCTAATTCTATAGTTACGATCTCGCACTTATCTAGGGACGCGATTAGACCTTCCTTTCTAAGAAGTGTGAGGATCTAATCTAGATATTTATAATGTTCCTCTATTAATTCCGAGAAGATTAGGATATTATTAAGGTAGATAAGGGCATATCGTCCTAGTATAGACTATAATGTCTCATTTATTATCGTCTAGAATATGGCTAGAGTGTTATATAGTCTAAATAGCATAATGAGCCATTCATACTTTCCCTAAATAGTATTAAATGCTATCTTCTTAACTGATCCCTTATCCATCTATATCTACTAGTAGCTAGAGATAAGGTTAATCTTTAATAGGATATAGGCGGGTCTAACTAGATCTAGTAGATCTTAGATACGCGGGAGTAGGTATCTATTCTTAGTTATGACACCATTTAGAGCCTGGTAGTTAATATATATCTACTATTTATTATTTAGTTTCTTTATAAAGATCATAGGAAAGCCCTAAGGGCTACTAGATAGACGTATTAGGCCTAGTTCTAGTAATTTTTTAACTTACTAAAGCTATTTATCTAGCTTATCCTTTAATATTAGATAGGAGTTAAGATTAATGGGGTTAGCTATACTAGTATTAATTTTATACTCTAATGGACGCTCTAGGGGGAGTCTATCTAGTAGGTCTTTCTAGAAAACCGAAGTATATTTATTAAGAACGGCTTATACTTACGCGTTCCTATACTATAGGACTTTATAGGCTAGTCTATTAGTTTCTAGGCGGCCTTTATTATAGATAATAAAGAGCATAGACTCTACTCTTCTCTTCTAAAAGGCCTATCTCGTCTACTTTCCCGTTATTAGATTAATCCTAGTAACTCCGTCTAGAGCTAGGTAGATACTTCTAGAAGGAAAGATATAGTAACGTCTATCTTAACTATCTCTTAGCGTCATAATAGATATTATCTAGTTAAATTATAGGTTTTCTTAGCGTAAGAAGTCATAACCTAGAATAAATAAGTATTTAACTATTTCTAGGACCTATATCTTAATATGGCTAGTCTACCTCCTAAACTATATAGGGAGATAGATAGTAGATCTCGTTAGTAGAGACTCGCCATTTAGTAATGTGACTTTAAGCGCCTCTATCTAGGTCTAGATAGGAATGTCCTTTCCTAATTTCTCTAGGATGCGAGGGGTAATAAATGAGTAAGATACCCCACTATCGATAAGGGCTTGAATAGTAGTTAGTGTATTAATACCCACTCTATAATTAAAGTATATAAGCGAGTCGCCTATAATGTTTAAAGAAACTTAGACTTATAGGGACTGGTCTAAGGCTAGATCTATTAAAATGGCTAGTCCTAATTAACCATGATAACCTAGATTAAGAGGATTATCCCCCTCTAGATCTAGTATATAGGAAGCCTTCTTTATATAGTCGACGAGGGCTTCCGTCGACCTAACTAGTTTCCTAAGCGCGTCTAGGTAGACATAGTTAGATTCTCGCTTCCTTATTTATAGTCTCTTCTAATATAACTAGGTTCGTTACACTAAAAATAATAGCGTGTCCTCTTATCTCGACCCTTAGTAGATCTACGCGTGTTCATAGATCCACGTGCGGGCTTTAAGGGGAGAGTGGATAGGTCTATTACGTTAGGGTTAGTCTCTACTATGTGTTGACTAATATAGTTCAATAGCATCTAATCTCGTTTAAACTCGATTAATCATTACTTAGCTTTAAGGAAGGTATGTAGGGAGACGTTCATCTCTACCTAGTGTTATTATAGAGGTATATTAGCTCCCTTCTATAGGTATTATATCATCACCGCTTTAGGGATATCAAATCTAGTGTCTCTTATAGCTCGGGCGAGGTCTCTTATATACACCTAGACTCCCTTCTTTCCCTACTAGAGGCTATTAAAGTAGTCCTATCTCTTTTTAGGACCAAGGTGTTCTGAAAACTGGGTATTAACCTACGTTTTAAACCCTTTAAAGGTCGTGATAGTCTCTTTAAGGTGGTTTTCTTGGTGCGCCTTCTATGCCTCCCTAGCCCTTCCCGTGAGCTTCCCGCTTACCGCGATAACCTTATGCTCCTCTATTAGGGCTTACTATATAAGTACGGTTATATCATAAAAGTATTGTTTGTAGTCTTCTAGAAACTTTCTTACCGCTTAGTCTTGTAGTTTACCCTTATACTAAGTAATCGGGGTTATATCCCTCATAAGTAGTTTATTTAGCTCTCTCTAGCTATGGTTAGGCCCTTTATTGACTCTCTATGTATAGTCATGATCGCGTAGTGCGAGGTGGATTAGGTTTTCTATGACTAGTGCTAGCATCGCAGGGTCATCTAACATATATCATATTTCGTAAATAGAGGCTACTATAGCTATATTTAACGTACCTAGAGTGTTCTATATATTCTTGGGTAGTTATTCTCTAGTATGGTGGTGGTTCTCACTAAATAATGCCTAGGCTAGTCATGGGCGTTAAGGTTCTTACGAAGTCACAGGGCCCACACTAGAGGTGTCTATCTAATCGAGCATTATTCCTTAGGAGGTTTCGAGGGTGAGTGTGGGATTATTAGTAACTTAGGAGTGTTCTAAATACTTTCTAAGGATGTAGTCCTCTAGAGTTATTTATCTTATTATATGTGTTCTCGGTAAAGACTGGTTGGATCCGCATGGACGCATAATAACTCTAGGGCGAATTTCCAGGTTGGATCTGGTTCACTAGAAGAGTATTTTCTTCTAGTATATATACTATAGAATAGTTATATGGTTTTTGGACATGCTACTAGATGTGGTTTAAGTAGGATTGCATGTTTTCTAAAGAGAATCCTAATGATTCTCCTCTTAAGGGTCCGGCTAGAGGCGGTGTGGCTTAGCAGAATCTAGCCAGATTCTGCCGGGCGGTAATAGGTCGTCCTATTACCTTAATAATAAATAGCGTTAGCGCTATTAAAAGAGCTTTTAAACCTATCTAGTACCCTACTAAGAACGCCTTACTAATAAAAATAGATTAGTAATATCGCTAGTATCTACTTAATAGATAGCACGTAATAGCCTTAATAACCTATTAAAGAAAGATAAGCTAAAGTAAATTATATAAAATAATAAGCTTACTAGGTATCTAGATAGCGGTAAGTAAGCTCTTATTTCTTTTTTAAGATTTTTTAAAATACTAATTATAGAAGTCTAGATACACTTAATAAATTACCTCTTAATTTCTAGAGAAGATACTAGCATCGATTCCTAGTAACTATAGCCCTTACATGTCACGGCGTGACCTCTGGGAGCATTCAGAAGCTAAACCGCTGCGCTATCAGCAAAAGACTAGTATGTAAAGCCAAAGCTTTACACTGCTCTCGCATATATATACCTTAATCTATAGGCAGAACTCAGGCAGAACGGTTGTACGCATACACACCGTGACATTACACGTGATATACTTTTAATTCTAGTAACTAGTGCTAGTATTAAGCGTTTATTTAATACTACACGAGATATCTACCACTATCGCCGTAGTAGATTAAGTGTCACGGTGTGAACTATAAGGGTCCGCCCGGACCCGCCAGGACCGATAAGGAAGATCACGGGCACGTGATCTTTAGTCTATTTATCTACACATCCATCCTAGACCCTATTATAGCTCTTCGAGCTACGTCTTGTATAAAAGCTTACGCTAGTCTGCCCCCGTCTGCCACCTGATCAATTAGAATCCTTCTGGATACGTTCTGATCCTGTCGATCTCCTCCTATTACATCCCTGCTAGCCCGCGCCCTGATACTACGTAGCTCCTTCCCTTCTTAGGAGTTGATTATCTGAAGATGTCTGACCTAGTCCCGTAGCCCCTGTTCCTGCCAAGCGACCTAGAGCAGTTCGCTAAGTATGTAAGAGACCACCCCGACCAGTGGTTCGAATACTGCCGCCGCGCGTATGATTATATTGAAAGTGTCCACTTAGATGCGACCGATACCTATGAACGCATGGACCAAGCCAAACTATAGCTATAAGCCGCGAAGATAGAGATTAACCGCCTCACGAATAAGCTGGCCGTGGCTAAGTGTAACCGCCTGCGAGATGCTGCTATCCTGGATTACTAGAAGAAGCTCTATGACGAGGCATAATAGAATATTACCCGCGTAGAAGCCGCGTGGATGCGTGCGGCTGAGCTCGCCATTCCTATAGTGAATACCGCACCCGCCCCTGCCCTTAAGCCTGCCGCTGAGCCTATCGTAGCTGCTATTATGGGAGCGCCTCTATCGCTTACTCCTAAGTCTTCCAGCTCCTATGTACGATCTGAACGTCTTCCCGACCCTGATAAGTTTAAAGGGGAACGAAAGGACCTCCGCTGATTTGTTTCCCAGGTTAAGGAGAAGCTGAACATCAACCGTGACCGTTTCCTAACCCCGTAGTCCTGGATGACCTATGTGACTAACTGTCTGAAGGGCGTCCCTTACGCCTAGATCCTGCTATATATCCGCGAAGGTATCTGCTAGTTAAATGACTTTACTAATATCCTGGACATCTTAGAACAGGCCTTTAGAGACCCTAACCGCGCCTGAAATGCCCGAAACGAACTCTACCGCTTATGATAGGGAAATAAAGAGTTTAGTCTATTCTTTGTGGAGTTCCAGCGTCTTGCCATAGAAGGCGAGATGCATAAGGAAGCCCTACCCATGATGCTTAAGTAAGCGATTAACCGCGAGCTAAAGAGTATGCTACTATACCATGAACCGCTAAAGGGAGACTACCTCGACCTAGCACGATTCCTTCAGAACCTAGAGAATCGTTAGGCCCAGTATAATAGTAGCTAGTTAGCTGCCCCCCGAACTTCCTCTACAGCTATAAGGGCCGCCCTGAAGGCCACTGAGCCTAACTCCTAGAGATAAGGCCCTGAACGAGTTCTAACTCCCCCGCCCGCGAACCCTAATGCTATGGACCTATCTACTACCCGCCGCCGGTTCTCCCCTAACCGCTAGAACCTATCCCGCTATGAATAGAACGCCTGTTTCCGCTATGGCTCGAAGGAGCACTTTGTCTAAGACTGCCTGTAAGCTAACAAGCGCCTACTGGCGGCCCGCTAGATGACTATCTTCTCCTGTTCGCCCCTGAACAGACCCTATTCCCCCTCCCTAGTGAAGAGGGGAACGCTCGTTGGCAGCACACTCGAAGATGTGCGGGTCGATTCAGCACACAGAACAACCACACAAGCCACAGCAGGACGTACGAGAGAACCACATGGTCCGTTGAGAGAGGTGTAGGAGTGTGTTATTCCATGCTATCTACTAGATGCTAGTTATACTATCCTGGGCCTACCTGCCCACGTACTGAAAACTATTGGTTACGGCCCGAACCGGAAAAACCCTCGGAAAAACTCTATCCGCAAGAACCCGTAATAACAGGTAACAGGGAGTTCCCCACTACATACCACCCCACCTAATAATCGACCGTCCCCTGGTCGATATGGACAGCAGACAACGCAAGGCAGCAGAGATGACAAGACAGAACGCAGGCAACCAACATAAACAGCAGAGCCTGAACGCAACAAGAACGCACCAAAAGCACATAGAAAACATGCAGAAAACATAAGAAAGAGACCTGAATCTACTCCTCAACCTCCATCTCCTCGTCAGAAACCTCTATTAAGGCAAGCTCTCCAGCCGGGGGCACCAGAAAGGGTGGCGGAATAGGTTTTCCAGTCTCATGGAGGTGGAAGAACGAATTCTCTCCAAAAATGCGCTTTTCTGCGACAACAATCTCTTGGAATAGCTGCTTATATCGGAGGACAGCCCTAGCTCTCCAGTCTTATATGAACTTGATCCCAGCAGCCTGGTCCTTTCCAAAGAGAACGTCTAGTTCGCTAGTCACACTAATTGAGCTCCACCGAACACGACCGACCAAGGCGTCCGAGATAGCACCCAGTCCTGTCATCTGCGCAGTCGCTGGAAACACCTGCTCGGGGCTAGTATAGTGCCCACTAGCCATACCCGACGGAGTTTTCTTAGATAGGGCAAGGTCACGATGAGACCTCGCCACGTCCTCCCACTTGCCACTCTCTGTAGTCTTAAAACACTCATCGTCCTCTTCTATCCTGACGTACCACGGCAAGACTGTACGTCTGATTATGGTTGTGGGCCCGGTCGCTCTATGGGGAATCGTGGGCAGAGACACGCGGACGTCACCTGCCCTGTAGACTATCTTTTTCTAGTCCGTACCATATTTCTTCACTTGTTCTTGGGTCTATATCTAAGGTAAAATACGGTGTTTCAAGCTAGTGGTCCTTGCTTTTGGAGAAGACTTAACCTTCGGCCACTAGTCTCGAAGATGCGTGTGGATCCTTGGCAGAACTTCCGTATAGTTCTCTGGGTCTTCGTTCGTGAAGGATATAGATCCTTGAATCAGGTTTCCACCTCGTCCGCTCTGTAGATAGTCCGAAAGACTGATATCGGTGTGTCTGAAAAACGTGCTTTCTTCCGGATAAGAGCTCTTTGTGTAGTACGGCCAAGCAACTAGTCTATATGCGTGGTCGGGTCGTAGCATCACATACTATGCATAATACGCTGGGTCTTGTCGAATAACTTGCTGGACTAGGCTGTGGGCCATTAGACGCGACTAGCCTTTTCAAGGCTGACCTGCTGGAGGTAGGAAATGGTAATTATATATGTCGAATTCTAGCGTGATAAGGTCTCCTAGAGACTCCACGACCTAGGTAAATAGCCCTTCTAAGACTACCGTTCCTTCTAAGGAGAATTCTTCTAGGATAGAGCTAGCGAGGTCCTTATCCCGTCCTTCTAGGACTCCAAAACATCTCTTATATAAGTCTCTTAAGGATAGTCTATAGGACTCGAAGTCCGCAATTTCAGGTGTGGCTGTCTTCGGCCGAAATCGGAAAATCGTTGCTGGCGCGCCTGAGGCAGTTTTCTTGTGGAACCACGTGGGATTGTCTTGCTCGAACTTCTTCTAGTCTCTAATGTGCTTATAGTAGACGGTTAAGCGAGTTGCTAGCTAGGGGTGGGTATACGTCCGTGTGTATAGTCCAAGAAACAATCTAAAGGACTTGGCGTGGGCGTAACAGATGTTTACCTCGTTGAAGTCTCCTAAGCTTCTTCTAGTATGTCTCAAGACCTTTAGTTTCTCCTGTTGTGTGGCAGATCCTTCGAACTGTGGACCTTGAAACTGGGCTATCGTCGAGTCCGTGAGCTTATACCCACATCCTTTCTTTGGAGTCTTCGCTGGCTTCTTCCCTTCCGTGGAACCAGTCTTTCTCCGAGGCTTCCTAGGCCCGTCATCCTCGCTAGAGTCTTTGTCTGAGCCCTGGTCTGACACCTTGTGGTTAGTCTCTAACTCCAAGTCCTTAGTCCCGCTTGGCAAGTCTAGGTCCATCTCGACTAAGTCCGATCCTAGTCCTTTCTCATAGAGAACTCCTCTAGAGTCCACTTGAAGACCTAGGTCCCTTGTAACTAGGACGTTAAGTCGTCCTAGGTCTATGTTTGAGACTGCGTTCTTTAGATCTCCTTGAATCATGCCTTTCTAAACTCGGTGTCCTCTTCCCACTCGCCTAAGGCGCTTAATCACCTTATTATTGACCGCGGAGACCACATGGCTATAAGGAACCCGTTTCTGTAGTAGCTTACTTACTGCCTCTGCCATAGTCTTCGTGTGAATGTTCTAGAATAGTCCTTCCGCGTTCTTCTTGCCCTATGCCTTAATAGCTTTCTTTAGCATGTTTATGCGGTAGGTTAGGTTCTTAGCGTGCCGGGTCCTGACAATTCGGAGTTCTTTCCACTCCTCTAAGAAGTCTTCCAAGGAGCACTCCGCTCTCTATGCGTCATCGTCATAGACGTAGTTATACTAGTCAGCGATCGCGGACTTATGAGACGCATGTTTCTATAGGAGCCACGTGGAAACTAGCCTTTGAAGCTCATATCTGTCTTCGGCAGGATGTCCTTGTATCCCTTTCTTGAAGGTTTCTAAGTCGCTGACTCCATAGATCGAAAGATCTAGAGACCGCAAGAACCCTTCTTCCTAAGACTCCGTGATAATAGATTCTGGAGAAATTGGTACGACCACTAAGGACGTCTCGGTCTCTGGTCTCGCTCGTGGAGGTGTGCAAGGAGGGTCTTTCTATATGATGAGGTCTTTGGAGTTTCTTATGACTGAGACTTGAAGGTGTCTGTGAGATGTTTGCGAGAAGTTACGAGGAGACTAGGACTGCTTGACGAGGACTCTGGTTTTCTATCCTTCTATAGGACCATGTCTTCTTTGTCTCATCCTTCCTACCTATCCTTCTTCTATTCTTGCATATCCTTATAAAGCACCTTCATAAGCGGACAACAAAGGCTGGTCTTCCGAGACTGCGCATCTCTTTGAGTCTTTAGAGGTTAGAATCTGTGCTAAGACTACCTCCCTTACTAAGTCGAGTTCTTTAGCCGAAATCAGCTAGTTAGGTCGTTCCGATCCTTCTGAGTCTCATAGAGGGCTCTCCATAGTCCTTATGAAGCTAACCTCGAGACGCGAAACTTGTAAGGCCCTACCCTACCTAAGAAACCTGCTATCCCTGCTGCTTACCTAGGATAGCGCGTCAAAACTCAAAGAAGGTTAATAAGCACGAAAGAAACTTAAGAATATGAAAGAAACAAAGAAAAACGTAGGATAGCACGTAGAATATTAGGCACGCCTTTAGAAAACGTCATAAAAAAAGAACAAAAGCAAGGATAATAGTCAGGGGATAGGGCTATAGAACTGCAAAAGAAACGCACGTAAAACTTAAAGTAATCTAGACAGAATCCAGTCTCTCTATCTACCTTCACTCTCTGATCCTTTAGTCTTGGCACTCTATAGTGGAAATGACTGCTCTCTCACGCCAGTCTCCCTATATAACTAGAACCTTTTTAGCCGGTCTCCGTTGACGGCGCTATAACTAAGGCCTTCGCCCGCTGAAAACCAGTGCTTTATGGGCGTTCCGTTAAGCTCTTCTAGTCTATAAGACCCATTTCCAACTACCTCTCTGATTCGGTAGGGTCCATGCTACCGAAAACGGAGCTTCTGAAGTGCACGCACATCATCTTGCATCTAAGTATCATACACCAAGACTAGGTTTCCTACCTCTAGGGGGTGTAGTCTGATCACCTTTATGCTATTAAAGTAGGTTTTATTCCGCTCTTGGATCCTCTCAAATCGATGAATTGCCTCTGTGACGTCCTGGTCTTTCTATAGGATTTGCCTAGCTCGTAGGCTAATTAGGTCTTTAGTACTAGAGATTGTTTCCCACGGTAGTGTACTCTAGGTAGGCACTTCTATCTCTAGTGGAAGGATAGCGTCCTTTCCGTATAAGAAATGGTATGGGGTCATGCCTGTGGTAGCACACGTCGTCATCCTATCAGCCATAAGTGCAGCGTAGAAGCAAGCCCTCCATGAAGGAGGCGCCGCATGCTGCCTAGAATGCCCACGTCTCTGAGAATAGGCTAGAGACCTAGACTCTAGCTTAGACGCTGCGTTTTCGGCCGAATAACCTGACGTCATCTTTGATAATGCGTCCTTAAACGTTCTTATGCTGCGCTCAATCGCCCCGTTTGAGCCCGGGTTATATGGAGAGATCGCAACGCGCTTAATACCTTTCTTCTGCAGGAAAAACTGCACTTCCGACCTGAACTCTGGTCCCTTATCCATGACTATCTTCAACGGAAATCCATAGCGGTATATAATGTCTTCCCATATGAATTCACAGACTGCGAGGCCAGTCGCCTTCCCTTTTAGGGGCCTAGCTTTAATCCATCCACTTAGCGCCTCACGTGCCTGAATCATGCACTAATATCCATCCTCGTTAGGTAGTATAGCGGTATCAATATAGACCTGCTCCTAGATATACTGGATTCGGCTTAGAAGAAGTGGCTCTTTAAGGCGTTTTGGGTCCCGAAACTGGCACTTTGCACATCCTCGGACGTACTCAGAGACCTAAGAATACATGCTATCCCACCAGTATCGTAGTTTCAGGAGGTAGTAGGTTAACTCTCGCCCCTTATGGCCAAGCTTATTATGGGCAGCAATAATCACGCGTTTCTAGGTCTCCACCTGGTCTAGAACACGACGAAGTAGTAGATTCAGTCCTTTTCCTCGATAGAAGAGGTGCTCTCCTTACACCATAAAGTCACACGCGTGATTTTTGAACTTCTTATACCTCCGGATTGGCATGTCTTATGGTCGTCGAAACGTGGTTAGCCACCTTGCAACCTGCTCGGACTCGTCGGAGTACTCCAGAGATAGGACTCGTGTGTAGTCTCCTGGCTCCTGGCTTTATGTCATATCCTCCATATCCACACCTAGCGGGGTCTCAATAGACGCCGCGACTGGGTTTAGCATCACCCGTAAGGTGCCTATTTCAGCCAATATAAACTCATCAACGTCCTCCTCTATCTCTTACTCCGCTACTTCCTCCTTTATGTGTGGTCTTCAAGATAAGCCATCCACAGCGCCGTGCCGGTCTCTAGGCACGTGTTTAACCTCAAAATCAAATAGTCTAATCCACGCCAGCCAGCTCGTCACTAGTGCACCTGGTAAGTCAGTCGCAGACCTGTTTAGTTGTGCAGCTAGGGTCTTAGCGTCGATCTCTAGCGTGAAATAGACTCCATATAGCCAGTGCCTAAACTTTTTAAGCGCCTTCAGAACCCCCCAACACTCCCTTTTTCCAGCGTCATAGGTCTGCTCGGACTCGGACCAGGTGCCTGACTTATATCTCGCAGGTTTCCGGACCCCATCTCGCACCTACATCATAACAGCCCCCTACCCTTTTCCAGACGCGTCCACAGCGACTATAATAATCAACGGTAGCTAGTCATAGTCTATTGGTAAGACGCATAGAAAGGTTGACAGAATCCGCTTAATCTCATCAAACGCCAGCTGTTGGTTATCTTCCCACTTGAAGTCCGCACCTGCCTTCAGAAGAAGGTATAGCGGGGCAATAATAACTCCGAACTTCTCCACGACGACACGAAAATAGACTACTAGTCCCACAAATAAGCGGACTTCAGGAACAGAGGTAGGTACTGGCCAGAAGACTAATCTCGCAACTTTCACCTCATCTAGGCGGCGCCCATCTTTATCACATACCCAGCTAACCACCGCAACTCCACTTATGGTAAACTGCGACTTTTCGGCCGAAATCACCATCCCAGCAAGCTCTAGGAGGTATAAGGTCTCGTCTAGGTTCTAGAGGTGTTCTAGAACATAGCGGCGAACTCCAGAAAACGCCATCTCGTCGTTATAGGTCGTCTTTGGTCCTTTGATCCCAAAATCGTCTAGGAATGCTTGGACAGCCTTACCATATGCGTCCGCGAGCACAAACTGCATAACACGCTGGCACTGCGCTACTGAATTTGCACCTCCTTGTAGAATTGTGACTATCCTGACTAGGCCCATTAGAGTCATAATCGCAGTCATGTCTTAGCAGTCTTCTACTAGAGAAATCTGATCATATCCCGAGAACAAGTCCACTATTAAGCATATCTGCATGCCCGCAAAGTCTTCCGCGAACTCATCAGCGTTTAGGGGCATATTCGCGTCCCGAATCGTCACGGAATTAAGTTTCATGGCGGCTATTATAATTCGATACTGCCCAGCAGCCTTCTTCTTAACTAAGAACCAAGGGTTTCGATAAGGACCATGATAGCGCTTAATACTGCCTTTCTTTAGCCTATCTTGAAGCATCTCCGTGACTATCTTCTACAAGGAACGTGGAATCTGGAACCCAGGGTGCTGCCAGGGTTCATGATCCACCGTCCTGATCTTCTATGGACTAAAAACCTCTAGGTGTACCCTCTGGATGTGCTCCCAGGACCACGCTAGCACACCTTCTCGCTTAAATAGTAGTTCTCTTAGTAGCTCTCTTTCTTCCAGCAAAAGACTTATCCCGACAATCAGCTTCTCTTCACGTTCTGGGGTTAGGCGAGCGCCTCGTGCGAACTTAGCAATCCTGGGCTTTAGGTACTGGTCGAACCTAGTCCACTGATCTCGTGCGCGAAATCGCGTGTAGTATTTCTTTATACAGACTTCCTGCCAGCCAGCGTGTCCTTCTAGGACTAATCCATCTTATAGAGGTATATTAACTAGGTGGACCTTATCCACGACTCGCTTATAGAGCGTGTTACTTGGGACCAGTCTATCCAAGATGTCTTTCTTCGGCCAAAGAAACCGCTCTCCCCAGTCCACTTCCCTAGGCAGAATCCCAGGGTCTCGCACCGTCAACCTAAAGTGCACGTCCCATAGCTTCAAGTTCTCGTCAAGCTCCACAAGCGTCCACCTAGGCGGTAGATAGCAGTCTTCTAGCTCAATTATACTACCAGAAACCGCCTCTAGCATATTTATGCTAGGGAACACTGTTTCCTTATAGAGCTGGTTACAGTTCGGGGCTGGATCAAAGAGAACCTTTTCTATCAATAAATCACTCAAAGTCCTTCTCTTCTTCTCTTTCTTTCTCTGGCTCATAGACGTCGCGGGTGGTATTCCAGAGGTAAGACACCCGCGAATCAGTTTAAAGGCACCTTTAAATCCTCGTCTTGCTCATAAGTCTCTCCACCATAAGGATCTAAGCGACGTAGACGCGGTTCGCCAGGCCAGATCTTTGATGAGCCCACAACTCGTCCTTCTTGCGGGACTACGGCGTTAAACTAGAGCTTTCGCGTCCGAGACTCGTTATAGACTATGCAACGCACGTGACCATTCTCGCGGTGCTCCATGGTTAGTAAGGTACTCTCCATAAATGGTCTTCCTAGGATCAAGCCAGGAGAAGCTAGCAACACAAAGATATTGATCCTAATTGTAAGGTCTCCAAGAGAAATAGGAACATCCTACATATAGCCTAGGCAGCGGACTTCCACTCCATTCACGGGCACCACAGAAATCTGAGGATCTCTTCGAATAGGGTGAGAAAGCTCTCTTACCTCTCTCTTACCAATCACGTTCAGTCCTGAGCCAGAGTCTAACATCCCGCGGACCATAAACTAGTTAATGCGCACGTCCGTGTAAAGGAGAGGGAGCGAGTATATCCCTTCATCAGTCTTAGGGGCATCTCCAACAGGCACCGAGCGTCTATGGTCCGTGATGATCTGCCCAGACGCGACGTTCACGGGTGGTCTTATCAACTCATCGGAGTCTCGATATAGGACCAGAGCATTAGAGCTAGAGGCTCTGGGTTCGCCAGGTGTATCCTCCCGAAATAAGGTATTCCGGAACTTTGGAGCCAGCTTTGCTATCTCTGAGAGCTTAATGGAGACTTCCATATCCAAGAATCGTCGTTTTATGTCATTTTCCAAGGCCGTGTCCATGCTCACAAATGGAGGCGTTCTATTCACTTTAGACGAGTTCTGAGGCTGAGGCGGAGACCTAGACCCACGTGCACGTGAGTCTAAGCTAGAGTCTCTAGGGGCACCCTAGCTACTAGTAGGCGTGTTCTCAATTTGCGTCATATATAAGGACTGACTCGGACCACCTTCCATCATAACTTCTTCATTCTCAAGGTCCGTCACCATAGGTTGCTCATATCTGCCAGTCTGTAGGTTCCTTGTGGACGCAATTCCTTGCTCTCGACGTCGTTTTCGGATAGGATCTTGCGAACTCCGGGTGCCCACAGCGTTCAATCCAGCTTGCTCAAAGCCAGTCACTTCTTCGTCTGAGTCGTCATCAATCTCTTGGTTCTCTCTAGGATAAGAACCTAGGCGCATCCCTAAATAGTTGACTCGAGCACGCTAAATTCCATACTCGTCATAGGCAGGGCGGGAAGACTGGTTATCCGTATGTAGTCTGCTCTGAAGCTATGAAATAGGCGCAGAATTGGTCCTCCAGCTTGCGAGCTGTTCCGGGATCAGGTCTCTTATTGGTAATCCCATCCTATTCCTGATCTGGGGTCCTCCGTCTCCTGAACGCCCAAGATAGAGTCTTCCGCTCTCTCCATAATGAACTCTTCCTTCCTCAATATAGGTGGCTAGCTCCTTACAAGACTGGGGCGTCGAAATGTGCCCCGGACCACCGCAGAAGAAACAGATTTTCGATCCGCTATAGCTAGGGTTCGTGGTAGGGTTTTCGCGGTCATTTGGCACCCACTGGGGGTCTCTCCTACTATCTTTCCTAGCCAGTCCAGTCTGGATCGTGTTCACCTTAATATCCATCTGGTCAAACTTGCGGTTTAGCTGCTCTAGAGCTCGTGCGAAATTGGAGCTCGGCTTATTCTATGCGCCATGGACTTATCCACTAGGCTGACTGGGTTTTTCGGCCGAAGAAGTGGGCTCTCTAGGCCACTGTACACGTCCTTCCTGTCTTTCGGGACCAAACAACTGTGGAATCTCCTGATCTCCTTGATTTCTTTGTCCTCCAGTCCGCGGAGGAAGGACACCTTTGATCGTCGTGTCAAAGTCGCGTTTAGCGTCCATAATCGTGTATATAAGCCTCGTAACCCAGAAGAGAGTCACTAGCTAGGACCGGGAAGGGTTCTTAAAGCTAATTCCACCCTTTTTAATCACTTTTCCGCTCAGCCAGACTGGAAGGCCTTAAAGAAGGCACTTATAGCGCTAGAGCTCACCTAAAGCTCCTCTTTCCACAAGAACGTCCGAGATAGCCGCAAACTGCGTCAAATACTAACGGATTTCGTCATAAGACTCATGATTCTGCGCAACTAGCTCGCTTAGAGAAGTGCGCGAATAGCGGTAGTATTCTCCGTCCTGGTCCTGATACCTTACTCGCATCTCTTCCTTTAGTGCCTTAAAGTCTCTAAATTTCCAGTTTGGCGAAGACTCAATCCACATTCTCACGGTGAATTCGCAGTAGTCAGCGAGACCATCACATATGCTGGTGCCGTCTAGGATTCCTCGTCTCTTGCACATGCCCTCATAGGTCCTAATAAACTCAGAGACATTCTTTCCATCAAAGAAGGGGGCGCCAGGGGTTCTAGGATCCGGCATTATCTGCTGGTGAACCACGATCTGACGAGGTTGGATCATAGGGTAAGAAGGCGTCTGCTGGGACTGGTCAGGTCCTTGCGCTGGGTGGAAGATAGGAGGATCATTCGGCGCTGGCTGGGCTAGAGCAGGACGAATATATGGTCTAGTAGACGTAGACGCTTCAGACTCATGGCGAGTGGTTTCTCGGTAGCTAGTAAAAGATGGGTTCTGCGGGTCTATTACTAAGCCACTAGCCGGCTCTGCGGTCTCGTCGCGGGGCTCAGGGCGAGGACTAGCCCCAGGCTCTAAGGAAGCACTCCTAGGAGCCTCGGTAGGAAAGACATTCTCCCCCATCTTGTATAAGCAGGTCAGGCTGGACTCGTCGTCAGAGTCCACAGAATCAGAGTCCACAGAATCGCGTAGAAAGTCCAAGGAACAGATAGATGTCGTGGAAGAGATAGAGGAACCACAAGAACCATCAAAAGACAGCTCCGAGCCAGTCAGGTCACTTAGGACAGCCAAGTCACTTAAAACAGACGAAACAGTCGAGTCAGTCAAATCAGTCAAATCAGTTAAATCAATCAAATCAATCAAATCAGACGAAACACACGAGATAGGCTCTCCAACGCTGCTCGCTGGATCCTCTCTAGGGGTCTCTCTTGTGTATAGAAAACGGATCAAAGTCGTGTATGTATGTGTCTGTACTATGTTCCACCATAAAGTCCACCATGAACAACATATTCCTGGCCATATCTCTTCGGCCGAAGAACAAAGTACCTCAGGGGTCATACATACCACTTCTCGGAGTCTTGCCTCATCATAGCTGCTAAACCAGTCAAATAATCGCACGCGTAGATACTGCACATATTCCGTATAAGGACCACTCATGTCCACCACTCGTTGAATTCCAGGCAGTCTTAAGGCAATTCCTGGCGGCTCCCGCGAACTCTGGCGCATTCCAGGTCCCGGCGAGTCCAGCCCTTGATTTTCGGGGTCAAACTGACTACCCGCTCGTAACGCTTGACACTCCATTCTCTTCGCCTACCATGCTCTCGTCGCTTGAGCTCGCCGTGTTTATTGAACTGTCTGCGTGGTCAGCCACCCAAAAAGAATCCCCCTGCGTCGGTCACCATATGAAGAGGGGAACGCTCGTTGGCAGCACACTCGAAGATGTGCGGGTCGATTCAGCACACAGAACAACCACACAAGCCACAGCAGGACGTACGAGAGAACCACATGGTCCGTTGAGAGAGGTGTAGGAGTGTGTTATTCCATGCTATCTACTAGATGCTAGTTATACTATCCTGGGCCTACCTGCCCACGTACTGAAAACTATTGGTTACGGCCCGAACCGGAAAAACCCTCGGAAAAACTCTATCCGCAAGAACCCGTAATAACAGGTAACAGGGAGTTCCCCACTACACTAGGTAGTAACCCGCGCGGCCGCTCTACCTTTAGCCGCTCGCTATCCCCTAAGGACTTGGTAAAAGGCGTCAGCCTGGCCTAAGTCGCGACTAGGCGCTGTAACCGCGTGTTATCTGTCTATCTATCGCCGCCCTAAATAGCCTCTCTGTTGAAGAGGAAACCCGCTAATCCAATCTAATGATATTACCTGTTACACTATGCCAAAAGGAAAAGGAACTCCTGAGTTACGCTATATTAGACTCTGGGGTAGAAGGAAAGAGATTTATTGACTAAGAGTGGGCCTAAGAGAACGGTCTTACCCTCCTACCACTTATAAACGCGATCTAACTAGAGGGATTTAACGGGTAAGAAGCTAAGAGTGGCCCGATCACCTACTACGTGTAGATGCATATCTATATTAATGACCACTAAGAGAGAAGAGCTTACTTCCTAGCCATATAGCTAGCGCACTACCTAATCATACTAGGCCTACCATAGCTAAAAGTGCATAACCCCTACATTCGCTTCGCTGAACACACTATTAAGTTTAATAGTGACTACTATTGAAGGAACTGTAATATACCCTAGCGAAGCGCGAAGACCCAAGCGCTCCATAACATACCTGTTAAGACCTATCTGAAGTCCCTGCCTATACGACCCGCTAGTCTCGAGAAACGAGACGTGGTGGCTATGTCGTTATCCGCGTGTGCTATATACACTAGAAGGAACTACTAAATGTTCACTATAAATACTAAAGATATTAAAGCTACACTAAACCTAAAGACCACTACTAAGCCTAACCCTACCTCTATACTACCTATAGAATTCTAAGACTTTATAGAAGTGTTCTCCCTAAAGGAAGCCGATCGCTTACCGCCCTATAGGCCATACGACTATAAGATTATACTATAGGAAGATAAACCCCTACTATTTAGACCCCTATACCTAATGTCCTAGAATAAGCTCGAAGTCTTAAAGGACTAGATTAGAGATAACCTAAAGAAAGGGTTTATCTATCTAAGCTCCTTACCTATGGCTTTACCCGTTCTATTTATTAAGAAACTAGATAGAGGCCTCCGTTTCTATATAGACTACCGCGCGCTAAATACGATCACTACTAAGGACCGTTACCCGCTACTACTCACGAAAGAGACCCTAAATAACCTAAAAGGCATAAAATACTTCACGAAGATTAACATCATCTCCGCTTTTAATAACCTATGAATCGCGAAAGGATAAGAATATCTAACTACGTTCTATATAAGGCTAGGGCTCTTTAAATCCCTAGTGATGCCTTTTGGCCTAACTAGGGCGCCCACATCCTTCTAACGGTTCATAAATGATACCCTACAAGAGTACCTAGACTACTTCTATACTATATATCTAGATAATATCCTAATTTATAGCCGTATATAAGTAGAATATATTAAATATATGTGGAAGGTTCTATAACGCCTCTAGGAGGCTAGCCTATTCGCAAAACTATCTAAGTGTGAATTCTATGTCTATAAGATAAAATTCCTTAGTATTATTATTAGTAAGGATGGTATTCGCATAGACCCTAATAAGATTAAGATAATTATAAACTAGTAAACCCTAACCTATCTAACTAATGTGTAAGCCTTTATTGGCTTTAGTAACTTCTACCACCGCTTTATCTAAGACTTCTTAAAAGTCACCGCCCCGCTTATAAAGCTCACGAAGAAAGGCGTCTATTTTAAATAGACCCCTACCTACTAGTTAAGCTTTAAAGCTTTAAAAAAAGCGTTTACGTCCACCCCTATCCTAAAACCCTTTAACTAGTCTAAGGAGATAATCCTAGAAATAGACGCGTCTAATTTCGTTTCTACTAGTGTCCTATCCTAGTATAATAACGCTAGAGTCCTGTACCCTATCGCTTTCTTTTCTAAGAAGCATTCCATAGCTAAATATAACTATAAGATATATAATAAAGAGCTATTAGCTATTATCTATTACTTTAAGAAGTGGCGCCCTAAACTAGAGGGCACGTCCTCGCCCGTTAAGGTTATAATGGATTACCATAACCTAGAATATTTTATAATAACGAAGCTTCTAAACCGCCGCTAAGCCCGCTAGTCTAAATTCCTATCCCGATTTAACTTTAAAATCATATACTAACCCAAAAAGTAGGGTGCGAAACCTAACGCCCTAACTAGGAGGTTAGAAGATCTCCCTAAAGAGGGGGATAAACGCCTATTACACTAAAGCTAGACTATCCTAAAGAAGGAGAACCTATAAGTAAATGTCTTAACCCGCTTAGGAACGAGAGAACCCTTAATTACCCCGCTAGACCTATCTAGAACCTCTAAAGAGCCATTAGCTATAACTACATATATAAGGAGAGTCTAGTTCGCCGATTATAGCTTACTAGAACCACCGCCCGCGATTAAAGACCTACTAGCTAAGGCGTATACCTAAGATGATATAGTATAATCTATCCTAAAGGCGTTAGATAGTAACGCGAGCCACTACCCTAAAATCATACTTACTAACTATAAACGAAAGGGTAATTACCTATACTACTAGAACTATCTATACGTCCCTTATGACGATAAACTAAAGGCTAAAATCCTACGCCAGTGCTATAATAAGCCCGCTACTAGCCATCCTAGCTAATCAAAAACGTACGAACTACTATCTCGAGAGTACTACTAGCCCTAAATTTACTAATACATAAGCGACTAGACTAAGAACTATTATATCTGCCGCTAGGCCATACCCGCCTAAGAAGCCCACTAGGGAATTCTAAGATAACTACCTATACCTAAGAGAGCCTAGCTAGATATTAGTATAGATTTTATCACATATCTACCGCTAAGCCATAGATATAACGCTATCCTTATCGTTATAGACCGCCTAACTAAAATAAAGTATTTTATACGCTATAAGGGAACTTATAACGTGGAAGAAGTCGCCCGCCTATATACCCGTTATATCTAGAAGCTATATAGCTTACTAAGTACGATCGTGTCCAACTAAGGGCCCTAGTTTATGGCCTAGTTTTAGAAGCACCTAACGAGACGCCTACGAATTACTAACTTACTATCCACTGCCTATTACCTAGAGATAGATAGTTAGACTAAGCGTATAAACGCTATCTTAGAATAATACCTCCGAGTGTACGTGTCCTATCTATAGGATAACTAGTCTAAATAGCTACCGCTAGCCAAGTTTACCATGAACTCCTACTACTCTAAGAGTACGCGAGTCTCCCCATTCTATGTCAATTATAGGTTCCACCCCTATATTAGGTTTAAACCATCCCTACTAAGTGGCCACCCTATAGCCCGAGACGCTAAGAAGTTCGCCGCATATATAGAGGAACTAACCGCATATATCCGCGCTAAGATACTATCCGCATAAGCCCATTATAAAGAGTAAACGAACCGTCACCGCGCGCCTACCCGCCGCTACCGTCCTAGATAACTAGTTTAGCTAAATGCCAGGAACATTAAGACCCTCCACCCGTAGAAGAAGCTAGACTAGAAGAATTTAGGACCCTTTTGGGTCCTAGAGGCCGTAAGCCCGCACGCTTATAAGCTCAAACTACCCGCTAGCATAAAGATCCACCTAGTATTTAACGTTAGCCTACTATAGCTCGCGGCCGAGAACCCGATATATAAGCAGGTACCTAAACCCCCGCCTCTAGTTAAAGTTAAAGGACTAGAGGAATAGGAAGTAGAAGATATCCTAGATTCCCGCTAGGAATGATGTGGTCGTGGAGGCCCGCGCCTGAAATACACCGTTAAATAGATTAGTTATGATGACCCTACTAAAGAACCCGCCGAATACCTCGCGCACGCCCGCGAAATCATCCGGAACTTCTATCGTAGATACCCCTATAAGCCCCGCCTTAACGGAGCTCGGCCCTAAGGGAGGGGGTACTATCACGGTGTGAACTATAAGGGTCCGCCCGGACCCGCCAGGACCGATAAGGAAGATCACGGGCACGTGATCTTTAGTCTGTTTATCTACATATCCATCCTAGACCCTGTTATAGCTCTTCGAGCTACGTCTTATATAAAAGCTTACGCTAGTCTGCCCCCGTCTGCCACCTGATCAATTAGAATCCTTCTGGATACGTTCTGATCCTGTCGATCTCCTCCTATTACATCCCTGCCAGCCCGCGCCCTGACAACACCATATATATGGATAAATAATTCTCTATAGTAGTTCCACTAGTAGTAGTTATACTAGTAATCGTAGACCCTATAGTGGTGGTAGCGATAGAAGTACTTAATACATATACTATAGGCGATGTATATTCGTAACCTATAACGCCGCAGCTCGAGGTCATTAAGGTAAATTCTAAAGCCTAGTCTTCGTTATATCCTAAGGGAGACTCAAGCTATAACTTCATAGGCCCCAAAGTACAATCATCGCAGTTATGATCGGTATCGGTGCCATTGCTCTCCTAGCGCCATTCTACTAGGATTAGATCATAATATTCTCCTATCAATGAATCCTTATAGCAAGAAACATCGTAGGTATAAAGTAGATTATCTACTATAAAAGTTACTAGGAAAAGTTTATTATAAAATCGCCTTAGTAAAGGAATTTTTCTTTTAATACGATACCTAGATAGACCGTGTCCTCATAAGTCATAACATCTTTAATTCCTATGTATACAGACTCTATGCTAGTTTAGATAGTCTCAAGTTCACTCCAGTAATCATTAACACAAAGCAATATAAGACTCTCCCCAGACGAAATACCGACGGTAGAGTCACTACAGTCCAGTTAAACAGAAGTTAGAAACAGATGGAATTAGAGGGCATACCCAGTAGCATTACATGCTAGAAACGAGGGACAGGACGAAACAGTAGTGTTAAGTGCTATAAAGCATGCTTCCGTTACATTCAACAGATCCCATAGATAGGAATACTACGTGAATTACTATACATTAATAGCAACAAGCCCTATCAAACACAGAGAGGCAATTCGGAATCTTGATAAGAAATACATAACCTTTTACACAAGCTATCAGTGAAAATTCTACCACCTAGTTAGATGGCGGGTACAGGTCTCTAAATACTTTACTTCCCTCTAGAATTCTTCGGTTAGAGTATAAGCTAAGCCAATCTTAAAAGACAATAGATCTTTTGCTTTCCTCGTTTCTAGTTCTCACCTTTAGACCCCACCATCCCCTCCATAAGGGAAATTACCCTTACATCGGCTAAAACACGCATATATCAAATCAAATCGCTATAACCCATTATTTTTGGAGCCTTTAAAATCGTGCCTAGAACTATTATCTCAAGAATGTAGCTAGATAGTGAAAATTTCTTCGAATTATCCATTTCTTTCGGCTAGCTCTCGATCCTTTACCTCCTCTAGGCTATCTTGAATCTCTTCCCATAACATTTTCTAGTTATTCTGCGACGCTAAAATAGTCGCTTAGACTATTACACTGACTACCTAGGAAATCGGCATATTTAATTAGCGGCCAGTTATACTAGCTACAAGGCAGGTATTTACTAAGGACTAGGCATCATAATAGTATACCTTAATAGGCTATATTCTTATATCGCATAGAATACTAATCTACGGCTTTTATACACTAAAAATCAGGAACAACTTTATTGAGTGTGGGGCTAAGGACCCTATGATTTAATATATTTTAGGGGCCATACGGATCTTATATCCACTAGATAGAGGGCCTAGCCTAATTAGAGTATATTTTAACGCTAAGCCGCTAAGCCACCAAATCCTTTAGGGAGTCTATTTACTACGTGGTATAGTGTGGATAGCCTATCCCCCTACGGGTTACCGAACCATTCTAGACCGCCTAGGCGTTATATTCGCAGTAGCTATATCTTATAAGTAGGGATATTTATAACATAAACAGTCTTACATAATTATCTATTACTAATCCTAGGATCTCTCTCCTCTCCTATACAATTATATATGGTTATGGTTGGTTTTTTCTTACTAGATCGGCCCGCACGTCGCCAAGCGTGCGTAAAAATAGATTATAAATTTATCTTTTTGGCCGCGCGTATATAGATATGCCAATAAACCCTAGCCATTCCAACTAAATAGAAAAGGGTCGGGCAATGTCTATATCATTTAGTGTAGGTCTTAGCAGAATAGCGCCCACTTCTTTTAATAGCTAGTTTAATACCGCGGATTATAAGTACCGGTATATATATATTTTTCCCTCCTATTCCACTAATACACAAGGAGGCTTTTATACTTATCAGAAGGCTTATAGCTTAAGAGCTTATTTAATATCACCTTACAAAGGGAAAGACGGAAAAATATAGAAAGAGGGAGAAGAAGGGGGAACAAGAGATAAAAAAAATCAGCACTAAGTTGATCAAAGACAAAAATCGACCGAGAGGAAGCATATAACCAACGTATATGAATTTATTACTATTCCTAACTAGGCCTAGGTACCACCATTCTATTAAGGGCCTAAATAGTACGCGAGCATTCATATTAGAACTAATTCACATAGGAGTAGAAGTAGAGAACGCAATTAGCTAGGCTATGGGACGGGATAGCCAGACATAAAGGTATAGAGACGAATAAAGAGAGAAACAGAAACCTAGGAACACTTAAACGAATTTTTATAATACCATCGACGTTTACTATGCCAGAAAAGAATATCAATTCCCCCCTTCTTCGCAATTTCTCTTTCTCCATTAATGAGCTAGCACCCTTTACTATAGTCTCTTTAAAATACTTCTTCCATCTTGGGAGGTTGTTCATACTAAGCTAGCTATATATAGTAGGGCTAGGTGTTAGTGCACAAGGCCATAAAACTTATTCCCATGGTCATAAGCATTTATCCCACGGAAGATTACATAAGTCCAAGACCTTAGCCGCGCGAGATGACTATAGCTACAGTGCCTCAAATCTATACAGCAATAGAGCATGCTATGGTGCTAGTGATTACTACGGTTATGGATTAACTTACTGCGGGGATAGTTATCTTTCTAACTGCGATGCTACTACTAAATATGGATAATATGCTACCACAAAAAATGCGACCTATCCACTAAACGTTTAGTATGTCATTAAAAGTCTTCCCCTCTAATAATCCATTTCACTAAGGTAAAATTACTCTAGTTATTCAGAATATAGCTTCTATAGAATAACAGAAGACTTCTATAGTAGCGGTTATTAGAGTAACTGCGTGCTAGAACCCTCCCCTCCTGATAGTAGCTCTAGTGCTAGCCCTATATCGAAAGGTAAGCAGCGGACTATAAAGAGAAATAGGGTTAATTCCATGTACTGATTCTTTATAGTGATTGGATACTATAAAGGCTAGAGTGCCAATTCTAAGTGCCACTAGATAAGCGTTAGTGATCTACCTTATATGCTATCTAACCTAGATTCTTGGTAAGGCGAACCGACTTTACTAACTCTCGTTATAATATTAGTGGGCTCGTTGACTTACCTTAACTTTGCTTTTACATACTTAGATCCCGATATATATAAGGTTATACTAATGGAATTAGACATGTCTTGGGACTTATTTAACAATGTTACTATAGCTAAGGAAACTAATTCTGACCTAAAAATATTTATTAGTATTGGTGGTTAGAGCTTCTTAGATAATGATACCGACACATAGCCACTTTTTAGGGAGATTATAGCTGATGCTAATAATCGTTCGCAATTTACCACTAATGTGCTCAAGTTTTTAAACTAGTATAGATTTAATAGGGTTGATATTAATTAGTACGTGTGATCTATTTCCGAGCTGGTACTATTAGCGCACTAAATCTAATACTTATAAATCATTTTAGGGAGTACCCTAGCGCCGGAGACCGTGGTAGGAAAGAGAGAGACATAGATAACTATGTTAAACTACTTAAAGAGCTACGAAGCACCTTTAATGCCTCTAGACGAGATCTTGGTATCACTTTTACGGCTCCTTCGTCCTACTAGTACTTGAAATGGTTTGATATTACTAGACTGTTAAAGTATGCCGATTAGGTTAACCTCGTGAGTAACACTCGAATACCATTATCCTATTAAAGACTAATCCTGTTCGAAGATGATATATGACCTGCACGGTTCGTAAGATCCCATCTTCACATTTATATTTACTACTTACATACCATAGGTATATAGGACGCTAATAACGCAATATAAGTTGAAATTTTAAAAAGTCATAGTGAGGAAGAACTTCTCTAATTCCTAGATATACATTAGTAGAAGCATTATTTAAGGCCACACGAATCTCATAGAGATTAAAATAGCCGTAGAGCTCTTATGGCGGGTAGATATAGATCTATCTTAAGTTATATTAGGTTTTGGCTTCTATGGTCGATCTTTTACATTATTAGATACCAGTTATGGGACACTAGGTTGCTCTTTTAGTGGCGGTGGTGATATAGGAGTCTATACAGACACCAGCGGTTATCTCGCATACTACAAGATCGCTAATATTCTGGAGAAAGACTCTAGTATTACGCCCGTTCATGATAAAGATACAGCAGTATTATACTTTTAGTGGAACACTAATTAATGGATCTTATATAATAACGTAATAACCTTTAAGCAAAAACTAGAATAGGCTAAAGAAGTGGGCATTGGAGGATCCCTAATCTAGGCATCGGACTAAGGTAAGCACATTAGTTAACTTAACATATACGCTTTCCCCCCCCTATCAATATTTTTTCTTGCTTTACTAATATCTCCAAAACCAAAGATGACTATTCTTTCACGGCGCATAAGGCACTCCTCGGTTCCTCAAACGTGACTAAGGCATAGGTGCTACTATAGAAGAAGTCCACAATAGCTACTTAGTCTATTCTCATATCAGCCGTCAGCGACAGTCTTAACCAAAACTATTATCGTGGAAGTAAGTGTGTAGACCTAGGTAACCCTTTAGTTACTTACGATAGTAGATATACTCTTATCGGATATGACAAGAGTAAATGCCGCAGTAGCGCCGTGAGTCTTCTATTTTCTAAAAAAGAACATTTTCTAGTATGGCTTTTCTAATTTGCTTTTCTTTCATTTAACCAGAGTAAATAGGGCATGCTAATTTATTATACGACCACGTCTACCCCTAAAAGCTACACTTAGAGAGGAAGTAGAAAGGATTATAATAGTATAAACGCTACTACACCTTTATATCCACATAATAGATATAAGAAATTGTTCACTAATAGATAAGAATAGGGTAGTACCATTCTGGTGAAATCGAACTTTATACTTCTAACACTAGAGATAGGGATTATCTAGGATTTAAAAGCGAGTCCAGAACAAGCAAATGCAATAGAGGCAATAAAGCATTTTACTATATAGATAATACGTTTAATAACCTCACTACTAATTATTACTAGACTAGCTATAGCGGCTCCTACAAGAGTGATAAGGTGAGCGTTATAATGGCCGTGGATCTTAATGGTATAGTCTTTCCCTTATCTTAGCTTCGACGAATATGAAACTCAGCTAATGAACGATAGTATCAGGCTGGTGCGTCACTTAGAATAGCCCACAGCACTACTACTATAAAAGCGATCCAGTACCGCTCCTAAATTACCACTAGGTTAACAAAGGTAATTACGCCGATAACACCTATAATGATGCTAAAGTCACTCTGGCGATAGACAACTAAGGTGGCTCTTAGATAGGATGTAACTAGTGGAGAAAGAAAGCGCTCTACTACACGGCTAATGGCACACCTTTATCCACCTATCCTCAATCCTACGATCCTTACGACGAAGATCTAGATAACTATCTTAACCCAGAGACAGGCGAAAACCTAGCAAAGAGAGACTATTACGACTAGGAGGATGAGTATCTCGATACTAGTTTCCACTCTCTGGAGAAACGGGCCATAAGACCCAAGGCTATGAATGGTATTATCTAAACATTTTAATCTACATTCCAAGCCTTAGCGTGGCCCCCCGCTGGAGGTTTATTTAAGGGTTCGGCTGGTAAAACTGTCCTTTATAAGGTCTTTGAGTATATATCAGCATCGACCTCTGGAACGAGAGAAGAACCTGGACAATATCGATGCTAACATGGCTTGCTTTAGCTTGACTAGGAACTCGTGTAGTCGAGTTGCTATTGCGATGTTGGACCCTTTGGATGTGAGCTCGAAGATTAAATTAGACACTGAACATCCGGTAGATATAAGTGTTGTGAATGGTAGATGCCCGTTATCTAATACATCCTAACAACAGTTGCAGAAAAGTATCATTTCGGCCCTTTTCCGTACTACTGTGGGTGGGATACTCCCATCCAGCACGAAAATCGTTTTAAAGGTCATTAACGGTGCAAAATGGGAGAAGCACTGGGCAACGTCTGTTAGCGCTTTCAAATCGCTTCCGTCTATTGCAGATGGAAACTCGTTGATTCCGAACGATCGCCTCTATAGCGTTCTGGGGAGCGTGAACTACCGCGACGTCTTTCTAAAGGCGGAGAAGGAGCTAAATATGATCAAAGGCAGGATTTTCTACATGAAACCGGATAGAAATGGGTTGCTTCAGAACACCTTTACTGCCCCACAAGCAGAAAAGGCGTTTAATGGTTTCTTGCAAGCTGCAATAAAAACTGGCTCGGGAGAAAACGCGTTTTTTGACCCAATTCGACGAGTGAGTCCTTCTTTCCTATCTCGAGATTAGAATAAAAACAGCAACTTACCTACTTTTTTTGCTTCTTCAGACAATCGGAGTTTTTAGCTACATTCATCACGAAGAGGTCCTAAGTCGCATCAACACTGTCCGGCAAAATCTGTATCTTGAATGCCAGATTCTGGCCGAATACGTAGATGGATTCCAGAATCTCCCGGCAATCTACAAGGAATTCGACACTGATTACTATAATATAGTCACCGAGCTGAGTAGAACTTAGGTCACACAGCAGTTGATGTCGGTCGCATTAGGGTATTTGGGAAGCAGTGCTTCAAATGCGGTAGCTATGCAGTAGACCATCGAAATGCTACAGGCTAATCTGGATAATATAGTTGTCCCATCACTGAAAACACTTTAGTGAGGTCGCAAAAGTCTTTTATCTAAGCGTGGGCCTCTACTCCGGGGACTTCTAGCTCCGAGTAGTGTGCTTAGCCCTATTCATCCCATCTCTTTGATCGTTTCTCCTATACCACTTAAAATACCATTCCATTTTCTCTCTCTATTTAAGCTATGCGTTACTCTTAATGTCTCTATCCGTATTAATATGAGTTATTGGATCCTATGGCCTAGCCATAAACAATTAACATGAACTTTAGAAGTATAGCCTGTCGGGATCTATATAGTGTAGCACTTATGTAAAGGTTAGAGAAAGTGTGAGAGAGCTATATGGGAATTTATTTGTTGAAAATTAAAATGGTAGATGCTAGTCCCGGTAAATATAAGCAGGAATGATAATCGTAATGGATGTGGAATAGATATAGAGTAAAGGGGTATCTCGCGGTATGCGTGAAAGAAGATAAGAAACGAAGATAAAGATAAAGAACCAATTTAGAATAAATCACTAAGTTCATGCTTTGGCTTTCCACTCATCTACTAAGCCCTTGTAATCTTAGTTTTGCCGGAAGGAAATGGCCCCCATTGGAACTGATGCCGAGAACCCCGCTGAAATATACAAGGACACTAGAATGCGGCTGCCCGTCTTTGAATTGTTGCGTGATCAGCAGCACGCAGAGCTTGAAAAGTGCCTCAGCCAATTGGTCTGAAGGAGCCCGTGGTGAGAGAAGGCTGGATCCTGGTCGCGAACATGTTTCTAGAGGGCCAATACTTGCAGGTTTCCAGCAATTCAGCAGCTCGTCGCTCTGAGCCATGGCGTCCGGTCTCCCAGTGAGGTCTTTATCTTCATCGCTATCAGACGAAAATACTTCATCACCGAACAGGGGGCTGAGCGCGCGTTCGCCTTGAGCGTCCGGCTCTTGCTCCCCTAAACAGGGGATTTCTCTGGCGAAACATGGTCGAGGAGAAGAGCTTCGAGAGCCTGTCTCGAACGAATTGGCCCAAAGCTGTTCCAACTGTGGCAGGTGTTGAGGAAGTAAAGTCAGCCGCAACACTTCAAGGGTAATTACCGGCCCAAGCCGAAAGGCGTGGAGAACAAAGGCAATGAATTGTTTCCATGTGCGGCGGTACCGACTTCTGCTTTGTTGTGTTCCAAGGAAAGAGAAAGGTTGCGGCGATGGCTCAGCAACCATGTGGCTCTTCAGCCATGCTAGAAATGGTTGACCTGTATGCCGCATGGTATCCTCACAGCGGTCAAGGACTGTATCAGGGGTGGCAATCAGATGATAGATCTGTTCTTCATCTGCAGCCGGGCTCGCGAAGGTTCGGTTCTGGTAGCCTCCTAGTTGGAGGCCATGTGTAGCGCTAGAGATCGTCGGGAGCAGCGTCATTCGCTTTAAAATCTCGCGTGGGATTCCTTGATACGTGCTGATCCAGCGTGTCCGGTCCAGCCAGGGACGGGTTTTCTCATAGGTAGCTGTTCCAGTAAAAGCATAGGCATTCTGATGTTGGTCGGCTGTTTGAAACCGGGACTCCCGCTGTCGGAGATCATGTAGAAAATTACTATTCGCGGTACCGTGCGGAGTTTTATCATTAACAACCTGATCGGGAGCGTCATGATCGGAGGGTATTACCCAGTATGACTGGGTTGCTCTTGACTGGGTCCAAGTTTGTAGAGAGACTGTTGCATACAGCAGTTCGAGGTTTGGTTGTGGAGAAGGCCTATCAGGAATATGTATCTTCATCAAGTGTCGACCCATGAGGTCGAGGCTTATGCTGATGTACGAACATTGCCGACACTGAAATCCCATCAATACTCGGAGAGCCAAATGGCGTGGGGACCCATTAGGTCGAGGCCTGGCTAAGCTACCGCTTCGAAAGTCCTGCTGGTGAAGATACCGACGAGTCCTTCCCGTTGCCTCCATGGGATTTGATGTTTCTTCCGGAAATGGCTACTCGCCTGTGCACCTTCAGTTGAAAGTGCATACCGGCAGAGTGTGCATATCACGACATGTTCACCCCAGTCTAGAAACAAGGGAAGGGACGGCCAATCCCGAGCAGAGACCGGATATACCGGTGAGGGTTGGTGTAGGTGTGCCATTTAGGGATTTGGAACTTACGGCTTGACTGGCTATCATGATTGTTTGGTTACAACACTGAATACTGTGAAACTAAAATTTTAGAATCATGACAAAATCTTGAGCGATACCCACTATTCTCAGGAACGCGTCGCGTCTGAGAAAGCATATTCCTTTTTCAATTATACCCTGGACGAATTGACAGAATGAGCGGGAAAAGGTGATATCGGCCGCTGCGATTGGATGACAACGCACGGACAAATTGCGTGTAATGGCGGTCCACCGGAGGGTTTACTATGGGCCGCACGGACGAAAAGCGTGGAATGGGTCCCATTCCCGTGCGGCATAGTACAGTAGGGTCGTCCGTGAGCTGGTGTAGCGGCAGAGGAGGCACCACGTCGGCTCGTTCTTTATTCTCATCAAGCAGGAAAAGTCTCTGAAGCTCGTATTGCGCAATCGCAACTTGTGTCCGCACGAATCGCTGGAGTCCGTCCATGGTGACTGGAGCTCGCGGTAGTGAAGAGACTGATGATCGTCGCTCCAGATGAGGTATCCTAGGCTGGTAGATGTTCTGGATTCTCTTGCCATATATCCGTAGGCGGGTAATCCACTCGAACGGTGCGCGGACTCCGTACACCAGAAAACGGTCGCGTATCTCGTTTAGCGCATCGCCAGGATGTTCAACGTGGCCATATTCGGCCAGATAGACTGCCTGCTACGCGACGAGTATCTGCGAGATCTTCACTAAGCCAGACAAGCGACTGGTATAAGTAGCCGGTCCGTGGTAGGTCTGGTTTCGGGCATCGATGCCTAGCGCGGCTATAAACCCACGAGTGGACTCTCAAATAGATCTCCTCGGATCTCGTAGTCGAGGAGCGCGATCGAAAGGTCTAGACACGCACGGTCGAGTTGCTCCTCTATCAGGCTTATCGGCTAGCCGTGACCTCCTTGACGATCTCCTTGTCCGGGTAAGGCGCCTCTTCGCTGGCACGAGGATTCTCTACTCGAAACCGCCGCTGTGCCCATCGCTCAAGTTCATCGATTGCAGTCAGTTGGGCTGTAGTGAACTAGTAACGGAGCTCGATTGACTGTTCTGGCCCGCTAGTGCGGTAGACGAAGCTAAGCAGCGTGACCCAGACTTGCTGGTAGCGGGTATACGTGGACCGTTGAGGCTTTACCTGGGTCGGTCGCTCCCACACGCTGGGTCGATGAACGAACTTATTTAGGCGGATCTGGTCGAACTGCTTGATCCGGTGGGAGGAGATCGACTCCAAGGCAAGCTAGATCAGTCTCCGGATGCTACGCTCGATTAAGACCACGATCGGCTCCGCCATAGGGTCTGGTAGGGCGGCGAGCCTCGCGACGTCGTTAAATATATGCCCTCGGACGTATCTCGGCTACCGAGTGAGTTGGAGCTAGGGAGAGACCTCGGTGATATCGCTCTCCACTGGTGCGATAGTATCTTCTACCTCCGCGATACTATCCGATCGTCGTAGCGCTTCGTCTACCTAGGACTGAACGAATTCCGCCTCGGTCATGCGAAGTACCTGACTGGCTCGGCGTGCCCGGGCTTCTAGCGTAACGACAAAAAAATGAGAAGCCTTGCCCGCCTTAAAGAGGCGCTGGCAGCTCACCGGTTTGACCGGGGTACCGGGTCGGTCTGTCTCCTGGGGTCGCCCGCGATAGCCTCGCCGGCCATAAGCCTTAAAGAGATAGGCCTGGATAGTCTTAAGTGTTCGGGCGATATACGAATCGCAATCAGGGCAGGCATAGCTATCGTGGATGGATAATCCGACGATAGGCCGAGACTCCGGGGCCGGTGGCCGGAACGGTTCTATGAGGGGGTCGAACGGGGTCGCCTTCCACACTTCCTTGGCGACGGCTACACGTTACGCCTCGGTCCTCGCGGTGGGATAAGTACGATAGCGTTTGTTCCGAAGGTGACCTAGGATCGAGGCTGGGGCGACTCCGGTCTGGCAGGACTTACATATCCAGAGACGGTGTTCCGCGTTATACCAAAAGAGATCCATGATGCTCAGTGACCGAATGGCCGACAGTCTATATACCGAAAGTTTTTCGTTCCTGAAGGAAGAAAAGGGTCACTACTGAGGTGATATTAGTTCACTCCGGCCCCTAACAGTGGTCTACACTAACTACACGTCTACGTCGGGCGCGACGCGTTCGGTTCGTGATTGAGATAGATCATTCTTCTCGTATTACCTCCACACGGTCGATCGACGGGCCTTGGACCCTAATCTCATTCGGGCGACGGTCCGGTGAGGCGGGAGCACGCACGGCGGAGCGAATCAGCGGGCGAAGAATTGCAGTCAGGGGCTGACTGGCATTGAGAATAGAGTATAGGCCAGGAACAATGGCTGACTAGGATGCAAAAGCAGTAGCATATGACTAGGGATTATGCCGCGCTTAAGCATGATCTATACGCCAATTTGGTTCGAAAAGTAGGGCACTGCAATTATCATAGAAGGAGCGTGCTACCGTGTTATAGGTCTCCATAAGCCCTCCAGGAGCCAATCCAGCTTCAACCGAGACTATTGACGAAGCTTGTACGTGTCGATGTCAGGATCTGGCATTAATTCCAATCCCCATTAGAAATCCTACTAGAGCCCAAATCAGCTTGGATTGCCCCTTCCCAGTTTAAGCGCTCGGTTTATAGACCCTCGGTCAGTCCCGAAATCCCTCATGCTACATACACGTTTTGTTTGCTATAATGAATGTTTGCGAATCTCATGTACGGACTTAGATACCGACAATCATGGAAAACTGTGGGATCCTTCATAGTAATGTGTTTCTTCATGTCTAGCATAAAGAGAGCGATTTGTTTGGATGCTTTAGATGAGGCTGGGGCTGAGTCCGCACAACAGCTCGTAGCATGTTTCGACCGTCTTGTTGATCGTGCTGACAGAAAGAAGCTAGTCCTTCTAGTCTGTATCTCATGTCGACACTATCCTATCATGGGAAATGTCTAGGCAATAGCGATATATGTCGAAGACTACAATCAAGACGACATTACTACTCTATACTAATTATTAACACTGGAGAAAAGGTCCGAAATTTGAGCTGCGTTGAAAGTTGCCGTGGAGGAGTTGGATAGAAACGAGCCATGATAGTTCTTATATGGAGCTTCATGTTCGACCTTCCGGGATAGCTTCATCCCACTGGCGCTACTAACAATCAATCCTACCCTAGCTCCCGCTAAGGGAATTAGTCCTGTCACAGCGCTAGCAGCAGTTAGGCCCACTCTAGCTAAAAGTCCCAAAAATGGGAGCATATTTCGCTTCTTCAGGTCTCGTTTCCTTAATTCTAGCATACCTTGGGATATTTGTGCTATGCCGTCTTCATTTTCGTGCTGGAAGTCGTTCAGATGCTTGTTTAGCAGCGATTCCTCCTCTTAAACTTTGTGGCATTCTATTTCGATCCTAGCTCTCTTGCGGCGACCAATTCAAGCCTGGTGTTCAAGTTTTGCTCTCTTTTGGCTCTAATGTGGCTCTCGTCCGCACGTAACTTATGATCGCTCTTCATCTCGTCTTGCACACCGCTTGTATTGTCCTTTCTTTTCTTGGAGCTCACCAGAAAGCTTTCGTTGTTCGTCACGTACTTTCGAAAGCACTTTGCTATAAGAATGTTCCTTTTCAGCAAACAATTCCCGAGTTGACACTCTTAGCTTTTTTGCGCCTGCTTCATCTCCCTGATCTCTGTTGTCAATTCTAAGAGACTAGCCTTGGCATTATGCTGAAAGTCTGACTTATCCGACCATAGCAAGCGAATTTCTTGCGATAATTCCATCTCGGCTGTTATGTACTCGGACATAAGCTTCAGCCTAGCGGTCGTCTCTTTTAGGGGCTTTCCATCATCAACGAGCTCTCTTTGTATGAAAAGGGGTTTGCAACCTCTATCATTCCCTAATGAAAAACAACGCATCAACGATTGAGAGGGCGGACCACTCATCACCGCGCCATCGCTTTGCTTGGCTACCCTGTTTATAGAACCGCCCCTAAAACTGCCCTGTGGTCACCAATTGCGATTCTCGAAGTGTTGCTTCATGATTCTCCCCCTTTGTCAAGTCCCATAATGTAGTGACTAGGAACACTAAAGTGCAGCATCTAAGCCACATATAGATTCCAAAAGCTTGAAGTTCCTTAAAGCTGAACCTGAATTAACCGGTGGTTCAAGATAATCTTCTAGTTTTTAATAGGGTAAACCCCTGGGCCCTTATACGGTGGGTGCGGGAGCACGCACCGACAGCTAATCAGGGGGCGAAGAAAGTAAGTGAGCCCCTGATTCCCTTTAAGCATCGAGTATAGGGTAGCGGAATTTAAGGAGGGAAAAACGAGAGTTAAATGACTCTATGGAGGTGTGAAGTCTAGTCTTGGGGATAGGGATGAAGCATTTTTAGCATACTAAGTGGCCGAATAGATAATCCGGCGTCAACGCCACCGGCGCCTCCATTAGATGTGCTAGATGTGGGTAAATGGGCTGGTTTGGGATGAATGAAGGAATCCATCTGCCCACATATCACCCTCTAACACTTGACGTGGAAGTGATATGTTACATGATAGTCAAAGTGTGAAGTGTGGTGGGACAGGATAACGTGTCAGCTATATTCCACCGTTGCTTCCGCAGCCTTTTGCTATATCTTTACAATCTAACTATACACCCGAGTCAATCTGGTCGACGAATGAGGTATTGCTGAATCTATCCCAATCACGACAAGTTTGTGCCATGATCATCGGGATTTGCATATCCTTTTGTATCGAATCCGGTTGCTCCTATCAATTCTTCGAGTTAGCGGTCTAAAAGCCTGATGACTTGGGCATTCAATGTAATACGCACCATGGCCAAGATGAACATTCCTGCGCTAGAGTGAATCGACATGTGACAATGAAAAGGCCAAATGCCCGGATTGTCTTGCGTCCATTCCAGAACCACATAGGACGGCTCGTCCGCTGTTCCAGGCTGCAAGTTATGTGTGTCGCGACGTAGTGGATTGGATGGGTTGGTGATTTCTCCATTCCAGGTTCCCACACCCTCCGCCAGAACCCAGAAATTATGGCCGTGAAGATGCATGGGATGCACAGTAGCATAGGTGTTGTTCAGAATCAACCGCACTGTGGAGTTGCTACCAAAATTGTAGACGTTTCGTTCCCGTGGGAAAGAAAGATTGCCTTCTCTGGCATCGAGCAGGATCGGGTCGTTGTAATCAGCACGAAAGGATGAATTGTCCATAAACATGACAATAAATCCGGTCGCGTTGTAGCCCACCGTAATTTCAATCGTCTGGACGGTATCTGGCTGGGCTGGTGTTAATGGATAATAGGGTACCGTCTGATTTAACGGGTCGTTACGACAGTTGTTACTTTCCCAGGTTGTCCCTTCAGTGCGAGGGGCAGCGGTTGTGTTCGCCGACTCATAATATATCGCCGCAAGCCCCGTGCTGATTGTCGCGGTGGTTTGCAGGCAAACCATGTCGATATCGGATCGCATCCACACAGCGTCCGTAGATGAACCGGTGGCATGAACAATGACATCAGTTCGCTGGCCTGCACCCAGGGTCACCGTTTTGGTTTTATATGGCTTGATGGGAACGTAGTCATTCGCAATGACAGTCATCTCATGATTGTCAATGCTGAATTTCTGATTCGCGAGTGATCCCGTGTTCATGAGTCGTAGTCGATGGCGCTTCCCTGAATGGAATTGGAACTTCGCGTATCCCGCCCCAGGCAAACAGCCCGCATCCGCCGTGGTGGAATTGCAGTCGTAAGTGCCTTTGCCGTTGATCAGATTGTTGTCCACGTTCAGCGCATGTGGTGGCTTGGAGAAACTCAGCTGCAGGGCCTTGTAGTAGCTGATATGATAGTAATCGGAGATCATGACGGGGCCTAGATCATAATCATAATTGACCTCTGGCTGGACTGGGCCATGAATAATCATGGGTCCGTACAGTCCGTCATCATATTGAGCACTGTAATGCGAATGGTACCACCCAGTGCCAAATTGATCTGCCTGGAAATTGTAGGTAAAGCGACCGCCACGGGGAGCAATCGGGCACTGCGAGACTCCCGGGACACCATCGTACCAGGGAGTCTTCTTCTGGGTCATGCCATGCCAGTGCAGAGTCACCCCTTCGTCCTGGCTGTCAATGTTGTTTACCACCGTCACTTCGATCATGTCCCCCCAGTTGGCTTCAATCGCGGGGCCCGGGAACTGATCATTCACCATGATCACGCTCTTGTTGAAGCCGTCGGGAGACTTAAAGCCACGCGTGATCGTGAAATGGTAATGGCGCGTCACGCCAGTGTTGGGTGGATCTCCAGTCGGGTCAGCTCTGCCCCAAGGCCATCCATGTTCAAAAGGCTGGGAATGGCATACGTTAGCGTGTCGAAAATGGCTGGGGCTAATAAGGATGCGATACTTACCCCGTCCGTGAGATACCGAGGAAGGTTTGGTGACGGCAAAGTGCCCCAACCAGAACGACCTGTTGGGGATCCGAAATGGATTAGATAATTCGAGAAAGGGACGACCGAAAAGCCGTGAAATCATTCTTGACGAACCGTTCGTGGCATATTGTGACAAGCTCGCCGCGGTGGCTGCGGTGGCCAGCGCAATTGTGCGCAGCCAATACATGGAGAATTGTAGTTTCGGGTCACAATCTCTTCGAGCCCCCGAAAGATTCACTCTTGATTTATATATACGGGAAGAAAAAAAAAAGGGGGGGGGGATGATGTCTGTTTATCTACCCATTGCTACGAAAGCGTGGCGGCACTAAAACCGGAGTACGGCGGGAGGTGCATGTAACAAAGGAAGTAATTCGCGCTAAAAGAATGGCTTATGGAAAATAGATGAAACAAGGCTCCAGCCGAGTGATCCTGCTGTCTGATAATCCCTGTCGCCCGATTTGAGGCTATCCAACTACTATCCAGCCCCACTCACTAATGACAAGTGCGTTATGACTGGCCCAGCCATAGGATTTGTCTGGGAAATTACGGTGAAATATTTCCTTCTGCCTAATTGGTAATTTTTTGGAAGAAGAGAGAAGGAGGAAAGGAAAGAAAAAGAAAAGCCAAAAGCAAAGAAAAACAAAAAGAAAAAGAAGGGGGTGGGGGTCCCATACCAACCGTGCAAGATGAACGTACACTATGAACTATAATTTGGAACCCCTTCGCCACCAAGGCTTGAGTAATATTGACGCTTTCCTTAGGACCCAACGGACAGTTTCTTGCAAACACTGGCATTCATTTTCAAATCTCCAGTCGCTCCGAAGCAGGACGGCGACGCATCAAGATTTCCGCATCAGGATTTGGAAAAATGAATTCATGCGCCCGCAGATTTTCCGGTCTTTTGTTTCCGTGTTTGAATTTGAATTCAAAATCCATCAGCAGACGGACCAAGATGATCTTGATCTCCAGACTCGCAAAAAAGCGACCGGGGCAAGAGTTGGGACCGTGGCCGAAATTGAGAATCCGATCTTGCGTGGTCGAGAACTGATGAAGATGTGCCTCACCTTCACGCTGCCGGAGTTTGTAGTAACGAAACCCGTCAAAAACCTTTGGCTCGGGGGTCACCTCGGGGTCATTTTGAATAGCGTTCACGGCCATGCTGATATGGGCCCCTTTGGGCAAGATAGTCCCGTCCGAAAGTTCCGCCGTTTGAAGGAGAACGCGATGCATGGAGAGAAGAGTGGGAGGATTGAACCGCTGAGATTCACGCATAAATGAATCCAGTTTACGAAGCTTAGAGAAGGCGGGCTTCTCCCAGGTCATCCATGGACCCAATTCTTTGGCCACGTCCCGGATCTCTTTGCGAATTGGCTCGAGATATTCGGGGTGTGCCAGAAGATCGTACAAGACATGAACGGCATTCATCTGGGAGGTGTGGATGGATGCCAATGACATCACAACTTCCAAGTGTGCCAGAGACGCCGGGTCACTTTCCTCTGCCGTGGCGATCTCCATCATCCATGATAGCAGGTTCAATTTGCTTTCCTCTTCCTCCTCGATTCCATTCGCTTCGTTCTCTCGGCGGCGGAGGATTTCAGGAACAAGGAGTTTCTTGGCCTTTCGAACATACGCGGTGCCCTTGTAGGAAGACGGCATGAACCAGTTCGCAATCCCATGAGTCCACATGGGCAACAGGCGAAGAAAGACCAGCGATACGAAGACTACCTAGGAGTTAGCATGATGCGATGGGAGCGATGCATCGAGTGTTGCATACCATTCTCCGTAAATTGCGTCGAAACTTCTAGCCACTCTGGATTCCGACAGAGCGGTTTTCCGAGGAATATTCTCGCACTGACCCGAGCAACGAAGTCCAGGAGTGTATGGTAGGGTTTTATGGTAACCCACTCATCTAATTATCTGATTAACCATTTCCCCTTACACATCCATTTCCATCTTACTTACCTTCAGATTTTGTCAGCTCCTGCTCCATCGCAAAATTCACCTCTTCCTGCATTGGACGGGTGAGAGCGTTGAGGTGCGGGGTCAATTTGAGCTGCAGCGTGCGGAAATGCAGATTATTACGAAGAATGATATGCATGTTGGTCGACGATCCCATCAAGTTATGAACATGAGCCACGGTAGGGCTCGCCACATGGTTGGGTAATTTGCGAATATCATCAACATATTTTGGAGGTAAGACCAGCATATCCGTGTCGGCACGGCGGAATTGAAACATGGTGTCCTTGCACTGGCGCGCATCAGCAACTAACCGAGAAATCGAGTCTTATACTACGTACAGCATTGTATCCTTGCGTCAAAATTTCCTCTGCCCGAAGAAAAAACCGGAAGTTAGAGACCACAATGGGTTCCCACAGGGACTTCACGCCAAAGACGGGCACTTTGAACCCGAATATTTGACTCCATCCGAATGACAAGAGGTAGAAGGTGGTCAACAAAGCTGACATTGTGAGAATGAGTGAAGAAGGGCCATCTTTGGTCACCAGGGAGATTTCATGACTGTCAACCAGAAGCGTTGCATCCGTCATATTGACGAAAGGAAGATCGTTCCAAGATGAGGTTTACAAGAATTTTGGTAGAAATGACAATGCCACACACAAGTGGTCCGATACATGTCTTTTGTATTTTGGGGTCTATATTGAGAGGGTGGGGCATTGAGGGTGTGCTTGTCAATCCAACCTCCGTTCGTGTTGGCTACGTCCACTATCCCAGCAACTTCTCACTGCAACTTCTCACTGGTGCAGGTTTGGCTCGGTTGTCTTCGACACTAGCTTCGTTGAAGGAAACGGAGGCGGGCTGAATGGGATTGTGCCTTGGCCCTGTCTTCGGTCTTACAGCGACGCTAAGCTCTTTTGGCTCTGCACAGCCCCAAAAAAGGCAGGTGTATTGGTATTTCATGTATCTTTGTTTTCTGCCAGTCTGAGATTCAGGCTAATAACAGCCAATTTAGGCACGTGCCCCACCGCAAATGCGGAAGGACCCGGGCGATCTACTGTTACTGAAAATAGCGATATTTCGTATGGAGCATCTGTATTGTAAATAGATAAAATCCTCCGAGCCACGAATCATACACGTCCATACATCGTATTCAAACATTTTCAAGACCATACTGTAAATTGCAAGAATCAGAGGGGAAACTGAAAACAACTCAAGTGACTTGGAGGCTTTCCCGCTCATTACCACGTTAAACCTGGCTTTCCAGGCGACTAGCAATGTCCCGCGCAACGTAGATTTGACCGAACAGATCAGTGACACCGATGAACACTCGGATCTGTGCCAAGGTGGTGGCACTTATCTCTTTGGCGAGATGTTCACAGCATATTTCCATGCATTTTCTCTCAAAATCTGCAATTTGCATAAGAATATGCTTTTTATCTTCGGAGCCATTGCCGAAGCCTTCATGAAAATCAGCGAAATCAAGACTGTTGAGGTTGTGCTCTTGTTGGTCCCGGGAATGAGACCCATAGTCATTGAATTGTCGACACATTGTGGCAAGGTGCAGAGCCAAAGCCCGGGCAAAGTATTTCTGCTTGGCGGAAGTAAAATAAGGGCGTCCTTCATCGCTTATGAGACAGAGAAAGAAGACAAAAGAGTAAGGACAACTCGTGTCATTGGCTCCCGTGGTCCGAACCCAATGAAAGTACGACTGGTTTAACAGGCCATCGCGATGAACATCCATTTTCTGCAGACGAGTGTTATCGGCATTATGAGCCATATGGGCACGGAGGAATTGATTCATTTCCTCGGCCACTTCCCTCTGCGCGGCTGGCGGACACACCGTAACGCGCCGATGGGACCGCACATGCTGGATATATTTCTTGATGACCTCCATGGGCTTCAGCAGCGATGGCTGTGGAGTCTGACAGGAGTTGTTCTCCTCCGGTGGTGTCCGCAGCTGGCCATCCAGCGGACGCTCCTTCACACACCCGGCGGATGTTTGTAGACGAGATAAAATTCCGTCACGGCATGCGACCTGGAGCTCATACTGCATTTGAATCAAGGAGTCTTCTGGGAGCCTTCCTACCACTGACTCCATATACTCATCGGCCTGGTAGTTCAGCATGGAGATGACCATCATGTCCCACATCGTTTCCCCCGAAAGTGGAAAGTCAAAGAGGGCATTGACGCTGGTCCAAGTGATTGGAATAAAGTCCAGGTAGTTGTCCTTCGTCATCCCCATATTGTCTCGTGGAAAGATCTCGAGTCTGGATTCCCGCAACTTGAGGGAATAAAAGTGAGCTTCTGCAACGGCCGAGGTCATCACTCCATGGGAAGTCTTTTGGAACATTGGCAGCTGTTCAAAGAATTTTGACATGTGCCCAATCTTCTTTCCCATCAAAATGAACATATCTTTTAGTTTGGAGCTCCATGACACCTCCTCTGTCGAGATCTTCATTGCCGCAAGGCTATATGCTTCGGAAAGAGTCGGGAGTCGATATGTGACCTTTTCAATCCATATATACGCGCCCTCAGACCACTCATTTGCGTGTATAGCTAGGTAGCTTCTCCCCATGTCTAGTGAGGCCTGGGCAGTCTCCCGGAGCGACATTGGCCATGGGAGCTTGAGGATATAGGCGAGAAGAAGTATGCTGTATGCCGTCTGCTCCACTGAATTTGCCCAGGACCCATTGTCAGCCTGGCGACTCACAGTTTTTGCCAATAACTGACAAAGAACAATTGGGACTTCAAAGGTGACAATCTCTGTCGCAAGTCCCACCAAATAACCGGCACTCGATGCTGCGAGAAGTTCGAGCAATGAATTTGCCAACAGCATTTGGCTATACTCAGGGGCCAGATTCCATTTATCTCGAGCCCCACCTTTTTTCCAGCAGGAAAGCAGAAAGCGGGTAGTTTTTTCAATTTGGGGAACATAGGCTGCCACGTTGGGTGCCTTCAACAAGGTCAAGAGAGTATTTGCATTGGCACTGAAGCTTGGATTTCTCTCCAATTTGTAGGTCTGGAAATGATCTGGGGCTTCAAAGTACTCCACTAAAAAGGTTGGATCAATCTGGATCCCCAGATATGACATTGCAAGAAGTGATCGAGCAGTATCATCCGCGTCTGGCACAAACTTCGGGGCGAACCCCACTAACCCATGCTGCTCGGTTAAAAGTTGCTCCAGATAGGCCGCGATATCTTTGATGCCATGGTCAGAAAGTTCATCCATGGAGTACCCACTTGCCAGCAGTGTGGATATGGTCCAGGATGTCACGAAAATTGGCGTGGGAAATGCGCTGGGGACTGCTCCATGGGACCCGCACTTCTGGATGACATTTCGAAGGTACACCTCTGCATTCTCATCCCATGTAGAAGAGTAGATGAGGTATGCTGCGGTTGATGCTGGAGATCCCAACATGCCACCATAGGATGTGCAATGGTGTCGCAGGTTTGCAAAGTTGACTTTATCAATTAACCCTTCCAATGAATGTAAAAAGGTGGTTTGATGCTCTGACGTAACCATTTCTGGTCTGAACTTTGATAACTTGTGCTGATGCAACTTCATCAACCTCTCTTTGCCGGGGAACTCCAGATTGACACCCTTCTGGGCCAATTGAGACAAGAGACATGGAACAAGGATTTCAAATCCCACATGGAGAGTGGATTCTACATCCCAACTGCACAGTGCGTTCGACAAGGCTTTGGTGGCTCGTGAGACTCTCGAGCCATGATCAGAAAGACCCATTGCATCATCCTTCGGGAAGCTGGCTGCGTTCAGAGGGCAATGCTCCAAAACTGCCAAGAGACCAGCCATGGTATTGAGGATGAGATCAACCGGCGAGACATTTGTCCCCCATGATCCGTCATTGTGTTGATGGCGGAGAAGATACGCGAAAGCTTCTGGAAACAGCCACTGACGACTCTCTGTAGTGTCCGACTTGGCTACCATGGATACCCAGGCAGTATCGTACAATGACATGCTGAACCCGCCGAACCCAGTCTCATCTTTGCAACCACGAGAGATTCCACTCACCACTTGCTGAGCCCTTTCGATCAGGGCAGGGGCCTTCATGCTCAGGTTCCATCGGTTTTCGTAAGCCATTGGCCTCGCGCTGAATCTTTCTGTTTCAGATCCCAGAGGTTGGAAGACAAATATGATTGCTGGAGCGACCGCGATAGAGACTGATAATAAGTCGTACAGTCTGAAAATGGTATAGTTTACCGGACCTTGCCGATCCATATATTTCTGCTGATTTCTTTAATTACTTCATTGTGGTCCACTCAGTTAACAAAAACCACGATAGACCATGAATACGGTGTATTTTAATGCGTGGCAAATTATGTTGCCATTTTCTGACACAAAATACATTAGAGATCGAGATACAGCATGTTGATCACGTATTTTCTCCTGTCTGAGTGCCTCAGGGTCCACTTCCATTCCGTACTGCGTACTGTGTATGTTACGATAGATAACGGTTTGGAGCGAATGGGGCCCGTGCACCTTGATCCGAGCTCGATACAACGGCTCAAGGTATCCTGCGGTCAAGTCTCCCCCAAACTTGACTTTCTTTCAACAAAGAGCAGGGTCTGTGAATACGATGTAGTGTATTGTGCTGTTATTCTGCCGCGAAAAGGATAAATTTTGGATATCGATATAGCATTCGCGTGTAACATGTTTCTTCTAAACGAATTACTGATATCCGTCATTGCTTATACAGTATTTCCATAACGGCAGAATACCGTCAACTAAAATATGATACAAGACGCGGGCCGGAAGGATGTACTACGGAGGCTGAACTGTTGGCACCTGCAGTAGAGCCACGGTCAGTAATTGGCATGACCTCATTCGCCACCAACTTAGGCATAAGGCCTAGCGAGGTTACACAGAAGATTTAGCATGTTCCCGCTGGCCATAAGTTATGCCACTTCCTCCGGAAGGATCTCTAGAGTTGGTTAGGATCATGCATGCTTTTGGGGGCCAAATAAAATGCCTCACTCTGTGATTTAGGACCACCCTGGCCACCATGCTGATCCCTCCTGAATCCGGCAAGAGTAATATGTGACCTTAACTATGGAGGAGCTGAACAGTTGGCACCTGCAGCCGGGCTACTGTACGTTGTAAGCAACGCGACATATCACGCCGCCAACCGAGGCATAAGGCCTCCCGAGATTGGAAGACCTAGCGAGGTACTCCGTAGATTCACGCTAGTTTCCACATTCTATCTCGCTTCCACGGAATTAATCTTGAGGTTTGTCTTCTTTCACGCATGGCTTTGGGGGCCAAATTAAATACCTCACTGTGTGTTTTATACCAACTCGGTCGTCACGCTGATCCTTTCTAAATATGGTGAGTAGCGATGGCACCATGGGCAGGGATTGTCAAGCCAGGCGATACGTTATTGACAAGTTTGCTCAAAGCAGCCCAGGCTCAAAGGTTGCACTTTTTCAGTGGGAATACAACGGCAAAAATTTGGCATATTTATCTTCACCCCTTCGTATCACCTCACGTTCAGTCTTTACATTGACCTTTTCGAGAACGATGACTACTAGTCTGAAGCCCATAAAGATATGGTGGAGAGGTAATCCTGCCCATGCTTTGACCCTACGTTACAAATCTAGGTCATGAAAAAGGATCAATAAGCTACTGACCGCATGATTTCATACAGATCACGTTCCGAATCCCTCCAAGGTGCTCATCATTCTAGAAGAGCTTGATCTTCCTTATGAAAGCTCATACGTTGAGCTGGACGAGTTCAAAAAGCCTCCTCTCACTGATTTGAATCCGAATGGACGGATCCCAGGTATTTCTGAGTTCTAGGGCAACGTATATTATGTGATAGGGCATCTGACGGGTAAAATCTAGTCATTATTGATCCTAACACGAACCTAACACTCTGGGAAAGTGGTGCAATTATCCAGGTAATGCCGCTGACCTCTTGGATGGACACAGAGCTAATAATTTATATAGTACCTGATTGACACCTACGACAAGGACAACAAGCTTAACTATAATACTTTCCCCGAAAAGTATCATTTGATCCAGTGGGCGCTTTTTCAGGCATCAGGTCAGGGGCCATATTTTGGACAAGCAGCATGGTATGCCTTTCATTTCATGGATCAACACGCAAATTTTAGTACTGACGGTCTTTAAGGTTTAATATCTTCCATGAGAATATCTACAAGGAATCCCCCGAGTCGGCTAAAGTCCGCTATGGATCGGAGGTAAAAAGAGTGGCCGGTGTCTTGAACACCACACTGACTGACAAAGAATGGCTGGTGGGAGACAAATGCACATATGCGGACTTGGCCTTTGTGATGTGGAACTTTCAGATCCCATTCTTCATGCAGAGTCGAACTGGCGAGCATGGCTGGCGACCGGAGGAGTTTCCCCACTTCACTCGCTGGCAGAATGCCATGCTGGCGCGACCGTCTGTCGCCAAAGTTATCTCCCTTTTGAACGAAAAGGAGGTGAAGAAAGGCGTGTAGATACGGATTGAGCAAAACAGCGTATCTCAATTTCTAGGCCATTATGCTAGCACAAATAAAATCCAGGTCTTCTCAAGGTAAAATCTGGGATGTTCCGAAAAGTCATAAATTGCTGTGATCTCAGCGAGATCCACCCAATGGGCCGCATTAGCCTGTAGTATACAGACAAGTCATCTCACGTACCAAAATATCGCTTTGTTTCAAATTTCAGCTGAACGGCCCCACGGTCCGGTCTCATTGGAACATAATATGCGAGCAGGCTCCTCCCATTGCCTTTTTGAATGCATTATCTCTAACCATGACTTCTAATTCTGAGTCCACTCGGTATGTGTTCGATAGGAGCACCAGAGCCAGTATTCGGTAAGCAAGTCGCTCATTATTTTCCCTTGGTGAGATTGACCTGAAATGTGCAGTCTCAATTACCAGCATTTTCTGATCACTCAACTCACGGACAATGATCTGCTGCACCAATTCACCAGAGGGCGGGTTGAACTAGCTACCCCGCACCAGGTCGCCGATATTGGTACCGGCACTGCGTAAGTTCAGCTTGGGCTATGGTGTGCATGATGACACTAAACACCATGTATTAGCATTTGGCCCATCAGCTTGGCTCATTCGCTACCCCACTGGCAAATCGATGGCTTCGATATCTCTGGAGATCAGTACCCGGTGGATGCATGGTTACCTCCCAACGTCAACCTCCATAAACACGATGCGTTCCAATCATTCCCTGAGGAATACCACGGGAAATACGATATTGTCAATGTGCGATTCTTCATGACCTTGCTCAATGGTCACAATGTCCACCAATTTCTGCGTAACGTGATGATGTTGCTCAGTATGTCCATCTGGTATTTCATCGAAATGGTATACCATTTCACCCAAACTAACGCCGTCTCGTAGAGCCTGGCGGTCTCTTTCAATGGCTCGATATCGATGCTCCCTCTGTAAAGGCCATTGGCCCTGAAGGAATTTCTTTGGCTCTGACCTCCAAAGTCGCGACGATGATGCAAACCACCCCACCGGACGCTGCCTCGTGAGTAATCTTTCTTTCTTCCCCCTGAAATTACAATGGTTGGAAACTAATTTTCACACAGGTGGATCACTCATGATGGGGAAATGGTGAGGCCTGTGGGCTTAGAGCCGATTACCCGGGATCAACTTCGATTTCGAGATCAGCATCGTCCGATTTGGAACCAATGTGTCTTGATGGGCCTGGAGGAAGTGACGCACGGCCTAGAGCAAAGCGATACCGAGGCCAATCGTGCCAAAGCATCCGGTCTGCGAGAGCTTCTAAAAGGCTTGTCCAGTGAGTTCGAGAAAGGAGCGAGTCTGGATACACCATGGTTGTACCTAGTTGCGCGGAAGCCTCTGTAAGAAATTTCAGAAATGACTATATTTTTTACCAGTTTCTACAGCCTCTTTCCTTTTGATTCCATTTACTTCTATTGCGTGCCCCCAAAGTAGCCTCTGATATATGCCTCAAATCTTCATCCCGCGTCTCTCCTCAATTCCGGGCCTCCAACTGCACCGGAACGTCATGAACGACCCGTAAACTCATGTCAAACTTCACCTCACACAGGGCACGCTCAGCCCGGTACCGTGCGGTTTCCCAGGAATCAGTCGACCGGTCCGTCAGGCCTCCGTCCTCCTCGCTCCGGGTAAGCAACCGCACCGACGATGATTTGAAGATAGCGACTACCGAGGCACACAGCTCCACAAGTGCAAATCGATACCCCAGGCAGGCTCTATTTCCCTCTGAGAAGGGAACAAAGCTCCCAGGCACGGGTGTCATCAATCCCTCTTGATAGGGCGCGTCGCCACGTTGGATCCACCGTTCGGGATCAAAGTCGGACAGGGCAAAAGGCTGCGTCGGACGATTCTTGAGAGGGGCCGAGTTTTCCTGGAGATCCAGGCTCGGCCAATAGTGAGGGTGCCGGTGAGTCGCACTGGTATTGACAAACGCAATCGTATCCCTGGGTAAAGGATGTACGCAGCCTTGGACGGTGACTGAGACGGGGGGGCCGGTTGGGGGGACATATTTGGGAATCACAGGTAACACAGTGAACAGTCGAAGCGTTTCGTTTATCACTGCTCCCACACGACTCTTCATCAGGGGGCTGAAGTGTGCCTCATAAGTCCATTGATCTGGTGGGGTATCTTGGAGGATCCGGTCGAGGTCCACTTGCATGGCGCGTTGGGCGATAGGGTGACATGCCAGCAGCAAAATGATAAACGTCAACGTATTGGCATTGGTTTCGTGTCCCGCAAGCACAAACACCCAGAGATTACCCATGACCTGGTCCGGTCGTAGCATCGCCGGGCTTCCATCCTCAGAAGGCATTCCTGCCTGGACGAGTAAATCTGCATGCAAGAGAAGAGTTGACCCATCAGCTCTCGTGGCCCTTCTTTATCAAGTTCCGCACACTACATACCCAGGATACTTTTCGTCTTTTTGTGAGCCATGTCAGGGTTTTGCTGCACCTCGGCTTCTTTCGTCGCTTTCATCTCTTGTAGATACTGACCCAGTTCTGCAAACGCTGTTGCTGCTTGACGATGGTTATGAGACGGGGACGACCCTAGAGTCTTCCGATTAGAGAGAGCTATTTCATTTCCCCGGGGGAAGGAGTTCACTTACTAAGAAGTGCACCAGGTACGAGAAAGATCGTCATATAATTCTCCAGCACAGTTAATACTGCCTCACTGTAAGTCATGGAATGCCTGCCTGTTGGTTGATCTTCCGCGCGAAGCGTCAACATCAAGTCCTGCTCGGACTCCGTCTGGTTGCAGAATCGACTAAGGATATGTAGTGACAGTTTCGCGGTGAGGGCGCGGAGCTGCCGATAGGCCCCCGGCTGTTGCAGTGCCGTCACCAAGTGCGCTCCTCCCTGAACGGAGCCGACAAATACCTCCTGCATAGTCGTATCAGTAAAGAAGGGGGCAGCAATACGTCGATACAATCGATGTTCCGCGCCATCGCTACTGGTCATAGTCGGACCAAAGAGATTGAGTAAGCTCATCAAATGAGCAGGTTTTCCTAGCCGGCCATCGTGCAAGATCTGCGTAGAGACGCCTGGGTCGCAGGTGTAGAAGATGACTCCGCCGGGCGAGACAGCCAGGAAGGTATCGGCCCTAGCTCGTCGGAAGGGTTCATACCCATTGTGCCATCCATCGTTGAACAAAAGAAGAGGTAGCCAATTCTCCGTCCACGTTTGTGGGAGGGAATTCAATAATGGAAGTAGCAGTGGCTGAGTTAACAGCCAGGGCGCCCCCAGAAAAGAACATGGGACAATCACGTAGGCGAGACCCGTCTTTCGCGCACGAAACACATTTACCACCAATGAGACCAGACACCACGCTGTCCAAATGAAGAGCCCCAGTGGGATTAGAACGCCCAAGGAGAGAAAACCCATTGCAGATGGTTCTATGTGTTGCGTCTATTGAAGCGCGATTAAAAGCCTAGGTTGAATCTCCATAGTAGGCATTGAACCAGATGATGTTCGGCGGAAACGACTTTCCCCCACTCGAATGATTCAGGTCCAGGATCGTCGCACGTCAAGCACCTTTCCGACATTTTTTTCCCTTTTTTTTGGTGCATCTCGGCCGTCAATTGCGTGTGTGACGCACTTTGCATATACTAAACCTAATCAAGCTGTAGACTATCGGTCGATGTTTGATGATCTGGGGGCCAAATTACCAACATTACCAACATTACCAACATTACCAACATTACCAACATTACCAACATTACCAACATTACCAACATTACCAACATTACCAACATTACCAACATTACCTATCTTACCAACATTACCTATCTTACCAACATTACCTATCTTACCAACATTACCTATCTTACCTGGTCCGAACGACATACTGTAGTGATCTCTATTGTCATTGTGCCCACCAGTTAGAAGACAGTAACTAAGCCCCCCAACAGCCAAGAGACTGACGGTCCAATCAAGTATCCACAGTTGTATTAATGTCTGCGAGGCCTTGGCTTGGTGCGGTTCCCTCAGGAAGGTCTCCACCCTGTGAAGGATTGTGCAGGATCTCATCTCCTCGTTCTATTATTGTTTGAATGATCATGGTGCAGTGAATTCGGCCCCCATGTTCCCCTCCTTCACTCTTCCCGTTGATGCTAAGAATGATCTTTTAGTTTTACAACAGCCACAAGTTAGAGGCCCTCCTTGAGACTGGGTATTTTTACTGGGCCCATCACTTCTCGGCTTTCAAGTTTGGAAGATAGAGAGATCATGAGTGACCAAGCATCAAGTCCATCCTTGGTCACCACCGCCCTGCTGACGGTCGCGATCGTATTCCCGATTTTGGCTACCTTAGCCGTTGCGCTTCGCATCTGGTCGACGCTAACCAGGACAAAGAAGCTATTTGTCGATGACTATGTTATCCTTCTGGCCCTCTTGTTTGCGTGGGGGGTACCCATTGATGTTTATGTCGCGGCGGGACTAGGAGGGGTTGGTAACAGCAGCTTGTCTGCCCTAGATGCCTCTAGGGTCTTTCTCCGGGTTTGTTCATATCCCTTCCCTGATGAAGGTGGTTTGGGCTGACAGCTTGACAGGCTCTATGGATTGAGATTTTTCCTCTCATTACTAGCTTGGTCCTCGTGAAGGTTTCTATTCTTCTGTTCTATCAAAGGATCTTCGTAACTCCATGGTTTCAGCTGGCCGTGAGGATCTATATTGCCATCTTGGTCATGTGGGGAATCGCCTGCCTTATCGTATGTCTATTTTTTCACGATAGAGTCCTGAGTCCTGAAAATTGATCAACTGACATCCCATAGGCTCAATTGCTGGCGGGTAATCCGGTAACCGCAGCTTTCAATCCACTGGCCATCAATCCACTGCGCTACAACTACAACAACTTTAGCATTGCATTTACGGGGATGAGCATTGGTTTTGATGTGATTGTGCTATGTTTTCCCCTCCCGGTTGTTCATCGTCTCGTGATGTCTACTCGGCGAAAAATGCAATTAGTGGGCATCTTCTGGCTCGGAATCTTGTAAGCGCAGAAGACATCTTTCTTCCCGGAAATCAAGGCAATTCAAACTAATATCATCATCTAGCTGCTGCATTGCCTCCATCCTTCGATTTTACTACGTCTACACCGAGGTGTACGCATCCACAGCTTCGACGGGGGCTAATCGCTACGTCGTCGTCACGCCGGGAGTGATATGGGGAACTATTGAGCCCAGCACCAGCGTGATTGCCGCATGCCTCCCCACCTATGGCCATTTGATCGGGGTCGGTAAGGGACTATTGACAAGGGTGCGCAGTTTCTGGAGTCGCACATCCCTCCACAGCACCGGTGGTCGCGATCACACCCATGGATCAACGGCAAATTCAACCAAGGTCCTGAGTAGCAAAAATTTGTCCAATAAATCTTATCCCACAACTGGTGGACTCCATTGGCATCGCCTGAAGCATAGCAAAGGGGGGAATACTGACATCGAAATGGGAGATACATCATTTGAGGATGACATCCCATTAAAGACGGATGCCCAGCCAATGAGGATCCATGTGTCCCAGGACTTTACACAGCAGGAATTGCCGGCATCGACGAGCGATATCACAACCAGGGGAAAGCCTATGGGACAGCCAAACATGTTCTGATGTGTCTGAGCTGCTATTAAGAAGCATTGTGCATATGTAACAATTAAATAGTTCCTTTTTGGGCAGGCGTCTAATGCTGCTGTAGCAGATAGCATTCAGGAGATAAAGTTGTGTGAAAATATTAGTACGGGGAAAAAGCTTCAAATTGTCTCTCCAATCTTGCTGTGGTCTACAATACGTTTTTGAGCCTGAGCATGAGCGCCCTCATAAAAGCGGCGTTGGCCATATTAGGTAAGCCCCACTTGTCAGGAGAAATCCAGTAACGTGGTTCCCGGTCGCGCGAGCGATGCTCCGAGAACTTAGATTTTAGTCAATTCACAGTCTCAAACATCAACACGCAAGTATAGGAATAAACGCTAACTAAATTTATGAGGACACTGGGAATAAGTATGCTCTTGGTTCCGCAGCCAGAACAGGTGACCTGGCGCCGTATAATACTTACAGAGGGTAATCTAGGTTCTGCTGGTGATTTTGCAGCACCATGTGCCGCAGGTATATATCGCTGTCTTTCATCTTTTCCACCACCAAATCAACTCCAAGCTCTTCCAAACTTCGCAGACTACCTTCATGCGACATCTGCTTCCCACCCGAAGCCCTTTTATCTACTTGCTTTTTATTAGCAGCCTCTAAACTGGTGCAACGATCTCGGATAAAGATGAGCTCATGAGTTAGCCGAACAGCCATACTATGCGACCGGTCAATAGCTCGCTTGGGCGGCGAAGTCATTGTCTCTGATGAGGGCTCAAGTCCTTTTTTGGTCCGGAAATTCATTCTTTGCAGTTTCGAGAGGCTCCAAAGCGTATCCAAGCTCCTCGTTCAATTGGAACAGCAGAGGCTACGGGAAGAGAAGCGAGAGGTGGAACAGAAGGAAAGGGAAGAAAAAAGAGAAGCGGATTATAAGGAACTGTAAGACAAGCTTCTTGCTCTTCTAGAACAGAGAAGATAAATTGAAATGATCATTTGAGTGATGTCTATACGTGCCTATACAAAAAGTCGATTATATCTATATAAGGATGTAGGCCCTCATCGGACAAAATGTGGTCCGCTACCTAAATCATATCTACTTTTCTTCGCGTTCTTATCTAAAAAGGAAACTAATTGAGCTATAAATAAATGTATATAAAAAAAGGAGAAAAAAACGGTAGGACGTGAATATCCGAGGCGCTTATGGCGCATGCTTATGTTTAAAATACCTCATTTACTAAGAGCTTACCTATACTAAAAGTGCCTCCTACTTTAAGCATATAAGGCCGTGCTAAAAGAGAGTAGTGTAGAAGTTATTATAGTAAATAATAGATTAGTGTTACGCGGTGCTAACTGGTCACAGTGAATATCGCTCGTAGTGGTGCTATACGTACGTCGAGGCTCGTCCTTAAGGTAGTCGCAATCATACTGTTGCCGTCATGGACAGGCTATGAGGGCGACATCGAGTTCATGCATATTGATGCTGAATGTGTCGCTTGGAGCGATGCTGTACGATTTCTAGATAGGAGGACGATTCAATGCCGAACCGGGATTTTTAATACCTACCAGATGGTCTCTAAAGAAAGTCATTTTATACTGGCACCTCAAACCAGCAACGCAAGAGACAATGAAATAGAACCGAGCTGGTTGCGCTTCGACACCGATGCTGAAGATGTTAAAAGCCTAAAGTGTGCCATTGTCGGTAGAGCATACGCGCCTTCGGTTTACTCGAGCGAGAAATCTGCGGAGGGCTATCGGGAGTACTGTTATATTATGATTGTGAAGCCACTGGCAGAGGGGAGTGAAGGGCCGTTGTTTGAGAGGGTGGGCGCTGGATGTGTTGATCAAAAATGTATATCTTTTGATGGACCTGGATTAAATTCTAAGATCATTTGATACTAATACCTACTGAAGTTTTACCCGCTCTCACCCGGTTCCTACGTCCCTCACCTCAATCTTCAGAATTCTCACCCATATCACCCGGGGCTGCACTCATCCTAGCACTAAAGCTGACGCTAGTTTAAGGTTTAAGGCTCGTTGATCACTGACCGAGTTTAGTATGTGGCTCAAGTACGGCCGAGCGGACGCGAAGCCCTGTTCTCCACACCCTATGGTCATATGTGCTTGAGGTACCAGTAAAGGGGAATCTAAAATACAACGCTAAAGGCCGGAACCTTACTGGGGAAATTGAAACATTTACGGGGTAGCTACTACAAGCACAAACATGTTTAGTACGATGCATGCTATTGAGGGACTACACGGAATAATATGGGGATGGAAAGAGTTAATGCATAGACAGAAGCAGAAACCAAGAACGCCCATCTATCACTGACGACTACTAACCGCTTCAATCACCGCAGGTGTAAACGAGGCTACAGTTACTGTCTTGCTCATCAACTCCAAAAAGTGAACATCCACCTCAAATGCTTGGAAGAACCAAGTCCTGAACTTCGATGCAATCATACTGTCCATGCCAAACTGCGCCAATGGCTTGGCCACCTGCACCTTTTCCAATGGCAAGAGCACTAGATTGCCCAGCCGACTGGCAATACTCGTCTGAATTGCATCGGCAAGCGGGACCCCCTCGTCCAATGCCTTGGCCACATCGGCTGGTAAGCCACGCGTTGATTGGGTCTGAGCTGCCCCGTCATCCTCGTTATCCAAGACGCGAGCGAGGACAGCAGCACGCGGGTCGCGGAAAGCGATGTTTGTAACCTCAAAGCCCTTCTTTCGAAGCTCCATCAGGCCAAATGGTTTCAGACCTGTGAGCACGTGGGCATTGGCATTGTAGTCCACTGGGTGTGGAGCGGTAAGCTGCTTGTTGGAAAGTGAAACATCAACGATTTGAAGCAGCTCGTCTTCATTGATAGCCTGAATACCCTTACAAACCAACAGCGCCTCAATCTCCGAACTATCGTGGAGGTAGCCAACCTCACTGATCATACCCAGTCCGATAGCCTGCGCGGGAAGCCCTTGAGCGTGCCGGTGCCTGGCGAACATGTCTAGGAAGAAGTTACCGGCACAGTAGTTGGACTCGGTGGCAGTATCAACACTCCCTGAAAAGGAAGTGGTCATCAGGAAGAATTCAAGCTGTGAGTCCTTGCCCTTGATGGCATGATGCAGGTCCCATGACCCGTGCACGTTTGGATCAATGCCGGTGTGCCAGTGATTGTTCGACATGCTCGTGAAAAGGATTCCTGGAAATATTGTCAATGAGAGAAGCTTGATGGTTTTGAGGAAACTTACGTTAAGACCCATGGCGGCCTGAATCACACCCCCGATATATCCATTCACAGCTGCGACAGCCGCTTCAACATCAGCCTTTTTGCACACATCGCCACGTATGACCTTGCAATGGGCGCCACTTTGGGTGAGGTCTTCGATGAGTCGGCGCGCACTCGGCCTATCCGTACCAGAGCGGCCAAGGAAGACGAATTTCTGCGCTCCACGCGCCACCATCCATTTGGCCATACTGCGGCCTAATCCTCCCAGACACCCAATCATGAGGTAAGTCTTCTCTGGGAAGAAAGGTCGTACGGTACTTAAAGGGCTGAACGGGGAGAACAGAAAAGCTCGTTCTGCAGACTTATGACAACCTTTCCGATACGGTTGCGTGACGAAAAATGTCGCAGACCGCTACTCAGCTCTGAGACATCTAAAAAGCGGATGGGCTGTATCTTAGCAATCCGTCGCGATTGGTACAATTCGATAATTTAGTCGAGGAGCCCGGACCACACTTCATGGTATTGCTTGTCTGGGTGGTTGTAGATGTCGGAAAGATCAAAGGCCGAGAAAGTCGTGTTATGCAAGAAACTGTTCATATCTACACGTCCGTCGTTAACCATGTCGCGTTTGCCGATTTCGATAAAGCGCCCAAACGCACTAATACAACGCCAGGTTGCATAAAGGAGGTCGCCGGTCAGGGAGTTAAGCACCACATCGGCGCCTTTACCACCGGTTACGGCGAGGATATTCTGCGCGAAAGATTCGTCGCGTGAAGTGAAGATATTTTGGGGCGAAAGACCGAAGGTGTCGACCAAAAATTGCTTCTTCCGTCTGTCGAGACTGTCGTGTAGATCTAGTAACCATATATCAGCACTGAACATTGCTACACTGTAACATTACTTCCGGGATATTGAAAGAAAAGAAATAGCGCATACCTCAGCCCCGATAATTTACGCAATCTGAATAGAGGCGACCAACTCCACCAGCACCAGAATGAAACAGCACCGACTCACTGGGCTGCAGGCGGGCACGCATCATGAGTGCGTAGATGGCAGTAGAGTAAACGAGCGGAAGCGTGGCCACCGTGGGACAATTTCAGAAGATTTGAAATTACCGGAAGCTATAACGATCACGCGGTCGCCGACGTGCAGCGCCTCAACGCTGTCCCCGATACGTTCAATAACACCGCTGAATACAAGCGTGCAAATAGTATTGGGGGTATTGACTTTACCAGCTAGGGAGTAAAGATCCTTAGCGTTCAAGCCCACGGCCTTAACTTGTACTTGAACGTCTCCAGGTGCTAGTGTAGGAGGTGGCGCAACCTGCTGGAAGTAGATACCACCAAACTGACCGGGCTGATCAAGAGAAAGCTGGAACGGGCGTGCCTGGCTGAGGGGCAACTCAAGTTTCTCGGAACCCTGCTTCGTACAGCACTCACTTTTGAGGTCATTGTCCGGGACGAAGCGGCTTACACGAAGAACGCCGTCCTTCTCGACATACTCCAGATCTACTAGAGGGGCGTTCATTCCCCGAAGAACGCGAACGGGACTTTGGGCTGATCGGGCAGGATTCGCGGAGGGACTGTCAATGTCGTACGTCATAAAGTGCAGTGAGGGCTGCTCAAGCATCAGCGACGCGAGACAGACCCGAGACGAGAGCGAAGTCTGGCCGAGACCCGCGCATGATGTCGCCCGAGGTGACCCATAGGAGGACAGAGGTGTTGTCAGTGACGACCTTCAATGCGTCCATTTTCTCATCACGAATGGTAGCAAGTAGTGAATTTGTGGCCTTGATGAGCAATATGAAGGTGGCGCCGTTCAGAATATCCTTGGACGCGGTGGTAATGTCTTTAAACACGAGGCGTGTTGCGTCGGGGTGATCGGGCAGGAGGGCATAGCTCAGCAGACTATTGTCCTTGTCAATCACGACGAGGACTTTGTCTATAGTCATCTCTGCCACATGTCGGCGGGTTGGACAAGGACTGCAATGCGGTGTCCTGGTCAGCTAGCCCGGCGCGAAAGATGGGGAACTATTGAAGCAGTTCGGAGCCCACCCGTGGTCATTGCGTGCCCTGGCCAGTAAACACAAATGCATAGGCTATTTCTTCGGGGGAGGCGGCGAGGGTGACAGAAGGAGGAGGACCAAAGAATCTCGGCGATCAGGACCAAGTCACGTTGACGTGTGCCGTGAACAGGCTCAGTGGTGGTCTTTTATATGGTCCAGAATCTGCTGGATTTCCTTATTGTTTCTTTCCAAATGGAAACGCTAGACCTCTCGACTTGATGTCATTTCCCTTTCTTCCTGAGCTCTCTGGTGATTACGAGTACTAAACATGGGCTGTACTTTCACTGTAAATCCTAACTTATGCCCGGATATTAGGTCACACTGGAGGTAAAAGAAGGGTAAAAAAAGTGGGAAGGAAGCAAAGGTATGTAGGCAATGGTGGATGAATATTTTTAGAAGAGAGAAAAAAATTGAGACGTCAGTTTGGTTGAAGTACACAGGTCCTAGGATAGAGCCCTTCCTACAAGGCTCAAGTAAGAGTTTTTGTAATTCCTCCTCTACAGATAGGAGTCCCATCACGGTATCCCGGACTTGCATGGCTTCCATTACCAAAAGGAAATTCAACATACCAACATGTTATAGACGTGTCTATTTACTCAACTAACCAATCTTCATTCGCATGTTGAAGTATCAAAGGAACACTATCATCTTATCAGGGCTTTCATAATGAGCGCGATTCATGTCAATCGCAAAAGGAGCAATTTCAAACTTCTATAGCCCCTCTCGTAACAATGTATGTATCCAGATACACCTACTTCTATTCAAATATCCGAGGAAGTGACATTTATTAATTGGACCTCTCGCTTGGTATTACAGCAGGCCTGGAAACATGCGAGTTCCCCTTCTCCCGCCCCCAAAAAATGCGTATATTCAATTAGAATTCTCATCATCCCTATAAACTATCTATTAGTATGTCACTTTAAATACAGGCGATAGATCGGATTGCATCGAACTAGACCTTACTTTTCTTCTTAGGTAATTCTACTATATTGCCTTAATACTCCTCTGAGTAGGCATTGGAGAGTAAGTGGGGCGCGATCTAAGTGATTACGCAAGACTATACATCCTATCATCGGCATGCTGAATATTTTTGATGACTAGAAGGAGTAAAAATTGATTGTATGTTCTCAGAATTGGCTTCATGGGGTAACACAATACTTCCTATCGTGGAATCAACATAACGTAGACTCATTACGAAAGCGCGTTGATGAAGCGGTGTGATAAGTGGCGGAATTAGCTTATTAAAGTCCGACGGCCACTTGTCGTTATTTGGGTCAGACCCGTGTTCTAAAACGGCTGCCAATGCATTAAAACAAGGATATTGGCCTGCTTTTTAGAAGTCTCCATTAAGTGGCGTATTTTTTTTGAATGCGACCAATGAAAGGTAATTACTTAAATTGATAGTCAACTCCACTATGCGGGGCGAGTTGCAACCGTTCTGAACTGTCGGAAATGATCGGCATTCGACCAGAATAAGAATACTATTTGCCCAAGACATCCTTCACAGCTTAGAGGCATACTATCATTCACAAAATTGATAATGTACAGTAGCGTCGTATCATATTACATGGTCTACAACTCTCCCATGGATTAATTTCTTGGCAGACGTACATATATATATATATATTATATGTAAATGTAATATGTGTCAAAAGTCCGTGCTGAAAATCAGGAGGGGCGGGATCGTCTCCTTTTTGCTCCAACAAATCTCCTCTTCATCCAAGCACTTTTAACCTAAGCATGAGTCTGATCCATTCATAATGGCCAACATCCCCATTGTAGTGGTAATTTACTCTTCCTGAAGACCATGGCTTTCAGTTACTCACCTGCATAGGATCCCGACTTGTACATTTGTGATCCGGCCGATGCCGACTATCAATCGTGCGTCTGCCCCATATCTAATCCTTAACCTTCCAAGGCGCGGAACTGGATATTTCAACGGCCCTATCTTACTCGTTTCGATATAGCGAAACTACCTCCGTCACATCTTCAATTTATAGGGGACTTGTTGAAAATGGACGACGATATCAAACGATGAGAGAAAACCAATACTGGTGAGAAGGAGACCTACCGAGTCCACGGCTCCAGTATGGAACTGATCATCCTTTAGGAGCCCTGCCGACGAGTTACAATTTGAGAGCCTAGAAGCTGGGTGATCATTTCATCAATCCCTTCAACTCTCCAACGCACCTAACAAGAATAGTCACGCCGTTGCCATCGTTCTGGATGCAGATAGGCCTAACCCGTTATTTCGGGCACCCATAAGTCAGAATGCAAAGGTATATGGAAATACGAGTCCGAGCTCTCGAGCTACTGTTGTGATGTACTCATATGGAATAGAATATCCTGGATATTGGAACTGGGAATGGTTTATGGGCTATGTTCGTCTGAAACTCTCTATCACCATTCATCATCTCACTTAGTCTGACACAGCGACGTTGCCGATATGTTTCCAGAAGGCAAGTAGCATCCGATGCGTCTTTTGGCTTTCGCTGATTTCAGTCACAGCCAATGTCCGAGGGGTAGATCTGTTTCCACCTCCTGTATCATGGATGCCCCAGAACTGCACCTTGGAGGTCGATGACGTGCTACGTGATTGGACGTGGACTGAACCCTTTAGCTTCATTCACATGCGTATCATGCTTGGGTCATTTACCCCCGAGCAATGGGATAGTATTTACCAAAAGTGTTACGAGTGCGTTTTCTTTTCCTCTGGTTTTTCCTAAGGGTGTTTGACCAGATTTGTCCTTTCTAAACTAATACTGCTGCGTTAGAAATCTTGAACCCGGTGGGTGGATTGAACAGCTAGAGTTGGATGCGCATATCGAGTCCGATGATAACAGCATTCCCGAGGACAGTATGGCGGCGACATGGGGAGAAACCACCTTTGGTTGTGCGGAGCGCTCTGGTCGTCGGATCGACACTCTGAACACCATGCGCGCCTCTATTGAGAAAGCTGGCTTCGTTGAAGTCCATGAAAAGGGCTACAAGTGGCCCATTGGACCATGGGCCAGGGATGCAGGTCTCAAAGAGGCGGGTAGGTTGAATTACCATATGTGGACATCCGGGCTGGAGGGCTGGGGTATGTGGCTTCTCACCAAGTTTGGTGCCCCTCGCCCATGGCCCCGAGAACAGGTTGTTGCGTACGTTAGCAAGATTCGGACGGAACTGAGAAGCGGGCAAGTGCATAGCTACCAGCGAGCGTAAGTCAAAGCTCTCCCAGGCTTATTCATTTCCCTATGGCTCAATTATCGGTTAACGCTTTCTAGACGAAGGGTCTGGGCTAGGAAACCCGGCGGTAATGCGGACATGAAGATTGAAAACGAGCAATGATAGCTAGCGACTACCCGTGTAAGGGCCAGTTCCTCTCTAATATGAGCCCAGCCAATCAGCGTTTTTTGTAAATATTTGCATACATATATATCATTTGAGAGTTGCAGATACATTTATAGATATGTTCCGTATCCACTGGCATTTATGGTTATGGGGCAGTTAGTTACTTAAGTTAATGTGGGTCATGATGAGTCAGCTGGCCTAGGCCGGCCGTAGACGCAAAGTACCGTTAGAAACAGGTTCTCATTCTCAGCGCAGTTACTTTTTTAGTTCCTTAGCTCCTTAGCTCCTTAATTCTTCGATATCTGGGCTTCCCCCTCACTTGGTCATATTCATCTCTTACCCCAGATCTTTCATCATTCCCTTCTTCCATCGGCGCGGAATTCCTATCGCTGGTCCCGTTCCTGACGTCATCTACTGACTGAGCCATCGCCCAAAAAAAAAAAAAAAAAAAAAAAGTGTGAGAGACCGATAAGATTGTGCAGCGTCAACTACCTCGGCTGCTGCGGCTCAGGATGATCACCAGTCGCCCCTAGTCAAAGGTTCATTTTGGGCAAACATAGTGATCACCATTATGAGAGACTCGCTTTACAATCGTCTCTGGCGCCGAGAATGCGGGGACTTATCTGCGCGTGCCGGGCTCCGGGACATTTACGGTTCCAAGGAGTGGGTCAGCGATCTTGACATTGTCAACGAGCTTGGTGGACACACAGGCTGCGTGAATGCCCTCAGGTATAATTCTCTTCATGCTCGCAGAACACCTTGGCCTGGTTTACTAGGCTGATCTGCTTCCCTCGCCGTTGCATGGTTCTAACCACATTCGCAGTTGGTCCCGGTCAGGACGTTTTCTGGCCTCGGGCTCGGATGATCAACATTTAAATATCTACTCCTATCAACCCGAATCCTCCGATGCGCCTTTTGCGCTAAATACAACCGTGCATACAGGCCACAAGGCCAATATCTTCTCCGTCAAGTTCATGCCTCACTCGAACGACCGAACCCTAGTCACTTGTGCCGGCGATTCCCAGGTGCGCGTTTTCGACATCGAATACTCTAGCAGCAATGGCAACGTCGCTAACACCTCGGCATTTGCGGCTTCGGCTCGCAGCCGCCGTTTCAATAACTTCTTCGATGGGGCCCGATATCTGAGTGAAGGCAATACCAACGCTAGGGTCTACCGGAGTCATGCCGACCGTGTGAAGCGAATTGTCGTCGAGTCCTCCCCTTTCCTATTCCTAACATGCTCGGAAGACGGTGAGGTCAGACAGTGGGACTTGCGTCAGCCGACTTCTGCATATCCTCCGCCCAACGGTGGCCAGGGTTTCATGGCCTATAGGCCTGGCCGCGAGCACGACGACTCGAACGTCCCCCCGCCCCTCATCTCCTACAAGAAATTTAGTCTCGATCTCAACACAATATCGTGCTCCCCTTCACAGCCACATTATATTGCCCTTGGTGGTGCTCACGTGCACTGCTTCCTTCATGATCGACGTATGCTCGGTCGCGACATGGTGGCAGAAAGAGGTTCTCCTAGCCGGGCGACTCCGAGCGCCGGTACGCATGACGATGAAGTGATGGGGAAAGCCACCCGATGTGTTCGACGGTTTGCCCCTCGTGGCAAGCATCGTATGCGGGATCTCGATGAGGGACATATCACCGCCTGTAAAATCAGCGATGCAAACCCTGACGAAATGGTGGTCAGTTGGTCGGGAGACCACATTTACAGTTTCGATATCATTCAAAGCCTAGATGCTCGAGACCCAACGCCTGAGGAGAGCTCGGTTTCACAAACTGCAAAGAAGCAATATAAAAATGGATCGCGTGATCGAAAACGTAAGCGCCCAAAGCCCATGTCGATGTCCTCCCAAGATAGTGGCGACCGTCATCATTCCCGACGTCGATCTAATGACCCCAACACACTGAGAGTTCGGTTCGAAAATGGCGAGTCATCGGATATTCCCATTCCCGGAATGTCAGAAGAGGAGTCTCCCGGAGGTTTAATGGAACGCGCAAGGTACTCTGTGTTGAATGAGGCGCAGCGACTGAGCAGAGACATTTCCAAATCGATGGTCAAGCTCCGACAGGCTATGTTCTCACTTGAAGAGACTATGAGAGAAGCAGCAGAATCCGACCAGAATGACCTCACGCCTTATGCCGAGTCCTTTGGGTCTGCATTGGCGATTGCATGTACCGTGCTACCTCAAATGGACTCTATCATTCGAGACTGGAGGTATCCTATGAACCCATCTCGTGACACCGTCATTCTTCAACAGACTCTCCGCCGTCACCGCCAAGAGTCGTGGAGATTTATTCAGGCCGCTGGCACTTTAGCCCTTGTATTGAAAACCCCATCGCACGCCTCCGAGGTGGATGACTTAGACACATATCGAGACTTCCAGAAAATTACTCCCGCACCCAGTGAAGATGAATCTATTGAGCCAGAATCGCAGTTCGGCTATGATTTCCTGAAGGCAATCTTGCTTTGGCTCCATGGAGGTCGCCAAGAGCTACTAGCCGGGTTTAAGCGTGGATCATGCCATCGAAGACAAAATGGACGGTTTCCCATCTCAGAAGATGATGCCGAGGACGCGATCGAAAGAGTTCTCATCCCATATCTGCATGCCTTCGCAGGAGACACGCCGATTGTAAATGTGGATGCGTCCCCATATGAACACGACAGGACCCGTATATTATTTCCAACCCAACGAGCAGCTGTGGTTGCCTTTGGAAATGCCGTGAGATTGCCACTTGAGAACCTTGGAACGACTGCTGCTCGTATCGATAAACGTCGCGTGTCCAGTCCATCTTCGCATGTCAGATCACTCGACCGAGCCTCGGCCTTCAGGTTTTGGATATTACGGGTCGGAAGGGGCATTTTAATGACAACTGGGAAATGTGTCAACTATTCCTTCGTCAATCGTGCCTTTGGTGGGCTACAACCCGAGGTGGACGAGTCAGACAGTGATCTAGAGCTGGAAAGATACCTGGAAGAAACACAAGAAGACATTGATCTCAATGAACCAGAAGAAAGGGTTCAATCTGTCAACCTTGTGAGCACTGCCCGGCCCAACCGAAATATCAGCTCTGGGAGAATTGAGACATCCCCGGGTGACGATGAGCAAAGCAACTCCGGGGAGGTTTCTTCCTCGTCTGAATCTTCTGCTAATGAAATAGAGAGCGATAATGGGGAGACAAGCGATTCAAATGAGAGTGATCGGGATGAGACTGACCAAGAAGGTGCTGATGGATGGAACTTTGGTCTCGAAGATGGAAGTGAAGAAGACTCTGATATCGAATTTCCTGTTTCTCTGCGTTCTGGGAGTCGTAAAGGACGTCGAGGAGATGTCGAGATCGATACTCCATGCTCATCCCACACCAAGGTTTATCAGGGACACTGCAATATCAAGACCGTCAAAGATGTCAATTTTTTCGGATTAAACGACGAGTATGTGGTGAGTGGCAGCGATTCTGGCCATGTTTTCATGTGGGATCGAAAGACTGCCAATTTGGTGAATATATTGGAAGGAGACAGTGAGGTTGTCAATGTCGTGCAAGGTGAGTTTTGATTATATCTAAGTACGGAGCTCCTTATTAAACAGTGCAGGCCACCCATATGAGCCCACCATGGCTGTGTCCGGCATCGACAGCACTATCAAAATTTTCAACCCAGATCGAAATGCTCAAGAGCAAGCCAAGCAAGGCATCAACATCCTTGACCCTGATAACCCGGCGAATGTTCTCGGCTCCACCGTACACAACCTCGGCGGGTTGTCGAGTCGCAAGCGTCTTCATGACAGCTATCGCATCATAAGCCAGAATGATGTTGACCGCCGAGGTGGTATGAGCGAAGCTTATATTACTGTATGTTAAGGTTTATCAGACACGTGAAAGAGAGCTGACCATGTCCCATAGAGAAGCATGCTCAGTCGACTTGCCGCCACCCTTCGAGGCCGCCAAACTCTGGGAGGGGGTCTGGGCGGGGGCATTGAGGGTATAGGCGGAGAAGGTGGCGAAGCAGCCACCGTGGTTCTTGATGAGAACTGCCTGGTACGTGTTGCAACTTCCTTGAGGTGTGTGAAGGGGTCGGCTAACATTACGGCAGGTAATGTGATGTGGAAAGCTGAGTTGGTCCCGACCTTTAACTTAAATTTTCTTCTTTTCTACTTTTCTTCTTTTCTACTTTTCTTCTTTTCTTCTTTTCTACTTTTTTTCTTTTCTCCTTTTCTTCATTAATCGTTAATTCGTCACAGAATGCTTGCAGGACTGCATGTAATCGGGTGCGAATGGTCTATATCTTTATTTCATCGGGATTATAATCAATCAAGGAACATAAGAATGGTTTAGCCTACTGAGAATGTTCTTGACTCTAGGCCCATGAAATTTGGAATATTGAGGACGCTTGTAGACAATTATGCAGTGCCTATTGATGTGACAGAAGTCGATTCAAACCAAAGAAACATGTATAATAAAGTCACATTGGAGTGTCACTCCTTGCAATTGAGTTGTTGGTTCGATTTTCGCAACTAGGGCTTTCCCCGCGGATCCACTTGGAACGGAGTCCAGCCCCACGTAGAAATTCTGCTCCGAGAATTCGTTCAAGAACCCTTGACTACTCAACCACAATGGCCACATCACTGCAAGTCCGAGCTGAAAAAACTGCTCGGCTCTACAAAGACCCATATAACCCGCACCTCTACCTCAAACGAGCCTGCATTCATGAACAACTTGGCTTCCCCGATCTGGCCGCTGCTGACGCCTATCGTGCACTATCGTTGCTGGAGTCGGTTGTAGATCCTGATGGTTGTGAATTCCATGCCAAGCGCAGGATCGACGGCGCCCTCGAACACACCATTCCTCAGGATGAGGGCAAAGACACTACCGATGGAAGCGAGGAGGGTGAAGAGGAAAACGATTCAAATGAAGATGAAGATCCGAACTTCGTCGCAGTGACGCAGGAGGAATATAATATCCTCATTGGAGAGGTATATGCGGTTCTAGTGTGTAGCCTGGTGCGCTGTGGCTGCTACCGCGATGCGTATGAGTTCGGCGTGCGCGGTATTGGACTGCTCGGTGATCTAGGCGCAGACAAGGTCAATGTCACCACTGCTTCCACAGTTTTGCATGATCAAATGAATCATGTGAAGAAGGTTTTCCAGGCTCGTGCTAAAGTCAACAAGGATGTGGAAGTGGATTTGGATTCTATTGACCCGGCTATTCTCCCGGCACAGGGTTTTGCTCGTCGCGTCCTCTATCCCTGGAATGAGCATGAGCCGGACCGTCGCGCCCCCGAGGAATTGGAGTTTCTTAACAAGCGGCTGGCAGATGTGGCCCCGAAATGTGAAGTTCGTGCGGTGGCGTTACCGGCCCTTCATGGTGCCTCTGCCGATAATGATACTGAGGTCTCGGTGCAACTGGGTCTCTTCGCCAAAGAAGACATCGCAGCAGACGAGATAATTTTGCGCGAATCATCGCTTCTGACTGCTACGAATCGCCTGCATGATGATCTCTGCGATGCGTGCAATGCGCCTCTGCCTGACCTCTCGGCTGCCGAGCCCCCCATTGCATGTGAGGAAGGCTGCGCGGATACCATCTTCTGTAGCCAGGCGTGCCACGACACCGCGCAGAAGGTCTACCACGCTGCGATCTGTGGCCTAGAAGATGGTCTGGAGTCTATCGGGAAGGATATCCCTGACCCGAAGGACAAAGCCGACTACTTGTATTTGCTTCTACTTGGCCGCGCGCTCGCCATGTCTGCGACACAGGACGTGCACGCGTTGGATCTGCCTGAAGTGAAATACATCTGGGGTGATTTCCATGACTTCAATATCGAGAGTATCGAGCAATCCAGCTCTGAAGAGGCTTCTCTCCCCTTCTCATTCCAACTCAACATCCTCCAGCCCATGCGCTTCCTCGAGGAGATGGAAATCGATCCCTATGAGTCGCTCCCACGTTACGACACCTGGGTCCTGAATACTCTGTATGCTAAATTCCGGGGCACCGCTTCCGGTCGCCTGTCGACGTGGGATGGTGGTCCTGAACTGTGTGCCGTGCATCCACTTTGGTGTTTGGCGAATCATTCCTGTGATCCCAATGTGCGGTGGGAATGGGGTGGAGAGATCACTTTCCGAGCGCGGAATGACGAGGAGACTGCCGTCTGGACGAGAGCTACAGCTGATGGGCGTGTGGAGATGAAGGACGCCAAATCTGGGGGCATCGCGAAGGATGCGGAGATACTAAATCATTACTGCGACATTGGACTCCCGGTTGAAAAGCGAAGAGAATGGGCGTCCGGTGCCTTGGGTGGAAACTGTCGGTGTGATCGGTGTGTGTGGGAGGCGCATGAGATCTAAATGGATCTTGAGGCACTGGGAAGGTGTATACAGACTAGAGGTGGATTGTGTTGAGATACCCAATAGAATTGATTGACTATACTTGTGAACGTATGCATGGTAATCGTGGATTATCGCGGAAAGGGCCAATGAAATGTAAGGAATAGATAAAATACAGTGATTTTTGAAATTGTTCATGTGCCGTCCAGACCTCTCCAGCCCAATCATCGAAACTACCAATCGCGACAGATCATGAAATAAAATTGTGTGTTTTCCTCTCGGACATAAATGAATATGATTTGCTCATCCAGCAATTAACGTCGCCGAGGGGGAGTCTGGGAAAAGCTTTGTCTGCGGCGCGAATCATCTCTCCGTTTGGGAGGTGTATGAGAGACCAAGCGAGAAGACTGATCTCGTAATCGACGAGGGGATGCAGATGCAATGGACCGTCTGGCATCTTTGGATGCCGGGTCGCGAGAAGGTGTGACCGAGCGGGAAACTGATCGCGAGTAGCTGCGTCGACGTCGTGGCGGTGTGACAGACCGAGAAACAGAGCGCCTGGCACGATACGGGCTACGACTGGGAGTACGAGACTCAGAGCGAGCTCGAGTGCGCCGAGGGGGTGTACGCGAGACCGACCGTGAACGATCAGATGGCGTCCGGGATCGACTGTAGGATCCATCGCGGCGGCTACGACGGGGTGGAGATCGGGATCGGGTTCGAGAAGGTGTGTAGCTTCGACCGCGCGAAGATGGGGTAATAGAACGAGAGTAAGAACGGCCCCGATCCCGGGAAGGAGATCGAGAGTAAGAGTATGAGCGGGAGCGGGAGCGAGAGGGGGATCGGGATGAGCGTGGGGTGCATGTCGAGCATGATGCTGGGTGGGAGCGAACAGATGGCGAGCGGGATGGAGATCTCCCAGCTGGCAGCGCGGGCAGTGCGGGTTTCGGAGCATTCTTCAGGTGTTCTCTCATATCCTCCGTCAGAGCACCCATGCCGATACTAGTGAAGTAGTTGATGGAGAAGCGAGTGTATCGGGGGTTATCGGTCGGGAACAGTCCCTCGAAGCTTGGTCGCAAAATCTCATCCCGGAAACGAGACTGTAGAGTCGACAAGCCCATATGCTCCGCCAGGTCTTGGAACAAAATCTTGATGAAGATTCGACTGCTTGAAGTGGTCTCCTCCTCGTTCATATGGACAACAGACAGAACATGCCACCCAATAGCATCATTGCCGATCATATGGCCGAAGAAGCGCGCAATGTTGCGAAGGCGGTTCGTCTCGTAGCGATGGATGGTGTCATAGTATTTGGCGAAAGCTGCCTCGAACAGATCCGACCACAATCGGTTGATCTTGGCAAATCTCTCGCCGATCAGGCCGTAGAATTTGGAGAATGTGCGTTCTTGTGAGCAGCACTCGATGATCATTGAGGGTAGTTCTGGCTCCAATCCCGCTGGAAGGTTGATCTTCATCAGCTTGTGACAGCATTCTTCGAAGTCGATACTGGACATGATCGTCAGATAGATTGTCCGGCGCAAATTGACCAAGTCCGTATTGCTCTGATCCTTGATGTCCATCTTTTGTTCCTCCGCATCCGATTCCTCTTCCGAGCTCTCGTCATCATCATTCTCGTCGTCGTCCTCGTCGCTATCTTCGCCAAGGATTTCCGTCTTCAGTTTTTTGTAAGCTTCCTCGTGCAGCTCCCACTCCGAGTCAAACTTGAAAATGTTGAGGGTGTCCTGGGATTCGATTTCGTCGTCCAAGCCCAGACGATGTGTGATTTGATCCTCTTCTTCCACCAAATCGAGCTCCTCCTTGACAGCAGGATTATCCTTGTAACGGTCCTTGCGGACTTGGAAGAGCACCTCAATCATGTATTGTACTCGCTTATCTATATCAGCTTCGTGAAGGATGTTGCGGAACTGGTCGAAGACGGCGAGCGCAATTGGGGGGTTCATTTCTTCCAAATGGTGCCCAACTTCTCGAGTCAACCCCACTGCGATTTCCACGCTATCGTCCGTGGGCTTGTGGAGTAGAAGCAGCAGAATTTGAGCAGCAAGCATCTCGTGCGCGACTTGGGTATTGCAGAGGTGCGCGATAAAGGTAGTTGACGAAATACAGACTGCTTTGTCATTTCGCTTGAAGGCCTTGCGGAACTGAATAATCAACCGAGATAGCAGCAACTCTCCCACCTGGGGCAGCTTGGTGTTGACGATAGCGGTCATCGCAGCGTAGATGGGGGTAAAAGGCAAACTAGCCGCCTGCGCCTTCATTATAGAACGGCAGAATAAACCTCGACCTCGGACCAAATTCTCTCCAAAGAGCTCCGGCACAATATACTTGATATTGGACACATTGACCTTGTTGATGAGACCGTTGATCGATTTCTTGAGTGCCTCCCATGCCATGCGCTGATACTCCTTGCTGGTCTTGTCCGTGATCTGGGCCTGCAGTGCACGGAGACGTGCCGGGGGGATGTAGGTACCACCTGATCGCATGTTGAGCAGTTTCTCGTACTCGGCCTTTGCGGAGGCTTGTTTCTCTTCCTCAGTCAATGGCTTGCGGGCAGCTTCCTGCCGTTCATGTTCGCGAACCCGATCAGCGAGCTGGCGCTCCCGCTCGACCGCACGGGCGGAGCTGATTCCCGCAACATCTGCATCATCTCTGGAGGAATCCCCTGGTGGTGAGCGACGACGTTTCGGGGAGGGCGATCTCGAAGGCGGCGAACGCTTTCGCGAAGCTACGCTGGGTGATAGCGCGCCTGGAGGAGGAGTGGGCACTCGCACCGCCGACTGGAGAACACCGGGGTCGTCCATGGTGAGAGCCTCAGAAAAATCCGGAGGAGGAATTTCGGATGGCTAAGGAAGAGAGGGACGGGGGGGGGACCTCGGAGAGGCGTAGGGTTGAATGATCATGTCTTGACTCGGATCCGCGTTCCCAAAGTGAAAGCTCTTGGGTCACGTGCACGGAGGCCAAGTCAGCGCCATTGCGACTAAACGTGGAGCTCCTGGAATCAACAAGTGATCATCTCCAGGGCTCTCACTCTCTTCCCTTGGATCTCTTGAGCTCTCCCTTCAAGCGAGCACCCCTTTGATAACAATGGTTTGTTTGACTTAGCTTTATGTTTGCCTATCCTCCACTAACAAATGATGATAGCTGGGCCAACTCGTGGGTTCCGCCATGCTTTTGGCTGCTACCGCAATCTTTCTCTACTATACCGCCTGGACTCTGTTGATGGTATGTGTTTTGTCCCCGCCCGAAAACGAATTTATTCTGTACTAATTACCTCCTTTAATAGCCCTTCGTTGACCCCGGGCACCCTCTCCACGACCTCTTCCCTCCCCGTGTTTGGGCCATCCGTATCCCCGTTATTCTGGCCTTGTTGGGTTCCGCCGTGGTGGGCACCTTCATAGGCATTGTGATGATCAACAGCAACAAGAAGAAGGCCGCTAAGGCCAAGGCTGCTGCAAAGAAGAAGACTTGAGTTACAATTGGGAACGATCAGGGGAATCTACATCCACCATCATCGGCCCCACATGGGCTCTGTATCACTACCCACGCGGTCCCTGCTATTGCAGCCTCCAATCTAATAGAACAATCAAAAGAACCTTTCTCCTTATTTTTCACTTTGTCATTTCTCCATTTCCTCGACAGACCTTTACTATTCCTGCTTCCAGTATCGGTCATGGTGAAGAGAGCTGAGGCAAAACGTGGCGCTCATGGCTATCTCCGGAGTGTGATCGGTCAAACAGGAACGATCGCATGAATGATCAGCGTCAGCAACATACTCCCAAGGTTAAAATCCGCGTCACTAAGCCCCGTGACCCCGGGTCCCCGATTCTCCACCATACATACCAGCTTTAGCTGTCCATCCTTGGATTTCAGGTATAACGGCTATGATCGGAAGCAATGACGAGTTCCATGGATTTACAGTGGCCATTGCTTAGATAAGGATGTGGTCAACCCTGGAATTTTTTATGGCAATAACCTTGGATTTGAGTTGTAATCAATAGTCATAGTTGAAAAGGGGCCACCTGGGTCGCCCGGCTGAACAGCGAGGGGTCATTTGGTCACGGTTCTGACTCAGGCACCGCGTTTACTTCCCCCGCTTTCATCGGTTTTGTCCCTTCTTTCTACACCCAACTTGGGATCAAATCAAACGTGTCATATAATTATTTAGACCCTTTCCTCGTGCACTGACTGGAATTATTTCCAGTGAGTGCTGTGTTCCTTGTCCACGCATATCACTCTTTATCAGCTTCCCCGCGTATCCAGAGTGAGCTCCGCTCTAGATACGCCTCGGTCCCTCTAAACACTCCTCGACATTCGATCAACTCGACCGACTGTTATCATCCACCCGAATCAACTTAATCAGTGAGTCCGATATGATTTGTGTAGCATTTTACCAGTCCTTTACCTTCCGGTGCAGCTGGAAAGTACAACAGAATGGCTGTGAATTGTTCTGACTGGTAGCACATAGAACTGAACCCCTCCTTTGAACCTTTCTAGCTTATCTTTCACGACACGATCGGCAACAGACCGGTCATTCTCCGTTCTCAGACCTCCTCAAAGGTCCTGAGAGCGGCTTCCTCTGCTTTGAACCGTCCAGTGTCTCCTTGAGGCACACTCCAGTTGAATGCCCCCGGCCGCACCTGACGATCTGATCCGACAGCAGAGCCAGTCGCTAGAAGACGAGACATCCTTCGGTCCTGGTCAGATCCGCATCATTCCAGAGCATGAGTCAAGTGGTAGCAAAGGCAAAAAGAAGAAAAATAGCAAAAAGGCCAAGGCCGCGGCCAAGGCTTTGACGGAGACAGAGACTCCTCCAGACGACGTGTATGTGGCCCTTCGAATCCCTCATTTCGACCTTCGAAACAATACTAACGTGACAATTCAGGGTTCAGCCCTCGGAGCCTCCACCGGCAGAGCCATCTTCCTGTCCAGATCCCCTTCTGGATCACCATGTCCCACCCACCGTGACATCGCCCGTCCTCGACGTGCTCGGGTCAATGAGAGACAACGTCGACACTGATCTTAACAGCCGCACTGACACATGGGCTCAATCTGTACCTTTTGGAAAAAGTCCTCCAACGGATCTGATGGATGGCGAGGTTCCTCAAGAATCCACTCTCAACTTTCCCACTATCCAAGAACGAGGTGGCTTTAGCCAACCTTCTTCGGCATCTCCCCCAACGCGGCTTCGACCATTCAGCTACAGTAGTGGGTACCGAACCAATATGCAGTCCCGGCAGCAGTCTGTGGATCGACGCAAGAGTCACTCCTATGGAAGTCCAATGAGTAATCTTCCGCCCCCACCTCACCTGCCTCAAGCCCATTTCTACGGCGCACCAGAAATCGATATTCCTTCCCACGCCCGTCCGGTGGTGGATGGCGCTTACTCGTTCTGTGGATTTGATACTCTTCCAAATCTGTCAAAGGCATCACGCGGTGTCTTGAATGTTCTGGTGGTAGGAATAGACAGTGGAGTGGAAGTCCAGGTGATTGAAGACCATCGGACACGGCTCATCGGGCAGATCACTGGCCTCAATGGTCGGGTTCTCGAAGCAAAGATTGTGCCGAGTCACGCCTCCACGGAGTCACCTGCATCTACTCAGGCTCACGTGGTCATCATTGTTCACGGACCGTTAGCACCGAATGACGAAGACGGTCGTGTTTCCTCTGCGGGCTCTGAGATCAATGAAGCGCCTCCGTCCATGACACGTGGTCCTTCGAGTGACAGACGTCGTCCTCGAGATGATATATCGTTCTATCAAACGCGAGTCGAGGTTTATTCTCTCCGATCTGGAGATCATGTTGCAACGCTATTTGCCAGTAACCCTATACCGTCTTTGGAGAACATTCCCGGTCTTCCTTCCTTGGCACCCTCGCCTATGGGTAGTTTGAAGCTCATGACTAGTGGAAACCATGTTATTGTAGCTTCTGGTATCAGTGGAGAAGTTTATGTGTACAGGCAAACCTCTTTGGGGTCCTATCAGTGCTTGGGGAAAACCTGGACAAATATACAGACCGGGGAAAATCGGCGATACTCCACCTCTTCTAGCTCAACAGACCCGGATGGCTCTCACAATGACCTGCCCCGCACGTCGTTGTCTGAGCGTCCTATCCTAGCATTGCAGGGGAGATGGTTAGCAATTGTTCCTCCATCTTCCTCGTACAGGGGATCTATTCAAGGAATAGTCCCTACAAATTTGACACATGAACGAGCTCAAGGACTTGAGACTCGCAGCCCTCCTACTATGCCCTCCGTGAATTGTGCAACGGATGTTGGCGAAGGCGAGAGCTTTCTCGACAAGGTTGCCAGAGGTGTCACGCAAGAGCTTGTCAAAGGTGCTCGTTGGATGGGAGATCAAGGAATGCAAGCATGGAATACTTACTGGAATAACCAGAATTCGGCTGGGACGCTCGCTCAACGCCCAGGTCGAGGCACAGATTCCCCTGCCTCGGGATATGGAGTTTTCCCGCCAACGCATGCCCAGGATACGCAATCTACCGCCTCTCCTGCCCCCGAAGTGGTTTCTATTATTGATTTGCAGCGCTTTGATGATGGCATGGACCTGAAGACGGCTTCCCTACACCCTGTGGCAACCTTTCAGGCGCCTAATGGCTGCAGCTTTCTCTCCCTATCGCCTAATGGACTGATGCTTTTCACCGCTAGTAAGAAAGGCGACGTCCAATACGTCTGGGATCTAATGCAGCTTAAGAATTGCCGAGCAATGGCGTTCATGGCTGATGATCTAACTGATCAAAGCCCGAATGTGCGTCAGGTAGCACGATACGCTCGGTTGACCACATCAAGCATTGTGGATGTGATATGGACCGCACCAGTGGGCGATCGATTAGCCATCATTACGCGTAAAGGGACTGTCCATGTGTTTGACCTCCCCCGGAGTGCGTTTCAATGGCCTCCTTTCCGCCGAGTTCGCCCCGTACCCAAAAAGTCTCCGACCATTGACCCAACGAGTGAGGAGATGTCAGGACAAGCGACCGGTGGGAATCCGTTGTCAGCAGCCATGAAGTTGGTCGGAGGGAAGACTCAACCCTTCTTCTCCGCTGTTCGAGGGCGTGTTCCTTCAACTAGCGGCACTGCATTCCCGAACATTAGCGGATTCGCTCTGCCAACCGCAGCTGGCATCAAGGACGGAAAGGTCGTTGCAGCCGGGCTCAGCAAATCTATGGGAGCTGCGGCCACTGGTACTGTTCACACCCTTCGACATGTGGGGGAAAATCGACTTCACCTGACGGGACTCGCACGAGACCCAGCCCCGTCCCGTGTGATTTGGATCAGTAATAAAGGCCAGATCTATTTGGGCTTGGTGGATGATGGCAATTTCAAGTTATACCGCCTCAAGCGAGGTCCGACTAGCCACAAAAACCGTCAATTTCATTCTGTGATCGGCGGTAAAGAGAGACAATACAAGCTACCTGCTAGTCTGCAATCCCCCTGTGGACCTGCGCCTCTCAAAGCATACGATCCGGAATTAGCTGTCAAGGCAACGCTTCTTTTGCCATCTGCTAGCGCTCACCCCTCTAGCTCGAATGGGCCCTTCTGTCAGCCCCTCTCTCAGGCGGAGATAGAGACGAACACGCCATACCAACCTTTCCATACCGATCAGCGGGTTGGCTTACATGTTTATTCTACCCGTGGCACTGAGGCAGATCCAACCATGGCTGACTCTGGTAAACAATGGGTCTTTGGGGGCGAAATCCCGACTACTAAAGTACATGTGAGATCGTACAGCAATAGTGCCAGTGACAATGCAGACGATGAAGATGACTCTGCTGTCCATGGACATTCATTTGGCGCTGGTGGTGATATAGAGAATCTCATCAGTCTGACCAATAGTACCGGTCACGTTGAGGAGGTCGTTATTACCACTCGACGAAAGAAGAAAACATCAGCGCCCCTGAAAGCCGACGATGGCTTCTTTGAAGATGATTGTGAGGTTCTGGACTTTGCTCGAGACCGAGTCTGACCTCGAGTTCTATATCTCGATTTCCGCTCTTCCAATATCTCTTTTCTTCTGGTGATTTAGAACTTTGTGCTTTACGAGTATGGCGTTGGAGAACTACACCCGGAGTTACTGCTTATTATTTCTTCCCCTTTTGTCGCTTGATCAGATTGCATCAGATGGATTTCTAAACCCCGGATTGTCTGCCTGTTCGCTCTGTCTCGCGGCCTTTTTGGGGTTTTCCACTTGCTCACACAGAAACCCAAATACCCAGACTTGTACTTATTTTGTGATTGCATTGTGATAGACTGGAGGATTTGCGTCATTTTGATGTTGGAATGTGCCTTGCCGTTCTCTACTTCCTGGTTCTGGTTTCTTTGCCATGGCCTATCACTCCTTCTAGGTCGGGATTAGCTATGCACATCAATATAAACTCAGTCCCTCTTGAGGGTCCATATTCAACATAGACCAGACTGTCCTGTGTTTCCTCGACTCTCTCTAAGCTGCCTCCGCCATCTCCTCTTCCCACCATCCCTCGAAGACTTTCAATCTCTCTGTCCGCACTCGAGCCATCTTCCTGCCCGTCGTCGTTTTCATCATGCCCTCTATTTTCACCAACTTGTCTTCGAAATGTTCAATTGCATTATTCATGACCCACCCGCCTTCTCCAGCAAATTTCTTTCCTTGCGCCCCCAAAAAGGTAAAACAACGCCCAATGCCAATAGCCCCTATCGCGTCCAGTCGATCGGCATCTTGCACAATTGCCAGCTCTACCAAGCCCTCTTGATCTATCAGTCGTCGGATCACGGAGGGATCCTTGCGTTCTGTGGAATACGATACATGAGAGACGATAGTCTGTACTCTGGAGGCTAGGTCTGCGGGTGCACCACGCTGCAATAGTGCATGTTCGACCATTGTCTTTGGATCCAAAGACGCTGCCACGGCTGTATCCGTCGACATGTTTGGCAAGTACTTTCGATCCCCGATATCATGAAGCAGGGCAGCAAGCTTCACCACAGTGCCGGAGTACTGTGCTTGTGGGTCTAGCTGGCGTTCTGCGTCCAGGATTTTGAGAGCCAGTTTGACCACCCGATGAACATGGGGCGGGTTGTGGGAAGGGTCATGGCCCGACATACACGTATCCACGAAAGTGGACATTTCGTTGTATAAACTCTCAAATTGCGGGCTGGATACTGACATGCTGGGAGTTGCTGCCATGATTCTTTGGTGGGTTTTGTGTTTAGGCCTTCGACAATCCAATTGGGACTTGACTCCGATTCAATGGAATTCCGATGTTTTGTTCATGAGGGAGCGGAGAAAGTCAATTTTTTTTTAAACAAACGGAGCGTTGGCGGTGAAGTGCGTCTTATCTGCCGGAGATCTAGATTTACTCACAAGGTCTCCCTGCATCGACCTTACTAACGCAGTGCACATTGAAATTTCCAATAGTTCCATGCGGGGCTGTGGGGTATGATCTGCATATGATGCACCTTGTTTGTTTACGTCTTGTTACAGCCTCACCGGGCTTGGACCCCAAAGGTAAAGTTTATGGAAATTTATTGCTGGCCCTCGTATTCAAGTGTAGTTCCAGAAAAGAGTATCACATATATTGAAATAGAAAATGGGACGCAAACAAAGGGCACATGGAGGGCAGTAAGACCAGAGACTAAACATCTCCATCATGCGAGCTCGGCTTGAAATGGCTCACAAAGCAAAAGCAGCGATCACCAAGCCAAAGATACTGACGCTCAAAGCACTGATCTGAATGTTGACAGCCGCATTGGTGGTGTGCGCAGCACTAGTGGGACTGGACGAACCACTTTCCTTGGAGGCTGCGAGACTAAATGTGAGCTTCCTTGATCCCAAATTCCGGAAGAATCTTTCACGTACATATGCTGTCCGAATTGGCAGTGGTATCAGTCTGGGTAGTATGGGTGCCCGAAGCAGAGATGCCAGAGGCAATTGTATCAGAAGAAGTGGTTGTGAAGGCAGTAGTGCTAGAAAAGGTGGTGGTGCCAGAAGTAGTAGTGCTAGAAGCAGTGGCACCGGACGAAGTAGTTGTAGCGGCGACACCGGCGGCGGGGAGGTAGTGAGTGTCGAAGCAACGCTGCTCACAGTCGGCATACTTCTGGGTGTCGGCTGGGGAGCCAGTGCCCTGAGGGCATGCGGCGACACAATCATGGGTGTCATCAACCTGACTCTCACTGGGGCAAGGCACCTGATAGCACTTGGCGATGCAGCAACTGTCACGGGGATCACCTAAGGAAGGCAGTATTAGAAGAGACTTGTTCTCAATGCGATGAACAAAAAGAAAAGCTTACATGTTTTGGCACACTGCTCTTTGGCACCTGTATCCGCTGCAGCTACGAGAGCTAGCAGGCCACAAAAGAAGATAAGAATCAGCTTCATTTTGAAACGAGGGACGTGAAGAAGTATTGATAGTTGAGAAGGTGAGAAGTTGAAAACGAGAGGTAGCGACTGAGTTGGGGAAACGAGCGTATGGAGAAGAGGAGGAAAGAATGTCAGCAACGCGAGCTTAAATACTACGTTAGAAACACTCGGGCTATTTCTGCTACAATCACAAGCCTACGTGCTATCTAATTAAACCGAGTTCAATTCCCCAGAACGTAAAGGAAATTAGACACGCTTCTCATTGGCCCTGTCTCACATGGGATATCTGAATTGCTTTATTTGTGGGAAGATTGACCTTGCTTGGAGAATCAAGGGTTATGAGTCTCTGATGTTCGTTTGGTTTGTCCGTGATCAAGGGGGGTCTGTTGAACCCTTCCTGACTGAGCTAATAATACCTAGTGTATCCCGCAAGGGATCCTTTTATATCATCAGCTACGAAGGCGATACAAACTTGGAAAGCTTGGATTATGAAAATAGCATTGCCAAGTCTCACATTAACAGCACATGCTCCATAAATCAAGTGTTGCACGTCAAAAATCCAAGCTCTGTAGGCATCTAACCGTCCAGGTGCGCCACATTTAAGATTCATGCATACTGTACATCTAAGGTCAAAAGCAAAGGTCGGCTATAGGTGACATATAAACCTAGGCCTCGAATCATCAGAGTTCGTTACACTTTGAACCTTAGGGTAATCAGATACCTAGTGGAAGATTCGTGTACAGTAATAGAAAATCCCAAGGTTGTCGTTGAGCTATTTGGGTCGCTGAAATATATAAGACCGATACCCGAGCACAGCGTCGCACTTGACAGGCCTCGAATCAAATAATTATTGGATGATAACATTAATGGTTAGGTTGATGTTTGCAATACTTAGTTCAAGAATAATTTCATTGCAAGGGCTTGATCAATACAAATGAATCCTCCACGTAGACATCTCGCAATTATCAAATTGTATGCAAGGTGGATCCGTGATATAGATCGCTTACTGCAACAGCCGCCTCAGCACGGCGCACGCACCTCCTCCCATCAACATCCGCGAGCATCATCAATAGACAAACCTCCCATTCCCTCTCCCACCATGGCTGATGCACAGTTTGACAGCGCGCTGTAAGTAATATGCACATGTTCGATATTTCATTTATATGTTTCTCCTGAGGACATAGTCTACAAGCGACCCAAGTTCCTCCGCAATCCGATCCCCAATAGCAACCCCGCCCCATGCACTGAGCTGACCACTTTCCTTCCAGCGACCTCCTCCGCCGTCTGAACCCGCATGATACCAAGGCCAACCTCCAGGCCATCACAACAATTGTACCTGATCTTACTGAAGATCTCCTCTCCTCTGTAGACCAGCCTTTGGAGATTCGCCAATGCAAGCAGTCCAACCGGGATTACCTTCTCTGTGACTACAACCGTGACGGAGATAGCTACCGATCACCATGGAGCAATGAATTTGATCCCCCGCTGGAGGATGGCACTGTCCCCAGTGAGCGTGTGCGCAAGCTGGAGGTCGCGGCCAATGACGCCTTTGATGTTTACCGGGAGCTCTACTACGAGGGTGGTGTCGGAAGTGTGTACTTTTGGGACCTGGATGATGGATTCGCTGGGGTGATCCTTCTGAAAAAGGGTATGTTCTTTCTCGGACGGTGATAGAAACATGCCAAAGCAGTGGTAGCTAATGATTGCATCTCCCAGGGGTAACGCCCGGTTCCCAGAGCTCGGGCGCCTGGGACAGCATCCACGTCTTCGAGGCCACCGATCGGGCTCGCATGTCCCACTACAAACTGACCAGCACAGTCATCCTTCACCTATCCAACGAAAGTCCGGCCCTCGGCGAGATGGACCTGAGCGGCAACATGACTCGCCAGATTGAAGTGGATCTGCCCGTGGAATCGGATGCCAGCCACGTCGCAAATGTGGGCAGACTAGTGGAGGATATGGAGTTGAAGATGCGAAATTTGCTACGTACGTCCTTTTCATTCATGGATGAAACGGTGGTCATTGGCTGACATTACTGTGATTTTTCAGAGGAGGTTTACTTTGGCAAGGCTAAGGATGTTGTTGGCGAGCTTCGGAGTGAGTGGTCCTCCTACAATGGTTGCAATCCTGTGCTAATGTGATCATCTATTAGGCCTTGCACCACTTTCGGAGACAAATCGGGACCGCGCAACACAATTGGAGATGATCAAGTCCATGCAGAAATAGAACTTTTCTTGCAATCTTGACACCACAAATGGCTCTGGGAGCCCGTGATAAACGTCTCATCGGTCTTTCTTTAGTTGTCTTTGCATATCTTTACTCTCATCAATATGTTCGCTCTGTCATATACGAATCAGCTCGATTCCATCTCTATATAGTAAGCGCTCTTCCAGCGCATATTGCAGCTGTGATCCTGCCTCATCTCTCGTGCCATTACCGTTTGGAATTTGGGGGGTATCAAAGTAAATCGCAAATTCAACCCTACTCCTTTCTCATAACCCAAAAGCGGATACACCTGGATTAATCGACCTCCATCTGCTCTGCATTCCGACTTGGCTTGTCAGAGCGCTGCGAGCCCGAAGACCCGTCCAATTGCTCAACAAACTGCCGTGCCGATGCCCACAGCTCTGCCTCTTTATCTTTCCCGACGGTGTCCTTCCGACTGTTTAACCAACTAATGTCAAGAGGGTTGGCGGCGGCGCCCGATCCAGCGCTAGCTCCAGCTCCACCCGCACCTGCGCCGGTCGCATCGCCTGTGCGAGAATTTGTTTCAGGTCTCAATACTGAAGCTTCTTCCAGAGCGTGGGCCTGGCGTCGGAGACGCACGTCAATGGAGGATAGGAGGGCGAAGTACTGTGCAGTGGCTTCTTTGAATTGGGTCTTGTGTGATTCGAGAGAGCCGTTGTGGAGGGGTGCAGATGAGTCTGGTTTCATATTCGTTAGAGCTTGAATCCCAAGCCCAGCGGAATGGATCAATTTGGCAACGTCCTTCAATCCCGCAGCCTGGTTAGTATGCCATTTTCGAGCTCGGGGAAGCTTGTGTACCTGGTCAATATCATTCAGTTGACGGATACGATCCGCAGAGCTAAATGTTTGGGTCTGTGTTGGGTCCGCCATGTTTTGCTGTTAAAAACATCCACAGAGAGACTGGGTGTATTTGCCTCTTTGCAGGAATGTCCAGGTCCGATTCAACGCTTGATTGCAAATGAAGCAATTAAGGTGAAGCTGGAAGCATCACGTGGAGAATCTGGGGGAGGAAGGCGGTGGAATAGTGCCAGATGCGGCGTTCCGATCCATTGGGATATCAAAATCACTCCTCGTTGTACCTCTTCATCACGACCTCGTGCTGTGTCATCTCCTTCACTCAATTTATAGCTATACATGTTCTATCTGAGAAACGATCTTCCTTACACCCACCTTCCACTGGCACCCATCCTATTTGATCACCATGTCTGCGCCTGGCGGCGCCCCTAGCCCTGTACCGCGCAGCGGCAGTATGGGCCCTGGTGCAAATGGCAGCGGAATGCCCATGAACTCCCAGCAACCTTTGTCTGGTCCACCAGTGCATCCCCCACCAACTCCAGGCCCACCTCCTCCGCAGAGTGGTGCCATGTCTCAACAAAACCTGAACCAAATTGTGAGTAACATCTCGTATACAATCTGCATCCAGTCTACCAGGAGGTTGGATTGCGTCTTATGCTTTTCTTGCCCATGATGATTGAAATTTATCGATTCCATCATCTCTATCGTCTTCCGTCTTCACCATGTACACGTTCTCTTTCTTGGGAATATGAGCTTCAATCCCATTAAGCCAGGCCCCTTCCAGACAGTGTGGTGTCTATGAGATTGCGCTAGTGACGGATGTCATTTTCCCTATGAGGAGTGAAGCTTTGTTTATAAACGAAGTATAGGATGCTGGAAAGAGACGAAGCGTGTCTTCTGGCCACACCCTTTTAGAATAGGGTATCATATGGCTTCGTGATTTGACGCAACGCGCCTCACAATTTCGATCTTCGCATTTCCTCTCACTTTCCTCTCTTCATGTTTTTTTTTTTCAGTCATCTTTTTGTTATTTTTCCCTTTTTCTCATCCTTATCCCCATTTCACCCAAAGTCATCACATTATCATCATCGCCTTGCCAAGTTATGGCTCGAAAGTCCCAAAAGAAAGGTCGCCAGGACGTGCCAAAGGGCGAAAAGGGCAAAAAGGGCACTGCTGCACTCCCAATATACCAGACCGCTGTTGAGGATGAGTCCTCGCAGCCCGAGCAGCAGTCACAGCCATCACAGCCCTTGCAGTCCTCGCGGCCCGAGAAGACAGAGACCAATCTGGCCGTGGGGCTCCAGTCTACTCTGACGACTTTCTTGGCCGAAACTCCCTTTGGAAGCGAGACTGTCTGTTCCGTGGTTTTTTGTCACGTCTGAGCTGCCTAGCTAATTTCGTGGTTCTATGCAGGTCATTGATTATTTAGCCAAGAAAGGCTATAGCCGCACAGAGGCCATGCTCCGGATGGAATCGGCGAACCAAGAGATCGATGGTCGACCCCTCCCTCCTCTTGGCGAAGATGCTCGCCCCAAGTTTAAGCAGGGATTCGGTAAGTAGTCTTTAGCACCTCACACGGCATAACGGCATTCTAACGCGCTATCTAGATCTTCTGAAGACATGGGTTGAGGAAAACCTCGATCTTTACAAGGTCAGTAACATTCAAGCCCTCTAGTCAAACGCTGTGCTGATAGCAATCTAGCCGGAACTCCGTCGAGTGCTGTGGCCACTCTTTGTTTATTCCTTCTTGAACATGATCACCTCTTTCTACCCACAAGATGCGAAGCAATTCTTCGAGACAAACAAGAACATGTTTCTGCCAGAACATACGGATGACATTCGGGTCTTCGAACCCATCAGTCTCCCAGAGCATGTCCAGGCCAATTCAGTAGCCAAACTCTACCGCACTAACAAGTACCGCATTGTCCTCAGCAATCCTGCATACACCAATCTTCTGCAGTTCCTTGAAAGCAAGGAAAAAGAAGGAGGATCGGTGATGAACGCAATTCTGAGCAGCTTCTGCACTGTCAAGACCATGGACCGCGCCGCCGATGATAGGTTCAGTTTTGCTACGATGCTCGGTCAGATCGGAGCAGGCCAGTCTTTTCCTGCCGAGGACGAGGGTATCCCCGGTCATCATCCCGGCTCGGCTTACACTGGTGATAATCCAGCCATGGCAGGTACTCTGCCTCGACTTCGTCTCGGAAAGATGCCAATGGAACCAGCTTTGGAGGAAGACGTGCGTGCTGAACTCGCCGACGAGGATGCCAAGGAAGCTCCTGTTCCCGGGCGTAACACTCTTGTTCAAGAGTTCGATCAGATGATCAAGAAGGAAGAAGATGACGAAGCCCCCACCCGCGCGGACATCCCTTTTCCCCCTTCAACTGCTCGGGACGTGCGCATGGAGGTTATGAAAGTCAAGGAAAACCGCGATCGGTACAAGATCGAGGGACGCACTGGTGGCGTGGGCCCTGGTGTTAGCGTGTGCATGTTCACTTTCCACAACACTTATGACGGGTGAGTCCCCTAGCCTCGATTTGATGTGCCTAAAATGCTGACAGATCCGCAGGGCAAACTGCCTTGACTTTTCCGACGACAATGTTCTCGTGGCTGCCGGGTTCGAACAGTCATATATTCGTGTCTGGACTCTCGATGGCAACAATATTGAAGCCGCGTACCCTGAAATGGATGACCAACCCCCTGCTAATTCCCGTCGCTTGATTGGCCACTCCGGCCCTGTTTATGCGGTAGCCTTCCAACCCTCAGCTACGCGCGCCGAGAACGTGGACCCTGATGACTATGTGCCTACCAATGCCCGTTTCTTGCTCTCGTCTTCTGCGGACAAGACCATTCGACTTTGGTCTCTTGATACCTGGCAATGCATGGTTGTTTACAAGGGTCACGATCGACCTGTCTGGGACTTGTGTTGGGGACCATTTGGTCACTATTTCGTTTCAGGTGGGTCTGACCGGACAGCCCGCCTCTGGGTTACAGATCATATTCGTCAGCAGCGCATCTTTGTTGGCCACGAGCAGGATGTGGATTGCGTGTGCTTCCACCCCAACTCTGCGTACATCTTCACTGCTAGCTGTGATCACACGGTTCGGATGTGGGCCGTCACTACCGGAAACGCGGTGCGTATGTTTACCGGTCATACTGGCAACATCACCGCCATGGAGTGCAGTCGCGACGGGAAGATCCTTGCCTCTGCCGATGATCAGGGCTCGATTTTCCTGTGGGATCTGGCCCCTGGACGACTGCTGAAACGTATGCGTGGACACGGAAAGGGCGGGATCTGGTCTCTCAGCTGGAGTGTCGAGTCGACTGTGCTCGTTTCGGGTGGTGCGGACGGAACTGTTCGGATTTGGGACGTGACTGGCCCCCAAGACGCGAACCAAGCTCGGGCGGTTGGCGAAGGCTCTGGTGCTGCCAAGATCGATCCCAGTAATGCCCCTGCGGGGACCGCGGCTCAGAGCAAGAAGAAGAAGGGCAAGGATGTCGTGGTGACTCCAGATCAAATCAGTGCCTTCCCGACCAAGAAGACCGCCGTGTACAAAGTCAAGTTCACCAACATGAATCTGGTTGTGGCTGGAGGTGCATACCTCCCCTAGAACGGGCCTCTCGGGCTTCTCGACCACGCGGTTCCGTCGTCCCACACATCTATTTTATTCGGCGCAAATACCCCCGGTTCTTCACTGCATATCTTCTTTAATTTGCCTGAGCTTTCCCTTCTTTGATATCGAATGTTTCGTTGTCTCTTCCGGAATTTCATTGGCGTTCATGGTTGACGGTGGTGCGGATTCTCCACATTGGTATTGTTCAAAAGCCCTTGCATATCTTACCATGGCACCTAATGGTTGCCAACCCCTATGATGACCTCCAAAATGTATTTCTTACCCCAATATTTGCAAGTTGCTCCAAGTTTGAGCGATATGTAAGTTCCAGTGACTATCTATTTAAGCCATTTCAGAATGTTCAGACAGTATGACTACCGGCTCCCGTTGTCAAACAGCGGTGGATGTAATGTTCGTGTCTGTCAGATTATTCTCTATAATTGACCTTGACTTAGCCCCAAAGGACTGGCTTGATAACAATATTAAACTACAGATTGGGTAGGCGACCTCATTGATCGTCGGGTATACAATGCGACTTTGACTACCAATCCATTCCTCGATATGTGGACTAGTTATCACATTCGTATCTACTTGAATTGTCCATTGATGGTAGCGCCGATCCCTTTCTTCATTGCAGCGGCTGCTTGCATATCCCCTACTTTTGGTGGCAGCACCAAGGCACTGCGATCATTTCGTTTGTAAAAGTCGGCCAGTACCTGCGCCGTCTTGGCCGGTTGATCCTCTTGCACAAAATGGCCTGCTTCAGGAAAGACTTGCAGTTGGTATTTCCCTGTCGGGCAAGTTAGCAGGGACTCTTCCACAGGGCAAAAGCGCAGATAGTTGGATACCTTGCATTTGTCCAATCATGAGTTCTTTATCCAGCCTGTCTGTTCCTGCCAGGAGCAAGAGTTTTCCTCCTCGCGCCTCGAGAAACTTTTTACTCAAGCCAATAAACCAATTTTCCCAGAATGGTTTGGTCGCGGATAGATTGGTGCGCCAGACCCAAGGCCTGGAGGGATCAGCAGGTTGGGCTTCTTCATATATCAAAGAAGGGACAGAAGCCCGGGCAGAGGCGGTGTTTCGAATTGTTCGAGATCGGGTGCTGCAACTCGCATGATTTAGTGATTTGTCTAATTTGAATACGGAGAATGAAGAGAAAGGGATGCATACTGCCATTCAATTCCCGATTCCAGGGAGGGAAACCGGGTTGGTCGGGCGAGGAGGTATTTTTCCATGCTTTGGAGGGCATCCATAGCGGAACCTACATATTGATTAGGTCCAGAGATATCTGATTGTTTGCCAAGCAGAGGACTCACCCTCAACAACATCCAACACCGCATGAGCCAAGACCTTAGGGCCCAGCTCACCATTTTTCGCCACATCAGTAATGACAGCACCGCCAAGACTGTGACCCACGAGGACAATATCTGGCAATTGTTCCCATTTCATTCGCGCTTGGGTTTTGCGAACCGCATGCACGAGGTCCTTGCTCAAGGTTTCGAGGCTCAAATCCAATTCAATCTGACCTTCAGCTTCAGCTTGCGTAGCTGCTGCGATGGAAGGATTCTGATCATCAAAATCTGCCGGGTTAGACGTCATCGTTGTACGGCCATGTCCTCTTGCATCAATGGATAGGATTCCAGCCTCCGGAAGAATTTTCCGGATCTCCCCCGCGCATGTTGCGAATGAGAGGCCCGAAGAGCCTGCACCGTGATGCATCACGAAGAGTGGCCCAGAGTGACGTGGGGGAGTTAGGTAAACATGATGGATGATATGAAGATTTTCTGCTTCCTGGGGTAAGAATAGCTCCTGCTCAAAGAAGTCCGTCCACGCCAGTGATTGGGTTGATTGTCTGAAGGCAAATGTTAGCTAGTCCCGTCCAGACGCTTTGCTCTGAACTTCAGAGTTCCAGACATGCTCAAGGTATCCAAGCATCCTGCAACAAAACGTCAAAAAGCCAAAGAATAGAATAAAAATAAAAAATAAAAATAAAAACAAATGTAAACACAGAGCTGGAAGGTAGACTGACGGATTTCTTGTTCGGGCGAATAAATGTCTTGTCGGCGAAGGCACCAGCGTGCCTGTGGATGATAATGAGGAGGCTGAAGAGCTATCCTCATCTCGACTCTCATTGGGCATACCAATTGGGTCTGTTAGTGGTGCCTCTGGAGGTAACATGGCCAATCTGGATCTGACAAAGGATCTCTGGAGCTCGCTCATCGAGGGTGCGGGGCGAAGGACCCGAAGTCACAACTGCGGACTTGGGGTTTTGTAGGAAGAATCAGCCACGAAATGTAGTCCAAGTCGAGATTTGTGATGGCGAAAATACCTGGGGGCATCACTGTCCCCACTTGAATATTGAAAGGATGTAGACTGGGCGATTCATGCACGCCTTAGTTGGCTGGCTTAATTGAGAGCGCGACCATGCTGACTAAGAACCGGGACCTACGGTGAATACTTTAAGAGTCGCAACTTTGTATCTCGTTGCATGTCAGTCTTTCTACAATGGGCTTCAGGGCTTCTGCATGAAGGAGAATGTATAATCTGCTAATTACCCTACCCAAAGAATCCCTCTTCCCCGGAACAAGTAGTCTCTCTTATCTGATTCTCAGGGTCTTATTGGTGTTGTGTCCTCGATTCTATTGGCGTGGGGGAAAGGGCACCCGACTATGTATACACATCTTGGGACGGACTCCATCACTTGTATACAGTGACACTGTGTAAAAAATTGACTGTCTTGGAACGTAGCAGGAGCAGGCACCTTGAGTCAGGTTTCCACTCCATTCAAGGCCGCTGCTCGAACATGAAAATATTCTTCAGGAAAGAATCAGGATAAAAGGGTGGAAAGGGCGATTTGAAATGCGATAACAGCAGAGAGTAAAGGTTTCAAATGACGACGTGAGCCCTCCTTTGTCCAACGCCCTTTTCCTGTTCAGACTTGGATACGTCGAATGCATGACGTCATATTAAGGTTGTGGTGATCCCCCATACATCTATGGAGTTCCTGCGGGGGAAATCTTTCACCCAGAATTAATTTGAGAAAGCCCAGGCGTTGACGATGTCAAAGATGGCTTCCATATGGGGCCACAAAAATGACTATGCAGGCCACTCGCGTCAAGGTCCTGAGCGCGAGGATGACCAGAATGCGGGTGACCCAACACCTCACCCAACTGAGCGCACAAGATTGCTACCACCGGAGAACGTTCAGGGGTATCTGAGCCCTGACGATCCAGCTGTAAGTTGATGCATCGGAATATGAGTTACCCAGGGTCTAACCGGAGACATAAGGTATCACCTTATAATATATGGAGCGTGCGCGCTTTGCGTGCCGTGTCCCTTCTAGGTTTGGCCATCAGCTTTGTATGGTGGACATTTCTGTTAGTGTCCATCTTCGTTAGCCCGCCGTTGATGCACACTCGTGGCTCGGGATTTTTCGCATTTTCATACGTCACTCTCGCAACTGGATACTTGATGCTCGGCCTGCTTTTCTTCGCAGTACCTTCCAAGCCAATGACCATATGGGGAAGCGTTCTGACCGTATTACTTCTGGTGAATATGATAGTAATTCTGGCAGTGCCACGAATTCGACTTGAAGAAGGATGGGTGGGTATTGCATCCGTTGCCTGGGCATCTCTTATTTCCCTGTATCAAGTCATCCAGAACCGAGCTGTGGCTTGGGGCAAACGGGAAGAGGAAGAGAGACTCACCGGCCGTGAAGAGACCCGCCGTTCCCTGCGGGAGTGGCTGGCTGTGCTGGTCGAGATGGTCGTCCTGGTTGTCATGACCATCGCCACGGTCTTGTTCACTGCAACATTGACTCTTCGTTCCCGTGATGTATCACTTGAGCCTGCTGGTCAGCGTTATTCCGTTCATGGTGACGCATACCAAGTTCATCTGGCATGTGTGGGAAACCATACTGCAGAAAGTGCCGATGAACCTACCATATTACTCGAGGGTGACTATGGACCGGTGGAACACGGATTGCAACCGTTCATTGACGATGCATACCGTCATGGGGCTATAAGTCGATATTGCTACTGGGATCGACCAGGGCTAGGCTGGTCAGACAATGCTCCATCGCCACATTCAGCAGGCATGGCTGTAGATGCCCTCTCTGAGGCCTTGGCTTTGGCAGATGAGTCTGGCCCATGGGTTGTTGTCTCTGCTGGAGTCGGCAGTTTATATTCTCGACTCTTTGCAAGCCGCCGTCTTCTTGAAGTGAGCGGTATTTTCCTGATCGATCCCCTGCACGAAGCCTACTTAGATGACCTTGGAAAGCCAAGTCGAGGCTTTTTCCTGTGGCTTCGCGGTGTGGTCTCTCCACTAGGGCTTGATCGTCTGGCGGGCGCTCTGCTGCGTGGCCGCACCCGCGAGGATCGGGTAATCGGGCGGTCGGCCTACCAATCCGGCAAATTTATCAAGGCCAAGCTGCAAGAAAGTCTAGTTGCAGTCTCGATGACAGCAGCGGAAGTACAGTCTGCTCGCCATATCCAAATGGGGACCACGCCATTGGTGGTGGTGAGCTCTGGCCTTGAGGTTCGCGGTAATAAAGAGTGGGCAGAGCGCCAAGAGGATCTTTCTCATATCACGATGAGGCTCCTCTCCTGGGATGTTGTTCATGACGCTCCGCATGAGATATGGGCGGATGCGGAAGGGCGGAACGTCCTGGAACAGCGGCTGCGGGATATTGTGAAGGAAAGCAAGAAACCCCAGCCCTAGGTGGGTAAGATGATATGGTTCTTATGATTTTTTCTGAGCACTTCCTTGCCTGGCAATGATTGATAATAGTAGTTTTATGATAATAGATTGTGGAATATGACTTTTGATATTGTTCACGAAATCTCGAGGGACGAATCTTACTACTAAAGTGTAGAAAACTGGTTTTTGCATGCTTTGGATTCACCGCAGCCTGCCAGACACCTGGGTATATCTCGTGGCAGGAGCTTGGAAAACTCGTTGAAGCCAGCAGATCTATAACTACCTCTCTACGTGCCAGGCTCAGGTGGGGGTTAGACTACTATTCAGTTCGCTGAAAAGGGCAAAGATCCCCGGGTATTATGGACTCTAAAGCTATCAATCTACTATGCCTTGATAGAGAGCAGTTGATATGGTAAACAATCGGAAAAAAAACCCACGCTGCCACCAATCCCTTGCGTTTCTCCCGCTCACTACCAAACCGGCACCTTCGGGGGTCTTGTCGATTCCCGGAGGGGGGGATGAGGAAGCTTCATGCAAGCTGGCTTCGAGTTGCGAATTGCGGTCGGCCTTGATGGCCAGGAGTCCTGTGGATGGGACGAACCGAATCGAGCAAGGATGGTATGGTAAAAGGGGCCGAATAGCGAAGATAGAAACACCAGTCATTCTAGCCTAGTTCCCTTGAACCTTTTAGCAAGCTGTTCACCGTCGGACTTGGGGGACATGGAGCGAGGGGAATCAACGGCGGGCGAGTGGGGCCGCCGTTTGAGGTTCGCCGCCGTGGGCCAGGGGCGCTTAGGGGGCCGCTCACCACTCTCTTGAAGAATTGTCATCAAGGTTGCCCACCCGGGGGTATTCAGCAGCTGCATTCCATCGGCAGGGGAGTGAGTCGTGGCAACTCGGCAGAGAAGGCCTTCTTCGTCCTGTGATCCCAGAGGAGCTTAGTACTTGTAGTGAATCTGCCTGGTGAAACTGACCTTGTTAAATGTAGAAAGCCCGTGAAGGAAGCATAGGAGATGGAAATCGGATATGCCAAGGATCGCCTTGTCGGGATCCCCATGTGACATAAGCTTATCAGCCACATGTCGCAACTCTTGGCTTTGTCCGATGATTTCGCGGTTCGCGATGGGGAAGCGGCTGTTCGTGAAAACGGGTGTAGACTCAGTCGGGAAACCATGGGTGAGTGTCACCAAAAGGAATTCCACAGGGAAACTGGGTTTGGCATTTTCCTGTACACTTGCCCCATACTCGTTGATGCGACGGAAAAAGACTTCGGGGATATATCGTGTCTTGCTGCCGACATCTTCGTCTTCCTCCGACTGCACTAGCATGACAGAGGGATCCGCGGAAGGTTCGACGATATTGGCTCGCACCATTTCCACTGCTGAAACGCTGGCCTGGTATGAGCTCACAGCAATTGCTCCAGTCTCATCACCAGTCAGCACACATGTCACAAAATCAGAGCCAAACCGGCCCGAGCGACTCCATTTGGTTGCTTTAGGGTTCTGAGCCTGTAGGCGCGAAGCAAAAGCGATCTCCAGGGAGGAGAGATAGTAAGAGTCAATGTGACGCTTACACACCACAGAACCATCCCCCTGTCCCGCGTCAAGAAGATCTGTGAAAATGACACCGACTTTCTGCAGCCCACACATACGAGCCACTTCGTCTACCTCCTGCTCGTTATGCCAATCATGGAGAGTGACGCCGTCTATCTCACCCACCTGCGGGGGCTCATAAATTGCTTGAACAACCGCTTTGACGCCCAATGGCACTTCTTCGTATTCTTCATATGTTCCATAGAGAAAACCTAGGCGTTGAGCTCCAGATTGACGCCAGAAATCTAGTAACGAGTTGATCAAGTCGGGAGTGGAAAATTCAACGTGGTCAACCATACGGAACTCCTGGGGTTGTAAGCTGATCGCGCTGGGCTGGCACTTGCTGCAAATTCCTTCAGGCCATGGTGCGTGTCCTGATGGACAGTCATGTCGCACTCGGTAGAAGGGTTCGCTGAGTGGAGGCATGAAGGAACTGCCAGCTTCCGGTTTGTTGGTGGCGGCATTGATTTTGCGCAGGTATGAGTGGAAGGAGAGATGTTTAATCTTCTTTTCTGCCAGGTATTTCGCATCGTATGGCTCTATAGGCATGCAGTAGTCACACATGCCCCGAGGACCATGTTTGCACATCCGTAGATCCTGGTTTCGCTTAATTTTGCCATCCTTCTTATCCAGTAAGTTGTCCAGTGGTGATTGCTTGACAACGTCCCAGGGGTTCTTGATATTGACATTAGATGAGTCGGGCTGCGCGCGGATAGGGATGTTTTGCTCTATGGGGACCGACGTGCCATTCAGTCGGCGTTCAGTAGGGGTTGAGGTGTGTCCGTTGGAAGGGCCATTTTGCGATGTGGTGCAATCTTGGTACCCAACAAAAAGCTTGTCGCCATGTCTAGACACAATCATACAGATCAGTGGGAGATCTTCAGCCCTTTGGATAGGTCAATAACACTCACTTAAGGCCAACTTCTCCGATCGTAACGCCATCCAGGGCCTGGAGTTGTCTTTCTTCTCCACCGGTACCTATCGGCTTATTGGAGAGGGAGATAGAAGTTGGGTCTACTTCTGACGGGAGATGTTCAAGAATCTACATGGACAGCAATCTGGTTAGTGTCCTGTATATCTACAGGAAGAAAAAGGGTATAGGTACCTTCTGTTGCAGGGCTGAAAAGAGGTCGTCCGGCCTGGCCGTGATTCGAAATTGGCCGTTTCGACTCTCAAATCGTAAAAGGATTGGCTGAGTAGCCATTTCTGATCCAAAAGCGTGATGAAATTGAGAAGGTGAAGACACGTTGAAGCAGAGTAGTAGGTTGGAGAAAGTTATGGAAAGCAGGTCCAGCTGTTCTTAGAGCTTGCCCTGCACGTCACGTCACATCCCGCGGGCGGTATGGTTATCAGTAAACCATACTCCCCGCACAAACAGGCAGAACATACTGGTAATATTGATAATCTGATTACAATACCAAGGTCAACTAAGCAAATTTAACAATAATGTATAAAGAGGCCTATAACATACTTGCTACCAATAAAAAAAATGATTTTAGATATTTGAAAACAAAGAGGGAGTGAAGTACGAGTATTAGATTCTTTCCAATAAAATGAAAGCCCTCTTCACAACCAAGTGAAGTTGGACTCACAGGCTCAAGGTTTGTACACGGGAGAAGTACTATTATTTCAGCACAAAAGTTCTATATAACGAACAAATGTTCTTTCTCTAACTAAAATTCCCTCTAAGAAGGAGTGTCACAGATCCATATCATCATAATGTGAACGCCCTTTAAAACGCCCCCCAGAAAACCACAGAGAAAGGAAAGAAAACAGAAAGGAATTTGGTTTCCAGTTACATGACATTGCACTTCCTGGGCAATCCACATGGTCCTTCATTGCTCTTCTCTTTCACTGCAGGCTGGGTACCCTGCTGCTCCTGGGAGGGCTGCGCAGTATTCTTCGCAGCATCCCCCGCAGCGGGGGTCGAGGTCTCGGGCTTCGACTCGCCACTACCATGCAGTCACTGGTGGGCCTTGGCAACAGTCTCGTAGAAGGCCTTACCCTGGGCCTCAGCAATGGACAATTCGAGAGCTGTAGGCTGGCGGGAACCGTCGGCACCCTAAAACAAGCTGTGAGCATTGCGTTCTGAAGTAAAAGAAAAACAAGGTGTAAAGACTGCTTACAGCAAAGGTACCAGCACCCCAGGGGCTTCCACCGTGGATCTCCTCCAGGTTGGCTAGCTGGGCAAAGGTGTGCTTGTAGCCCAGAGGAACGTAGACGAAACCGTGGTGAGTGAGGGTGCTCATGGTGGAGATGGCAGTCGACTCCTGGCCACCACCGAGAGTACCGGTGGAGATGAAGAGACCAGCGTACTTGCCCCAGTAACCACCAGTGGCCCAGATAGAGCCAGTGGCATCCCAGAAGGTCTTCCACTGAGCAGGGAAGTTACCGTAACGGGTAGGGATACCGAACAGAACGGCATCGTACTGCAAAAGGTCGTTGGGCTGGCAAACGGGGTAGCTGGACTTGGCAGGGGCGTGCATCTTGGTCAGAATCTCTTCGGAGAGAGTCTCGTCGATCCTGGAGGAAGCGATTAGTAGGGAATTAAAGATAATTTCCTCGATAGACTATCGCATACTGATAAATGTCGGCCTTGCCACCAGCGGCCTCAATACCCTTCTGCTCAGCCTCGGCCAGCTTTTGGATGTGGCCATAGAGGGAGTACTGTTCGGAAGTGGGAAGGTCAGTCATTTTCCTCCATAGAAAGCCATTGAAGACTTCGAGGCACGTACGAAGACGATAGCGATCTTGGGAGCCATTGTGACGTATGCTTGGATTGGAGTAATGGGAAGAAGAATGGATTGGAGTAATGGGAAGAAGAATGGATGGGAAATGAAAAATCAATGGGGGGAAAGGAAAGCTTTATATGACCATCGACCCCGCGTCCAAGGGAAACTCCAACGGTACCTCCTGCGCCATAGTGTATTCTATGGCGCAGGAGGTACCAATGAGCAGAACAGCAAAGCTTCACGCAATCCAATCAGTCATAGATGACTGAGCACTGACGGCAATGATTGGTCAGTCCGGCTCCACTCGGCATTACGGGCTTTTTGTTGAGTCTGACCGATTTCTGACAAATGGCACGATAATCAATTTCTAGGATAATGATTATGCATTGTTGAATCAGCGCGTAATCAGCAAACCTGCGCAGATTCGGTGTGATTTTCAGTTGATCAACTCCATGGGGGAGTTTCTTCTCGCTCTGAATTGCATTTTCATGATGTCATGGACTCCTATGCGGATATTTTTGGGATTGCTTTCGAGGACGCCAAGTAGTACTAAGTGACCGGGCAATACGACCTTAGAACAGGCATGCAGGGACTGGACCAATTGGCTCTAGTAGCGGGGGCCATGAGACGCAGGGCCATACAATCAGATTAGATTGGAACCGTTGGTACACAAATCTGCCATTTAATTGGGGGGGTATCTTAGTACAGTTGAAACCAGTCCACTCCGGGACTGTTGACACCTTGGAATAGAATAATGAAATACAGCAAAAGAAAAAAAAAAAAAGACGAAGAAAAGAAGAAGAAATGAAACGACCCTCACACCATGCAAATGCAACTTGCAAGCCCGCAGAAAGTGGCTTTGTTTTTTGACCCCAGCGTCAGCCCCTACCTCGTCCCCGATACCGCCCTCGCATGAATCCACCGCCACGTCCACGCTCACTGCGCCATTCGCGCTCTCTTTCCTTCTCTCGCTCCTGCTCTTCTCGAATGAGTGTCCGCTCATGCTCGAGTTCTTCCTCCGTCTTCTCCGTTCGAATCGTAGGACGAGGGAGATTCTCCGTCCACCGAGGATGCGCATCGGGACACGCCTTGCCTTCTGGACAAAACCCGGCCAGGTAGAATAGACAGAGACGACGTCGAACGTGGCGCTTGGCGCAAAGAGGTCCAAGCTCACAGAAGCCTCGATCGTAGTGTTCACAGGGCGGTAGTCGAGCTTCTTCCCGGACGTGCTGGTAAAGACAATCGTCACCGTTGGGACAGTAACCCGACCGTGAGAATGATTGACATTCGGGCATACGGCGAAGATTATACTCATGCAAGTACTCGCACTTCACCCCCTTCTTGCAGAGACCCTTGAGGAAATGTTTGCACACCAAGGATCCGTGTGTGGTGGATGGGGCCAGACCGGAGGCGGTGGTAGTGGACGTGGTGACGCGAGAAGGGGTCGGGTGTCGGTCTGGGCAGGCTGGACCCAGTGGGCAATGTCCCTCGCCGTACGCCTTGCAGACAGGCACATCGCTGGCGAGGCCAAACCCAAAGCTTTTTCGTAGGAAGGGGGTGAAGGAAAAGTCATCGTAGCTTGGGTCACGCGTAGGCTCGGCGGATAGAATGCTTGCGGCGGCGCTGCGCACGTCGGCTGTCATTGTGATTTCGAAGGCAAAGCAGACAGCCGTACGCGAAGCGAAATGGTAGGTTGGAAGTGATATTCGCTTGTAAAACGTACTATACAGTCAATCTGAATAGTAGTGGGTGCTTCAGTCTAAGGACAAAAGGTGGCGTGGGGAGAGAAGTCCATGTCGAAGCCGATATGTTGCTGATCCAATCCCGCTTAGTAAGGATCTAGCTTTCCCGCAGGTTCTATAGAATCGCCACCAGAACTTGACGTTGGAATTGATAGAGTAGCTATACCATAGCAACATGTTCCTAAGTAATTAGCCCTGTTGGCTTTGGGTGAAACTCGTAATAGCAGCATTGTGAATAGACAAAGAAACAAGCAGGCTTTCTAGAGCCCATTGTAAGTTACGATAAAGCAGCACAATGGGAAACGGATTCAACAAGACTCGCGCAAATGCGATCCGTTGCTGACCAGAACAAGGTGTTTTTCCCTTGGTAAGTTTCTGAGACAGTACTTTATTCGGTATGGCGACGTCAGGAAGTAGAGAAGCAGTTGCTTCAACGGTAGGTTTCTGCGAACGATCAACGCCATTCGTACGCACACTAGGGCCAGGCGCGAGGCTAGGGCAGGCTACAATTCGTGACTTCCCTGCCTCTCTCGGCTGTAGCGAGGATCAATCCTACCAACCAGAGCTACGATGACGAGTACAGAGCTTATTTCAGTGGTATTTGCCAAGATCTCATGCAACAGAGCAAATGTCTTCTCCCAAATGATGGCGGTTATCTTGGCCACCGAGCCAGTTGCGCCCCCAATTGATGCCAATCTGATGACAAGTGACCCGTGGATACTATTTATTATGTCTTATGCGATCGCAGCTATTTCTGTGATCTGGAGAGTTGTGTTTTCCCTGCCTTCCATGATTGGACCGAGTCAGCTTGAACCCAGCATCAGCCCGCTAGCGACTGGCATGCCGTTGAAAGGATCCGAGAGTTCTATACACAGCTCTTGTGTCAAAGGGAATTTCGCATTCACTGCCGTATGCTTCTTTATGACACTTCTAGGGACACATGCTTTTGGAGTGCTACTGCCGGACATTCCCAAAGGGTTTCATTGGTCTTAGACCAAGATATGTGTTCTTGATGCCAGTACATTCAATCATGTTTTTTCAGATCAATGTTTAGCATACTTTTTGGCTTACCAGTTTCCACATGTGCTGCCACTTCGATCTGGTATCATTCTGGTATCTCTTTTTATTCTACTTCCAGCTGTGATACAATTTCTTGATCGCAAGAAGGATTGAAGAACTTTGTGAAAGATTAAAATCTCATGCAGATCAACGCATGGTTGACGCTTATAGAATGTCTGTACATTCTAGTCGCAGAAAACCAACATTGCTCTACGTATGAGCTCTGCAGGTACTAGCATGCCAAACGCTGAATATCCTAGTTATGATGCTGGAAGGCAAGCTGTTGGTCCATCAAATCTCGCACCATTTGATCCATTGATCGCCATTTCATTTTCAAATCGGCTTCGGCTCTACTGCAGTCGGTCAACACACAAGGCAAAAATGGGTTGCCCTTCATATCTGCGGCGATCCTTGTATGTAAATCTGGGTAAGCTTGATGAACTATCTCTGCTACCTCCTTCCAAGTCACTTTGTTTGGCGCCAGAAGATAAGACGACCCGTCAGGTATTTTAGGACTCAAAGCTTTAACATGAGCCTCGGCCACATCCTGGATATGCACACAATTAAGGCTTGTGGCTTGCGTGCTGCTCATGATGGTTTGCCAGAAGCCCTCATTGGATGTTAATCTTATTTCCTCGGCGTTCGTTTGCATGTAGTTGTGCCCGAATGTAAACCCCGGGTGCAATACCACTATGCTATAGTGCGGGCGTTGATCCTTCCGAAATTTCCACGTTGCCTTGTTAGCAAGCAACTTGGAAGCATGGTATAGATTCAAGGCTGTTGCAGTGGGATTTTCAGCGACAGTGAAATCCGCGGCCTCGTCCACCTCCAGGTTCCAATTATTGTCCTCTAACATTGAGTTAACTTTTATTCTCCGGGAGAGCCTCGGTGCCTAGCTTGACCAAAAAACTACGAACCTTTAACGATGCCGCCGGGAAAGCGGCCAAGTGGAAGCAATGATGCGAGAGACGATGTGACCACAACCTTCTTGACACTTGAAACATTGGCAGCCTCTCGAAACACAGCTGTGATCATCTTCACAGCGGGAGTGAAAAATTGTTTCTTTTCAGTGTGATGGGGAAGGGGGAGGCCACATGGATAACGTAGTCAGCCCCTTCTAGCTGCCCTGCAAATTCCGCTTCGTTGGTCAAGTCAGAAACAATGACATATTCCACTTGCTGGCTGTATTCCGAAAGCAAATCTTCCAGCTTCTTACACGGTCTTCGAAGACAAAGTCGCAATCGATATCCACTCTTCAGTGCTTCCAATGCAGTGGCACTTCCAATAAACCCAGATGACCCGGTAATGAAGATCAATTCGCCCATTATAGCGTGATTTGAAGAGAGAAATTTCGGATCAGAAAATGCGTGCGACTAGGAAGGCGCAAGGGGAATCAGTTCTTCAAATATTGAGGAAGAAGCTAAGAATACTAGAGGGTCTGCTTTTATATCTGAATTCGTAACCGAACTGAGCGGGGAACATCTTAAAAGGATGTCTGTATCCACCCCACCTTAAGGCGGGTTAAAAGGCCTGATCACTTTTCACTCTGTAAACCGCGCCTAGGGCTCGGGGTGTCAATATGGATCATATCACGCTTCAAGGGAGTATCCCTCAATGTTGAGGGAATTTTCCCAGCCCAGATGTTGTCGTAATGGTGGCATGGATTGGACCATCAAAATGACGTGATCAACTAAGCCCCGGGGGCTCAAAAAAATATGGGTACTCCATTGGCCAAGAGTGTTGTGTGTGTCTGACCTGATGAGAGTCAATCTCGGCGTATTGAAATGATTGATGGATGCCTGAGAGCAAGGTTATTAAAAATGGTGTCACAGGCATGGGATGTCCAGCACTACCGACCTCAGTACGGAGCTCCGGAGGAGAGTCAAGTCCAATCCTTTGCCTTGAAGTCCATTTTGGTGTCAAGTTTACCACAAGCCGCACTGTGAGTGGTGACACACGACCAACCCCAATGTATATATAATAGCTGATCCGGGTAGCAAAGGTCAATGAGCAGGCGGGTACTTCACGATACCGCTATACTACGGTCGCCTGAACGTAAGCGCTTGCGCGGTGTACCAGGTTTTTGCTTCCCAGAGTGTGGTATGAAATCACCAGCGGTGGGTACATAAAGAAGTCTCATGCCGACATATGTTAATCGTTGCTATGACTTGAATATTGTGTTTTTCTTCAAGGAAGGCGAATTGACACGTGGAATTTTTCACCACATTGAATATCATGCGACCACATTGTGGATTGCAGTGGCTGACTGTCATGCACGGCGTTGAGTATGGGCAAGTACAGGATAATACTCTCTATGGAAACGAAGGATTTGACTTCTTTGCGAAGCCAGAGCCGCAGGTCTGAAGAGAGCAATAGTCTGATTGAGTCGGCCGAACAATGGGAGGTCACACAGAGAAAAATGGGCGTTGCATTTTATAAGGGAGCCTTTCTGGGATGGCCTTGGAAACCCAAAGGACACTAATTGGTATGTTGACGTTGGTGTCACAGCAGAAAAAAAAAAAAAAAAAAAAAAAAGGGCACCTAGTCTCAGCATTGGCCAACGTGCTTACAACTGTTCGCAGCCAATTCGTTGACTGGCAATTGTTTCGCGTGACTGGCTTGTCACTTGCATGAGATATTTCGCGGGGGAGCAGGGGCTGGCCGCATTCCCCGGAGCACCGCCTCATCCTGGATATTCTCGACCAATCATTTTCCACTGCACGCGATCCGAGTTGGAGAAAGGGAGAAAAAAGAAAAGCACGAAAAAAAGCAAACATCGTCCCAGCGTGGCGTTCACGGTCTAGGTCCCACTTCATTGCTGGAAAATCCCGATCACGGAGTCCACAAAGGGCATCTTCCACGATATTGACGCAGTATCCGCGATTGCGCGCTGCCTTGCTCTCTCCAAGGGCAAGGGGGAACAGTGCAGATCTAGCGCCATGATCCGCAAACTTTTTGGTCTGGGTCCACGTGCCCAACAAATTGGAGGTCGTCTGATCACGCTGACAGGGAAAAGTGGTGAATCTCACCGCACGTCATATGTGGACGGGGCCATCTAGAACCGGTCTAGTTAGAGCATCAGTAGGGAGGTGCACCGAGTGCGAGATCTCGATTGAGCACTTGCCAGATTGGCCTTGGTCCTAGTTCCTATCGATTGGTTCCTGCTGTGAAGATCCTTTTATTACTCCAAATGAGAGTTCCCCGGCCTGCACCGTGGCCTGCACTAACCCAACCCCCGCACCATGAGTCTCTTGCAGGTGATGCAAATCGGCTGTTCACAAAGTGGGGAACAACAGCCTCCACTCTGGGGTGGCCTGTAGCCTCGTCCAGTGCGAATCTCAATTTCAGCTTGTTACAAAGAGCCAATTATCCAATCGTGCGAGTTGCATAACCAAGACCTCTCCACGTGACCCCTTCCCGAACAGGCAACACACCGGGCAGCGAAGATTCCTGGCCTTTTTATTACTTCAATGGACCCTTGGCCATAGTGTTGCTCTCTCTCGTTTCTCGCCTGTTCTCCACTGCTCTTCTTTTTTGACTCGGGTTCGTATGACCCTGGAGTTGAAAGGAGACGATGTTCTCCGCTGCTACCAATTTCTTTCGCCGGCGGCCCGTGACTGGGGCTGACCCCGCCATTTCTGATTCTTCCAGCACATATGAGGTGCCCTTATACACAAATGCGGCATACTACCCAAACTGGAGGATCTATCGAAAGCAACCTCCCTCGTCCTTGAGATTGGGCTTTATTTCGCACGTGTTCTACGCTTTTGCTTGGTATGTGATCAACCAATCATTATCGATAGGGCGTAGAGATAAACGATACGCTAATCTCGATCTGGGACCCTTGCAGGGTGAAAGACGATGGCACGGTCTATGTATGTCATGTCATCCGTGGAAGCTGGCTGACAGAGCTTCTACTCTATTCCGCTTTGTGTTTGTTCCGTGCTAACGAGGAAGCGGGGATAGCTGAGTGATGAGTGGGCTGATACCCAGATGCCAGTGGACGGGACTGAAGGGTGTTTACGAGCATTCGTTCAACTAAAGCAACAGTACTCCCAAATGAGAATCATCTTGTCTGTCGGCGGTGGTGGAAAGGGTAGCGAGAACTTCGCTGCGGTTGCCTGCAGTCTTTCCAAGGTGGAGACCTTTGTGCGCACAGCCCGGGGGTTGGTTGACGAATACGGACTCGATGGCATTGATGGTGAGTTAATCTTTTCAGCTCCGTCTGCCATAACCTGCTTATGGCTGAGGCCTCGAATCGAATTTCTAACGCATGGATTTTGATCATCTAGTTGATTGGGAACACCCTGCCGACTCCAAGCAGGGCAAAGACTATGTTCGCCTCCTCGCTCGCCTGCGACAGGCCTTGCCTGCTCCTCGGTACGTTCTGGCCACTTGTCTCCCGGCGGGACAATGGGCACTTCAGAATATTGACTTGTCCGAGGCTGAAACGCACCTTGACATGATCAATCTAATGGCTTATGATTTCTCTGGGCCTTGGATCGCTGAGACTGGTCATCAAGCCCAGCTCTACGGCACGCCCACCTCTTGTTATCTGGCGGTCTCTTATGTCTTGTCACAAGGAGTGCCTTCGCGAAAGCTCATTCTTGGAGTTCCAACATACGGACGCTCGTTCCTTGGAAGCAATGGACCGGGTCAGGGATATACTGCCTGCGGCGGAGAAGATGGTGTATTTGATTATTGTGATCTGCCTCGCCCAGGATCTCAAGAGATTTTGGACAACCAAGCCGGTGCTGCGTACTGCGTGGGCGGAGATGGTGGATTTGTCACGTATGATATCCCGGCAACGGTCCAGCAAAAAGCACAATTGGTCACGACGACGAAACTGGGGGGTTTGTTCTACTGGAACATCTGCTCTGATTCTCGTGGTCCACGAAGCCTGATCGAAACTGGATACAACACTTTGCATGATATGTAGGTGACATGGCGATGTGGCGAACCCCCAGTGTTGTTATTGCGGAAAACCAAAAACGACATAGCTTGTCGAAAATCAAATACCCATTACTATATGCCTTGACGGGCTTCCTCATAGTTCGAAAAAATTTCCACGGTGAGTCCAATAGTATGGATTGGTAAAGAAGCGATCGGCAATCATCCGAGGGCTGGGGTATCTGGCGAGATTCAAGGATCATGGTCTTAGCTTAGCATTCTAATCAAAGGGTCCTTGATCGGCGGTTTCACGGAGGTACCTACCAAGCCCGAGCGCCGAGGTTCGTGGTTGTTTCGACAAATAAAGTTCGGCAGCGCCCCTCACTTTCATACCCCGGATTAATCCTTTGAACATTACACTCCTTCCCCAAATTATTCTCGATGAACATGTCACCATCTCCACCCCTGCCTGCGACGGCAGATAGTGGATATATAACGCAGCCCGCTCCGCTAGAAAACACTTATACGTCAGACACTAGTCTTCGGCGTACATTGGAATGTAGGCTTACCTCTGATTATGCGCTCGATATTTCGGCTCTAACAGCTCCAAAGGGTATGTCCCATCTGCGGTATTACACTCAGTGGAACCACAATTTGCCCAGCTCGGTGGTGAGGCAGTATCCGAGCGAGTCAGAGAGTGGACTGCAGATGCGGAGCGAAATCAACCTTACGTGAAAAGCCACAATGTTTGGGGCAAACGATATGACTATGACCGCCTTATCACGACTGAAGGTTGGAAACAACTCGGACACTGGGGAGCCAGGAGCAAAGTCGTTTCAGCAGGATATGACCCTGCTCTAGGGATGCACAGAAGAACAGTCCAATACGCACTGTGAGACTTAGTACCGAATGGCAAAGCGAGATGAATAGTCGTCTGACTGATTATAGGAATTATATTTATGCACCATCATCTGGTCTCTATTCTTGCCCCATCAGCATGACGGACGGGGCCGCTTTTATTCTTTCTTCAAAGATTGGCGAGTTGCCACCGGCACACCCATTCCATGCCGTATTCAAGGGCCTCATCTCGGAAAATGAGGACCACTGGACCTCAGGTCAATGGATGACGGAGAGAGCTGGTGGTAGCGATGTTCAGAATACTGAGACTTGGGCAACATACTCCCCGTTGCCAAAATCCTCGGCCTCGGGCCCCCTTGGAGATGGAGACTACTTGATTAGCGGTTTCAAATTCTTTTCTTCTGCCACTGATGCCAATGTAGCCCTCCTGCTCGCCAAGTCTCCATCAGGCAAATTGAGCACTTTTTTGGCTCCCCTTCGACGAAGAGTTGTTGACGAGGATGGGACCCCTCGGCAGATTTCAAACGGTGTGAGAATTCATCGCCTAAAGAACAAATTGGGAACAAAGGAGCTGCCGACTGCCGAGCTCGAATTGAAAGACATGCGCGCCCATCTCGTTGGCGAATTGGATCAGGGAATAGTTACTATTGCGCCTCTTCTTAATGTCACTCGCATTCACACATTCGTTGGTTCCCTATCTGGCTGGCGCCGTGCTATCAGCATTACCAAGGCCTTTGCCAAAGCCAGATCCACAGTCGGTGAACCTCTTTGGTTGATCCCTATGCACCTACGGCTTCTGGCAGATCTGGAGGTGAAGCACCGTGGTGGCATGAACCTTGCTTTCTTCACCATTGCAATCATGAATCTCGTTGAGGATCAAGGTTCCAAGCCGTCTGGACTTGCTCATTTACCTCGTCCGGGCAAGGAGGCAAATGTTGTCTTCCGTACTCTAACAGCCACGGCCAAGGCAGTAGTTAGCAAAATGGCAATCGCAGGCATCCAGGAATGCCAAGAAGCCATGGGTGGCGTGGGATACATGGATGAGCCCGATGAGCCTGAATTTAATATTTCACGGATCTTCCGAAACACCTCAGTGAACTCGATTTGGGAGGGAACGACAAATGTGCTGGCAAGCGAAGTGGCTCGGTTCTTGTTAAAGGCCGACAATTTAGCTACGTTTTCTAAGTGGCTCAATCGTACTCTGGCTTTGATTCAGGATGCGAATCTGCGCGGAATATTGAGTACTGCGTGGTCTGTTTTGAGAAAACGATTCACCGCAGAGGATCAATCTCCCACTGCCATTCTGGCAGATGCTCGTCGCCACATGTTTACTCTCGCCTGGATATTATGCGGCACACTATTGGCACTGGACGGCGAACGCGATCAAGATCCATTAATTATGGAGATTGCTCGGCGCTGGATTCTCAGTGCTGAGGGTGGCGTTGGCGACATGGTATTTCATGACATTGTTACGTCTCAAGGTGCTGGTTGCAATGGTGATCAGCACCTAGAATGGGACTGCAAAATTGCATGGGGGGTTGAGCTACCAGCACACCGTGCATCTGGTCATCGATCCTTACAGAAGACGGGCTCAAAGCTTTAAGTAGTGTTTTTCGGTCGGATGATGATCATTATATGTGTCGGCGTGATATTCAAGTTCAGAGAGAGAGACTTTCCAGAGGCCTTTGCCGTCCTGAATCATGACTTGGGCATTCAGAAGAGAGATATTTCTAGGCATGAATTCGAAACATAGGGCTCTAGAGACTTGACAAGTTACACGTAATGTGAGGTAGACGTGGGGGATCGGGCTCTATAAATCGGTGGATTCGAGGAAGATAAATAATTCAACGTTTCATTAAACACTATGTTGCCCTGCGAGTTGGGCTCAGATTTTGGACACTCGATACCCCACAGAAGCAGTGGCCGGAAGCTCAACACCCCAAACTATACGGCAATCCCACTCCGTATGCTCCTTCTCAGTAAGCCTGCTATCCAATCCCAAGGTTAATCGTTGATAGATGAGACTTGGAAAAGCGAATTCTCCAGGCACACCCTGTCCTTCGATCACCCATCTCCGAGCGACTTCATGAGCAACTACATCATCGTCCCGCAGAGCATCTAATACGAGCAAGATGCCACAAACCAGCCATGCAAGTGTAAAGATGATTTGGCGACCGACACCGAGAGCCGCAGGTAGTCCAGCCTCACTTTGACCGGCGGCCAGTTTTGCCTTAAGCTGATTCCAAACGTTCGATAAGGCTGTGTGGAATGTATTGTCGGAAATTTGGTCAATAGAACTCACAATCCAGGAGTCGCACAGCTTCAGGTTATGGCCCTTAGTCAGGTGTCGCACAGCCTCACTGGCCAGTACGTTTGTGGTCCCTTCCCAGACACTATTGCTCGCGGTGTCACGCCAGAGTCTACTAACGTTGAATTCGGGCTCGTCGGGCTCATCTAATACAAGTTGTGTTAGATTGTGAGTAGATGTGCGGAATACTAAGCTCACCAATATAACCCACCCCTCCCATCGCCTCCTGGCATTCTTGAAAGGCCAAGGTAGCAGACTTGCAGATAACGGCCTTCGCAGTCGATGTGAAAGCTCGCAGTACCACAGTTGCTGCTTCCGGGGATTCTTTCAGAAACAAGAATATTCCCGGTAAATCTGTAGGAAAACCATTATCCACATAGCTAAGAAGGGATGAAGTGAAGAAAGCAAGCTGCATCCATCCACGGTGCTTAACTTCCAACTGGGCCAAAACACTCAAATGCATTGGGAATGTCCACAACGGCTGATCGATCGTTGTTCGAGCCCGGGCAAAGGATTTCGCAATATCCAGTGCACGTCGCAGGCAGGATAGCGCAGTGACGAAATTGTGTGTTCGCGTGACGTTTAGCAGGAGAGCTACCGTTGCGATGCCACGGTCTTTTGGGCCTATCAGGTGCGCGCGCACATCTTGAAGTTCAACCTCGGCAGTGGGGAGCTCGTGCGTCCCCATCTTCTTCTTCAGTCGATGGATACGGATTCCATTGGAAACTGGTCTTGTCGTTCCATAGCCATTAATCATCGTCTTCATGGTTGGAGCGACGAACAGTGACAGGTCCCCCGACTCTGTTTTGGCCAGTAGCAAAACGACATCGCAATCGGTGGCACTGCAAAAGAATTTGAACCCGGAGAGCAGATAATCACCCTCTTCAATATTGCCAAATCGACCATTCTTGGTTGTGAGGGGTGAATACACTGCGACTGTTTCGCTGTTGCGTACATCGCTTCCGCCTGGTCGCTCGGTCATCCATTGGGCTGAAATCCAATTATCTTCGCGAGCGACGAGACGGGCATAGAGCTCGTGAAATGGATGATCTGCGGGTACACTAGCTAGCTGACTTCGGACTAATCGGGCTGCACCAGATGTCATGGACACAGGGCATGAATATGCAGCAGAAGATGCAGAGAAGATGTAGTTGCTGAGTGACAGTGAGCAATGGTGCGATATCCAATATCGATAACTATGCTGCAATACTCACAAGGCGTGCTGAACAATTCGACGATGCGATCCGAATTCTTCTTCATATCCCAGACCCACAACACTATGCCAGGAGTTCAGCTCAGAGAAGGTGATTGGGAGCAGTAGCCTTCAAGTACTCACCCTTGCTTGATACCCCATTTCCCTAGCTCCTTCCAGCCAGTGCTCGTCACCAAGCGGTCCGCATCATATCGCGCCCCCCACACATTACGAGTTTTGATGTGTGGCTGCTGCATTTCAGCATCTCCTATATGAGAATTGATTTCCTGGGAGATTGCATCTGATCCGAATTTGGTCAAGTCGGGAACAATTTTCGAAAGCGTATCCCGCGGAAGATGCCCTGGGACATCCATTCAGTACTGGGGATAACAAGTGATTAGGGTCACAACGTACATTCCAAAATACGTCGAAATACTGGATCGGAGGTTGCTGGGTTGTCCAGTGCAGCTGGCGAGAGTATAAAGCCTGTGTCTACCGTAGATGGAGATAGCTGGGGAGACATGATGACAAGAACCTGAAGACACTTGGTTATTATGGCAAGACGAGAAAGATTTCAGTTTATAAGACAGCACTGCTCCCCTGTCTTCTAGTCCCTATTGCTATCTGCAGGCATACATATGCGGGGTTGCAGGCCTACTCTTAGCCGGCACCGATGTTGCCGACCCAGATCACCGAATATGACCGACGGTCACTCTTAACTAAACATCAATCTCCTCTTGGATCGCCGAGTCTTTGCTAGACGTGCGGGGAAGGTGCGGAGGCCCGCCAATCTCCGACCTTAAAATGTTCCATGACTGACGACTATCGGCGCCTCTAGTTGACTACTCCTGTACTTTGCCTTTGTCACAATCCGACAACATGACCCATCCCTCAAGATCAGAGGCTCTCAACCCACGTCCTATCTGGACCCCCACTGTCCCGCAATGTCAAATTCCAATGAATATATACCGTGCGCATATCAATCAAAAGTTCAACGAGAATCTGCACTCATCCCAGGAACTTCACCAATGGTCGGTCCAAAACCTGCAGGAATTCTGGATAGATCTCCATGCGTATACTGGGGTCATTCCGCCTCTGTCAGCAGCCATGACCACGGCATTTGACCCCACAGTTTCAATGGAGAACGTACCGGAGTTCTTCCGCGGTGCCACTGTGAATTACGCGGAGAATGTTCTGAGCGGCAGAGATCCAAACCAGACTGCGTTGATTGGAATTCGCGAGGGTCAGGGCCTAGACGGGGAAGTCTGGACATGGGGTTTGCTCTGTGAAAACGTCCGAAAGGCGAGGAGTGCTCTGTTGCAAACAGGAATACGAGAGGGAGATCGAGTAGCAGCCATTATCTCCACCAGCGTCTGGTCGGTAGGCTTATTTCTGGCTACTGCAAGCATTGGTGCTATTTGGACAAGCATCGCACCTGACTTGGGCGAGGAGGTAAGTTGCACTCTTTCATTACAGAGCTTGGTCCGATTTTAATGGCTTCAAGGGCTGTGTATTACGATTGTGTCAGGTCACTCCCAAAGTGCTTTTTGCGGATGCTGAGTCGACATATAAAGGGAAACTGCGGTCCAATGTACGAAAAATTCGCAATGTTGTCCAGGCTATGAAAGCCAAGCCTCAGGTTTTCCTGGTTCCCATCACGGGCGCGAATGAAGGCGAATTTCCAAGCCTTGGGGAGTTTTTATCAAGAGCCCAACTAGGGGACGCTCTCCAATTCAAAAGACTGCCCTTTGCTCATCCGCTTTACATTCTCTATACAAGTGGGACGACTGGTCAACCCAAATGTCTTGTCCATAGCCACAGTGTGATCTTACAGCATAAGAAAACATCTCTACTCCACAACTCACTTACTCCCGATGATGTTGTTTTCCAGTACAGCAGTACCTCATGGGTACTATGGAATATCATGATTGGCCACATGTCAGTAGGTGCTACTCTCATTCTATACGATGGATCACCGTTATGGCCAACATCAAAGGGCATGGCAAAGATTGCAGAACACCACCGCGTGACATACTGGGGCTGTTCACCTCGTTACCTTCAGGAGCTTGAAATGAGCCGATGCGTAGCGAAGGACGAGTTTGACTTTGCCTCATTGAGAATGGTACAGACGGGAGGCTCACATTTAGGTGCGGACCAATACCACTGGTTCTATCGCACGTTCCCTCCACACATTCATCTCACAAGCGTGACTGGCGGGACAGACTTGGTGACCTCTTGGATCGGCACTGATCCGGCTGGTCCTCTCTACCCCGGTGAAATTCAACTTCCCATGTTGGGGCAGGATGTGGATGTCGCAGATCCCATTACGGGCGAGTCAATCAAGCATACCGGTCGACATGGCGAGTTCGTCTGTCGCCAGCCTTTCCCGTCTATGCCTGTGTTTTTCTGGGGGGATGAAAATGGATCAAAATACAAGAGTACGTATTTTAACAAGTTTCCAAACTGTTGGGCTCAACATGATTGGGCAAGTTACAACCCTCAGACAAAAGGCTGGCAGATACATGGTAGAAGGTAGGAAACGATGCTCCACTCGGTGGGAAAGCTCACACTGATCGTTATACAGTGACGGCGTTTTGAACCCCCAAGGAATCCGATTTGGATCTTCCGACATCTATTCCATCACAGAGTCCGCTCCATTCAACAATCTGGTCTCCGCCACCGTGTGTGTCGGTAGGCGCCGGCCACATGATTCTGATGAGGCTGTGTTTCTGTTTGTGGTGATGCAGCCCAATCAATCGTTCACAGCTAAACTTGCGCTTGAAATGAATAACGCTATTCGCAAAGGGTTGAGCAGCAAACATGTTCCTCGATTCGTGATCGGTGTCAAGGAAGTTCCTATGACAGTCAATGGTAAAAAAGTCGAGACTTTAGTGAAGCAAATCATTTCTTCTGGGAAGCTACCTAAGACTATCAGTAGCACTGTCGCAAATCCCGAATGTCTACAAGACTTCAGACAGTACTATGATATTGAAATTTCCAATGAGAACAGAGGAAGACTATAGAGAGGTGGACCGACTTATGCCCGCCTAGGCATGCACCCGTGGTCGAATCATTCATGAAAATGGATTTTCAATCATTTGTGCAGCTGATTCATACAACTGTATGAAATGGACTATGCCATTAAATTCATCAACTTATTGGGAATTGCCAAACAAATCTTCAAAGACAGACAAATCGGGTCTCCTCCTCCAAAATATTCCCAGAAAGTATCTTATCAAGCTTAGACACATACTTTAACCCACGAGGTTGTTTCGTATCTTCTTGCCATTCAGGATAAATGTCTGTAAATGCACTGAAAAGTCCCCGCTGGTCGGGAAAAAATGATCCTTCAGTCGCCAACCCATCCATTGGTGATGTAGTCCAAGGGGCTTGGTGTCTCTGGCCACTAGCATAGCTCAAATTATCTAAAAACGAAAGATCTGCGCACTTCAAGAGCGATGCAGCCGAACTACCCATCGATAGAGGAGCGAAGGGGTTGGATGAGCTGGGTTGATGCATGATGTTCTGGTGTGTTTCATTGGAAGAAGATACTTCCTCGAGATGTTCCATAACCTTAGCAAGAACGGCTTCCCATGTATCTCTGTATTTTTCGAGCTGTTTGTTACGCTCTGCGATAGCAAACAAAACAGAGGAGCACGCTCCCAGATCATTCGCTACATCAATTGAGCAAGGCTGTGAGGATCGAAATAGACAATAACTGCAGATCCAATATCAGTAAAGATCCAAAGCAAAAAGTTCCACGCCTAAAGCTTACCATAATGTCAAGCCAGCTTTGAACAAGGTGCTGACGAGGAAATATCCAAACCCAATGTAGCCCTTCTGGTGCAAAGCTTTAAACACTTGGCATGTTTGCCCAGATGCCCTCATGCAGGTACGAATCAATTCATGATCAGGGGGAGCTCCCGAAGAAAGGGTTGGATAAGAATCAGAATACCATTATTCCAATGCATATTGATCCAATCATGGTCTATAGGCGAGAGATCAGGTTGCAAGGATCGCTTATATTCTTCCAATGCAGAGAATAAAGGATTGATTTCAGGAATCAACAATGAAATCTCCTTGTCAACTCTATGGACTCTGGTTTGAATTTGCGACTTTAGGCGGATCAGTCTGATGACAGGAATAAAAGCCGCGATGCTGGTTCTGAGCGCTGTTCCTTCGTGTGCTGTTCTCTCATCGGGGTAATTGTAAGGACGGGGCTCTTGGTAATCATAGGGCAATTCGACATCGATGTCTTGTTCCGCAATATTGAATGGTCGATCAAGAAGCCGTGCAATACTTCGATCCATGACGTAAACGCTCCAAAACACCCGCCGCATGCTCTGGGCCTCATGGGGTTTCAAATGAAGGTAATTTTCTTCTCGGTGTAGCCCAAGATCGATGGCGGTCCGCATGGCCAGGCCTATCATATACCAAATACTGGAGCTGTTTGGTATGCGTAGGTTGTACATTATCAATAGCATCATCGCTTCAATACTCTGAAGCGAACGAAGCTCGGCGACTGAAGGCTTTAGACGCAAGGCCGTGCGGAAAAGTTCACCTGCAGTAATACTGGGCTGGCTTTCTGTCACTCTGCAGGTTGCTGCCCCGATAGCATAAACCATAAACAGTTTAGAAGACTTCCAGCGTGCGGAGCGTGCGAGTGCAATAGGTTGAAGTCTTTTGCTGTGCATCTGATATATCTCCCCGCTATCCAGGTACGGCATATGGTTATGCATTGTCTCCATGTAGATTTGAATATACTTCAAGCCCTCTTTATCGGTTGGTACGGGCGGTTGGGCATCATCGGTGAACGGATCGTGCTCTATTTCGGTATTCTTCAACTGGTCGTTTTCCAAGACTATGTCTTCAAATATTTGGTCTATTTCTTTGGCGATCAAAGTTCCCGGTGACGAGGATGGCCTTACCGGTGTCCGGCCTGGCATTTGCCCTGTCGTCAAATACTCCATCACATCGAACAGATGACCTACTTCGGGCAAGTGGTGAAAAGGGAGTTCCTCTGGGTTTTCATGATGGAGATGCAGGGTTTGCTCTTGGGCAGGCTTGGAAACTGCGTTTAATTGGGATTCGAGTTCCTCGATTCTGTCGAATAGGGCATCCTTGGACATTCCATGGTATCTTTCGGACGCGGGTCGGAAAGTGGGCGTTTCTGATCTCGTACATGACGACTTTGCAGCCTCACAGTTCGTGCAGATCGGGTACCCCACACATCTTTGTTTTCGACGATGGCAACGTCTACAGGCTTTGGGGCTGCGTTTCCGGACCTTGAATGGAACGCCTTCCATTGGGAGGGTTGGATGCCGAAGAGGCTCAAGTGGGAGAGTCGACAATCAAGTCCAGGAATCTCGTGGCCTATGTTACAAAATCCATACCGCCGAGGATCCAAGTGACCGCTAAGACCTCGGGATGTCGTGACCGTTGTGGATGATCACGAAACCCCTCATATCGGCCGGTCACGTGTGAGCTACACATACAGGACTAGATAGACCTTTTGATGCATGACAATGACTAGTATACGGGAGCCACGGAAGGTCATTTGATCCGCCTGCCTTGCATGGCTTGAGTCTCTATTCAAGTCGGCTTGGACTCCACTTGAAATGACGTTCGAGTGATTGCACGAGTCTATATTTACATGGTCGTAATTGCAGTATTTACACATTGAGCAGCCAAGAACCACTCCAGTCAAACCCAGACCCCTCCCAGTCAGTTCCAAAGAGTTCCATGCCAGTATCCAACGTCGGGGAAGCATAGCTGTCGATTGTATCTTCCGGACGCGTCTCAAATGCCGGAAGCGCAGCTTCTGGGTCCAGCACCTCGGCTAAAGTACATGTCGGCGCAAACGCATTGGTAATTTCCGAGTCAGAGGCCTGTCCAACTAATCGCCACTGCTTGCACATCTTGACATCAAATCCCTCAAAAAATGCCACGGTGTCAAAGTCTAGAGTGGGTGGACCGTCGAAGGGTTCTAGCTCTCGGACCTTTTCGGTCAATTTGTTCAAGGCTCTCAGTGGGCCGACCGCCGAAAGCCATCGCTCGGATAGTTTCTGGAGTGAAAGCTTCATGACGGTCATTTCATGCTCGGCGGTACTTTGTAGTTGTGGATAACGACAACAGGAAAGGAGGGAAAGGCCTGCGCAGAGCGGATAGAATGCAAACACCGGGCCAAGATAGCGTAGTTCATCTCGTAGGAGAAAGTCTTCGTATATACCCGCAATGAATGACGATGCAACGAGTGATGCAGCGGGTGGAACACTGTTCGGAGTCGGGGAACGGTGCAAAATCGTCAATCCAACAAAGTACATCACCAAGAGCTGCTTAACTTCGAGCTGACACGTCATTGCATCTTCCTGGTTCACTGCCGAGGAGTGCAGTTTCGGGATGACCTGTTTGGCCCATCTATACACGGCATTTTCAAGATCGACTCGTCGCTGTCGGGATATTTCTCGTCGTAGACAGCACTCGACCGTATCGCCTAAAAGACATGATATTGTACAGTATGCTAGAAAGAGCTGCGCTTGGAAATCCTTCTTCGGGAAATCTTTCATCGACGGAGGTAAGACATCGCTGTCGCGTAAATTGATGGTACGAGGTCGTCCCACTCCGACAGAGATGACATTATCTCGAATCTGGCATCATTAGTCCATCTGGGCATTTTCCCGGTCAGTGACAAACTTACCACCAAAGACCACCATAATCGCCGCCGAAGTCCCCGATCTTTAGCATTTGGTGACGGTTCTTTGTGTAATCCAATTTGGAAAGCCATGGCCCCGGCGGTTCGAATCCAAAATCCACTGGTATCGGTTGAAACATCCTCAGGTCCAACAGGGTTGTACCAATGCAAGAGGCAGGCAGCCACAATGGAGATCAGTGACCCATGGCCTCCACCAAAAAAGAAGAGCAACTTGGCGCGTCGATAAAAGACCTCGCTCGACCCATAGTCCAAATGTGCTTTAGAAACTCGACTTCCTGCGAGGAAGATAGACTGCAGTAGGAGCATAGACGGTGGGGCTTTCCCATCGAGCCATTTTGGATCAACAACGGGAGTCCACGGAGCACAGTACTTATTGAAATTATCCATTAACTGTTTCTGAATGGAGATGGGGGGAGCTCGAACGCCCCTTGCTCGCGTAACATCTGTAGGTCCGCCGCAGAGGCTTTCGGGCTGGTGTATGTGGTCTCATGGCCAGGTTTGACCATATTTTCATCAAATGGAACACTACCGCCTAAATACTCACCTCGACCGCGGTAGCTCTCCTCTTTGATAAAAGGCTCAGTCACATTATTTTCAATGGATACCAAAGTCTCATTCGCAACAACATCCCCGTGCACGCCTCTGGACGATCTTGTTGCGACATCGCCTTCAAGGGGCGGGTCCGTCGGCAATTTCGAGCTGCGCCGACTTATGGAATCCGAAGCCGGTGCATTGCGTCCCGGCGACAGACTGTTGGTGAATCTCTTGCGCTTTCGCGTATATGGTCTACACGGAATCAGCCGATAGGAAATTTCAACGGTCGGCACGTCCGCTCACCTGCATTCCACTTGGGACCTGATACAATTGGTACAGGGATTGTGGGTCGCGAAATCACACCGCACCTGTAGCCGTTAGTAACCAATACCCCGGCGATGGCCTGCGACTATGTTACCTTGCGCTTATGGCAGATGATGCATGCACTTGACATGGTGTAGATCGTAGGTGGTTGGAGAAGATCAAAGTGTGGGGAGCCGAGGCAGTCGGCGCTTTTTTTCCAACTTAAACTTCATTGTTCCCGCCCCGACAGTAAATGTTTTATGACTTCTACCATGAACCAAGATGGCGGAAAAACAACTTGTGGTGACTGATACTACATCTCATCCAGGCATCACTATCCTCGCGATCAATCGACCGGAGAAAAAAAATGCAGTAGACTCTTGGACTGCGAAGTGTCTCTACGACGCTATTCTTGGGTTTGAAGCTAATGCCACGCAGATGGTATGTATCTTGACTGGCGCGGGTGGTACCTTTTGTGCTGGAGCAGACCTACATCAAGTGGCAGAGAAGCATGACGATGTCCCTGGTGATAAATTGCAACCCGTCGACGGACGCAACCTAGGTCCCATGGGCCCCTCTCGCCTGATTGTCCAGAAGCCGGTCATTTGTGCAATTGCAGGTCATGCCGTAGCAGGCGGGCTAGAGCTCAGTCTGTTGGCTGATCTCCGCATCGTCGAGGAAGATGCGGTCTTTGGGGTGTTCTGCCGGCGTTGGGGAGTGCCTTTAATCGATGGAGGAACAGTCAGACTCCAAGCCATTGTTGGTCTCGGTCGTGCAATGGATATGATCCTGACTGGCCGGTCAGTCAGCGCTCAGGAGGCACTTACCATGGGTCTTGCAAATCGTGTGGTTCCAAAAGGAGAGTCGCTGAATCAATCGTTGACGATTGCACGGCAGCTCATTGCTTTCCCAGCTTTGTGTCTCAACACCGATCGTCGATCCTGCTACTACAGCGCATATGAGGCCAATTCTTTTAATGAAGCTCTATCTTATGAATTTACCGAGGGGCGCAAGGTCCTTGCTAAAGAAGCAATTCAAGGTGCCGCCAAATTTAGCAAAGGAGCTGGGAGACATGGAATCTTTGACGAATTCAGTAAGCTGTGATGAATACGCGCGGAAGAACTCTAGTGCTGTATGTTCTGTTCCGAAGGTCTTTCAAAGTTTCACTGAGAAAGTGCACATATATTAAACGATTAAATATCGATTGCGAAGTTTGTATATCCAAATAGTGGTACATGTAATTTTGCGGACCTAGCTTCGTGTGGAATACATGTAAGCTATTAGAGATCATGTAACCTTTCAAAGCAATAGGCTATAGTCTCTAGTTGGTCTTCTTCTCGTCTTCTTCCTCCGAGTTCGAGGAAAATTGGATGCGTTTACCATAGAGCAGAGGTGTCCGGGAGGCCAATGCGCCCAGCGCATAGCCAATGTATGCGCCAGCCAGGATGGTAATGGGGAACGCTTGCCATGGGCGGTCCCAATCCAGTGGGATAGGGATGGCACCAAACCAGGCGCCCAGGCTTGTGCCGAGGGCACTTCCCCAGACACTATCTGCAGGCCGAGCGATGCCCCAAACCTCCTTCCAGACGTGACCATCAACACCGTGGACGTATGCCAGCTGAGAAGCAGAGAGGAGGGCCATGTGGGCTGCACAGAGTACGGTTTCGTAATTGTGAGTGGTGAGCGGGGCGCCGAACATGACGAGGAGCGCTGCAATTACTGGAGTTGCAAGCAATGTCAGACCTAGCGAAACGCAGGCAGGCTATAATTGTCTTGTCAGCACATCAAGCCCGCAAACTTGTTCAACTGTAGACTATGGGCGCGTATACCATCAACTTGGCCCACACAGCAGCCCAGACGTTCTTGCCAGAATTTTTTCGGCGATAGCCAGGCTTGCCTGAACGGGAGCGTGTTGCCTTTGCATCACTTGCAGATGAACTGTCTGCGGCTGGTGATGCGGCAGGCGGAAGACAGAGTATCACGTAGAAAAGTTGGAGCAGAGCCAACCAGGGCAGGTCAGCAAGCAGCTCCTGCACTGGGTTGGCTACCAATGCCTCGAATCGTGCAGCACATATTGCTAAGAGAAGTATGGGGTGCGCATATGAATACGCTTGCGCTAGTTTGGAGGGGAGAATATTGATGGGGGGCGCAGAGGGGTTTTCGATAGGGGCCTGGGATAACGAGTTGGCCTGATTGATTGAAGAGACTTGAGAATGAGAGGCCATGGCGTATAACCTCGCCGTTCGTTCCGGTGAGTTGTTCTTTTTTTCCCCTTGCTCCGTGTGTCTATGAAGCTCCCGGTTCGCGCGGGTAAAAGGGTCGAGTGATTGTTTGCCTTGATTGCATGGTGGTTGCCTGCCTGGGCCATCAGGCAGGCATGGTGACTATTTTGCCTTATATTACAGGCCACAATCCGATTCTCGGCCTTTGAAGTTACATTTCATAAGTGTTCAGATTGAGGCTGATTTGAATAGTGTATACATGAATATACAGGACAACGAAAGCAAGACAGGCAAACGTCAGGGACATCCACTTTCCATCCAGATCTTATTTGGAGAATCCCAACGCCAAGTACTCATGCAGAGTAGAACAAACACGGACGGATGGACACCGAGCTTGAATATCATACGAGCATACATACAGCCATATCGCATAGCAACGTGACTGCTAAATGTAACCACAAAGCTGAAAGTCAAAATAGATATAAGTGGGAACAAAGGGAATACAGCAATAGCTATAGGGGCTTGCATGGTTCACAAATCATCAAATAGCCGCTGCAATGGACCAGGGGCTTGAATCAGCAAGCGCCAGCTAAACTTCAAACGTCCTGGGGCCATAGTACGACCTACAGCCCCGACAAAACAATGTCTGAGAAGAATCAATCGTAAGGTAATTCATGAGAAGGCTGATGGAAGCAAGTACAGGATATCAGGCAAAACAAACGTATCTAAATATAGCGATAACCCCGGAAAGTGCCACATGTCTTAAACGGATGTCTCTTTTGCAAAGACCTCTTGGGCCGGCTCATGGATATCCGCTGGCTTTGTGGACTCGGGAACTGTGGCTGGAACTTCTCTTGAAGAATTTACCACTGGGCCAGCTGATGTCACCTCTGGGCTATGTGGTTCTTCGGGAATCGAAGGTGGTAGACCTGCTCCTGGCAAAGGTGATGTCGGGGAGCGTAATGAGTCGTCCTTGGGCAAGTCACTTGGTACCTCTATCGTGGGATTGCCATTTGTGTGGTTGGCCGTGGGAGAAAGTGGTTGGCTGGCAGTAGATGGTTCACTGTCGGAGCGACTAGGACTCTTGACTCGCTCACGATCATGACCACCATCGCGCACTTGGGCCACCTTGGCTTTGAATTTCCCAAACAAACTCTTCTTCTCTGGTTCGGCACTAGACACGGAATTGGCTTGGATACCAGCATCCAGACTAAGGGGCTGGCCAGAAGGATCGTTACTCTGATGGGCGCCACTGCCGATTGAACTAGTACTTTGCTGGAATTCGGGATTAGTGGCCCCAAGGGGAGGAGATGCAAGACCAAGGCCGACCTGTTCACTACTGCGCTTTGCAGAACGATTAAAGCGCCAGCTACGGCGATGATCTCGGCGCTCGGCACGGCTGCCTTCATCGTTCTGTTCAAAGTCAGAGGCGTCCGTGAATGAGGATCGCGAATTCATAGATGGTGTCCTTGACTGATGCGGTCGCAAGGACGTGTCGTTGTAATTCGGATGCGCAGTGCCCTCAGCCAACATGAGGTGAGAGTCCGATGGGCAATCAGGGTTACTGAGAGTTGCTGTGTTGGGAGGTTTTGGAGTGGCTTCTCCTACTGTCATATCCACAGACCGCCTTCCAGCCCTCGATTCTGAGGAGTGTTCAAGAGGTGGCTCATAGGATGATCCATGTAAGGAATTTGCGGAACTTTGTGCGCTGATGCTTGCACTGCCTGGAATCCGTTTCTTCCTGAGACGATTCGGCTGTCGTGGCTCTCGGTTATCGCGATCCGGAGGTGGAGATTTGGCGAAAAGGTTGGAGAGTTTACGCTCACGAGTTGGAGTAACAACTTGAGGCGGTAAAACTTGAGGTTGATGGGGTGGTAAGGTTGGTGTATCGAGGTTCTCATGCGGCCGAGGAAGGTCGCTAATACTGAGGCGTGCCGCGGCCGCGTGGGGAATAGGGCCATGAGTCGAGGTGTGAACGTAGGCTGAGCCGGTCGATGACGTGGACGCAGCCTGGCTGTTATTTCGTTGTTCCGGTTTTTGTTCAGTCTCCTCACGTAGAGATGGTTCTCGACTCGCCGAACGAGAGCTGGCGTGGGAGACCGAGAGGGTGGATGGGTTGGCCGAGCCGCTCTCACCTGCCCGTGCGTACCGTGCGGAGGCAACAACAGGGCCCATTTTGGAAGGAAGAGTATTACTGCGATGAATACTGCCAGACATGGAGGTAGGGGTGCCGGGGCTGGGGACCGTGTTAGAGACACGCGAAGTCCGTGAGTTGCGAGATGATACGGAAGCATTGCGACGAAGTGAATCTATCTTGCGGTGGCCTTCTGTGCTCCCGCTGGCACTCGAGGCTGATCGTCGAATTGTAGAGTTGGGTGATTTGGTGCCGGTGGCAGGCTGGGCTGTAGGGATGATGATTTTGGGCTGAACTCCAGCCTGGACCTCTTTGATGGTCTGTTCATCAGCTTTGGTACCATTCATACCCACCAGGAAATGATCCTGATTCTCAATCAAGAAAATCAGGACATCTTGGCTTAGCTTATACTCTTCAGGCGACATATCGTGTTGCGGGTGCGACAGCATGCCCGGTTGGAAAATCGCAGACAAGTTGGCTGAAGTCATGCGGTTCTGTTCTGACTTGGAGGCGAAAACAGCAAGGAGATCCAGAATATACAGCAACAACTGCTTGTTCAGCGGTGGCAGTTCGATAATCAAATTCTGGTAGGTCTGAACGGCATTCGCATGGTCAAACTTCTCTGCATCTGTTGTCTCAGTCTCCTCTTGTACCTGCTTCTGGTACGCTTTTAAAGGCTGTCGGAAGCGCTCATAAAACTCCAACGGAACAATAGGCTCCGGAAGCTGGTTCAAGTATCGCCGCAGCACGTTGGCCGCGTCGTGGACCGTATATCCGTCCCAGTCCAGACCCTTTCCGTATCTTTCAGGCGAGTCGAATAGCTCTTGAAGATCCTTGATGCGCTTCGCAGATCCGTTGAGTCGGAATATTCCTTCCACATCCGTGGCTAAGGTCCAGACAAGCCAGTCAGCTCAAACGAACGGGATTGGGGGAGCGTTTAATAGTTCCACGCACCTTTTTCTTTAAGAAAGACACCGCACTTGGCCACGACAATCGGGACGTATCCATAAATGAAATTCTCGCCATGTTCATTGGTAAGGGAGATTGCCACATTCGCATACTTGATGCTTTCGTTCAGCGGCACGCCAAAGATGCCTCGGGGCGGTTCTATTTCGCAGAGCGTTAGCTTAAACTCATATTTGCGCAAAATGAAACCTCATCGGGTAAATTAATCGCTCCTAGTAGCCAGAGAAGATTTCCGGCCATTTCCATGCGCCCGGAGGGTTGGATGCCTCAGGGGGTGGAGATTGGCGAGCGGCCGGTAGCCGATGACGCAGGATGCAATATGATGCGGGAGTCCTTGAAGTTGCCCGGCAAGCATACGAGGCTGGAACTTCCGAGATAACCAACGCACCTTTCAGCTCATCTTTTCTTGTGTTTCGTTTGAACTGTCTCCACCACGATGCCAGGTCTCGCTTGGACGGTGGGGAGGTGGCGCCCACGGGCTCGGAGGAGGTCGCGGGCAACTGGACCGGCTCGACGCCCGGTTGCGATTTGCCGGTCACCATGGTAGGGCCCGGATCAAAAGCGTCGGCGCCGGCGAGATCTTACGTAGTAGGCGAGATTTTGGGTGGTTCGAGATTCGAGGATTTTCAGCGAGCGATTTGGAGGGGAGAAATCGCGGGAATGTCAAGGTGCACGTCACCGCCCGTGGGAAATACCTGGGGCTGGGCCAAAGAGCGAACGAGACAGGAGCGAAGGGTGGAAAGGGATATAGGGGAGGAACGGGCCCGCGAATAATTATTCCAAGGGGAAGGAAGAAGGGATGGACAAGGGTGGGAAGGAAAGGGTTCGAGTCGAATCACAATAATGGGGGAGGGGAGGTGGATGAGCACGAGCCAAGGGCGTTGTGGGCTCCTCGGTTTCTTCAGAGCGCACGCCCTCTCTGTCCGTGTATGCGGTAGAGGGTTAAGTATTCGATTTAATGGCGTTGGAAAAGGGGAAAGGGAAATTCAGAGAAATCGATTATGTCGAGTCATCTCATGCAGACCCAAGGTTCGAGGCCGGGGATGAAACTGGGTTAAACTGGGTCAGGGTCGGCTGTCACTTTGTATATAGATTCGAGAGGCGGTCGGTAGATGTTGCATGGGGGGCGCAAAACAACTTTGAAGGATTAAAGCTGAATTGGAACTAAACGGTCGAGCTGGAAGATCGAATTGGACGATGTTTTCATCCCACATTCCGTCGAATTGTCTGGACTTTGAGAATTACGGGATGTTCATGTTCTAATTTAGGGGTCTGGCTGTGCCCGGATCCAGGTACCTGGACTCGCTCGGTAGGCGGCATACTGGGGGAGGTACCTTTGGTGTGGAGCCAGGCACCGGTCTTAATTAACCACCAATGAACGTCACCAATACATGGTCGATAATTTATTCTTAGGGGAGATGGGCGGAATCTCGTGACTGGACGATTCCAATTTATCTGTAATTAAGGAGCAGACAGTGATCTCTGGTACAGAAAGGACCAAGTTGAATCGAATCATTTGGCGCCGCAAACGGTCCCACAGATCATGTGACCGTTCCAGACTTGTCAGGTGTCTAGCCCCGGATGCCGGTCAGGTGATATGAATCACGTGTCTATTCACCAGGCAGGTCGGATCAATATACTTGCGGCCCGAAAGAAACAGCTTCGGAGCTTGCAGGCGTGTTCCGGCATCACGAACCATCAACATCCGGACCTTATCTCAATACCCTCGCCTCAGAATTCTTCCTTTTGCACTTTACATCACTACATAATGGAAGGGTGAGTTGTCTATTGCGCCTGATTTGCTTTTCAGCCACACGGTCAGGAGATTGTGGTTTCACGGAAGATTTGAAGCTGATCGAATATCTAGCCTCAACGCATCAGAGCAGCGCGAGTTCCAGAACCGCATGGAGCGCAAGCAGCTGAAGGAATTTATGACCGTACGTGCCAACCCTACCGTCTCATCTTTGCCTCCAATTGGTGCTACCAGTGGAACAGCCACCAACCCCAATCCTTAACACACCTGGCGAGAAATCATCTTGTCCTCTTTCCCCTTATGCAATCCTTCAAGCTGACTCAGATTCCTTGCTGCTCAGATGTACTCCAAAATGGTCCAGCGCTGCTTCGATGACTGTGTGAACGACTTCACCACCAAGTCTCTCATCAACCGTGAGGAGCAGTGCGTCATGCGCTGTGTCGACAAGCACCTGAAGAGCTCAGCCCGCCTGCAAGAGCGCTTCCAGGAGCAGAACGCTGCTATGATGCAGAGTGGTCAGATGGGCCCCCAGTAAAGCAACGCTTCAATTTAAAAATGGTTGAACTGGATGAGATCCGAGGAGACCCCCCCTCGGGTGCGCAGGGTTAGGAGGAAAGTGCTCCAGAAAACCTCCCTGTTTCTGATAGAAGCCAGCTTGGATGGATGAGCTTCGTATGGTCACTGCAGACCAAGGACATCCAACAAGGCTTGGTTCTCTTCGTGTACCATAGTGAAATCCGGGACGGGATGGACCGGGAACGAAAGCGAATTCCCCCATCCCTGATTCCCCCAAATATAAAAATGTAGCATTGCCGCAGTTGATGTGACTAAAGTTTTCATTGTTTCTTAATGAGCAAATCCCATGGATATGCATCTCTCATGTCCCAAAAGTTCGATTGGGTTTACAATTGGGGGGATACTTGCATATGTAGCCCCAATTGCGGAAAACTTTGCCTATTTCGGTTCCCGACTGTGGGCACAGATAAGCCATGAGTCTTCATAGTATCTAATCGCGTCTGTATGGATCTGTGACGCGGATTTCAGCTCCTTAGGCCGTCATCGGCTGATTGACCCGGTTCCCCCGATCCAGAATCTAGCTTCTAAGTTCTGAGAATTTACCATCCCTGCCCGGCATCGGGCCCAGTACCCGTTGGAGACCGAGATATTCGAGAAGCGCCCCTCATCCTCCTCATCTACTCCTCTTCTCCTGCCACCCCCACTCCCCTCACTCTGCCGGCTCCACTCCTTTCGCGAACTTTCCCTTCAAAAACCCATCTTTTCCCTCTTCTTCCTCTGTCAACCTTATTGTTCGTATTGACCACCCCCCCCCCTCACCATCACTATCAATCTACTAACACCCGTCCAGTTGTGTGGATATCAATTCCTTGACATCATACACTATGGCTAGCACAGTAGGACAGGTAAATTTTTCTATTTCTCCGATCAACATTGATCACATTGCGATCTGAAAGCTAAACATGATTAATGGCAGACCATCACTTGCAAGGTAAGAGCTTCTATGCAACCCCGCCAACAATGACGTCGTCCATCCCCGCGCCGGAACGCCACCAATTTTCATTTGACAAAGGCATAAAAGAAGTCATGAGAGAAAAGAAAAGAGGGGGAAAAAGCAAAAGAGAAGAACGAAAATACTGATCTAATTTAACAGGCTGCGGTTGCCTGGGGTGCTGGCGAGCCGCTCTCCATCGAGGATATTGAGGTCCTTCCTCCTCGCGCCGGCGAGGTGCGCATTCAGATTCACCACACTGGTGTCTGCCACACTGGTAAGCTCCGCTATAAACCCCGCCATGCAAGAAAAGTATGACAAAGATTGACACCATTTAGATGCCTACACTCTCTCCGGCAAGGATCCCGAGGGTGCTTTCCCCGTCGTCCTAGGTCACGAGGGTGCCGGTGTCGTTGAGTCCGTTGGCGAAGGTGTGACTTCCGTCAAGGTTGGCGACTACGTCGTCGCCCTCTAGTAGGTTCTAATTTGCATTGCTGTCTCAAATATGAGGATTCGGAAGCTGACCAGCGTAGCACCCCGGAATGCCGTGAGTGTAAGTTCTGCAAGTCTGGCAAGACCAACCTGTGTGGTAAGATTCGTGCCACTCAGGGTAAGGGTGTCATGCCCGACGGAACTTCGCGTTTCCGGGCTCGCGGCAAGGACTTGCTGCACTTTATGGGTACTTCCACCTTCTCCCAGTACACCGTTGTCGCCGATATCTCCGTTGTCGCTGTCACCCCCAAGATCTCCACCGACCGTTCCTGTCTGCTCGGTTGTGGTATCACCACCGGTTACGGTGCTGCCGTCGTGACCGCCAAGGTCGAGGAGGGCTCCAACGTGGCTGTCTTCGGTGCTGGCTGTGTCGGTCTGTCCGTCATGCAGGGTGCAGTTAAGAACAAGGCTGGTATGATCATTGCTGTCGATGTCAACGACGGCAAGGAGGCCTGGGCCCGCAAGTTCGGTGCCACCCACTTCGTTAACCCCACCAAACTGTCTGGCAAAACCATCCAGGAGCACCTGATTGAGATGACTGACGGTGGCTGCGACTACACATTCGACTGCACAGGTAATGTCGGTGTCATGCGCGCTGCTCTCGAGGCCTGTCACAAGGGTTGGGGTGAGAGCATTGTCATTGGTGTGGCCGCGGCTGGCCAGGAGATTTCCACCCGGCGTAAGTCATTGCATGACCCTTATTTTCTTCGAACGTTGTCGCTAACATGCCTCCTTTCGCAGCATTTCAATTGGTCACCGGTCGTGTATGGAAGGGATGTGCATTCGGTGGTATCAAGGGCCGAACCCAACTTCCCGGCTTGGTTGACGACTACCTGAACGGCGAGCTGAAGGTTGACGAGTTCATCACCCATCGCGAGCCTCTGTCCAACATCAACACTGCCTTTGAGCAGATGAAGCAGGGTGACTGTGTTCGCTGTGTCGTGGATATGAAATAAATAAGAAATATGTTAAAATAGTCGATGATTCTCAAAAGACCTGATGTGAAATATGATTTTCTTGTGTGCAAGCTTCCTCGGAAAACATCATTCATGCTGTTTTCTAATTCCTAGGGATTCCAATTGACTTTTAGGACTGAGAGGAACATCCAAGGTCCTCACCCCGCGGCACCTTGTGGGTGTTACGTCTTAGTACAACGGCCCACTAAATTAACAGTACCTACAGTAGACCGTTTCTCCAAGGATCCTGTTTGGGTCATCCAAATTGTTTCAGCTCTGGCCAGGATCGCTTACACTCGGCGTCGTGGACGGTACCATATTCCACTCGATTCCCACATCGGCGATCCTGGTCAGATACCAGGTCTCACAGCCACTTGAGTCGAGGCGGGCAGAGTCCGCGTTCTCCACCTTTTCTCCGCAGCATGTCGATAAGCTGCCCGATGTCGGTAGTCCATCGGAGAGAACATCGCGGTCCTAGATAGGGATACTCCCAATGGGGTGATCTTCACGGTGCAGACATGATACCACCGACGGACGATGTCCGGACTGAGGATTGGAAGGAGAGAGCGAAAGCATGAACTTATAAACAGCGTATCCTCGCGGCTGTTATCTTTATTTTAACCTGCTTCAATCATTGACTTCTACTCTTCATACTTCAATTCCTGTCAGTTGCAAGGGCTCGTTTGTCCTCACTCAATCAACCGGTTTTCAAATCGTTCATACGTCCCAGTCTTCCAACCAAAATATACTGCAATGACCAAAGAAACGCTCACCCTCCCCGAGCCCTTCGCCTCCATCGCGCGAACTCCGCTCCTCCTTGGGCCCTCGCCAATCCACGCCCTTCCCCGCATCAGTGCCGATCTCGCCCGTTCAAGCACCTACCCGCCAGTGACCATCTATGCCAAGAGGGATGATCTAAACTCCGCCTACGCCTATGGAGGTAACAAGACCCGCAAATTGGAGTATCTCCTGGCGGACGCGCAAGCTCAAGGATGTGACACACTAGTCTCCATCGGTGGTGTCCAGAGCAACCATACCCGCCAGGTTGCAGCCGTCGCAGCGCGGACGGGTATGAAGGCTCGTCTGGTTCAGGAGCACTGGGTTGACTGGACGGACAAGGGGTATGACTCTGTCGGCAATATTCAACTATCTCGTCTTATGGGCGCAGATGTGCGATTAGATCCTTCTGGATTCGGGATCGAGCACAAGAATACCGCGCAGGCGGTGGTTGAGGAGTCCAAGGCGAAGGGGGAGAAGCCTTACTATATCCCGGCTGGGGCGTCGGACCACCCACTTGGCGGTTTGGGGTTCGCACGGTGGGCATTTGAGGTTCGGCAGCAGGAGCAGGAGCAGGGTGTTTTCTTTGATACTGTTCTTGTCTGCGCTGTGACGGGTTCTACCTTTGCAGGTATGATTGCGGGTTTCAAGCTTCTGGAGCGCTTGCATCCGACAGACCCTAAGCGGAAAATCATTGGTATTGATGCATCTGCGACTGTTGATGCCACGCGCGAACAGGTCCTTCGCATTGCTCGCAATACCGCTAACAAGATTGGTCTGACTGCGGAGGATATTACCGATGCGGACGTCATTCTGGATGATAGATACCATGCCGGAATCTATGGAATCCCTGATCGTCAGACATGGGATGCGATCGAGTATGCCGCTCGTATGGAGGCTTTCATCACGGACCCGGTCTACGAAGGCAAGAGTTTTGCGGGTATGGTGGACATGATCAAGCGTGGCGAGATACAGGGCAGCAATGTGTTATATGCACACTTAGGTGGCCAGTTGGCCTTGAATGCGTACTCTGAACTTGGTGCGACCAAGGAATAAATAGGAACTCTTAAGGGCAATATAACAAGGCGTACAGAATTTACTGCAAATACAATTACAATTGGAGCAAAAAAAAAAAAAAAAAAAAAAAAAACTGTATGGGCGATACAAATGTTTCGTTCTTATATTGAGAAAGGAGCGACTAAAGTTGGATAACTAGCAGATAGCTCAAAGGACCAAGAGGCAGCCCAGAGAACCACCCTTAAAAAAGCTTGTGCTCAAGGGTCATCTCAGACTCAGGCTGGAGACCAACGCAGGCACGGAAGATATTAATCAGAGCCGAGCGCTGCTTGCCAAGAGCGTTGACGACGGGAGTACCCGCCGGGGTCAGAGGAGCTTTGAGCATGTAGCTGAGAATGCTGAGCACGCTGTGGAAACCCTTGTACTCGGCGCCCTCAGCATCGGTTTTCCAGCTGACACGAGTCATCATCTCAGCCAGGATAACCAGGTCGAGAATTAAGGGCGAGGCCAGGAGCGAGTCCTCACAAATGTTGAACAAGCTGATGGTCTGGTGGCCACCCATGAAGATCTCAGCGTAGTACTCATCGAGAGCACGCTTGTTGTCACCAACAGCAGGCATGTACTTGATGACGACAGTGTGGTCAGGGTGCTCATCCTTCTCGTAAAGGATGTGGTTAGCGGCGACCATATCGTCGACGACGTTGGACTTGGAGATCTCCTTAGAGCGGAACTGCTTCTGAGAGCTCAGGTTTTTGCCATCGTTGTTACCCAGGTGGTTGTAGCTGGCAATAGAGGTGAGCTTGATACCGGCGTTGATCAAGAAGTCGACCAGGGCGGACTTCATCTTGGTCTGGCCAGATTTGAAGTCATCACCGCCAATGAAGGCACCGTGTTGCTCAGCAAGCTGAAGGGCACCGGGGACAAAGGTGTTCTGGGGCGAACCGTTGATGAACGGCACGTTACCCTCTAGAATAGCGGCCACAGCAAACACAGTGGACGGGGCAATCTCAGCGTGACCGGTCTTGATCGAGTTGATCAGGTTCTCGGCAGTATCGTTGACGCCAGGGACAATATCAGCGTAACGCTCGGTGTTGGCAGTCCACATGATAACGACCTTGTCCAGACCATTCTGAGCCTTGAAGTCACTACATCCAGGATTAGCAAATGATTTCTACAAGTCACGGGTGTGATTCCAGACTTACCGAATATCCTGCTGGATCTTCTCGACGTGGGCCCAGCAAGCTCTGGTACCCTCGAGGACGTTGTCGGCACGGTCCTCCTGATTGGCGGCGATGAAGTCCGGATAGTAGATACTGGGCAAGGGGGTCATCTCGGCCATCTCCTTGCGGACAAGGGACTTAAGGCTAGGCTCGAGCACCTGGGCACGGTCCATGGAAGCAGCGAGGTTCAGGCTGCTGATGTCCCAACCACCAATGGCCAGATCGTCAGGGTGGACCATGGGAAGCAAATCGCGGAAGGGGATGTTGATCTCCTCGCCGGTCTTAGCATCCGAGCCCAGCTTGACGGTAGAGCTCATGACAATGGAGCCATAGTAATTGGCAGACTGCTGACCCTCGCGGGTATCCCAGGAAAGCTTGCGGCGGTTGGCAAGAATACCAGCGGTGACGGTGGAACCGTTATTTCCACCCCAACCAACCAGCATCATACCGACCTTGCCAACCTTACGGTCCACCTTGAAGTGGTAGTTGGTAGCCTTGGGGGTGGCCACCAACTTATTGTCGGTAGTACGAGTGACCTCGGTAGTTTGGTAGACATACTGACTCTTGATCTCGTCGGCCGTGTACTGGACATTGGGCGACTGGACGGTAAACAGAGGAGAATCTTGACGAGCCGGCCCGTTCACTGAGCCATTGGCACCATCCGAGCTAGCGTGAGGAGCCATTGTGTTCACGGGATTGAAGAGAGTGAACTTGAAGAGAAACTGTGGAGCGCGGAAGCTTTACTGAGTGTAAAGTGGTTGATCCGGTGCTCCTCCGCGGCTGGAGGTGCGTCGGCCGTTGAACGGGTGGTGGCGCCTAGAGAAAGGAAACATGTCAATTTTTTGTTCCAAAGCTGCAGTATTGCAATTGGAGCCAATGTGCTCCATGGTCTAGAACTTACGAGTTGAGGTGTGTGGAGAAAATGGTGCCGGTAGTATGTGATCACGTCTCGACGAGATGTGATCGAACCTATTGATAAGGCTTATACGAACCGTAAAGGTAGTAAAGGGGAAAGTGGTAATTGGATTGTTGGGGGGAAAGAGAGAGGAAGGAAGGTAGACCTGGAATTAAATAGTATGGCCCGCACGTGAGACTCCGCCGGGCTCCGGGGTTCTCGTGAGCCCCGGAGTTCTCCTGATTTCCATTCCATTTGCGCTAATATCCCCCTTTTTTTGTGGATTCGAGCTAATGAAAAATTGGTTTACTTTCGCTAATCCCTCCGAACTAAACTCTCTTCAGACCAAACAGTGGTCCCGGTGTTGAGAGGTTAGGCAGTGATTTCTGTACAGAGGGTATTTGGCTCGCCTAAAAAAAAGACCAAAGCAAAAAATGGAAAAAGAACACGCAGCGCATGAAAAGTGGGATCCGTTTATGTCCGATAAAGCTACAAGAGCCACGAGTCCCCAGGGACCAATGGCATCGTCAATCAGGGACGGCAGACCATGTTCGGCCGTCTTTGTTCCGGTGCCTGGCCTCCTTTCCTGTCCCGCTGTATTTTCTAGTCGAATTGCTTGAGAATTTTGCTGTTCCAATACTCAACTGTCATTTGCGGATGCAGCAGATCATCGACTACCCCTCGATCCCACACTGGTGATCCGTGCCTCTGCACATGCCGAGAGTCGGCACCTGCGCGGGGCTAAAACAAGGGGAAAAGCAAGCGGTCTACACATCATGCCCCACTACACCCACACCGCACTTTGACGTGAGCGAGAACGGAGTATGTCTCATGGCATGATCCTCGTTATGTGAAATGTGTCAATGCTTTAGCTTAGGAAATCTTTTGCAAATGATTTTCTACCATTCCAAATTTTTTGAATATGCCCAGCCATGTAGTCATGTTATGCAACGTCTCTTTAGATAAGGCTCTGATCTGAATAATTTTGCTAATCTAATTAGCCTCGGTGTCAATGCAAATCATTTCTAATTCAGGGTTTTCAGTGCTTTGGTCTGAAAGTCGCCCGATCTCTACCTTGGTATCATGTATTATTTGATCTTTGTAAGACTTCATCCCCGAGAGGACGAACCCACGTCTTCCAAGTGTTCTTCGGTGGCCATTTTGTTGATGGCACTGCGCTCCGCCAACCTGGTCTCGATGCCGAACAGTCGGGACATCTCCTCGAGTGACCGCCCCCGAGTTTCCACTATGTAAAAGAAAGTCAGTCCGTGCTCGTGCTAGAAAGAAAATCGACTGACCTAGACAGTATCGGACAAAGAAGAAAGCAATGACACAGATGCCCGAGTATATGATGTACAGACCCCAGCCAATGGCATCACCAATGGGTGGGCTTGCCTGTGCAACAATATAGCACGCCGCCCAAAGTGACGCGGTGGTGAGAGCATTGCCCTTGGCTCGCATAGACCCGGGGAAGATCTCAGCCGCGTAGGTCCATGACCCAACGCCCCAACTGATGTTGAAAAACACATAGAACAGGTATGGAAATATGATGATAGTATAGTTTGCACTGTCATCGGGGTGGTGCCCAGCGTGCCACTGCAGCACAGTAATCCCAATCATGGCCCCCATCATTCCGACGGTTCCAATCTGCAGCCATGTCTTCCGACCCAATCGATCAAAGTAAAAGATTGGCACCCAAGAGAAGACAAACAGCACAATACCCACACCTCCTGTTGCAAGGTTCGCAGTGCGTGGGTCCTTGATTCCTCCTCGTTCGAATAGAGATGGCTATATTGATAATCAGTAAACGCCTCTATTTTTGTAGTGGTGATATGACTTACAGTGTAGTAAAGAATGGAGTTGGTACCTGTTATCTGCTGGAGGAACTGGACACCCATTCCCAAAAGAGTCACTCGCAAAACCGGCTTGGTGAACATGTCTTTCCAAGTCGCCTCGCTGACAACGTGCTCAAAATCAATCGAGGCCTGAATCTCCAAAATTTCTAGATCAGCTGCCTCGGATCCGTGAAGTCTTGTAAGAACCTCTCTGGCACATTCTTGTCGGTCTTGACTAACCAACCATCGGGGACTGGGAGGAAGCCAGAACCAACACCCAAGAGCAAGGATCGCTGCAGGTAATATCTGGATGGCTAACGGAATGCGCCACCAGTCATCTGTTTGAAGGAAGTTGAACCCATAGTTCATCCAGAATGCAGCCAATTCTCCCAGACACAGAATCATTTGTTCGATGGCGACGATTCGGCCTCGAATAGCCGGTGGGGACAATTCGGCCACGTAGAGAGGCACACCACCTGCGCACGCGCCAACGCCATATCCTAGAATCACTCGACCAATTGTCTATATAGTCAGCACGATCCGCATAGTAGTAAGAAAGCAGGGCTCTGGCCTTACGATCTGTGCAATCGAGTATGATGTCGCTTGAAGGACAGCGCCGACGATAAATACCAAACAAGCAACAGCAAGGGTCCGTTCACGCCCGATTGGGTCTGCAAGGTATCCGAGTGACATGGCCCCAAAAAAGCATCCGACATCGTATAAGGATACAACCATGCCTATAACCCCTGAGTCGGGTCAGCTTGGTGCTCATGTAAATTGCTGGTTCACGTACAGGAGTTCTTCGGTTGCATCAGATCAATCCATCGTTGATCAGCCACGATCACACCCATCACCCCTTGATCATATCCGAAAAGAAACGCTCCTAGGGACGCGAAGGCTGTGACCGCGTAGAGATAAGGCGTGTTACCCACCCGGACTTCGAGGGAGTCGGTACCAGGGGGTGGCCGAATCAGTTTGGTTTGCTTGATGGATATCATGGTGACGAGTAACTAAAGAAAAAGATGAGAACAGGAATGTCCTCACATGTTATATACTCAAAATGCAGTACCTACACTCGATCCGATCCGAGACACCGTTCATTATCTGGGGTTTATGCAGCAACTTCGGCGATAGTCCGGTTGTCATTTGCGCTGGAATGCAGCTTGAACGCGACGTAGGATCTTTTCTGTTGAGCGGACTTTAGGTGTGTGTCGCCATTCTTGCTGATCATTACCCCGATGAGACCTGAAGAGGGAATTTCGACGCGCGATGGTTGGTCTGTGCGCCTAGATCACTGCGGGGAAGCGTGAAGATATCTCCATCTTTAGCGACGGAGAGTTTGTAGACGATCATGGGTATGGATCAGGGTTTTGATCGCCAATTTGATCTCCTGTTGATCACAACCTACGGGTTGTCATCTGGGCAGGTAGACCCTGGCAAATGAATCAGAGGTTCCGGGCGAGGCTTGCAGGAGATTTCAACTTGAGCGGGGGGAAAATGTATATATATCAACGCATAGCTCACTTGCTACAATCGCCAACTGGACATCTAGAAACCGACAACAATGACAATATTGAGTTTTAGAAAGCTCAACTCGAGACGGACGCTTGCGGGCACTTGAAATATTGAAGTTGAATCTGCCTTCAATTGATTCAACTTCGAGATTTGGTTTTACATAAGCCGCATACTCTGCGTCCGATCGATTGATTATTATCTTACAGTAGATTCATGCCTTCAATATGGGCAATGACGTCTACCACGTTCCTTTGTCCGGCTAGTGATCTACAGAGCAATCATAATCAAAGGGTCACGAAATATGCTAATTATAGGGATACCGGTGGAGACAAGGGGCTTACGAGTTACGAGAGAGACGGTATCTATGGCCCTTAGCTACTTCAGATATGCTTTGCATGGTCTTGTTGCCGTCGAAAAAGGATAAAAATTTCCTTTGAGAGTCAAGTTTTTTACTTAAAACTACATGAACGGTGTAGTCCAATTAATTTACCAAAGCGTTGTGAGATTTCGCAGATAAATGTTGGACCAGCCCGCGCGAGCCAGGGGAATGAACAGAAACTTGGAATGTCGGCACAGAAACAATAAATCAGTGGAGACAAGCTATCTCAGAAGGAGGTACCAATGAAATTGGAAGTCAATTTTTTCTAGAAAACTCTTTTTTACCCCATTGGAATTGTCATTGCGTGGTCAAAGTCAATACAAACACATCGTTAATTCGGTTCTAAACCATATTTGAGCCTCGATGACGCGTTTCCTTGGCCTGCGAGGCAACCGCCTCAATATATTCTCAACACTTGGCGTCGCTATGCCCGCCCATATGTCGGTTGGCTATAATCTAGCCTTGTTAGGGAGGGGGGGGGGGGGGGGGGGGGGAGGGTGTTGACCCTACGCAGCTTTGAGGAGCAGTTCCCTGAAATGGACGTAATCAATGCCAACCCAGCCGAGAAGCAGGTCATATCCATTCTCTAGGGCACTGTGGTTGCTTTATTTGCCATCAGAGCCTTGCTTGGAACCCTCTCATGCATCGGGTTAGGCGATATCTTGGGTCGCCGCCGGGTCATCATAGTGTCTGCGGCCCTCCAATTGATAGGGACAATCATCATGACAAGCGCATTTTCCTTTACACACCTGATTGTCTCGCGGGTTGTAGTTGGCCTTGGTGTTGGTGGACTACTGTCGACTGTCCTTGTTTGGCAAGCAGAGATCTCTCCAGCGGCAAAGCGTGGCACCCATGTTACGACTAGTGGGATCTTTGCCTCGATAGGTGGCCTGTTTGCCTTGGCCTTGGATCTTGGGATGTCATTCGCTCCTGGAAGTGTAGGGTGGCGCTTCCCCATGGCATTCCAAGCTCTGCTGTCCCTGATGACTATGGGATTTACGTGGGTTCTTCCTGAATCCCCTCGCTGGCTCATGATGCAAAATCGAGTGGCGGAAGCACGGGAAGTTTTCACGGTCTTGGGAGCTGTTGTTACCGAACATCCTAAGATAGAGAATGAGATTCAAAACGTACAGTCATCCCTCAACCAAGGAGAGAACTCATCAAATCGGGTATTTGAAAAGGGACCACAGCGTATATTCCATCGCACAATCATTGCCGCAAGCCTGTTAATGTTTGCGCAATGCACGGGCATCGATGTTGTTGGACTCTATAGTATGTGATATCCCTTTCAGGACACCTCCCGTCCTGCTAATTGTCGCTCTAGCAAACATCATATTTGAAAGCTACCTGAACCTGGACCCTTTACTTTCCAGGGTTCTGGGTGTGGTTTACCAAATAGTCAGTCTCCTGGGAGGCATTGTATGCGTTTTTACCGTTGATGGACTGGGCCGGCGGACTCTAATGTTGTCAAGCGCGACAGGCAATGCCATCTGTATGGCTCTCGTGGCTGGATTGGGCTCTCAGACTGAGAATAAAATGGTCATTCACGGGTCTGTCGTATTTATCTCCCTCTTCCATTTCACCTTTATCGTTGGTTTTGCTGGGGTGCCCCTGCTCTATGCGTCAGAAATTGCACCCTTGAAAATGCGTGGCACGATCAACGGTATCAGCATCAGCACTCTTTGGGCATTCAGCTTCCTCATCACAGAGGTCACACCAATTGTCTTTGAAGCTAATGGATGTAGATTTTTCATCGTTTTCGCTACTTCTAATGTGATCATCATGGCAGCGGTATACTTCTTATTCCCAGAGACCTCTGGGCACACCCTGGAAGAGATAGACCAGATTTTCATCTCCTCGAAGACCATTTGGGAGCCGGTCTGGGTGGCTAAGCGGCTGTCACAGTCAGACCCGGAGGAATTGCAGAGAAAAGGACATACGACCCTGAAGGTGTGAGGACGTCAATGAGTGAGCATCGCATAACGGTGAAACTACAAGGTACCTAGTGCTATAGAGGGCAGATCATTGATACGTTCCTTGGAAACAGCGTATCCCAGATGTGTTTAATAGCTTCGGTTGATTGTAGTTTGAGAAATGAAGTCAAATACTTGTTCCGTGGTTCTCCACACGCGAAATCCACACAGACTTTCCCCGCTTCCACCTCAACCTTTCCCCATCCCAGTCATGATAGCAGCAAGAAAAATCCAATGCTGGTAAGAGGACCACCAGCGACCAAGATAAATATACTGATTTTTTCATAGTGACCCATGTCGGCTACTCCATCATAAATGTGATCACCCTCACTAATGATTCCCAATTTCTCTGACCTGAGTAGGCGATGGAACTCTCCCACAATGCGGCCGATGTGCGCGAACAGGGCGCACATGTGCACGAGGCCAAAAGCAGGCAAACTTTCGCCTGGCGAGAGGTCGAGAGCATAGAACTCGGTTTCCACGCAACCAAGTCTGGCTTAAACCGCCACCCCGAGGTTGGTCGTAAGTACTACTCTGGCATGGGACACGGTCTGACATTGTGATCCCAGTGGACTTTGTACTGGAATCAGGAAATGGAGAGCTAGACGGAACGGTGAATATGTCGTTGGTGGATGGTCAATCTGAGAATGTGCACTCATTTGCCGATCGCAATGAAGTGTCCAACTCCGAGGCGTCGGCGCATCCCGGGCCAGTGGTGCAAGAAGCAGTCCATATACCGAACCATCGACTTAATACCGACCGATATGAGCTTACCACTTATAGGTCATCAAGCGCAAATCCAGGGCCACAGGCCAGAACGCGTTCTTGGCCTTTGAGAGATCCAGAGGAGGCCTCCCTTTTGATGCATTTCGTGGATCATATTTCATCATTTGTGAGCCGTACTGTTGCTTGCGGCGGTCGCTTCCCATCTAATAATGAGATTCTTAGTTTGACTGTACCGACCGACAACAGCATTTTGCTGTTCACATACCTTATCGTGCACGGTATTGTGACACCTTGTTTAACGCGATCATGGCATTGTCCGCCCGTCACTTAAGTTGTACCACTGCTTTCAACACATTTGTATCAGATCGGTACTATCAAGCGTGCCTGAAGACATTGATACCAGCATTGAATGACCATGGGGTTACCATGGATGACGATTTGCTAGCGGCGACCGTGATTCTCCGACTGTTAGAGGAGTTTGATGGTGAGTGGACCTCCCCACCACGATGTTGTCACTACGCGTTAAAATCCACTCTGTTAACGACGATCACACTCCATAGTCCCACTGGCTGGGTCTGATCTTCGAGGCCATTCCTTTGGCACCAAGGCTTTCATTCAGGGTCCTCCCCCGTCCGCGACGACAACCCCAAGCCTACGGCAAGCGGTCTACTGGAGTGGTCTTCGCCAGGAAATTTTTAACGCACTAAGCCTGCAACAGGCCCCAGATATCGATCTCAGTTCTCTCCACTCTCTATTTTTCGCCCTGGGGCCGGATGCTGGAGACTGTGCCTGGGCCAACCAGGCGATCGCCCACTGTGCAGATGTCCTCCTCTTCTCCTTTGGCATGGGTCCACACTCAGTGGCCGAGCATGACAATCTGCGAAAGCAAAATAATGAATGGCGCGACGGGCGACCGGCATCCTTCGACCCCTATTTTGTTGGCGAGGACGTTGAGGTAGGTGTTAGGTTTCCTGATATTCGGTTTGGCTCTCCCTGGCATGGTAGGTTCTCCGACTGCAATGACCTCTCCGGTGCTCCACAGAAGTCTGACCTGTCTTTAGCAATAGGAAACCAATATAACGTATTGGCCCGAGTTCTGCTCTCCGTACACAACCCTAGCATCCCGACCGTTGGGTATTTGCGGAGGCGACTTGCCGCGGAGGCCGATGTGAGTGCTTTATGTTCATAAGATGTTAGGGTGAACCCTAATCGCTGATGTACTGTATGACCTACGTAGTTCCAAATCCGTAAGGGGGTATGGACCGTGTGTGGTGTGGCGCTATCTAACTCTTCTGTCCCTCCTGCGATGGTTGTTGGATGCATGGCCATTCATCTCTGTAAGTGCATTTATAACCAGAGCAAGGGGCGAGGACTGGGGAAAAAGCTAACGGGTCCAGGTGGTCATCGATTCACAGATCGACAGGAACAGAACCGGTTAATCCAAGTTTTGACCAAAACCTCCGGTCGGCACGGCTGGCCAACCCATTTCCTCGAGCGTCAACTTCGCGACACATGGGGCATGGCATGAACGGCCCCATGGTTCCATGCAGATATCTGCCAGAAAGATTCATTTGTGGGATCTCATCTTACACCGTACGTAAGCGGCGTTCATCGGGCCCAAAGCAACCCCCTCGTTGCCGACCTCATAAGAGGCTCACGGTGAGCTCGAGGTGCGGAAAATGCAAGTCGCCGATCAGAGCACATTAAGATTGAGTCGGTGACACCGTGACAGAGTCATTTCTTTTTTTAGAGAGATTGGAGGGACTCGGGCGATGATCAATTACATTTCCTCGTATGGGAAAAGATCACGGATTGTTATGATTGGGGGCGAGTGTTGGCACGTCAGCGGCCTTCGATCTAGATCGGGGGGTTTTGCAGTTTACGGTTTACCTCCTTGGAATTGTGGTGTTTAGTGGCTCCACCGATCCTGCATGGACTTCAGACTGCATCATGATTGGACCTGGAGGGGGGCAGTGGAACCAGTCCGTGGATCCGAGGACCCTTTGGTTCAAAAGTGTACACAAAAACGTACCCAAATACGCCATGAGCGAGACGAGGTGTTCGCAGTCCCTAAATACTACCCCTGAACTATATAGATCAGCCAATCTCGACAACGGATGGAACCATAAACGAGGTGCCCCGGTGGGGACGTTACCTGCGTACTTGTCCTTTAGAAGCGCAAAACCAATCTAAAGATTGCATCAGCCTGTGGATTTTTGTGGAACAAGACAGGGACAGAAGAAATAATGACAAAAGAAAAGAAAAGATGCAATGAATTACCCCTGAACGTGGACTTACGAGTCCTTTCATCCGCAATGGAGACGCTACGTGACTAGCGCGGTGCATGGGGACACCGACTGGTTCCCGCTTCCCACTCACGATAGGCGATCGTCCCAATTTCCCTCCACACCCCAAGGTAACGATTCCAAGCCTATTTCAAATCTACCTCTTCCAGAAATCCAAGTTCCTTCTTTATCATATTCTGAACTTCCCCGATAGGTCCAAGGGATGCAGCTGGGGTTATCCCGCAATTCCCATGACCATCAGGTCTGAAATAAAACATGGCCATGGATATGGATATGGGCTTCTTGCCCACTATTAAATGCTCCAGTTGTGGGAACAATGTTGAGATCTTCGCGATGGGAGACCATGTGTGTGCCCCGGTCTTTCATGGTAAGGCATATCTCGAAACCACCTCAGATTGTAGCTGACACGCGAGCAGCCCCTATTGCACCCCCATCACCGCCCCCGTCCGCGGGGTTCGATTCCGCAGACCGACTGACGGCTGCGATGGCTGTCAAACCCGGTCGGTCTGGGGCTCCGCCACGGATTGATCCGTCGATCGCAAGTATGTGATTAGTAAAGACGTAGAGAAGATATCACTGACAACTAAGTCCAGATCGTGCATTCCTTCAACCGAACATACCGACGCCAGCGAGCAGCATTGGGCAAGCACCGTCGCCGCTTTCAGTGTCAGCGCCTCGCTCACCCTTTCAACCATCCCCTCGTGAGCAAGTATCACCGGACGATGAATCTGTGATTAATCTAGACTCGGTGTTTTCATTTCCCATGCCGGGAAACCGGGCGCCGACTCGTATATCGACACCGGGGTTGTTAGGTGAAGCGCCATCCCGATCTATGACAACCCCATCTCCACGACCAGGGCTCGGGCTGGATCTGGTACCGGAGAACATACAACTTCCACCGAGCCCCCTTCCACCAGCTCCTGAGACCATGGACGTGAGTCACCAACGGGGGGATTCTCTAGCTAGCCATAGCAGCTACCGCACCTCTTTGGCAAGCACTCGTTATGGCAGTTCGACAGCAAGATCCTCAACGAATAGCTTCTCACGGGGGTTTCGCACTTTTATAGATGATACGCCGCCGCTGCCACCTGCACCACTCCGCACACCTAAAAAGTCCTCCTTCTCGCAAGATTTGCATTTGTCGTTACGTTCATCAAATCGGAGTGACCGACCTGGGGAAAGTTATAGTGGATTTGATTTCGACCTTCCGGCAGGGTCTACGGCCTTGCACGATCTCCCTGAGGGGCGGTCTCCCACGGATTTGTTCAAAGGCGACCCCGATCACCTCTTAAGCATACCCCCGCAGAACCATTTACATCCTGCGGCTGCCGAGTCAGCATACGATGAGCCAAGAAAGAATTCCGACGCAAGCGAGAGCAATATGTCTATCACAAGCTTTGCACGAGCTCTGGGTTTAGACGAACATATGCCCGAAGCAGAGAGCTCTGTATCATCCGACTCGCGATCAGAGACCCGCAGTGGAAGCTCCATGTCTAGCCTTCCATCCGATGTCAGTGTCAACCGATATAAGCCTGCTGACCCTCTCAATCTGGGACCCTTGGTTGAGGAGTTACCCGTACGAACGCGACAGACTATCTTGGAAGTACCAGGTCGCATGCGTAGCCCGATGGATGATGTTCCCACCATTCCCGCTGCGTTCTTTAGTCCAGATTCCCCGACTGATCCAGCTATTCACCATGGCAGTTTATCATTGATTGCGGAGAGACGAGAGAATCAAATCCCAAAGTCAACACCCCAGGAAGCCCAAGCATCCCGCAATTTTGAGGAGCCTAAAGAACCTGAACCTGAAGTACCTCTCTCACCTAAGCCGGTGCAGCGGTCGGCGACGGCACCTATTCCCCGACCCTCAACTCGATCTACAACGAGGAGCAAGGGCCTATGTAAAGGCTGTGGCGAGGAGATCACAGGAAAGTCAATCTCTTCGTCAGACGGTCGTTTGACAGGGCGATACCACCGTGGCTGTTTTGTTTGCTTTGAATGCTCCTCGCCTTTCCCATCAGCCGATTTCTACGTTCTGAACAACCGCCCGTATTGCGCACAACACTACCACGAGCGTAACGGATCTTTATGCTCTACTTGCCATTGCGGAATCGAGGGTCAATATCTGGAAACTGTCGAGCGGAACCAGAATCGACCCGAGCGCCGTCGCTTCCACCCCGACTGCTTGCAGTGTCGTGCGTGTCATGTGCTCCTGAAAGGCGATTACTTTGAGTGGAACGGAGGCGTATACTGCGAACGAGATGCCCGGCGCGCAGCAGCAACCTACTACCCACCATCGCCCGGTCTTCGACGACCTACGATCGGCTCCTCACCCCTGGCTCAATCTGCTAGATATCCTCCCCCAAGCAGCTACCCGCATCCTCAACAAAACCAGGGTCTTCGCCCCGGCCCGCGCTTCCCCCCTGGTGGTGCTGGACGCTTCCCTGAGCGAAGGACTACCAAGCTTATGATGTTTTAAAAAAAGGAGGTTTCTTGACCTTATTCTCTGACCTGCCCGGTGCGGCGTCCACTGGGACATCCTGCTTTGAGCTGGACTCCTGTTCTGTTTTACCTGCTTTCTCAATTCCCCTGATTTTGACGCCAATTTTTATCTCCCTGGAATATCCTTTGTTTTTAGGCTGCGCTATACCCTCATCTGACTCTTGACGCATTTTCTTTCGGCTACCGCCGACCTGGCGTTTGTCATTCGTTTTGCATCCTGGATTTGCCTTCTCACTGTATCAATTGATCTATATACCATTCACTTTTGTCATTTTCTGGCGCCGCGATATGGACCAACGGGTTTCTCCCTTCGGTCAGAGCTTGTCGCATATCTTGATTTAGCCTCATGGAACCGGTGTTTGGTCAGTCGAGTGTTGTTATTCTTTCCTATATAACTTGGGTGAACATAATGCCTCATTCATAAAACTCGAAATAATTCTATTACCAACGCTGCTTAATGCAGATCTCTTACGCCCGTCACGTCATTTTCCTCTCGTCAAGATGCACACGCTCCACCGTTGGAAGATATTTCCTCTTGAGGAACCAACCAAACGTCAGAACATAGAATGCCACTAGCAAGATCTCTACTCGCTGCCCAAACGTCAGGCGATCTGCCTTCGGATCAAGTGAGGCCAGAGGTCCCTTCTTCTGATCCAGTTCCCATTCTTCACAGACCTTCTGGAATCGTGCAGGGTCGTCTGTGATGATGCCATCGACTTTGTGTCGAATACCCCAACGCATTAAATTTGGCACGTTCACAGTCCACAGGTAAACTTTTCGACGTGCCGCGCGCGCCTCCTCCAGAAACCCACGACCTAGCGGACCCATCAGGATTTTCTGATTGATGTTGAATGAAATGCGAGGCACCTGTAAGAATTGGCGAGCGTAGCTCAAGTCGACACAGATCAATGCCATCTCATAACGTGGCAGATACTTTGCACGAGGTGGTAAATATCTGGCTGACCAGCAGCCAAGAACAATACGTCGATGCCAATCAGGACCTATGGCTGGGATGGGTACTGTTTCGACCGCCTTGGCGATACCCTGCATGATGGCAGTAGGATCGTTATTAAGCTAGTGGCGGTCAGCTACGGTGACTTTTTTTTCCAGGCTAATCGATACGGGGTCTCAACATACCTTGATGTCCAATAAAACCCAGATATGCTCACGTCCTGGCTGTCGCAAATATTCCAGGACATCAACCAGCCGGGGCATTGGCTCATGCGGCGCTTCGACTGTACGAAGAGTTTGCAAATAGTCCCAGTCGCATTCGGTAACTTTCTTCTTAACACCATAACAACGTTGTAGTGATGCATCCTGTACTTACTGAGCATGATTCTCGACAAATCTTATGACCACAGAAACACTCACATGTGACAAAACGATCACTCCATCCCGGCTGATATGCAGATCAAGTTCGAGTGCATGAGTACCTGCCGCAATGGCTTTATCAATTGCACAGATAGTATTTTCAGGATAGTGACCCTTATACCCTCGATGGGCGATAGTCTGTGGAAGATGGGAAGCATTGTGTAAAGTCGGTGAATGTAAGAAATGCGCTGTGGACTGGGTTAGTGTACAATGCTGGCATGGTACTGATCTTAGAGTTACAAACCTGGGATATCAGCTTGAGGTGATGAAGGGCCGTCTGTCATTATGTCAAGGTGGTATTGTGAGGAATAGCGAGAAAAAGTGCAAGTGACGAGGCATTTATCTTTCGGAGTTTGTGCGGATTTAACGGCGTCTCCGCTGCCCTTGGCGGGTTCGCCATGCGCATCTCTGCTTTGGGCGGAATGCTGCTGAACTGCGCACGGTGTCATCATGACATGTGTCCAAGCGCAAAACCAGAGAATTCTATACACGCCTCAAAGAATTAATTGATGCTGAAGAATGAAGGTTGGAGACGTCCGGACGGATGAAGCCTCATGGAGATGACTAAGCTATGGCATTTCTCCAACTCGGCGACTTCTCCTTTGGCCGATCAAACGAAGTATTTCGACTGTGGATTTGCCCGTTATAATATTCATTTCCTCCTAACAATTTTCGATACTCCTAAACATGAGCATTCAAAAATGGATCACGCCTCTCCAAGGCTTGGATAGCCTCCGCCAGATAGAGGACTCGATGCCAACACCCGGCGCGGGGCACGTACTGGTGAAGATCAACGCAGTCTCCCTCAACTATCGAGACGTTGAAGGTGAAGCCCCCTCAAAGCACGAAGAATATAACCAAGAAAGTGACCTGATAACTGATAAGTACTTATCAGTGACGAAGGGTGAATATAAGCACCACAAAACCGCCGATCAAGACGCCACCATTGTGCCATGTTCGGATATGTGCGGCACCATCATCGCCATTGGACCTGATGTATCACAATGGACCGTTGGAAACCGCGTTTTGTCTACATTCCTACCCGAGCATCAAACCGGCCAAGTGATGGAGAACCAATTGGCAGGAAGTCTGGGCCTCCCGCTGGACGGCGTCCTCGCCACTCACCGCATCTTCCCCGCACACGGATTGGTCCTAGCTCCTGCATTCATGTCTGATGAGGAAGCATGCACCTTGCCAATTGCCGCGGTGACGGCCTGGATGTCTATCAATGGGATGCGACCAATGGGGCACAATGGCGGTAAAGACGAGTATATCCTGCTCCAAGGGACTGGGGGTGTAGCCATAGCAGGATTGCAAATCGCCAAGGCTTCTGGGGCTAAAGGTAATATCACTCTATTATTGAAAAACAGGACCAGGTTGCTTAGTGCTGACTATTTAGCCATCATCACGTCCTCATCCGATGAAAAATTAGATCGAGCCAGAAAGCTAGGTGCCGACTTTACAATTAACTACCTCACCACTCCGAACTGGGAAGCAGAGGTAATGCGAGTCACGGATAACCACGGCGCCGATATTATTCTCGAGACTGGTGGAGCACAAACCCTCAGAAAAAGCTTTGACTGCATTGCGTTTGGTGGCCTCATCGACTGTATTGGCTATGTATCGGGCAAAGTCGATGCGGCTGATGATCGGATGAACGTGAATTTATTGGCTTTGCGACGAACGGTGACCCTCAAAGGCATTATCAACGGCCCCAAGGATCGGTTTGAAGAGATGGTCCGATTCTATGAGAAGAACCAGATTCATCCAGTGGTTCATCGGGTGTTTTCTTTCGCTGAAGCTAAAGAGGCATTCAAGTTTTTAGAAAGTGGTAGTCACTTCGGAAAAGTGGTTATTAAAGTATAGCCTTAGGATAAAAGATAGTACCTTAGACTAGGTACATGTTGTACTTTACTGGTCATTCCCACTCGTGTTGATAGCTCCCTTCATCGGACCCAAATCTTCCTTAAGACGAGCCCCACCGACCGTCAATGGCTTACAGTCCTGCAGCACAAACGCCATGCGCGTCCATTCGGTCGTACTCGGGTTTCGCCAACCATGCATAGTAGCACGTTGAATAGCGTGGTCACCCCGCTGCAACAGAACGGGCTCCCCTTCCTCCAAAATCATCTCAATCTGACCTTCCAACACAATGCCATAATCAAGACTTTGTGTCCGATGAACGGCGCCCGGGCTGTTAGGCGCAAAGTCCACAATGCGGAACACCGAGCCGCCGGGGTTGACCAAGCCCAGATTTCCAGACTCGATCAGCTTATTATGGGCTTCCAGGTCGGCGTCGTTGTTCAGATCCGGCGGGAATTGCGAGGTGGTGTAGGCAACACTAAAGGACATTGGGTGCGACTGGCCTGCAGTGACATGGTTGTGGAAAGAGAGGGGCACTTCGGTCGAAGAGTGGAGGATAGCCTTTCCCTCTGCATTGTGGCCGGTGATATGTCTAGTCACAGGTCGAAGGGCTGTAGCTTTATGGCGCTCGACGGCGTCCATGACGTCTTGTGAGGCGGGCATGATGATGATATTCTAAAAACGTTTGAATTTAAAGAGAGATGTGAGGAGAGGAAGGGGAAAGCAGATGCACCTCTGAAATAAAAAAGGATAATTATCGCAGACCTGCAGCTCCTCATCCTGTCCAACCCCTCTTTTCATGTGCGGTCACACGTAGTCGCATCGAAGTTGCAGCGAGCTTCGCGGAATTTCGGTGTCTCAGATAAGCCGAATGCAATAATCATGCATTATGAAGGTATATACTAGTCCCAGAGCTGCATAAATACGCATTAGCTCATAGTCTCGGGTTCGAAGGAATAAGCATCCGCATCTCCACATTCGATCGTTCCGCCGAACTTCCCCGCGAGAGGCGGTGCCGTATTGATACAAAGAGACGAGTATGCATAACAAAGTCATATTCTCAATACGTACAGACGTGCTCGCATTAAAGGAACCAACGGAACTCGGGCGATGCAGGACCATCTCGCATTCGCTCGGTAGGAATATCCCGCGCTCGGATAGTCACACCATCGCGCCGATCGCGCCGCTTGTTATCAAGCCACATATACAATGCTAGCAGACCCGCTAGACAGGCACCTGTCGCGCCAAATGCTGACACCGTAATCAATGCGGGCATATACTTAGGCGCATCTTGCTCACGGAAGACATTGCTGCCCACCAGTCCCATCAGATTGGCTAATGGGACACCAATACTGGTTAGAAGCACACGGCGGCCCTCATGTGCAATGTTGTTATTATACCATGTACTCAACATGACTGACGGCGCTGAGGTACCCCAGGTCATCATGAAAGTGGCAAAGTAAGCCACCTGCAGCTCGCTATGGACGTCGTCGATGGACGCATAGATCATGAACCCGGAAAATGTGAGTAGGAAGCCGAGAACGATGAATGGTGATCGCAGTCGTGTCCAATCAGAGAGGAATGCCAGAACAAGCAGCATGACCGCACCCGTCACGTTCGGGGCCACTGTGTAGAGGTTGGTCTTGACAGTCGGATAGCCTAGGCGTGCGACAATCTGCGGCATGAAGAGGGCAACGCCTTGCAAGGGGACACCGAGACAAATTTCAATACACAGAAAAACATAGGTAGTGGGGTGTTTGAAAATCACAAGAGCTTCGCGTAGACTGAACTTCTCGTTCACCACGGCACTCGAATCAACCTGGATGCGATGAAATGCCAATGCCTTCTCGTCTTCCGAAAGGAATTTAGCCTCGGCGGCACTCTTGGGGAGATAGAAGAAGGCGAAGATTGCGAAGAGCACGGTGACGGCGCCCTCGATAATGAACAGATATCGCCAGTTTGGAATGCTCGACCCCTGGATTTGAAACACACCAAATGCGATCAATCCAGAGAAGGCGTTCGCGATGTTAGAGGCAGCGTAGAAGATAGCCAAGCGTCGAGCTAGTTCGCCACGGCGGTAAAAGGTGGTCAAGTAGTAGATCACCAATGGGAAAAATGCTGCTTCGGACATGCCCAAGAACCACCGTAGAGCGAAGAGGCCGCCGAAGTTGCGCGCGGCCGATGAGAGCATGGTGAAACAGCCAAAGGAAAACATCAGGATTGGTAACACACGCGCCGGACTGAACTTCTTCCCAAGCATTGAGAAAGGCGGCGCGAAGATCACAAACGGTACAAAGAATATTGACAATAGAAGATTGTATTGGTTAGGCTTGAAGTGAAGGTCTGAAAGGTCAATTAGCATTCAGCGCAACTCGGATCGATACGAGGGTCTCACCGTCGGTCATCCCAGCGGTCTCGGCATTTCCCAGATTTCCTTTGTCAAGGGCATTGAACAGATCTGGCAATTGTTAATAAAGCTCTTAGCGCCTGGTCGGATAAAAACCTACACATGATTGCAAGGATAGGCAGCAGACGAAAGTCGAATCGTCGACAGAGGCGCCGTTCAGCCTTGTGGTCTACCACACGAGTGACTTCATCAATAACCCCCGGAGCGGACGCGTATCCCTGTAACTTATTGGGGTCATCGACAGCCTTGAACGAGGCCGTTTTGGTGATATCGTCCACCGACGATGGCTGCGGGGACTGCGTCGCCATCATAAAAATCGAAGGCGAGTATAATCTACTGAATGGTGTAAGCAAAGACTAGTTTCCACAGCTCCCGCAGGTGTGAAGAACTTCGAGGGTGACGTTCGTTATCAAGCGCTGCAGCACAGGCACCCCTTGCTCATTAGATAAGAAGAATGTTGCATCGACATGTCACCCCCACGCTTCTCCGCACAATGGCACGGGAAAGGGGAGTTGATCGACTATCTAATTGACGGTTGCATCTTAGACTCAGGGTCCAAGCGGTCCAGTCGTGGGGAAAGCTCGCGGATTGGGTGTTTGCCGAGGTTGGAGGCGCGAGGTGATCAGCATTCCGACCAGGGATCATGGAAGACTTCCACGATGTGAAGTATGAATAGGTCATTGATTCTGACTTTTGATTTGGTGGATGTTGCAAAGGTAAGTCAAGTTCGAGATCTGGGCCTCAGTCTATCCCAATGCGGTGCATAGGGTTGCATCGCTGACCTCACTGACTTCCCCATCACTGGAGGCGCACGTCCCCCCGGGAATCATCAACCTTGGAAAATAAAGAACGGCATTTGCAGCAACTTAGGATATGAATGTATTTATGGATATTGGGAAGCTTAAACTGGGTGGCAGCAATCTATATCGACCGGGATCATATCCCGAGAATATACTTAACCTCGACGCACTTCTGCATCTGCCCGGATCGCTTCTTCAGCACGAACCTTCCAACTATTCTCCCAACGTGACAGTGCCGGTCTACCCTCAACAGCATCTTCTCCACCCCATTTCATGCGCGCTTGATCCAGGGCGCGATCTGTTTCACCATCCGGGCAAATGATGTAGAATGACCCTTTTTCCAGTCCTTCCACCAATTCTCTCGCAACTTGGCTAGGGTACCAAGCTCCCTCTGGTTTCTTGGTTTCCTCTTCATTGGTTGGGCCGACGTTCCCCATGAGTCCAGTCCATGTCCAGCCAGGAATCAAGAGGTGGACAGAGATATGGGCAGTTGTCGGATCAGACCGTAGGTCGTAGGATAGATGCTCCGTCAGACTCTTGATCGCCGCCTTGGACGCATTATATGCTGGGTTGCCTCCTCCGGGCGGATTTGTAATGCCTTGTTTGGAACCCGTTACAACGATAGATTTGGGTGTCTGGGAGTTCGACGAGAGCAGCAGAGGGAGAAGAACCTCTAACCCGTTGAGAGGGCCGTAGACATTTGTGTCGAGAGTCTGATCATGTTAGTTTAGTATGAAGAAGGGTGATAGAGGTGCCGACCTTTCGCCAGTATTCCCCATCCAGCCATTGTTTGAGGCGGCTCGGGGAGGATTCCTGCGGCCTGTAGGCCTTCCCCGCATTCAGCACCACCAGGTCAATGCCGCCGGGGAAGACCTCGCTGATCCCTGCGGCTACTTTCTTCCAAGCTGCAGCGTCGGCGACATCGAACGCGTATGTCTCGGTTTTGAGAGAAGGGTCAAGCTCGGCCAGAACTTTTTTTGTCTTGGCCAGATTGTCCTGGTCAATATCCAGCAAGGCAAGATGCATGCCCTTGCTTCGGCAGAGCTTTGCTATAGCAAAGCCAACCCCCGAGGCAGCCCCGGTGATAAGAGCAGTTTTTTGCGACTGGATCACAGAGCTCATTTTGGCAGAGTATTAAGGGTGCAATTGAGCTATGCGTTGATGGTGCATAGTGTTTACATTTACGGGGAGGGGCAATATGGCAGAACGTCATTCACCGACTTATGATTTGAAATCAACCTATACAATGTGTACTTTCCACCACTGACGCTCATTTCTCGTTGGTCCACATGATGACGGGCATATATTTGAATTTTGTACATCCAAGTCCCAAGGCTAGCTAATTATACCATAGTAACAGGATGCAATATATACAGGCCAACTACCTAGCACACGACTTTTATACAACTCGGTCGCAAAACTATTACTTGCGACGAAGACTGCGCTTCTTGTAAGCTCCGCTGTTAACAAGAGCCTCGGTGCGTCCAGGACCGAAATCAGGCTGGCCACCGAGGGTACCGAAGATATCGCCAATGTAGTTGGAAGGCTCAACGCCACCAGCGAAGGTGGTCTCCCAGTTACCCAAGATGCCTTCTACCACGTGGATACCAGCGCGGTAGATGTTCGCGATGGCAGGGGCATAACCACCGGCATCGGCATAGAGCAGGTTGTAGGTAGCCGAAGAGCCGGGGTAGGGACGATCGAAGTCCGAGGCAGTACGCATGACAATGATGCGCGAAAAGTCAGTCAGCTTGTGAACAGCAGCGCGCATCAGAGCCTCGAGAGTAGCGTTATCCTCCTGGGCACTGCTGCAGTAATCACCAGTTCCATTGGTGAACAGCTTGGTGGTGTTGGTGAAGGCATGGCCAAGGATGTTACCGCTGTAGTAAACATCCGAGGTTGCGACGTCGCACTCCACAATAGACGGGGGCAGGGTAGCGGCCTTGTACTGTCCGTTGGTAGTGTTGTAGTGCGCGCGGTAGGCCTGGGCGGCAGTCGAGTCGGACAAGTTGGCACGGCGGGCGAACTTGGCGGCGATGCTACGGAGATCATCGTTCACCTCGAAGACCTCAGTGCCGTAGATGCTGCTGGGGTACTGGTTGGGGAAGTCAGATCCCAGAGGGAAGTAGCCTGTCTTGTAGGTGCTGGGCAGCTCGCGGATGTCGATCTCATATTGCAAGGCAACCTGGACCGCGTATCGTGCAAATGTAGCAGAGCCGAGGGTTGCTCGTTCGGGGTTGACACCTGCAATACCCGCGATGAAGAAGTATGTCTCAGTAAGGTTGAAGAGGGGAGAGAATGCAACAGAGGTGACGGTGGTAGCGGCATTGATCTCGGATTCGCCGGTGATCAATTGGCAGATTTCGAAATCCTCGGTGCAGTGAACATCGGGGTAGATGGGCGAGAGACCAGGAACGGTGACATTGTGCGCAAGGAGGTCGAATTCAGGAATGTTCCACCAGACCTCGGCTTCGGGTGCGAACTATCTCAGGGTTAGTGTACTGTAGGTTCCCAGATCTCGGTTCCATTTTCCCATACCATCGAAACGATGAACACCTTAGGGGCGATCTTTTCCTCGTGGTGGGCGTGTGGCGCCGAGGCGGCACACAGTGTGCTGCTAGCCAGCAGCAGCGACGCAAGAAGACCAGTTTGCGGAGCCAACATGTTGGATAATGTTCGTTTCCAATTGCGCCGACAGACGTGGAGAAACGATAGTTTAAATACCAAAAGCTATGCAAGATTTATCTTCTGTCGCGTTTTTCACGCTATCCCAGGCTATGATCCCCGAGTGGAGATGCTGTATACCCCATATGGAAGGGATCTACATGCGACCAAACCGAGATTTGGTCGCCCAGGGCGATTGCAGCTCTGATTGGTGTCGAATCGGTCAAGCTCCATCGACTCGACCGTACCTGATAAACTGTCTCTCTTCCGCATGCCCGTGACTGGCCCGTTGTAATCTTGGTGGGCCCTTATCCTCCATGCTTATCACCAACATGGTGAATTACCCTAAAGGTATCGGAGCATGCCGGTGGATCTCAGGTATGGAATCTTCTAGTCTGGGAGAGATATGCTATCGATCTTGATTCTGAGTTTCATCACCGGTTCAACCCCAATCCCGGGGAATCCATGACACGGAGCTATGTACTTAGCTGGACTCCTTGATTCATAGTCGACCTGCAATTGGGTCAATAGATTCAATAGAGGTCCACATGGTCCACATCGAAATCGGTCTCTATTAGAGACATGAACTAAGAGCCGGGCAGGTCGCAGGTGACGACGCAGACTTCCCCAACGGAATTGCCGTGGCATAATGGCAATTGTGCAGTTCAATGTCTTGACATAAGGTTGCTCACGTGTGGGCTGACTGCAGGAACCTTTGCACTAGTTGTGGTTCTTAATCTTGATTCGATATTCATCGCATGGTAGCCTGTGTTTTCGAATTCCTCTACAAATACATGCACAGTAGACTAGTAACCTCGAATACTGTAGAATCACAATGTAAGATCGAATAATGTCAAGATGCAAGGGAGGTACACCTTGCATCCAACCCAGCATTTGGGGGTTAATGGCTAGCACTGGATAGTTTTCTTTTTCAAGCCTTTTCAGCCGCAAAAAAACAAGGATAAAATGTCTGGTCATAGCATCCCAAGAGTACATTATTGTTGTTCCTGCTTAATTATGCTAACGAAAACGGGTATGTGGATCGCGATCGCGATCTAGATGGGCTGATCGTGTCTTCTTCGGGATTTGCACCATCAACGCTATTGAATATTGACCCCCATTGCTTTTTCTCAGTCGGTCTTGCAAGGTTTGGACGCATCTGTCCAATGGTAGATCATTATTCAAGCCAAGGGTCTGGACTGTGTCACGGCATGAGCCCAATCGCCGAGCGAATGATTGGGATCTGAGCTGACTCGTCCACTTTTCTGCTTCTCAGCTCAGATGAATCTTCTCCAGTAGAAGAAAATCGGTGGTCGTTCAAACATGTTGGACTTCAAAACGAAGAATCGACAATGGGGTTATGGGTGGAGGTCCTCAGAGAAATTCGTACTGGTAGCAGTAGCAACGACGATGTTGACAGGTATAGCGCTTGAAAGGTTGCATCGGTTGAAATAGACTGACTGAGGTAGACATGTTTCTGCATGATTTTCTGGTGTCCATTCTTCCCTCGATGCTCGAGAATCGCCTTCATCTCGCCCCCGAACTGATCCAGAACGCCAGTCTTGCTCTGCTGGCCGAAAGCGCACTGGTGTCGTTCATAGTCAGCCCATTCATCCACCACCATGCCGACCGGTTTCAAAATGATTCCTGGCTGATCGCTGGCCTGGTGGGCGAGTTGCTCGGTTCTGTGATGATTGCCGCCGCGGATTCATGTATGACTGACCCCCTTATCCGTCTTACCCTGACTGACAAAACGACAGTAATGCTACTATTCTCCGGTCGCTTTGTGCAGGCGGTCGCAAACGCAAGTGTAGGTGTTCTTGGGCTGTCCAGCTTATCACGAAAGGTATCCTTGGAAGAGTTCGATAAGATAAATCGCATAATGACCGTTTCCCTCGCGGTCGGCACGACGGCTGCACCTCTGATCGCCGGTGCTCTTCTCCAGCTGGCGGGGTACTGGGGAGCTTGGAACTGCGCCTTCATTGCGAGTGCGATTGGCATTGGACTCCAATCTTTGATGGTCGATACACCACAGCCACAGGAGAATTCGAAATTGTCCCCGACTGACGAATGTGCGAGCGAGACACCTGCAGTTGACGAAGATAGCCCGTTGTTGCCAACGGCTGTGACGGGGAATCTCACCGAGTTGGAAGGTGTCATATCAGGGAAGTTTAACTTGAACTTGTACATTTTGCTTTTCACGAATGCCCGATATGTCGGAGGCATTGTCAGTAGTATCTGTTACGCAGTTGTGTCATCAAGTTTCAGTGCCACGCTACCGCTACACGTTCGCCACATCTTTCACTGGGGAAGTCTTCCAACGGGGCTTCTATTCGCGGCAATTCAAGGCCCCAATGCTGTTCTCGGTATTCCTGTCGCGTGGTTGAAGAAACGAATAGGCACGCGTCACCCAACGACCATTGGTTTCGCTACCCTGGCCATAATGCTATGGCTGATGGGTGTTCCTGGGGACGAGCAGTTCCCCTGGGTGAACAGCGAGAATCGAGACATCTTGCTATATATCGGAAGTGTGGCGGGTGCTGGGATTTCCATGTCCTTGTTAAACGGGGCTGGCATGATGGAAGCCACCAGTGAGTAGACACCATGGCTCCCCTATCCAACGGTGATGTTAATATTCCAGGCGCCGTTTACGAGCTCGAGGACGAGCACCCGGAAATATTCTGCTCCCGTGAAGGATATACCAGAGCGGTCTTTGTAACTCGAATGAGTACAACGCTTGGGACCTTTGTAGGACCCATTTTATCGGGGACGCTAACCGAGCAAAGCGGATATTACGCGATGAATTGCGTGTTGGGTTCGTTTAGCATCCCCCCCCCTGTTCCAATTCTTCAGACTCATGCTAATATCAACATAGCGGGGATATGCGCACTATGCTCCTTTTTCGTGCTCTGGAACTTGAAATCCACGGTCCCTCGGCGTCCTGCAAAGGCGCAAGCGCGGAAATAAAGACCGAGTTTACCGAAGCCTTTCCGAGCCGCTTTACATATATTAACTGTGGCCAACCACTGGCTATTATTGACAGCTAGCTAGAGTCTAGAGGAGGGAGACAGGAGCCGAGCGTTTCATTTTAGCCCATGAGCTCCACTGAGGTTCGCTAGGAAGTCCGGTTCGACTTGTCGAAAGCCCAAAAGTAAGCCCATGAACTCAACTGTCAGACAGCTGCACGAGGCTGCAATTGGCAAAGCAATGATCCTATAAGAGTGTCTCGGCCCGTTTTCTTTACGTTCAAGGTTGTGCAGGGGTTTGTTGCAGGGGTTTTCGTCAGCGGTGGCGTGGGTCACCCTGCAGACTGCAGGCTATGAAAGAAACTGACACGCCTTGGTGCCCTCTTCTTTTGGCCTTTTTTTCCCCTTTGATCAATCAAAAATAGTGGGACTCATCCCGAGTTCGCTACGCGATGAACCAAGCGGAGACGGATACTGTAGCTCGTTCTCGACTGGGCCTCACGGGGACCAATACTTAGTTAGGCAAAGGTGGAACTGGTGGGACTTTGACGGCAAGAGACGGACCGAGTAACGGCTCTAGTCTCGGAAGAGCTACCCGTTGACGGCCAACGGTTTTAGAAGAAATCGAAAATCTTTCTTCTTCCCGTGGATCTTTGTGCATCGCGGACACAATCCGGCCCCTGAACCCCCATCCAATCGTGCTCATCCGCGCCGTCCCGGCCTCGGTTACGGGTCAACTTAGCTTGGAATTTTGTGATTCATCAGACCTGACGTGGGTGACAAAGCCAACGGGGAGCTCCACAGCGGTTCCATGGATAAATCTTGCTTTAAATGCCGAACGATCCCCTAACCCGGCCGAGGAAACCTTGTTTTGCAGTCTTTGCTGGGTCAGTTATATATCTGCAAATTACCCGTGTGGACGAAGGGGCATCCACTGTGTCGATCGTTTGGTCATGGATATTGATGCTTTCTAGAGAATGCTTTATACATACACCCGGTCCACGCTTAACGATATATGAACACTTGAAATAACGAATTCGCCACTCCCATCATACACCCAAACAAATCCGAGATTTGGGACAATCGAGATCGACACAAAGTAAAATTGAAGCTGCATTGGTGGCAAAGACAGGCCAACATGGGCTCTTTACCACACAACATTATCATTGTCGGCGCGGGGATCGCAGGTATCGCTTGTGCTCTTGCCCTGTCGCGGGAGCTGGCTCCATTCGTGCCCGACCTCACCATCACGATTTACGAGAGACATGATATCCTGTCCACATCCGGTGGTGCGATCAACCTGACGCCCGTGGCTCAGCGTCATCTGGCGCAGCTGGGCGTTTTGGAAGAACTTGACCGCATGGGTCCTGAGGGTGGAGCGGAAGTGAATGCCATCGAGCTCTACTCTATGCGTTCCGGTCGCTCAGTTGGGTCGATTGATTTTGTCGATCATGACGGCAACGGCTTTGGAGGCTATAAAGGGCGCAGAGTCATGCGCATCATGCTTTCCATCGCGATGATAACCGTGGTGGAGAGGACACGCAATGTTGATATTGTTTTTGGGAAAAAGGTCGTCGGGGGAGAAGAGCACGGAAGGAAAGCTGTGGTACATTTCCAAGATGGATCAGAAGCGATTGGAGATCTGGTCATCGGATGTGATGGCGTCCACTCCGCAGTTCGAACCCGTTGGGTGGATCCCGACTGCCCGTCCCAATACACAGGCATCTCGTTCTTACAAACCACCATCCCATCACAAACAATCTCCTCGCCTATTCACTTCCGCTCATCAGCGATGAACTACTCACGCCATGGAACCATTCTGACAAGCTATTGTGACCGGAATCAGGAGCAAATCTTCGCAGCTGCTATTATACAGTTCAGCCAGGAAGACTTGAGCTACCACAAGCTCGACTCGGGTCAAGATTGGGCGACCCAACATCGCATTAGAAGTGCTCTGCGACGACAAATGCAAGATCGCTTCTCAAAGTCCTCGATCCCCTGTATCCGGGAGATGGTGGCCAGCAAAGCAGACTGGATGCTTTATCCAGTTTATCAAGTTCGGCCCGGAGGCCGATGGTGCACGAATCGCGTTATCCTGCTAGGCGATGCAGCTCACGCAGTATGTATCTATTGCCATCATTTTCTTCTTCAAAGCTGCGGCTCCTAACAATAATATCATAGATGCCTCCACGAGATGAGTCCGCCGCATACGCGCTAGACGATGCCATTTTGTTCGCACGTTTACTGGCCCGCTATCGATCCGAGCCTTTGTCCGAGGTTTTTGATGCTTATGAGGGCCTCCGTCGTGACAAAATCAATCATGCATTCAAAGAATCTGCGCGCATGTGGGACCGGAATCGGGACATGGGTATGCTGGAAAGTCGTCTCAAGGAATGGATGATGCCGCTGTACCTCCGAAGTCACCGGGATGAACGCGAGGCGGCGTGGGAGTTCGATGCAACCAAAATCAATCTTCCTACACCTGCGCCGAGTGACGATTTAGTCAGCTTGCATTCATTTCTGAAAGAGCACACGGTATGAAGTGGATGCTCACACCGCATTCTGGGACGGTTATGGTGTTCGGCTAGGTTGCATGGATGGTGTTCGAAAAGTTTTCGCATTTTGAATGATACCTTTGGATGATTTCTTAATATAAATGCTCATGACTCTCCGTGGTCTACTTTACGTGTTCGAAATAGTGGGTGCTTGTCGTGTTCTTTTTCTTCTGTCAATTCGGTATAAAATGGCTGAGTAATAGCCTCGATGCGGGGAAAGCATCGGTTGACTGCGTGAGTCGCATATTCAACCTCAGCACGTACATTCTTCCTCGAACTCGAAAGCTGCAAGTGAATTGTCGAAGCCCAGTCAGATCTCTGTTGAACCATGGTGGGAACGTTTTCATCTGTACCAGCGGTGGACTTTGCTCGCCTGACCGACCCTCAAACCAAGTCCGATGAACTAGCCAAATTGAAAGAGGCTATATTCGTGGTCGGCTTCCTGTATTTGACCAACACTGGCCTAGAGGTATGAGCAATTTGTAAATCTTAGGAATCCATACTGACAGAAAAGGACCCAATTCGCCTCACGCATGAAGCCCTTCCGCACCTGTTTGATCTGCCCATGGAGGTGAAAGAAAATTGTAACATGATAAATTCACCATCGTTCCTTGGCTACACCCGCCTTGGAGCGGAGATGACCGCTTTGAAGACCGACCTTCGCGAGGTTAGTATCACCTGCCCGTCAGCCTCGAGTTCAACTAACCAAGTAAGCAATTTGATTTCGGAACACCAGGAGTGCGAGCATGGGAAAAGGGAGATCCATTTTGGCAGCGGCTAGAAGGGCCAAATCAGGTATAGACTGGTAAAAACCACTAGGCGTGCGACGACTGACGATTTAATGTAGTACCCAGATCAACCTGGCTCGAAATGCCTCATTGAGGATTATATCTTCCGAATTGATGATTTAGCACAAAGATTCGTACATTTGGTGGCGGAATGTTTGTCCCTACCCACGGCGACCTTCGATGACTTCAAGGGCAACATGAGTCGGTTGAAGTTTGTTAAGTACCCACCATCAACTTCCGCAAATTCCCAAGGGGTCGGTCCCCATAAGGATTCTGCTGGTCTATTCACGTTTCTTTCCCAAGATAATACTGGCGGACTGCAGGTTCTAAACAAGAACGGCGAATGGATCGATGTTCCTCCGATAGACGGAAGTCTGGTGATCAATATTCAACAAGGATTCGAAGCAATCACCGGAGGCATTTGTGCAGCTACTACGCACCGAGTCATTGTATGAAGTCGGTCTCAACCCAATGAGCGTTGCGCTAATTAGAAAATCTCCTTAGGCGCCGAGTTCAAAAACTCGATATAGTATTCCATTCTTCCTAGGTGTGCGATTGGACTTGACTCTCAGCCAGCTCAAAGAGTCCGCAGCTCACATTGTGAGACGCATCCCCGTCTCGGATGACCAGAAAAAGCGAGCAGTCGATGTCCCCAGTGAATTTCTATCTTCGCTTTATTCTTGCGTAAGTCAATTATTTATCTACTATAGATTGTCAGTTCTGACCGATCCTAGTTCGGGGAGGCACACCTGAGAAACCGCATCCTGAGCCATCCTGACGTCGGCCAGCGGTGGTACCCAGAGCTATATGCCAAATACTCCCAGCAGAGACTTGCTTAAATAACTTTGGGTCCTTTCAGTATCATTGATATTTGTCACGAGGGAGCACGGAGGCGCAAAAGGCGCTGAGATCAACCTCTCTGGGAGGTCTAACAATCTGCGGATGGCACGCCTGTAAAGGCTTGAGCTGAGAGGTAGGGACGTTTCTAACAAATAAAGGGCCATGGAACAAGAAATAAGCGATCGAAAAACCTTGGAAGCGAAAGATACTCGAACCAAGCATATAGGATGTCAAGGTAGAATTATTTTCAACTATAATCGACAATGGCCACATTTGCTTCTTCCCGATGTCCCAGGAATCTCCATAATGAGCAGTCACTCCAACCACCGGCCTTCCAAGATCCTCCTCAATTTAATGAACTAGCACACCACTTGGTATTGATTATTCAGGAGTCTCTGTTGTTTGGCAATCCTCCTTCGACTGTCCTGAGAAGCCAATAGAGAAGCGACAGCAAGCTACAGCTGAAAGTGCTCTTTAGGTTCCAAGGGCATATTGAGGGAAGGTCTTCATTTTAATCAGATAACTAGCTAGAACCACGGATAAATCACAAGAAGCTACATCCAAGGAGATCTCGTCTGAGAGTAATTCTTGGCCAGCGCCTTTGGCCTTTGTGGCAGGCCAATAGGAGAAGAATGGACAAGTGACGGTGGCTGAAAACCCCGTGGTAATCGGCAAAAATGAACCCACGTAAAGATTGGCTGATAATTAAAAAGAACTTTGGAAGCCGTAGAATACTGCCATTGATGTCAAGTCCATCAATTGTAGATGTTATGGGCGGGTCAGCCTGTTGTTAGCGCAGCAGGGCTCTGTTCACCTGGGTTGGAAAATTCACAACACCCCTATCAATGTCGTTGCCAAAGGCAAATAATCATATTGGCAATATTGAGTATAATGTCTTGGAACGATGAAGGAGTGGAGATCCACAAATGAGCTGGAGAGCGGAGGGCACTATGTAGTCCCAAAAGGGACACCTTAAAACCTGGAGATAGTGTGCTGGTCTGCGAAAATGATATGACTTAGCTACAGTCTAAGATGAATCGAATTATACCTGATGTATATATCCCGATTTCCGATGCGGGTTTCCGTGCACAGCCTCCATAGCTTAAGTTCACATAACTACCTGTGGAACAACCATCAATATGTGGGAATAGTTACCCAAACAAACTTTCTCCAGTCACACTGAAGCTATTTTGAATAACAGAGTGCCAAGGCCAGCAATGCCTCACCCGTTTGACGTCAACCGCGGAGCAAATACCCCGCGATTCTGATTCGTGTCTCACCCCACTTCACCCAAGACTCCGCAGACCGAGGGACCAAAAAGAAAGAAAATAACACATATAGAGAATTGCAACCAATGGCAAAACTCAGTGACTTATCGATCAAGGCTCTTCGCAGCCAGCTGCATTCCGCCTCGGTGTTAACCCCGGATTCAGATGGCTATCAAGCAAGTCTGACTCGGTGGTCCGACACTGGCATGAAACCCGCGGTAACAAGCAAAAGAGCGTGACACAAGATTCAACAGACTGACTGAGAATAGGGCATTGTGGTCCGGCCAGTTGACCCAGCGGATGTCAGTATCGCATTGTTGTGGGCACAAGACCATGACATCGAAGTTGCGGTGAAAGGGGGCGGTCATTCCACTGCTGGTACCAGCTCCAGCGACGGTGGCCTGGTGATTGATCTGTCATGCATGAATCACGTCACAGTTGACTCCTCTAGTAGGACAATTACCGCCCAGGGTGGCGCGACATGGAAGGAAGTTGACGAAGCAGGTGCGGCCCATGGTTTGGCGACGGTCGGGGGAACTGTGAATCACACGGGAGTTGGCGGATTGACTCTCGGCGGTGGATATGGGTGGCTAAGTGGGCAGTATGGTCTCACGATCGACAATCTTCTCTCTGCGCGGGTTGTGCTTGCTGATGGAACGCTTGTGACGGCATCAAAATCAGAGCACACTGAGCTGTTTTGGGGATTACGCGGAGCGGGCTACAATTTTGGTGTTGTGGTTGACTTTACCTACCAGGCGTACGACCAAGCAGAACTGGTCTTCTCTGGGGTCTTAGGATTTACACCTGATAAGCTCGAACAGGTGTTTGAGCAACTCAATGGCAGCCTCGCGAGTCCTGACTCTCGCTCTGGGGCTATGTGTTTCTTCGCCCTGGCTCCAGATGGATCGGGTCCGATCATCATCGTGATCTGCTTCTACAATGGCAGTCGCGAAGAAGGCCAGGCACGGTTTTCTGGACTCATTAACCTGGGCCCTGTCCTCAACGCTCTGGATATGATTCCCTATTCCATGGTGAACACTCTCCAGAACCCCCAAGCCACTTACGGTGACCGGAAATCCTTCAAAGGAATCTTCTATGAGCCACCGATGGATCTGAGCTTTGTGCGGACTATGTTTGAAGATTTAATGGCCAAGATACAGAGCGACAGCGACTTGATCAAGTCCGCCATTATTCTTGAATTCATGGACATGCGCAAAATTTGCGAAACCCCCTTATCAGCAACTGCGTTAGCAAGCCGTAACTCAACTCAGAATGGGATCATCTGCCTTCGATGGACCGACCAGACCAAGGATCAAGAACATCGCGCGTGGGCACGTCAAATCCAAGCCAAATGGAAAGCTGAGCTGGACGCGAAGACCAAGGGTCGCCAGGCAGAAGTACCACAATATATCAACTATGCAGAGCGTAAGTGCCGCCGAATGTTGCATGAGGGATATTCTTTAATGCTTACCTCATCTTAGCGGGAGACTCGGCGGTTTCAAACATCTATGGTGAGAATCTCGAACGTCTGCAAACCGTCAAAGCCACGTACGACCCGAAGAATGTGTTTCATAAGATGCACCCGATATCCGCAGCTTCAACTTAGATAAGAGGGATCGCCATAGATAGGAATCCCGAACGAACTTAGGTGTTCGGGCGAGGGGAGAGAGATAAGAGAAGCAGTCTAGGCCCGTAAATGGTAGACCAGAATGTATTTAAATCTTGAAACTCTACATACTGGTAACGCAGATTTATGATTTGCTCTTCCAAAAGCCCCAGCACAATGCCACCGAGAACTTAATCCCGGCTGCCAACCATAGCACAGGCGAGATTTGCTGAGTCGCTTTAGTGACCCAGCCTCCAACAATAGCCCCAACCAGAGTGAGAATAAAGGCTGCGAGGCGCCGATCCCGTTTTTCGTTCCGCAGTAAGAACAGCTTCGGGTCCGACATCAGGTCACACAAAAGGCTTGTGATCACTACGGTGGGGATCTCGTTGTATCCCAGAGCTCGACTCGCAACAATCTGGCCTGCCGACTGAAAGCTGAGGAGAACGATTGGGACCTCCGAGTCCCACTTTGTGGTCGTTTGCACCAGATTGGATTCCATGGCACTGGAGACCACACCAGCCTGCACCAGAGCGGCGGTAATCATGATCATACTGGCTTGGATGAAGAAGGAGAGCATCAGAGATCCCCGCTTGTGTGCCCCGATCCATTGGTTCAGCCGCGCAAAGAAAAAGGCACCCAGGACAAAGCATCCGATTGATGTCAAGGAGCGAGCCCAGCCGTATGGACGTGAATTCTGATTTGATGTGCCGAGGCCCACGAAGATGGTGTTTCCTGATTGAACCCCCAGTGATAAGTATCCATTTTGCACATCCAGATGGTTGTAAAATGAGACAAAAATGAAGATATCTTACCAGTTTGCATTGAGACGAATGTGGCATAAGCTGCTGGAGTTAGTCTCGGTAATCTAGTCACGGGAATGAAGGGTTCACACCATTGTATATTGTGCTATCCACAAGCCCAGAGGTCAAACAGCAGGTGAACAAGAGCAAGTCGGCATGCCGTGACACAACTTCCTCTCTCAAGAAGCGTGTGATTCCCGCCGCACGACCATGTTCTTGATCCATAATGTGAAGGGAGTGAAGAGTAAACAAGCTCCAGTGGAAACGGCAGGGAATTCCTCGTTATTGTTTGCCTTCATGGGCCACGACGATGGAAGGGATCAATGACTCCCAACAATTGACACTTATCCTCCTTCCCCTCCTACCTGGCCAAGCACAACTTTGCTGCACGATGCAGGCCAAGATAAAGGCACACCTCGACGGGCAAATCGCGAGAAGGATCTGCAGCTGAGTACTAGGCATTCCCCACCCACCAACGACTTTCCATCCATGGGTGTAACATGGCAATTTAGTTGTGGCTTACGCCGAGCAGTTCTCTTACCTCGATCCAGTGCCTAGAAAGCCGCCAAGGTCAATCGGCATGAATTTCTGCCATGCCGAGAACCTTGGCGCCAATTTATTCAGTTTCATGATCTGGGAATGAGAGTCGATTGTGGCGCAGGAAGAATCCGGGAACTCCCATTGTTGGATTTATTGTTCTGCTCCCCTTAAAGGCATTCGGAAGGTTTTAGAGTGTGCATGATAAGGAAATTTATACTGCGTATTCTGAGTGGACAGAAAGCTAAGGCGTAATCAAGACTAAGGATGGCTGAAAGGGGGGGGGGATTTCAGTGGGCCACATAGCCTTTTCTGGAGGAGTGGGGGGTTGTTGATCTCCCGAATGATGGTTCCGAGGAGAGAACTTGGCGAACAGGGGGTGTTCTTGATTCCCGAGTCAGACGGACGCAATCTTTAGCGCCCCCGGAAGGCCGAATCTCTCCAGAGTATGATTCTGCACGGAGAGGTCCTCACTAGGCCGATTCGGCCCGACGCCGCTTTAATGACTGTGGCGTAGATGTGGTTTGAACCTTGAGAACAGGAACAGTTCAACAGGAAGGCTTTGGTGATTTGTATTGATCATGGTTGTTGACCTTCCGTGCATGCGGTTCTGGCAGGCCAGCCCTACCATCGTGCAGACCACGAGCCATGCATAAAATTCTCCGTTGATCTCTTGGTTTTCTTGGTGTATGGGAGAGTATGCATGTTTGGTGGGTCTGGGTGGGAAGCCTTATCTTCTCAACCCTCTCGGACCGTCCCAGCACAACAATTAATTTACACGTCCACGCGGTGATGCCAATGTTGTGAAGGATTTCGAATCCCGCGGGTTTTCCGTTCTCGAATTGCTCTTCACGCTCGGCTTAATTTCCCACTGAAGTCGGGATCCACCGAATACGGGCATACATGGGTCACGCCCGCCCTCTTTCGGCTAAATAACGGGCGGAGAAGATCAGGGGCAGCCTTACTTGGATCTTCGTGAAGACAGCTTGGGGGTTTCAGACGAGATGGTGGATAATGTAGCCTGACGATCGCCATGATTCGTGGCCTGGACATCCCCGGTCTCCATATTTCCCTTTCCAGGGCTGCATGATCCCCATATCCGTAGGCCTGAGAAGCGCCAAGCGACATAGAGGAGCTGAGGGCGAATGATGGTACAGAAATTGGCCCCAGTAAGATCCATTTCGGCATATGGGATTGAGGGGGTTCCAAGACCACCGGCGCGATCCTTTCCTTCTAGGGCCACTGACAAGACCCCAAAACGCGTCCCTACATGCTATACTCCGACCTCCATGTCGTCTTCTGTTCGTATACGTGCGCACCACCTTGCATCAAAGGCCTTCATTCGGTTCGGAGTTCTTTTGCCCGACATTAGCTTTCTGCTTGGCGTATCTCGCTTCGACGCTGCGCAATAACCCTTGTAATGTGTATCTCGGCGCTTGGAATAGCCTTCGCGAGCTCCAATAATCACGCATGTAGCGTGGCTGCAAGGATTCAAGCTCGGAAAACCGGAGAATTCATCGTTACCCTCGAATGGGTTAGGTCTAAGCCCCGAGGAGATGTCACTACCGCCTACATACTTGACTTCATGCCGCTAGTGAATTTGTTCTCTTTAGGGAAGGACATTGGAGAATGGGACGAACGTCCTAAATGTTGATTCTGGAGAGGACTTGAATGAATCCACTATCATAAATTAATCTATCAGGTTAAAGGTCAAAAATGAAGCGAAGCAACCTTGGAAGGAAGACCTCAGTTTGAGTTTCGCCGACACCGTAACTATTCCGCTTTCGGAGAAGCTAAAGCAGTGATATTGAGTGGGATACGCAATTAAGTGGCGTAGCAAGATGATTGCCCAGTAGTCCCTGCATCGCGTTCGGTTCTCCTAGTCGAAAGGAAATGCCGATAAGATATCCAAGGCTCCAGATAATATATTAACTTCACACCTCAACCACACGCTAGTGTCCATTGCATTACAAAGATAAAGGCCTCCTATGATCTTGACGAAATTGGCACTATGGGTAGAATAGGTGTAGAAAGGACTGACTAGAAGATGGACCGGCTCTCCAAACACCTAATAGACCATTACACGTCTATTTGAGCGATATTTGGATCACTCATCTTCCTGTCAAAAGCGGCAAGAGCGATCCTACTAAAAGGGACATGGTAGGTATTCCGAACGGTGAGTAGGAACCGACTATGCAAGTGAGAAAGGATGGCACACATGCATCTGCATCAGCGCATAAGGCGCCAAGTGACAAGAAACCGATAATGGACGTGAACGTAGATTCAATGAGGCCAAACTCCGAAGGAGTGCACCTTGCTTGGCGCCCACATCGCACACATGCATTATCAACATCCCTGGCCCCTGCATGGTATTTCTTCATTCTGCAAAACGTGGCGATCGATACGTCTACATTCAGCAGTTCCTCCGACTGTCCGTGGCCATCAAGACTACCGAGTATTGAGGTTCTGTGGGGCCCGTGGTCATTAAGGTCATCTGCATTGTGATGTCGAATTGGTACGACCCAAGAATGAGAGATAAAGCATGTCGCATCTTGGCATACGGTGAGATGTTGCATCCCCAAGATACCAAGACCTGCTCATAGCCTGTGTGATGATGTTGGCCCCAATTTTCTGGATAATATCGGACCCAAAAGTCCCTTTTTCTCGTTGGACGGCTTTGTCCGAAGAGCGGGGTGAGAGGTATAAAGATGCCAGCTTGTCTCGAGTCAGAGTTATCCTATCGCTGATCAGTGCTCAATTACATTGCAACCTTTCATTATGACTATTACAATCACCGTTGAGAAGGATGGCTACTATGAGGTGAACGGCATGAGGCAGGAGCCCTCTGTCTCCCTCTACGTTATTCCCGCGGCGTCCAAGCTACGACGGATGCTCAAGGACACCAAAGATATGATCGTGTGTCCCGGTGTCTATGATGGCCTTTCAGCTCGTATTGCTATGGAGCTGGGCTTCAAGGGAATGTACATGGTAAGGGCTTTCTATTCACCCCCCAACCATGCGTTACGCGGACTAATACGGGCTATAGACCGGAGCTGGAACGACAGCATCTCGACTTGGAATGGCTGACCTCGGACTCGCTCAACTTCACGACATGAAGACCAACGCAGAAATGATTGCCAACCTCGACCCATTCGGAGCCCCTCTCATTGCAGACATGGATACAGGCTATGGAGGTATGAGAATGGAAAGATGGAGTTCCATCACCAGGATGCCTAGCTAACCAAAGCATATAGGCCCATTGATGGTAGCCAAGTCAGTCCAGCAGTATATTCAAGCAGGCGTTGCTGGCTTCCACATCGAAGACCAGATCTCAAACAAGCGCTGTGGTCACCTTGCCGGCAAGCGGGTAGTTGGCTTGGATGAGTACCTGCAAAGAATCCGGGCCGCAAAGCTGACCAAGGACCGTCTGCACTCTGATATCGTCCTCATTGCCCGAACTGACGCCCTACAACAACACGGATATGACGAGTGTATTCTCCGCCTGAAGGCAGCCCGCGATATCGGCGCTGATGTGGGTCTACTTGAGGGGTTCACTACAAGGGAACAAATGCGACAAGCTGTCCAGGATCTTGCCCCGTGGCCACTCCTGCTCAACATGGTGGAGAACGGCGCGTCTCCCGTGGTCACGACCAAGGAGGCCGAGGAAATGGGATTTCGAATCATGATTTTCTCATTCGCCTCGATCATTCCTGCGTACATGGGAATCAGAGCAGCATTCCTGCGTCTCAAGACAGAAGGAGTTGTCGGAACACCAGAAGGACTTGGGCCGAAGAAATTGTTCGAGGTTTGTGGATTGATGGAGTCTATGAAGCTGGATACTGAGGCTGGAGGCGATGGTTTCGAGGACGGTGTCTAAGCGAGAAATTATCCACTGGATGAAATTGCAAGGCGCGAGCTCGCTAGACTTGATATTTGCATACAGTAACCATTTGATTGTCAATTTGAAGCATTTCGTTCACGGGTTCGCTTTCCAAGGTCAACACTGATCAAGGGATCACTGGTAATCTGTACTAATGCTCGGTGTACAAGCGTGGGCTCGGAATCACCCGGTATCAGCTTGTACAGGATTGGCGATAAACTGCGATGAACAATAGCATCGGGGTCGTCATCCCCGGTGAGATTTGTCATGATTTCCGTGCGAAATGGCAATCGGGGCGAAACCCACCAGAAGTAGAATAAGACACTTTGACATTCCAATCTTCCTTTCCATTTGACGAATCTCCACAGCAGTTCTTTCAGTTCCCCGCTACGTGTGGCAAAATCATGCGGCATAGTATGCAAGTATCGCGCCTCAATAAACTCAACTATTTGACTGAGAGTGACTTCCAGCTCAGGTCTTGCAAGCGCCAGAGCTGCACTACTTGTTCCAGCACGCCAATATTGGCCGATATCCCTGGGGTCTTCATTATTCTATTAGAGAGACGGACTTTCAGGATGTGGTGCAGTGATGGCAAGCATACATAGTTCTTGTACCTTCTCATCAAGCATGCGGAGCGCATGGTTCATCCCAGGATTACCTGTGCCTACAACAAAGCGACTTAGGATAATATGGAAGATCTGCTGCGATATATCCTCATATATGTTGAAGAAAAGCTCTTGTTCCTGGTGCGAATCCACGTCCGGACCTTTTTCTGGATTCCCGGGTTGCAACGTTCCATAGTGTCGTTTGATCCAATCTTCAAGATCGTCGTACAGTTGACTTGTCATTTGGTTTGCTTCCTCGTCGCTCAAATCCCGCATCCCTTTGCCAAGGCTATCAAGCCTAAGCCTGAGATCATTGTTTTCCTTTAGCGCTGCATCCGCTGCTTTCAGGGCATCTTCCAGAAGCTCGCCTTGTCGGTGAAGCTTGATACTTGAAAGGTGCTCCGCCTCTCGCGCCTTTGTTGCAGCTGCCTCATGATAGTCTAGATTTTTCTTATACACACTCTGCAGATTTTCAATTTTAGCGATCACTGTGGACCCATTTTCGTGGTCTATTCTGTGTGTTATTGCCTGTAATATTGAACTGGTGTCAGATACCCACCTGGCAATGTCTCAGAAATTGGAGGCGTCATTTCAGCTGAAGATCTGAGTTCTTCACACTCCATTATATAAAAGAAGTTTTCGACACAGTTTAGATGGGGTGACGAACTCTCAATGCTCTTGGAGGAGGATGACGCCGTTGGTGTCACTTGAGGTGCAACTCTTCCGTCGCCATCTATCGCTCTGAGGTTCTCAGATAGCATACTGGGGAAAAATCGAGATGAAGTATTGAACGAAGTTTCAGATCACCGAATTGAAGGAAGATGGGAATTTCATTTTCCTCGCTCGAACTTGTCTCGCCAGGGCCGACGCTACTTATGGCAAAGGGCAAGGGTCAATGACGAATATAAGGTGTAATGTTCAAAAAGCTTCAAGGTTTAGACCAGGTCAAGATTGTCTCTATCTCTAAGGTTGGCTTTTGAGGACTAGTTCTATAAACGACGACCAGAGTACTGAAGATCACACTCTATCTGTCAAATATACACAGGTTCAACTCTTTACTCATGCAAAGTCATGTGCTGCAAACCGGACCCACGGACATAATCAAGGGGCGCAACAAATGCCATCTGACTCCACGAGAACACCTGGTTCTTGCCACCATAGACAAACACCTCAAAGCGTCCCGCAAAACGGCCATTGATCCAAACCCGACTACCTTCGAACTGATTGGTTGCTATCGTGATTTGAGCCCGCTGGGGAACAGTGACGACATGGTGTGAGGACTCGGTACCATTCGCCCAGATCCGTCCGGGCTCTGCGGGCTCAACTCCATCAGTCTCTGCAACGGAATGAAGAGGATATGGCCAGCCATCCGCCGAAAAGACCAGTTCGCCATCAGCCGAAAGAGAGAGTGTTGCGTCATCAGAGTGAAGAGAGAAAGGACCATTAGCATCCAGTTCCAGTGTGTAGTTCATTCCTTTGCTTCCGAGACCTATCTGGTATTGTTGCGCATGGTGATTAGGTTTGGACCATGAGAACAGTACCCTCGGCCGACCTTTCCCTCCACGTACCATTTGTCGATCGAGGTTCTGCGATACCGCATTACTGGTGAGAAGAGAGATAGATTCGTCCAGGGTCGACGGTTCCAGAAGTGGCCCTCGGTTCCCTGACCATGCACGAGATGCGACAACCGGAATTCCATTTCGAATAGCATAATAAGCCTCCAGCTGCGTGGTCGCATCGGGTCCGTTGTCGTTCCATGCGGCAAGTATGGCACCACGAACGGCATTCTTCGCCGGTTGCTCCGAGGTGTTGACGGGATTGAACAGCTCCGGGGTCCACTGCCAGCCCTCAACGCCGCCAAAATCCAACACTCGGTTGTTGTTGAAGAACTGAGGGTATGGTGCTGGTGTGATTGGAACGTGGTTGTTTTTAAGCGAAAGATAGGCCCACCAGTCCTCAGAATTGATGATCTGGTATCCATCTTGTGCTAGTGCGACCGGGTCCGACTGGCCATATTGCCAGTGTTGGATGGTGATATTGCTGTCGATCAACAGAGCACTGGGCTCATAAGTACCCCAGATGCGGATTTTCTTTCCGTGAGTCTGGTAAATAAAGTCGGACATCTCGTTGACGAAGCGGACGTAGTCATCCGCCAAGGTGGAATCATACTCATCAGCGCCGATATGAACCTCTTTTGTATGGAACCATGGCAGGAACTCTGACCATATGGATTTGACCAGGGGAATGGTCTCGGGATGCGTGAGGTTGAGAAGGTCTTTGCTGTCCAAGGCAAGCTCAGGCTTCCATTTCGTGACCGACAAGCAGTGACCGGGACTCTCGATTTCAGGAATAACAGTCACTCCTCGACGAGCGCAGTGTTGTTGAAAATCGTCAAATTCCGACCGAGTCAGTGTCTCGTTTATGCGCTGTACCAGGGGCAATAGCTCTGGATTCTCCGGTCGCAAGGCAAATTGCGAATAGACCTCTGTCCAGGTGATGTTCGGGCCTCGACTTAGAGGAAAGTTGTCCGTCGCATGATAGTGAAACTCGGAGAGTTTGAAAAAAGAAGCGTAGGTGCACAGATTTTTCAAATAATCCAACGAATACCACTTGCGTCCCGCATCGAGCATCATGCCACGCGTTGGGTACGCGGGTGCATCGCTCATGCGACCAGGTGAAAGGGTGCCATTGAGAATTGTCTGCTGAAGCAAAGTGCGCGTTCCCCACCACACCCCTCGTGCCCCTGAGCCATAGATGGATACGCGATTCTTATCAACTACAAGCTCATACCCTTCCTCCGTTGCCGTGCCATCCTCGTATGTGAATTGACTTGCTGGACTATTTGAACGGCCAATAAAAATGCCGGACGCGTCTTTTGGGAAAATTTCCAGAGTTTGATAGCTCCAAGTATCATTCGTAAACTCTTCAAGATCATCACGAAACGTTTGCGCGAATTGGTCGACAGACGGAGGAATTAACGTGAGCCCATTCTTATCGGTCCACAACGCGAAGTCTGCCTGAACATACAGGACCCTGTCGACGGTTTCCAATGAGAAGCCTCCATCTCCGGCCGAGATCTGATCTCCCTGAGCCGGCGCGAATTCGACTGGCGGTAGAACTTGGAGGGCGGCGGCAGCCGTTGCAAGTGCAGCAAGGAGCAAGGTGTGCCAAGTCATGGTAGTGCGACATTGCAGATCTTGACGTAGCGGGGAACTTTGATTTTAATAATTGAAGCAAGGGGCACGGTCCCTCGATCGCCAATGGCAGCGTTGCATTCTTTATCAAAACAACTGTCTGGCATGGCGGGATGAAGTCCGATTGTGGGGAAAGTGAAGATCGGTGCATCGTTGCACATCAGTGTAGCAAAAAACAATCTATCATTGAACATCCCACCAATCCACATTAAGGGCATCGCAGTAAAACTTAATTAAGTGCAATATTGTCGAATACATACTCGGGTACTTACCGATTCATCCTAGACAACCAAGGAACGTGAAGGCGATTGAAAAGTGATGCCCACTGAGAAAGCGCCTATCCTTACCTATATCCCGGCTCGAACGAAGTGTCATGCGTCATGGTTTGAATAAAGTGAGGGCATATCCTCTTTGAAATCTTGGGAATCAGATACATTAATCTTGTCTGAATGACGTTTGCCAAGCTGTTTCCTACATAGGCTAGCGAGGTGCTCAACTACTTCTGTGATGTTTGATTGTCAATCTCGTAACAAAGAGGCTTTGGTTGAGATCAAACTGCACATTATCATTTGGCTTGGCTGACTTGATTTTTTTTCACCGAGAGACGCCACTGAGGATTTCTTTTGAATCGTTCTCCGGTGAGAGTCAAGAACATAAATTGGGATGGGTAGCTACACTGCAATCTATTGCACATGCTACAATGCTGTCTAGCAGCGGCTTGGACCACAAGAAAAAAAAAATATCATGTATACATTACCGAAGTCACAAGGGTATAGAAAGCTAGCATGGGCGAGTACTAAATATGGGAGTTGGAAGAAAGCGAACATACCACCATCAATCAAAATAATTAATGAGGACCCAGAGATGTCATCCAAACGACATGTTCGATCCAATGTCGTGCGTCACTTCTGAGCCCTATCTCAGTGTCTAAACTCCCAATTTCAATGTAGACTGTGTATGCATTGTCATTCAAAGCCTCGCAGAATCCGCCTGGTCAAAATAGGAGAAGTATTTGAGGTGTTTTGTGATTAGGGAACCTCCATCCCTAAGCCGGGAGATTGTTTCAGCAGAGACGTCAAAGATGCAGATAGAATCTGTACCATCTAAGAGTCAAAAGGATAAATGATGGGTGAATGGAAAAAGAAGAAATGAGAACCAAGAAAAATAGAATTTATAGTCGTGCCCTACACCTGATCATCCAATTCCAACCCACATATGGCATTGAACTGCGGCCAAAACTCGCATAAACATAGCAGGCCGTAAGAGCGTGAGTGAGCAGGCAAAGATATCGCAGCAGAATTCGGTGGCCATCTCTTCGGACCTACTTTTGTCTCTTCCACGTTTCACTTTTCGTACAAGCATTATACTGGCAACACAGCAATACGACGCTTTTTGGGTGGAAACATCATCTCAGTCTTTATTCATTCTTCATACATAATTCCTTCACTCGACGCTAAAATGTCAGTCATGACTTTCGTCAACCCTGTTGGCTAAAAAGCTAAGTCAAAGTGGTGCATCGCCTACGCAGAAAATGAAGGCACCCGTGGGGTATCAAAACCGACAGTCGGCAGTATGCTTAGCTAGCTAAAACTTCTGAAGGTCAAAACCATGCACTGTCGTATCGGGTGAGTCTGGCGCTGGCGCGGTTGTCAGTCACTCCGTAGATGACTTCTTGGGAGATTTCTCTCCACTGAAAGGCATCCCAGGTCCCCATGTAATACAATGTCAAATATGAGCAACAGTCTTGAGTTTGCGCGCGGGCACATGGAACCAAGACTCTTCGAACCCTACATGGCGCGGCCAGCGGGCAGTCACCCGCTGGATCTCAGTCGACATCATACGAGGATATTCATATTTGGCACAGATCATCTCGGTCTCCTGGTCGGCCGACTCGAGATTAAATTGTTCCGCAGAATCAATCACTGGAGGAGCGATTAGCATAGCACAAACAAGACTATAATGACAGAAACCCCTTACCCATATGAGAAAGATTGAGAAATTGGTCAGCTGTTTTGAGCATAAATTGCGGCTTTGCAGCGAATGATCTGGTAATCTGTTCAGCCGTGGCGATTCCTCGAATAAATTTCACCAAATGCCCATCGTCTTTGTAATCGCAAGCCCGTCGGAAGACCTCCGACCACTCCGAGGGAAATCGTGGTTGGTAGGTGGTCAACTCATCGGGCTGTAAAGTAGGTGCTCCTGATTGGCAGTATAACATTAGGTCTGCACGACCTTTCCATTCTAACAATCGACATTTCATTTCCGGGGCAATCCAGGACACGCTGTTGAACACCGGCCAAAGAGACCCGGCTGTGATGGAATGCATGAGGAAAAAGTCAAATCGAAGCTGCTTATCAGGCCTCTGAGCAAGGGTTGTCCAGTATACTAAGAATTATGTGTCAGAGCGGGAACCAAATGATGAATGGGGGTTTCTGTACAGGTAGAGTTTAGCGACTCGGCAGTTTTCTCCTCGAGTTCATGGGGTTGAACTTTCCATGCGCTCATCAGTCTCATAAATTCTTCTTTGGCGTTCACCAGTAAGCCATCTCGGATTTGAGATATACCGTACGTGTAGTCCATGGCCTTGCGAAGTTTCTCATTGTCATGGATAGCCCTCTGTAAGTTGATCAAGCTCTCGCTGGTAAGGGAATGCTGGGCGACCTCCTCGATCTGAGCTAGAATTTGACCAAACGAACAGTCATGAATGGCTGTCAAAGCGAGAGCCTCGGCCACAACAAGTGGCTGTTCAAATTCCATCGCGTACCCAAGATGGATGGGGGAGTGTAAAAATCCTATAGATCGCTTTAGTGTTATCCTTTGTTCAAATGAATGGTAACTCACCGCTGAAGAACCGTTGCAACATGTCTTCGGCCCTCGCGTCACCTTTGAAGAGGAACTCAGTGACTGTGCTCGAAATTCCCATCTCGGAGATCTCATTCTGGAAAAAGGCGAAGTAGTCATCGTAATATTTCCCTTTGCCCAGGAACAACTTGAATTTTTCCGGGTCGGCGAGATCAGATACGATGCGAGCATCAGGCGGGCGCGTGGATCTTTGGGAGTCAACGGCAAGATCATATGCCTGGGAGAGTTGTTCCGCAGTACCCCCCAATGCGAGGATAGCTAAGAGATGATGGAGAATGTGATCTGACAAAGATTTCAATACTCATTTCATATCCTCAGTGGTATCTACTTGCATACTGTGTAGTCCTAAATTGTGGATGTAAATGTGATAGTTGTCATGGTTCATGTTCAAGAGGTTTGTCGCTTTGATTAAACTTTCTTTCCCTAGCGGTCGTGTTTCGAAGACTCCCGTGGAGTTAGCGTAGGCCTGTATATTGATCCTCTGAGGAGTCCCCATGTTGATGAAGCGTTACGTTTTCAGTTGCGTCTCATACCGTGTAAGTGTGTTGAGCAAGATAGTTAAATGATTATCACATGGTTTGGCTAACTGCGGCGTCAGAATCCCCGCTTTATGCATGGGCGTGAGAACATGTTCCAAGGATGGTGGGGCCCGCGCCACTTACCGATACCTCGGAACCAAGCATCTCAAGGCACATAAGAAGGCTTATTATTGATTCAATGTGATTGGAGATCAGGATCATGGTCTTTTTCCTGTCAGCTGGGGAATGTAGGGATGGAAAGTGGCCTGAATAATTTCTATAAAACAGATCAAGAAAAGAAGATGAAAAAATGGGAAAATAATATTATGTTCACAGAAGGCTAGGGGGTCAAACCGAGTTTCGGCATTTTGGGGTCTATTGTTTGATCCTGTTGAAAGTATACGCGGCTGGGGATTATCTATTCGGGCTTAAGGTCTGTTTTATGTTAGGTCCGGGCTGTCATTCGTGTTCGTACCAATAATGTCTTGGACATGCGGCGGCAGCATAAAGGTATCAGCTAGCCCGCCCCACTGTAGTGCATCAAGGCGTGCAAGTCCTAGCTTGACAAGCGGAAAGCTCGGACTTTGACATCGCAGGACCTGTAACCAAGATTCGACCAAGTACTTGCCTCGCATCGCATGGGCCATGTTTGGGGCCTGTACTAGCAGTAACATCAGGAAGTTTGAAACCGTGGCAAAGCCGATGCGAGACCCTGGAATATATCAGCATTTTTCTTCTTTCCAGAGCTCTGTATAACAGGGAATAGGGAAAACAGCAACTCACATGAGTACCAAAATCCAGTAAAGTCACTAGGCGTAAGGCGCCGTGTGAAATTCACCAAAATTGTCGCACACTTCTCCGCTGCGTGCAAGGTAATCTCGCTGGTGCCAGATACATCTGGTATAGAAATATCCGGGATAGCATCCAGCCCTGACAGATCTGCAAAGTCAAGAGATGGGTCATCGACTGGCAGTGGGGACGTAGCAGCCATCTCTTCTAGATCAAATATCATGGGTGGATCTGACGAGCGAGCCATCGGCCGTAGCATGGCACGATAAACGTAAACGACCAGTAGAAGGTATGCAAAGTGAATAGATGTCGGGTAAGGGGCCTGCCCGTGGACAGATTTGCTCCAGTTTGGTAGGCGAAATGTCTCTGGAAGGGAAGAATACCATGAGTTAAGTTTCTCCAACAACTCTTTCCCCAAGGCGATTGAAGTATCAAAGTCAGCATTCAAGACCTGCGACGCTCTGAGGGTGCTAGAAAGAGTCAGAAGACGTTGCTGTGGTCTCAAGTAGCGATGCGACTCACTAAAATGTTCCCTGTATTTCCTCTGCAATCCGGGCCAAGTTTACTAGGAAACGGAATGGTATATCGATATCGCAGGCGAGCGTAGAAAATCCTTGTCTCGGGCCAACAAGGAAATCACCTTCATCTAGATCACTAACATCCCATTCGGCCGGGTAGAGATAAGGAGGGCGTCCCATTAACAAGCTTCGCCATTTGTCTTCGGCATATACAGCCCACCACAGCCGACGACGCAACCGCTTTTCCCAGGCCGGTATGCCCCACATGCGGCATTCAATGTGTACTCCGAGACTGCAGGCTAGGCCGACAATCTGACCCACAAAAGACCATACAAATGGCGTGTCGGCAGTCGTATATCTAGCTTCATCCATGGGTTGTTGTTGAATGTATAGTAGCGCAGCTTGGAGGACCGCAAGACGGGGACTATGTATCTCCACTGTCAAAAGCTCATATACCATACGCCAAAGCTTTCTAACCGGAGACGAATGATAGGTGTTGAGGACGCATAAGTAATCATCATGCGCAACAAAAGGAAATGCAGAGGCATAGATGGCTGCTAGAAGATGAACCGGCACTTTTGCCAGAGCTGCTTGTTCCGGGAGCTGATTCGAAGTTGTTTTCAACCCTAACTGAGAACGTGAGATCACTGGTAGCGCAGGAAACACGTACTTAACGAATCTATCAAAGCGGTTAGTCCGAATTTATGGACGTCCTTGAACGAGCAGAATATTATCACTCACAGAGCCACTAATCTCCTTCCATACTCCGGTGGCACTAGGTTGTCTAGCTTTTCACGTGTCTCACGCGCGCTTGCAAAAATACCGGCATTTGTTTCTTCTTTTACCGCGGTTGAAAGTTCCGGGGAGGTGATCATAAAATGCACCGGTATTCGTTGAGCCGTGGGTACTCCTCCAGCATTGCGATAATGAACCTTGTAAAAATGTTTCATCCCAGAATCATCGAACCGACAATGTCTGAGAAGCCATGGGTCCGACTCAGAGGAAGCGCCAAACAGTTGCGCATATCCTTGGTCAAGTTTGTCAATGCTCTGTACAAACTGAGTCGGCGGCCGACCGGCAAGTAGTATTCCAGATGCTGGTGATGCGACATTGACTTGATCGAATTCCAGTGAGGGAAATACTGGCTCGGCGGTGCTCAGCTGACCATCTTGTGAGGCATCTCGGCCAAAGACCCTTACATCACCGTGGGCCGTCGCCGGCAACTCTTCAACGCTTGGCTCGGCCAAGGACAGGGACTGTGAGAGTCGCACTCGTTTCGGTGGAGGGGCATCAAATGTACATTCCAGTTTTGAAGCCCGGCAGCGCTGACATGGAAGTCCATCATCAATTTGGCATCCTAGTTTCCGACCTCGGCATTGATCACACGGCCGATGACGCTTTGATCGGTATGGGCGAGCGGGAGCAGGAGATGCCATATTTGATATGAAGATTTTTCGCAGCGATCGGCGAAAAGAACGCGCGTGTATAGGCAGGCAGGGGCTTTAACATTATACTCGTAGTGGAGTCGAGCATAGTTGGCCGAGCGGCGAAGTTGGCCGAGATGGCCGAGATGGTGGCTACGTCGTAGTGAGCCAAGCCTTCCGATTGGCTGCTTGAGGATGAAGATGGAAGTCTCAACCAATGGAAGTTACTTATTCGACCGCCGATCTCAGCTCCAGTGTTCCATTGCTATCATCATATGAACGAGTTTTTCAACCTCAGAAAAAAATTTCGCCTTCTCTCGGCGAACTTGGTGATACTATATTGCATTGTAGAATTGGAACCCAGTCGATTGTATTCAACATTGTCCGAAGGGCAGGAAACTTGGAAAATCAAAAATGGATTGGAGAGTCATGACTGATGGTCGCCGAAGTTTCACGGGGCATAGATATAAAAGAACGTTTGCTCAAAAGGCTACTATACCCGTACATCGCATTTTCTGCTATCTAAGGTCATTCAATCATTTCTCGACAGCCGACATCCACAATATTGGAAAGCGATTCCCTTCTCAGAACAATATCCTAAATACCAGAAGCCTCCATCATGGGAGGACATTCTGACAGCCCACAGTGGCGATCCCGGCTTGCCGATATCTTTTTCCGGGGGAGTAAAAATCAAGAAGTTAAGTCGGATAGTGATTCCGATATCACTTTGGTGTCCCGGTATGTCTCCTACTTGGGCGCGATCAGAAATCAAATTGTGATCGAAACTTCTACTGATAAACCCCATAGACAAGACGATCGTTCCAAACCTAAAAGGCCTATAGAGCCCGAGAGATTCAACCGTGAGTCCCTGTCTTGTCCATACGTCACTAGTGTGCCTGCTGATGGTCACAAAGCGGCCGATATGTGCTTCGGCTCATGCTGTCGGAAATAACGTTCCGGTCGTCAAAGATTGCTGTATCTGCACAGCTCCAGGACTAAGCTATAGGTAGTACATGTACATATAGAATGAATCTTAATACCCATCTCATGCGGACACATGGAGGTGTGTTGGATTTTCAACTTTCAGGTTCATGTTCCGAAGCCAGGGAATCGAATTCGAATACTATTTTTCAGTTCCAAGAGCTGCAATATCTGAATATTGCTAGTAATATATCTGATGGATTGCGAGCGGTCTCTGTGCTGGAGATCTACAATGAGCACCACTAGATGAACCCATATGTGAGTTATCGCAGCAGGTTTTGCATATTTGGAGATTCAGAGCTATTATCACTTCTTCTCTACCTTGCGTAGTAAAAATTAGTTTGGGCTTGGCTAGAAGTTTAAGGTGCGGCAAAAAAAGCATAAACTAGTCTAGATTAGGAGACGGCGATGGGAGTGCGAATGGTGACTATATGTCTCATCCTGTACCTACCACTTTCTCCCTTCTCTACCCCTCAGCAAATGAACGGTATTCCTCAACTCCTAAATTTCCTTCCCTAGTCCAAGCTCCTTGCCTTAGTTCGTGTGTGTTCGTCGCCAAGATGGACGCCAACTCCCCATCCTCCGCTGACGCCAACCCCCCTCTCTACCCTCCGCCAATGCCAAGGAGAACACCGCCAAGAAAGACGCTGATGATAAAAGACGGATTACCAAAATCTGGGCCGACTACGGATTAGCTGTCGGGCAGCTCGACGGCGAACCGGAGGAGATGGCCGCAGCCGTTAACGCCCTTTTTAATACCGCGCGTTGGCAGGCATTTGCCGTCAAGAACCCACCGGTGCTAGAAACCTTTGAATGGTGCGCAGCAAACAAGAATATCGACATCCGGGATGTCGAAGATGCATTTGGCCTTCGTAAACAGTCTATCCATTCACGAGAAAACCAACCCTGGCCGCCACACAATCCACGTCGGCTTGATCTACCAGAGACAGCCAGTATGTTCTGTTTTATCTTGATACATAACCCTAAGCAAAACTAATGATTTACAGAAGACATGCTTGTGATTGTAGGAAGATATATGCATCGATCAGCAGCCAATGAGGCTGCGGCTAGATGTATTATCAATATCGTGCTTTTCGCTGTGATGGACACATTTATGGGTTCAGACGACTCCGATGATGATGACGGTATGAGAGTTGATACCTGGCCACTCAACATTCAAGCGGAGACGTCACTGGAGTCCCAAATTGTGATGGTTGACGGCAAGAAGAGAAAGTTTCGCGGCCTCTGCGACTACTCGTTATGGTATGGCGACCGCCGCAAGCCCGAGGAAGCCATCCACCTAGTCGTGGTGGAGGCAAAGCGCACCGGCGTTTTAGACACTGGCTTCTCTCAGACCCTCATATATATGGGTAAGTGTCTGCCTCCAGAGTCTCTTTCCTCCTTACCTAAATTTTGATATGGGATTCTAGGATGTATTCACCAAGAACGTCTCCGTACCGAAGGGCGTTCGGCCGTCATCTATGGAGTGATGTCAGACGGGGTGCAGTGGAAATTTATCCGGATCAACCAACAGGGGGAACACGCTATGAAGGTCTATGATACAGGAGAGCCAGGCGGTTATACACATATCGCAACCACACTTGCGTTTATGATGCAGGAGGCGGTTACGCTTTCACCTTACGCTTCCAAGAACCACTCAAAGGAAGCGTCTCGCGAAGAATGACTCTTCCTGTCACTATTCTTGCTTTTTATTTGTTACTGTCGGGCGTCGCTTTCGGAAAGTTTCTTGTTTCTGACGGAGTAAGGCGCCTACATTTTTACACCTGTACCATTAGGAGTAAGTCATGTGACCCCAACACACGACGCCAGACCATAGTTAGGAGATCCGGCTTCCCTTTCTTTTACAATATCAGAGCTATTACCACTTCTTCTCTACCTCGCGTAGTAACAATTGGTAGCATGTCCAGGTCACGTCAAGGGTCTCCAGACTCGCCTGGTACAACTCTTTTTGCTCTCCATCGCTTTTTCTGCCCCTGATCCATCCGCCCACCAATCACCATCTCGCCCGACATCATATTCTCAGTGTCCTTCGCCAACGTTGCCTGTGTCTTGCGAGTCGGATGTATTAAGCGAAGGCGGTATGACGTCATCAGCCATGTGCTCCGTGTAACCAATCGAAGTTGTCAGTTGACATGTTTGGATATCAGATAGTCTATTTTGGAAAGGCGTCTCGGTCCAAGGACAAAGTAGCAAGGATGACGAGAAAGAGAGAGGACATGTGTTCGTCCGGGCACAGGGCTGCTCCACGCTAGTTTGGAGCCGAGCGGGGAAGCGTGAAATGGTGGAGATGAGCTCCCGAATTAGGCAAGAGTCTGTGCGGCCTTCTGCTTGGAAACAAAGGTTGCACTAAGCGATTGTGCATCATTTGGACAATTGGTCGATGAGCCGAGAGAATCACTATGCGGAAAGTGGTCTAGGCTGATCCTACCGGTTTGGTCATTGATCTCCAACCGAGTTCCGAGCTCCTTGCGCTGAGGGGAAGCGGTCGAATTCATTTTCACACACCTGGGCACCTGGATAACCCACCGAGCTCCCATCCCCATTTATAGCACCTATGTCCCCAGATTGAACTACTGTCGATTACACACATATTTTGCCCTACCCAGTGCGAGTGAGCGATCATGATCTTCGAGCCGGCTGAGCGCGTACTGCTCCCTACGAAAGACCTGCTGTCTTACATCTTTGACGATCCACCATATGATCAAGACAAACCAGTAAATCCAAGACCTTGCCCTTTGCTAAGATACAGAAATTTATATCTGGATCTATATTAGATTTATGTCGATGCGAAGAACCCACGTCGTTCGATTTCGTGCAATCAGGCTCGCAGCACAATCAGAAAGCTGATTGCTGGCCTACGAGCAGCTGGTATTCGTAAAGGGGATTGTGTTTTGATCCACTCTTTTAATGACGTGAGTCCGATGCGGTCAAATAAGTACAAGGGCGAATTTTCCAGACTAATATTGACTACCTTAGATCAATTACAGCATCCTTGTTCTCGCCATCATTGGTGCAGGTGGAGTATATACTGGCTCGAACCCATCATACACACCCAATGAACTTGCGCATCATGTCAGAGCTGCCGAGTGTAAGTTTTTGATCTCAGAGCCAGAAATTCTGAACAATCTTCTCTCGGCAGCCAAGCAAGTCGGAATCCCCCGTGAGAAAGTCTGGGTCTTTGACAATGAGGCGCAAACTGTCCCGCCAGACCAGAAATCATGGAAGACTCTAATGGAGTATGGTGAAGAAGACTGGGTCCGGTTCAATGATTTGAAAACAACAGAGACGACCACCGCTGCGAGACTTTTCAGCAGTGGAACTACAGGTCTGCCAAAAGCTGTGGTGATTACTCACTATAATCTGATTGCTCAACATGAGCTTGTTATCAATCTGCACCCTCGTCCGTACCCGGTGAGCCAGCATCAACCCCGGTGAATGGGTTCGTGTTAAATGCCCAAAGATATTTGACTGACTTCCATTTAGCTTTCGCGAATTATTGCAATCCCTGTCTTCCATGCCTCAGCCGCCCCGGTGACCCACATCTCCACTTTGAAGGCAGGGCAAGAGGTCTATATGATGCGACGGTTTGATCTGGAAGAGTTTTTGTCCAACGTGGAAAAATATAACGTCACCGATCTTGCAATGGTGCCTCCCATCGTCATTGCCATTTTGATGTCTCCTATCTCCCAGAAAAGGCCATTCCTGAAGAAGGTCCAGGGCGCGGCGTGCGGAGCTGCCCCCTTGGACAAGAATGTTCAAGCTCGTTTCCGCTCAATGCTGGCTGATGGTAGCCCATTCACACAAGTATGGGGTATGACAGAGACGTCATGTGTTGCGACTATGTTCCCATACCCCGAGCATGATGATACTGGGTAAGCATATGTGCTCTTATGTCAAATAATGGCGATCTGATATTGATGAATGATTTAGGTCGGTCGGGAGACTGATTCCTAATTTGGAGGCAAAGTATGAATCTTCAACATTCTATCTCTTGTACCATGACTGACAAATTTCAAGGCTCATTGATGACGACGGTAACAACATTTCTGCTTACGGAGTGCGTGGAGAGTTATGTGTCCGCGGATCGACAGTCACGCCAGGGTACTATAAGAACCCCGAAGCGAATGCACAGTCTTTCGACTCGGACGGTTGGTATAAAACAGGAGATATTGCATACTGCGACGAAGCGACTCGAAAGTGGTACATAGTCGACAGAAAAAAGGAGCTTATCAAAGTAAGGGGCTTCCAGGTCGCACCACCTGAGCTCGAAGCTGTTCTTCTGTCTCACCCTCAGATAGTCGATGCGGCAGTGATAGGCATAACCATCCCAGGTGCCAATACCGAGTTCCCTCGTGCTTATGTGGTGCGACGTCCTGGGAACAAGGGAGAGAAACTCACAGAGATAGATGTCCAGAAATATGTTCTAGAGCGGCTTGCGCGATTCAAGGCCTTGACAGGAGGGGTGAAGTTTGTCGGTTCTATTGCAAAGAACCCGAGCGGAAAGATCCTCAAACGAGTCCTTCGAGAGGATGCAAAGAAGGAAATTGAGGCAGGAGTCCTTAAGCCTAAGCTTTAAGTACCCGAAAGTCCAGTTAGCAATGTTAAACAATTTGTTTCATTATCAATGTTATCTTTCATGGTCCAAACTCAAGAAATACATTATTAAACTGACCGAGATTCACAAGCGGCAACACGGCACGACAAGGTGCATACACCGGAAAGTAATAGCGTCAAAATAAATACCAAAGCTTAGGAATAAGGGCATTATGACTCTAGATAAGCGCGTGAAGCGACCGAGCGACCATCCTGAAATCCGTGGAGTCTGAGACACCACTCAGAATATTGGTGATATTGTGGACAATTTTGGAAAGTGGAGAATTATTGCCGTTATTCAGGAGATTTTCCAAGGTTCCAGTCAAGACCTCCAGAACAGAAACCTGTGCTGTCAAGGTTAGATTGTTCAAAATCTCCTCGTAGTAAGATATATGAACACCGTTATAGATTGTCGAATTCCCGGAGGCTGAAAGCTGGAACTTGCCCTGTAGTAATGCCGTTCGCTGGGAAGTGAGTATATCTGAGAGATTCTCAGTAATGGCGTTTACGTCGAGACTTCCTCTCAAGGAGACTGTGTTATTTCCGGGCTTCAGCACAACATTATGCATTGTGGCTTGTCCGACCAATAAATCATAGCTTCGAAGGTTCAGAGTCACGTTGCCCTAGTAATCAGACCCGTCAGCTATGTGGATCCAATATTCAATGGAAATTGGTATTGAGAGTTGCATACTAGAGCGAAGGTAAAAACGCTCTTGTTAGGCAGGGTTGCTGTGGCAAGCAAATTGCTGCCGTCGGCTTCTTTTGGAATCGCAAGCTGCGCTGTATCAATGGTAAATCCACTCAACTTATCCATACCTAGGTAGAACTCGTATTAGACCATAGAAGCAAAATCTCCGGAGTAGACTATCCGTTGATTATCAAAGGAAAATGGACTGGAATGGAATTGGAAGCCCCTGCACTCGGCTCGTGATGTGAATTAAGAGAAGAGAAAAGGATAGTTGACCGCTATTGACAGCAAGGTTCAATGCACCAGTATCGCGGAGACGTACCGTCTAACTTTATGTCTTTGTCAAAGGTGAAAGGCGCCTTGATGTCTCCCAGATGCCCCACTGTTTTCCCTTTTGCCGACATTGTAAAGCGTTCATTGTAAACTGCTTGACTTAAGGTTCGCACAAATTGTGCTTGATCAAGGATCGTCGTGTCATTTTGAGTAAGGATCATTTCCGTGTTGCCCTTCAAAGTATACGAAGGTAGCCCCACTTCCAAATATGGCTGTATAGGCTTGACATCACGGTTAAAAAGACTGAGATCGAAAGCATTCGTTCGGATTTGAAGTCCCACAGGCACGCTCAGAGATGTATGAAGGGTGAATGATACACTCTCTGCCTTTGGGTCGAGGATTTCAGCCGAGTAGATCGGTAGATCGGTATCATCGACGATTCGTTGTGCAATGGCCGGGATTATCACGAGGAAGCTACCAACATAGAAGCAGAAGAATTTAGTCAAGGCATTCTTCATGTTTGAACCTCTAGGCCTTCAACTCACAGTACTGGAAGGAATATGGCCAAGAAAATAATTGCAGCTACAAGATAGCAGCACCAAAATCGACGCCAGTGTTTTTGAAATTTTGCTCGCGCTACTTTGAGCCTCCCAGTGGACTGCTTAGAGTCTACATTAGATGCTGCATCAGAGTTCATTTTTTCTCCTTTTTTCAAATCAGTAGGCAAGTCCCTGTTGGCCCCAACAACAAAGTCGTGGTTCTTTCCAAAGCCCATGTTGTATGCGCGGCGTATGATTTTCCTAAGGAATGACCCCTGAAAGTATATGTAGTGAAGAGGGGAACGCTCGTTGGCAGCACACTCGAAGATGTGCGGGTCGATTCAGCACACAGAACAACCACACAAGCCACAGCTGGACGTACGAGAGAACCACATGGTCCGTTGAGAGAGGTGTAGGAGTGTGTTATTCCATGCTATCTACTAGATGCTAGTTATACTATCCTGGGCCTACCTGCCCACGTACTGAAAACTATTGGTTACGGCCCGAACCGGAAAAACCCTCGGAAAAACTCTATCCGCAAGAACCCGTAATAACAGGTAACAGGGAGTTCCCCACTACATACCACCCCACCTAATAATCGACCGTCCCCTGGTCGATATGGACAGCAGACAACGCAAGGCAGCAGAGATGATAAGACAGAACGCAGGAAACCAACATAAACAGCAGAGCCTGAACGCAACAAGAACGCACCAAAAGCACATAGAAAACATGCAGAAAACATAAGAAAGAGACCTAAATCTACTCCTTAACCTCCATCTCCTCGTCAGAAACCTCTATTGAGGCAAGCTCTCCAGCCGGGGGCACCAGAAAGGGTGGCGGAATAGGTTTTCCAGTCTCATAGAGGTGGAAGAACGAATTCTCTCCAAAAATGCGCTTTTCTGCGACAACAATCTCTTGGAATAGCTGCTTATATCGGAGGACAGCCCTGGCTCTCCAGTCTTATACGAACTTGATCCCAGCAGCCTGGTCCTTTCCAAAGAGAACGTCTAGTTCGCTAGTCACACTAATTGAGCTCCACCGAACACGACCGACCAAGGCGTCCAAGATAGCACCTAGTCCTGTCATCTGCGCAGTCGCTGGAAACACCTGCTCGGGGCTAGTATAGTGCCCACTAGCCATACCCGACGGAGTTTTCTTAGATAGGGCAAGGTCACGATGAGACCTCGCCACGTCCTCCCACTTGCCACTCTCTGCAGTCTCAAAACACTCATCGTCCTCTTCTATCCTGACGTACCACGGTAAGACTGTACGTCTGATCATGGTTGTGGGCCCGGTCGCTCCATGGGGAATCGTGGGCAGAGACACGCGGACGTCACCTGCCCTGTAGACTATCTTTTTCCAGTCCGTACCATATTTCTTTACTTGTTCTTGGGTCCACATCTAAGGTAAAATACGGTGTTTCAAGCCAGTGGTCCTTGCTTTTGGAGAAGACTTAACCTTCGGCCACTAGTCTCGAAGATGCGTGTGGATCCTTGGCAGAACTTCCGTACAGTTCTCTGGGTCTTCGTTCGTGAAGGATATAGATCCTTGAATCAGGTTTCTACCTCGTCCGCTCTGTAGATAGTCCGAAAGACTGATATCGGTGTGTCTGAAAAACGTGCTTTCTTCTGGATAAGAGCTCTTTGTGTAGTACGGCCAAGCAACTAGTCTATATGCGTGGTCGGGTCGTAGCATCACATACCATGCATAATACGCTGGGTCTTGTCGAACAACTTGCTGGACTAGGCTATGGGCCATCAGACGCGACCAGCCTTTTCGAGGCTGACCTACTGGAGGCAGGAAATGGTAGTCATACATGTCGAATTCCAGCGTGATAAGGTCTCCTAGAGACTCCACGACCTAGGCAAATAGCCCTTCCAAGACTACCGTTCCTTCCAAGGAGAATTCTTCTAGGACAGAGCTAGCGAGGTCCTTATCCCGTCCTTCTAGGACTCCGAAACATCTCTTATATAAGTCTCTTGAGGACAGTCCACAGGACTCGAAGTCCGCAATTTCAGGTGTGGCTATCTTCGGCCGAAATCGGAAGATCGTTGCTGGCGCGCCCGAGGCAGTTTTCTTATAGAACCACGTGGGATTATCTTGCTCGAACTTCTTCCAGTCTCCAATGTGCTTATAGCAGACGGTTAAGCGAGTTGCTAGCTGGGGGTGGGTATACGTCCGTGTGTATAGTCTAAGAAACAATCCAAAGGACTTGGCGTGGGCGTAACAGATATTCGCCTCGTTAAAGTCTCCTAAGCTTCTTCCAGCATGTCTCAAGACCTTCAGTTTCTCCTGTTGTGTGGCAGATCCTTCGAACTGTGGACCTTGAAACCGGGCTATCGTCGAGTCCGTGAGCTTACACCCACATCCTTTCTTTAGAGTCTTCACTGGCTTCTTCCCTTCCGCGGAACCAGTCTTTCTCCGAGGCTTCCTAGGCCCGTCATCCTCGCTAGAGTCTTTATCTAAGCCTTGGTCTAACACCTCGTTATCAGTCTCCGACTCCAAGTCCCCAGTCCCGCTTGGCAAGTCTAGGTCCGTCTCAACCAAGTCCGATCCTAGTCCTTTCTCACAGAGAACTCCTCCAGAGTCTACTTAAAGACCCAGGTCCCTTGCAACTAGGACGTCAAGTCGTCCTAGGTCCATGTTTGAGACTGCGTTCTTTAGATCTCCTTGAATCATGCCTTTCTGAACTTGGTGTCCTCTTCCCACTCGCCTAAGGCGCTTAATCACCTCATTATTGACCGCGGAGACCATATGGCTGTAAGGAACCCGTTTCTGCAGCAGCTTGCTCACTGCCTCTACTATAGTCTTCGTGTGAATGTTCCGGAATAGTCCTTCCGCGTTCTTCTTGCCCCACGCCTTAATGGCTTTCTTTAGCATGTTTGTGCGGTAGGTCAGGTTCTTAGCGTGCCGGGTCCTGATAATTCGGAGTTCTTTCCACTCCTCTAAGAAGTCTTCCAAGGAGCACTCCGCTCTCTATGCGTCATCGTCATAGACGTAGTTATACCAGTCAGCGATCGCGGACTCATGAGACGCATGTTTCTGTAGGAGCCACGCGGAAACTAGCCTTTGAAGCTCATACCTATCTTCGGCAGGATGTCCTTGTATCCCTTTCTTGAAGGTTTCTAAGTCGCTGACTCCGCAGATCGAAAGATCTAGAGACCGTAAGAACCCTTCTTCCTGAGACTCCATGATAATAGATTCTGGAGAAATTGGTACGACCACCAAGGACGTCTCGGTCTCTGGTCTCGCTCGTGGAGGTGTGTAAGGAGGGTCTTTCTACATGATGAGGTCTTTAGAGTTTCTTATGACTGAGACTTGAAAGTGTCTGTGAGATGTTTGCGAGAAGTTGCGAGGAGACTAGGACTGCTTGACGAGGACTCTGGTTTTCTATCCTTCCATAGGACCATGTCTTCTTTGTCTCATCCTTCCTACCTATCCTTCTTCTATTCTTGCACATCCTTATGAAGCACCTTCATGAGCGGACAACAAAGGCTGGTCTTCCGAGACTGCGTATCTCTTTGAGTCTTTAGAGGTTAGAATCTGTGCTGAGACTACCTCCCTCACTAAGTCGAGTTCTTCGGCCGAAATCAGCTATTAGGTCGTTCCGATCCTTCTGAGTCTCATAGAGGGCTCTCCATAGTCCTTATGAAGCTGACCTCGAGACGCGAAACTTGCAAGGCCCCACCCCACCTAAGAAACCTGCTATCCCTGCTGCTTACCTAGGATAGCGCGTCAAAACTCAAAGAAGGTCAATAAGCACGAAAGAAACTCAAGAATATGAAAGAAACAAAGAAAAACGCAGGATAGCACGCAGAATATTAGGCACGCCTTTAGAAAACGTCATAAAAAAAAGAACAAAAGCAAGGATAATAGTCAGGGGACAGGGCTATAGAACTGCAAAAGAAACGCACGCAAAACTCAAAGCATCTAGACAGAATCTAGTCTCCCTATCCACCTTCACTCTCTGATCCTTCAGTCTCGGCACTCCGTGGTGGAAATGACTGCTCTCTCACGCCAGTCTCCCTATATAACCAGAACCTTTTTAGCTAGTCTCCGTTGACGGCGCTGTGACCAAGGCCTTCGCCCGCTGAAAACCAGTGCTTCATGGGCGTTCCGTCAAGCTCTTCCAGTCTATAAGACCCATTTCCAACTACCTCTCTGATTCGGTAGGGTCCATGCCACCGAAAACGGAGCTTCTGAAGTGCACGCACATCATCTTGCATCTGAGTATTATGCACCAAGACTAGGTTTCCTACCTCCAGGGGGTATAGTCTGATCACCTTTGTGCTATCAAAGTAGGTTTTATTCCGCTCTTGGATCCTCTCAAATCGATGAATTGCCTCTGTGACGTCCTGGTCTTTCTGTAGGATTTGCCTAGCTCGTAGGCTAATCAGGTCTTCAGTGCTAGAGATTGTTTCCCACAGCAGTGTACTCCAGGTAGGCACTTCCATCTCTAGTGGAAGGATAGCGTCCTTTCCGTATAAGAAATGGTATGGGGTTATGCCTATGGTAGCACACGTCGTCATCCTATCAGCCATAAGTGCAGCGTAGAAACAAGCCCTCTATGAAGGAGGCGCCGCATGCTGCCTAGAATGCCCACGTCTCTGAGAATAGGCTAGAGACCCAGACTCCAGCTCAGACGCTGCGTTTTCGGCCGAATAACCTGACGTCATCTTTGATAATGCGTCCTTAAACGTTCTCATGCTGCGCTCAATCGCCCCGTTTGAGCCCGGGTTATATGGAGAGATCGCAACGCGCTTAATACCTTTCTTCTACAGGAAAAACTACACTTCCGACCTGAACTCTGGTCCCTTATCCATGACTATCTTCAACGGAAATCCATAGCGGCATATAATGTCTTCCCATATGAATTCACAGACTGCGAGGCCAGTCGCCTTCCCTTTTAGGGGCCTAGCTTCAATCCATCCACTTAGCGCCTCACGTGCCTGAATCATGCACTGATATCCATCCTCGTTAGGTAGTGTAGCGGTATCAATATAGACCTGCTCCCAGATATACTGGATTCGGCTTGGAAGAAGTGGCTCTTCAAGGCGTTTTGGGTCCCGAAACTGGCACTTTGCACATCCTCGGACGTACTCAGAGACCTGAGAATACATGCCATCCCACCAGTATCGTAGTTTCAGGAGGTGGTAGGTTAACTCTCGCCCCTTATGGCCAAGCTCATCATGGGCAGCAATAATCACGCGTTTCTGGGTCTCCACCTGGTCTAGAACACGACGAAGTGGTAGATTCAGTCCTTTTCCTCGATAGAAGAGGTGCTCTCCTTGTACCACAAAGTCACACGCGTGATTTTTGAACTTCTTATACCTCCGGATTGGCATGTCTTGTGGTCGTCGAAACGTGGTTAGCCACCTTACAACTTGCTCGGACTCGTCGGAGTACTCCAGAGATAGGACTCGTATATAGTCTCCTGGCTCCTGGCTTTGTGTCATATCCTCCATATCCACACCTAGCGGGGTCTCAATAGACGCCGCGACTGGGTTTAGCATCACCCGTAAGGTGCCTATTTTAGCTAATATAAACTCATCAACGTCCTCCTCCGTCTCTTGCTCCGCTATTTCCTCCTTTATATGTGGTCTTCGAGATAAGCCATCCGCAGCGCCGTGCCGGTCTCCAGGCACGTGTTTAACCTCAAAATCAAATAGTCTAATCCACGCCAGCCAGCTCGTCACTAGTGCACCTGGCAAGTCAGTCGCAGACCTGTTTAGTTGTGTAGCTAGGGTCTTAGCGTCGATCTCCAGCGTGAAATGGACTCCATATAGCCAGTGCCTGAACTTTTTAAGCGCCTTCAGAACCCCCCGACACTCCCTTTTTCCAGCGTCATAGGTCTGCTTGGACTCGGACCAGGTGCCTGACTCATATCTCGCAGGTTTCCGGACCCCATCTCGCACCTATATCATAACAGCCCCCCACCCTTTTCCAGACGCGTCCACAGCGACTATAATAATCAACGGTAGCCAGTCATAGTCTATTAGTAAGACGCATGGAAAGGTTGATAGAATCCGCTTAATCTCATCAAACGCCAGCTGTTGGTCATCTTCCTACTTGAAGTCCGTACCTGCCTTTAGAAGAAGGTATAGCGGGGTAATAATAACTCCAAACTTCTCCACGATGACACGAAAATAGACTGCTAGTCCCACAAATGAGCGGACTTCAGGAACAGAGGTAGGTACTGGCCAGAAGACTAATCTCGCAACTTTCACCTCATCTGGGCGGCGTCCATCTTTATCATATACCCAGCTAACCACCGCAACTCCACTCATGGCAAACTGCGACTTTTCGGCCGAAATCACCATCCCAGCAAGCTCTAGGAGGTATAAGGTCTCGTCTAGGTTCTGGAGGTGTTCTAGAACATAGCGGCGAACTCCAGAAAACGCCATCTCGTCGTTATAGGTCGTCTTTGGTCCTTTGATCCCAAAATCGTCTAGGAATGCTTGGATAGCCTTACCATATGCGTCCGCGAGCACAAACTGCACGACACGCTGGCACTGCGCTACTGAATTTGCACCTCCTTGCAGAATTATGACCATCCTGACTAGGCCCATTGGAGTCATAATCGCAGTCATGTCTCGGCAGTCTTCTACTAGAGAAATCTGATCATATCCCGAGAACAAGTCCACCATTGAGCATATCTACATGCCCGCAAAGTCTTCCGCGAACTCATCAGCGTTTGGGGGCATGTTCGCGTCCCGAATCGTCACGGAATTGAGTTTCATGGTGGCTATTATAATTCAATACTGCCTAGCAGCCTTCTTCTTAACCAAGAACCAAGGGTTTCGATAAGGACCATGACAGCGCTCAATACTACCTTTCTTTAGCCTATCTTAAAGCATCTCCGTGGCTATCTTCTACAAGGAACGTGGAATCTGGAACCCAGGGTGCTGCCAGGGTTCATGATCCACCGTCCTGATCTTCTATGGACTGAAAACCTCTAGGTGTACCCTCTGGATGTGCTCCCAGGACCACGCTAGCATACCTTCTCGCTTAAACAGCAGTTCTCTTAGTAGCTCTCTTTCTTCCGGCAAAAGACTTGTCCCGAAAATCAGCTTCTCTTCACGTTCTGGGGTTAGGCGAGCGCCTCGTGCGAACTCAGCAATCCTGGGCTTTAGGTACTGGTCGAACCTAGTCCGCTGATCTCGTGCGCGAAATCGCGTGTGGTATTTCTTTATGCAGACTTCCTGCCAGCCAGCGTGTCCTTCCGGGACTGATCCATCTTGTAGAGGTATGTTGACTAGGTGGACCTTATCCGCGACTCGCTTATAGAGCGTGTTACTTGGGACCAGTCTATCCAAGATGTCTTTCTTCGGCCGAAGAAACCGCTCTCCCCAGTCCACTTCCCTAGGCAGAATCCCAGGGTCTCGCACCGTTGACCTAAAGTGCACGTCCCATAGCTTCAAGTTCTCGTCAAGCTCCACAAGCGTCCACCTAGGCGGTAGATAGCAGTCTTCTAGCTCAATCACACTGCCAGAAACCGCCTCTAGCATATTTGTGCTAGGGAACACTGTTTCCTTATAGAGCTGGTTACAGTTCGGGGCTGGATCAAAGAGAACCTTTTCTGTCAATAAATCACTCGGAGTCCTTCTCTTCTTCTCTTTCTTTCTCTGGCTCATAGACGTCGCGGGTGGTATTCCAGAGGTAAGACACCCGCGAATCAGTTTAAAGGCACCTTTGAATCCTCGTCTTGCTCATAAGTCTCTCCACCATAAGGATCTAAGCGACGTAGACGCGGTTCGCCAGGCCAGATCTTTAATAAGCCCACAACTCGTCCTTCTTGCGGGACTGCGGCGTTAAACTGGAGCTTTCGCGTCCGAGACTCGTTGTAGACTATGCAACGCACGTGACCATTCTCGCGGTGCTCCATGGTTAGTAAGGTACTCTCCATAAATGGTCTTCCTAGGATCAAGCCAGGAGAAGCTGGCAACACAAAGATGTTGATCCTAATTATAAGGTCTCCAAGAGAAATAGGAACGTCCTGCATACAGCCTAGGCAGCGGACTTCCACTCCATTCACGGGCACCACAGAAATCTAAGGATCTCTTCGAATAGGGTGAGAAAGCTCTCTTGCCTCTCTCTTACCAATCACGTTCAGTCCTAAGCCAGAGTCTAACATCCCGCGGACCATAAACTGGTTAATGCGCACGTCCGTGTAAAGGAGAGGGAGCGAGTATATCCCTTCATCAGTCTCAGGGGCATCTCCAACAGGCACCGAGCGTCTTCGGTCCGTGATGATCTGCCCAGACGCGACGTTCACGGGTGGTCTTATCAACTCATCGGAGTCTCGATATAGGACCAGAGCATTAGAGCTAGAGGCTCTAGGTTCGCCAGGTGTATCCTCCCGAAATAAGGTATTCCGGAACTTTGGAGCCAGCTTTGCCATCTCTGAGAGCTTAATAGAGACTTCCATATCCAAGAATCGTCGTTTTATGTCATTTTCCAAGGCCGTGTCCATGCTCACAAACGGAGGCGTTCTGTTCACTTTAGACGAGTTCTGAGGCTGAGGCGGAGACCTAGACCCACGTGCACGCGAGTCTAAGCTAGAGTCCCTGCGGGCATCCTGGCTGCTAGTAGGCGTATTCTCAAGTTGCGTCATATATATGGACTGACTCGGGCCACCTTCCATCATAACTTCTTCATTCTCAAGATCCGTCACCATAGGTTGCTCATATCTGCCAATCTAGGGGTTCCTTGTGGAGGCAATATCCTGCTCCCGACGTCGTTTTCGGGCAGGATCTTGCGAACTCCGGGTGCCAACAGCGTTTAATCCAGCTTGCTCAAAGCCAGTCACTTCTTCATCCGAGTCGTTATCAATCTCTTGGTTCTCTCCGGGACAAGAACCTAGGCGTATGCCTAAATAGTTGACTTAAGCGCGCTGAATTCCGTGCTCGTCATACGTAGGACGAGATGACCGGTTATCCGTAGGCAGTCTGCTCTGAAGATGTGAAATAGGCGCAGAATTGGTCCTCCAGCTTACAAGCTATTCGGGAATCAGGTCTCTTGTTAGCAGTCCCATCCTATTCCTGATCTACGGTCCTCCATCTCCTAAGCGCCCAAGACAGAGTCTGCCGCTGTCTCCATAATGAACTCTCCCTTCCTCAATATAGGTAGCTAGCTCCTTACAAGACTGAGGCGTCGATATATGCCCTAGACCACCACAGAAGAAACAGATTTTCGGTCCGCTATAGCCAGGGTTCGTGGTAGGGTTTTCGCGGTCATTTGGCACCCACTGGGGGTCTCTCCTACTATCTTTCCTAGCCAGTCCGGTCTGGATCGTGTTCACCTTAATATCCATCTGGTCAAACTTGCGGTTTAGCTGCTCTAGAGCTCGTGCGAAATCGGAGCTCGGCTCATTCTATGCGCCATGGACTTATCCACTAGGCTAACTGGGTTTTTCGGCCGAAGAAGTGGGCTCTCTAGGCCACTATACACGTCCTTCCTGTCTTTCAGGACCAAACAACTGTGGAATCTCCTGATCTCCTTGATTTCTTTGTCCTCCAGTCCGCGGAGGAAGGACACCTTTGATTATCGTGTCAAAGTCGCGTTTAGCGTCCATAATCGTGTATATAAGCCTCGTAACCTAGAAGAGAGTCACTGGCTGGGACCGGGAAGGGTTCTCAAAGCTAATTCCACCCTTTTTAATCACTTTTCCGCTTAGCCAGACTAGAAGGCCTTGAAGAAGGCACTCACAGCGCTGGAGCTTACCTAAGGCTCCTCTTTCCACAAGAACGTCCGAGATAGCCGCAAACTGCGTCAAATACTAACGGATTTCGTCATAAGACTCATGATTCTGCGCAACTAGCTCGCTTAGAGAAGTGCGCGAATAGCGGTAGTATTCTCCGTCCTGGTCCTGATACCTTACTCGCATCTCTTCCTTTAGTGCCTTAAAATCTCTGAATTTCCAGTTTAGCGAAGACTCAATCCACATTCTCACGGTGAATTCGCAGTAGTCAGCGAGACCATCACATATGCTGGTGCCGTCTAGGATTCCTCGTCTCTTGCACATGCCCTCATAGGTCCTAATAAACTCAGAGACATTCTTTCCATCAAAGAAGGGGGCGCCAGGGGTTCCAGGATCCGGCATCATCTGCTGGTGAACCACGATCTAACGAGGTTAGATCATAGGGTAAGAAGGCGTCTACTGGGACTGGTCAGGTCCTTACGCTAGGTGGAAGATAGGAGGATCATTCGGCGCTGGCTGGGCTAGAGCAGGACGAATATATGGTCTAGTAGACGTAGACGCTTCAGACTCATGGCGAGTGGTTTCTCGGTAGCTAGTAAAAGATGGGTTCTGCGGGTCTATTGCTAAGCCACTAGCCGGCTCTACGGTCTCGTCGCGGGGCTCAGGGCGAGGACTAGCCCCAGGCTCTAAGGAAGCACTCCTAGGAGCCTCGGTAGGAAAGACATTCTCCCCCATCTTGTATAAGCAGGTCAGGCTGGACTCGTCGTCAAAGTCCACAGAATCAGAGTCCACAGAATCGCGTAGAAAGTCCAAGGAACAGATAGATGTCGTGGAAGAGATAGAGGAACCACAAGAACCATCAAAAGACAGCTCCGAGCCAGTTAGGTCACTTAGGACAGCCAAGTCACTCAAAACAGACGAAACAGTCGAGTCAGTCGAATCAGTCAAATCAGTCAAATCAATCAAATCAATCAAATCAGACGAAACACACGAGATAGGCTCTCCAACGCTGCTCGCTGGATCCTCTCTAGGGGTCTCTCTTGTGTATAGAAAACGGATCAAAGTCGTATATGTATGTGTCTATACTATGTTCCACCATAAAGTCCACCATAAACAACATATTCCTGGCCATATCTCTTCGGCCGAAGAACAAAGTACCTCAGGGGTCATACATACCACTTCTCGGAGTCTTGCCTCATCATAGCTACTAAACCAGTCAAATAATCGCACGCGTAGATACTGCACATATTCCGTATAAGGACCACTCATGTCCACCACTCGTTAAATTCCAGGCAGTCTTGAGGCAATTCCTGGCGGCTCCCGCGAACTCTGGCGCATTCCAGGTCCCGGCGAGTCCAGCCCTTGATTTTCGGGGTCAAACTAACTACCCGCTCGTAACGCTTGACACTCCATTCTCTTCGCCTACCATGCTCTCGTCGCTTGAGCTCGCCGTGTTTATCGAACTGTCTGCGTGGTCAGCCACCCAAAGAGAATCCCCCTGCGTCGGTCACCATATGAAGAGGGGAACGCTCGTTGGCAGCACACTCGAAGATGTGCGGGTCGATTCAGCACACAGAACAACCACACAAGCCACAGCTGGACGTACGAGAGAACCACATGGTCCGTTGAGAGAGGTGTAGGAGTGTGTCATTCCATGCTATCTACTAGATGCTAGTTATACTATCCTGGGCCTACCTGCCCACGTACTGAAAACTATTGGTTACGGCCCGAACCGGAAAAACCCTCGGAAAAACTCTATCCGCAAGAACCCGTAATAACAGGTAACAGGGAGTTCCCCACTACAGTAGATAATGCTGCAGTGTAACCTCCGAAAACTGGTCTATTGTGCTTGATATTATATATTTGTTACACTGCGGTATATTTGCTTCTCCATGTGCTGATCTCCACTTTGTCCTCTCTTTCCAAATTCAAGTATTATGACGGTCTGGGAATCAAATGCATGGCAAAATAGACCCATCTACCCCAGAAAACGACGTCGATCTTAACATACCCCACTTTTGCTGTCACTTCATTGTGCATATCTCTCTCTTCACATGGAAGTCTTAAATTTAGGTGCGGTGCTCGACGAAAGATGCCGTCGGGATGGAATGAGCTGAGCTCCCAAGGTTTGGAGAAAAAGCAACCATCATGCCTCTCCCTCAGCAACCGCCCGGTCCGCGGCCCACGAAAGGCAATAATCCACATTGATGAAGGCACATGACAGTTCATTCTATCACAATTGTGATAGATCATATAACATAGACTACCTTTGGGCATGGGTGGTCAATTTAAAGTCAGCTTATTCCAGATCTCTTGCATGTGCACTCTATATTTGCTCTTTAGTTGCAAAATCACACCGTCCCCATATTCTACTCTCAAATTTCGACACCCTGGTTAACGCACGCCAACGCAAGCCATGAGCGAGAAACCCGAAATTGCGCCCATACAGGGGGACGCGGCGCCCGAAGGTGCCCTCGCTAACACTTTGAAGGAGAAAAGCGAGGGTCATCTAGCAGACCCAGGCGTTTTGAATGCACTAGACGAGCCACATAGAATTCAGCAGATCATTCAAGAAGGCCTTTTGCTGGCAGGAGGCGCAGCTGCTATTCTGCTCCAAGTGGCTGAGCCCGGCGTCGGGAAAGGGGTCCATAAGCACAGCGACTTCGCATCCCGACCGCTCGATCGTCTTCGCACTACAATGACATATATCTACTGCATGACATATGGCACTAGAGATGAGAAAAAAGCGATCATAGAGATGGTTCATCGAGTCCATGCTCCCGTCAGTGGGCCCGATTATTCGGCCAATGACCCCGAGCTTCAGCTGTGGGTAGCAGCAACACTCTATGCGGTTGGGACTGATCTTTACCAACGAGTCTTCGGAAACATGGATCAAGAGACTTCTGATGCGATATACCACGAATACTCGATCCTGGCCACATCACTTCGTGTCCCTCCAGGGATGTGGCCTCCGTCCCGTTTGGCCTTTTGGCAATATTGGGATGCCAAAATAGCGACCGTTGAAATCACTGATGACGCAAAGCATGTGGTCGAAGATCTACTCCGAAACAAAAAATTACCAATTCCAATGCGTGCTGTTCTTCCTCTGGTGCGTCTCACTACTACTGAGATGCTTCCCCCGAGAATTCGTGAGGCATACGGCCTGAAGTCCACTAAGATACGAAGAGGGTCTTACCGATTTCTGATGGGGTTCACCAGGGTTACATACCCCCATCTTCCCCGAGTGATTCGAACCTATCCTATGCGGTACTATTTGAAGGATATGCGGCGAAGACTCAGCCAAATGGCTTAGAAAGGACTAGCCTATTCTACGTCCTTCAGGCAACGGATACTTTGTTCGGTTATTTGACGTATATGGCCTAGAATTTTGGCTCACAGACAACTATAGATTAACTTGAGATTAATACATCTTTGCATTTTGCGGGCTCAGTTCATCCTGTGCAGTTGGAAGGTTATTATTATAATTTACACTATCAATACAGTCAAGCTTTGTCTCCGGACATGGTCAACAGTAGACTCCAGGGCTACGTCCACCTTTGTAATGGCTAGGGCCTCAACTTACATTGGTCAAACAGCGCTAATACAGTTCGATGTCATGATACTGGAATCATCTATTGGCTGGCATACCTTTACCAATGATCTGTTCTACATGCCTGGGCTTAGGTTGCCCCACATGCTTATTACGATGATCTATTAACTACTCGTTCCATTAAAGTTTCAGGCTAATCATCGGTTGACTATGACTGGTAACCGTCTCTGGTTATATGGGAGAAAGCATAGGCTGATCAAGTAACCGAGTTCCGCGGCAAAGTATGTGGGGAACCCCGCAATTCCGGGGAGGAGGCGGGGCACATCCTGGTGTTGACAAAGGTGATCATCATATTCACAGCATTTTCGGGGCCTTTGATTACCGTGCCTTACATTTGCGTGCCTCTGCTGTTAACACCATAATGGGCGGTTAAGATGGGTTCTAATTCACCGTGTGACTGGAACAATCATACCTCCTAGTCATTTCCATCTCGGGGTGAAGAACTAACTGAAAAGCAAATCAATATTTATTATTATAAAAAATAAATACGATACTAGGACTAAGGACCTATTCCTAGATCTAGGAGAGTTTAAGAGAGCTTTCTATATTGTAGAAGCATCATCTAATGGCCAACGATCACTTCGTTAGTTGGCATAACCTGCAACTCTAAATTCATTATTTTGTGCACAGATCAGGTGATACTCCCCTAGGCCACCTTGTTAGCTTTGGAAATTCAACTCCTAATTGCTCCCCTGAAATGTTGCTTTCGTGAATTCAGTGCAAAGGCACACCTATGGGTCATCACCTCGCCCTCGTCCTCGCCTCACCCTGAAATTCTGATTCAATGCTACGACGAACTCACAGGGCACCCACAGCCTGTGCATGGTGTCATCACCGCAAGGTATTTCCAACACTGGACTCACCATGAGCGATCCTGACGCCCTAGTTAGGTACGGTGTGATGCATCAATCTCTGGGTCCCCTTGTACTCGCTGCCGTCAAGATGGTCGAACAGACTGTGTCCTGCGACGCAAACTGCCCAATCGGTGAGTCGTGCAGCTTCTTGATTTAGAGAGCGAGGTCAAGCTCACCTTCATAAAAGACCAAGGCTCACACATGCGATCACCTCAATCACCAATGAAAACTCATCACCCGAAGAGCAATTCACTGATATTACCCCACATAATGATAAAGACTTCTACGCTCAAGCTGAGCAATTAAACCATTCAGATCAATCCACAGAATTTGAAAATGCGGGCCCTGAAAAGGCTTCGATATCTGTCCATAACGCGATAATCGACATGGATAAACATGGCTTCTTATGCACCGAAAACTTGAAATGCTTACCATCCGAAGACATTAACTACCTCTTGATTAAAGGCTCTTTGAATGTACCCGATCATGATACGACTAAGGAGTTCGTTGTGAAATACTTTGAAAAACTTCATCCTATGCTTCCAGTTTTGGATGAAGCGCAATTTTGGAGAGCCTTTCGAGGAAACACGATGGATAAAATATCTCTATTCATTTTTCGAGCTCTCATGTTTGCCATATCACCGGTAAGGCTAGCCCATTTACTACGAGACTGGAAGAGAGACAGAATCTCATGCCATTTTTGCATAGTTTATGAGCCTTGATACTTTGCAAAAATGCGGGTTTGTCGACAAGCGAGATGCGCGGAAGCACTTGTACAACAGAGCAAAGGTATGTCACTTCCATACGACTTTTGATGGTGCTTAAGGGTTAATATAGGAGCCCTATTAGCTACTTTTTGATCTCAAAGTCGAGATGAAGCCATCAGCGAAGGCGCAGGGAGCAGTCCTGCTTACACATCATACTTCAGCCATCGCACCTTTAGCAGGAAGCTTATGGCTGACGAGTGCCATCGAGAATGCCATGCTGATAGATGCTCAGCCATCACTGGTGGAAGACTATATCAACGATTCTATGAAAAAGAGACTGTGGTGGTCAATACTACTGCGAGATAGAAGCCTATGCATTGGTCTCCGTCGACGCCCTCAGGTGACCTCACTTAATCTTCATGGCTGTCGGGATTGGCTCCGAGAGCAGGATTTTGAGGACGAAATGCATTCTTCAGAAGTGTACGACTACCAGACAAAGGCTATATTCCTCTCAGCATTGCAAGAGCAATGCACACTAGCAATTCTTTTGACGGACCTTGTTTCATTGATCTTTAATCCTCGATTAACCCCTACAGCGTCATACAGCGAGGATGAATTTGAAAGCCAAATGAACACACTAAATAAAGTCACACATTCGTTAATTCAATGGCACTCTAAAGCGCACTATCCGCCAAATCCTCGAGACAATCGATGTCCCCATCCATCCGCCGCACTAAAAAACATGACATTCATGTATTACCAGTAAGAGACTCCCAGGCTTCTCCATGTTTTATATCCTATCGATTGCTAATGGATTTTCTTCAATAGCACGGCTAGAGTGGATCTGGCACAATATACGGCTCTTTTGATAGAAGAGTATCCGGGCCTTCCACGTCACAGGTACCAGCAGGCAATGATGAGCGTTGGAAGAGATTTGAAGGGTGGAATAGATGGATTGTCTCAAATCATGGAGTATTTCAGTGTTACTGGCCATGTGGACAACCTGCCTTTAAGCATGTAAGTTGCCTCAAGACTTGTGGATGCCAATCACCCAGTAACATCATCCCTGGTGGCAGTCTCGCATATGTGGGTATGCCGCTCGTTGTAGCCGCCATAGACTTGAAGCTTTCACCCTCACGGACCGAAACAGCCGCAAGACAAAGGCGGCTGGATTCATTGAGTAAAATTATTCGACATGCAGAAAGCCTATATGATGTGACGGACTTCGTTGCAGCTGGGACGAATCATATCCTTCAGCTAGCATATATGACTACACAGAATTTCTTCCTTGCCAGAGAAACCTTGCCGACGAAGAACAACACGGGCGAGAGAAATGATTCTACAGGCTGTAACAACATGGACCAAAGTGACCTTTTCAGCCGCTCTTCTTCACCCAAACATACCCGAGCCAAGAATTGGTTAGACGCCTTCATTCTATGCCCTCGCGCCTATCTTCTGATCTCAACATCTGTGGACTACAGCCTCTCCGTGGGCCGCTTACCATACGACAACTCTCTCCCGGCACTCGTGCGGGAAATTTCAAATCAATTTTCGATGTGTCGTCTACCTTGGTCATTGGATGACAAACCACATACATATTTTCCACAATCACGGGTGAATGAACGATTGGACTCCATAGACCTAAGGCCAACAACGGGTGATGGTCATTCATGTGTGGGCGAATCTGGCGGGAATGCAAATGATGAGAATCCAATTCATGAAATTGAATCAACCGCTGGAAAGCTCAATGTCGGAAACCAGGTCAATCCTGCTAGCCGAGGCAACCAGGCTGCGCATGATATGTCATCGAGCCTGGTAAATCTTGACTTCTTCGAAATTGAATCGGACCCGAGATCTCGCTCAATGCTCACTGAATCCTCAATTTGGACTCTCCCATGAATTGAAGACACTTGTAGTCTCTCTTTCGATGCACCCCAACTTCTATCATGCCAGCCCAATGATGGCATTGGGAATGTAATGGATGAGTTCGATTGGGGTTTAGTTCCTTCATCGTTTCATGATCAGCTGGATAGTTAAATTTATTCACACCGGTCATGAGGAAACAAACAAGGTCACAATTGTCATTTATTTAGTAGCACCAAGGACGGTATATTTTCATGATTCTGAAGTGCAGCGATAGTTTTATTACCTGCTTGACTGCCAGGTATCCAAATTTGTAAGGGATCCTTTTACGCTCAGAATCAACAGTCCGAGGCTTTGTTAGTTACCTGCCACAACGCACCCGGCCAATCACTGGTGATTTGTTATTTAGTTAGTTACTTGCGAATTCAGGACCTGGGAAATAAGGCAATCCTTCGCGATGATTACCAGATCGGGTGTGAGGCTGATGGTGGCTCAGTCTCACTCAGCCCCACTCAGCTGCGATGAGCATCATGATTCGGGAACGGTGCCTTCAAAATTATCTCTCTGGTAGCAACTATCTCAAGACTTCATCAGTGGCCTCCTAAACGTTTCTAGTGTCACCAAGAAGGCTTCCAAAGAGACGAATCACAGCATATGTGAGGTAACACGTCGGTCACCGACAAGCATTATCGACCCACTTTCCACAAGGACCCATCCTCAAAATGGTGAATACGGGCTTACCGAGCCGAGACTGTGAAACGTGCCGACAACGCCGGGTGAAGGTGCGTTCGGTTGAAAGCTTGATATAGCAGAAGCGTGAAAAGCCATCGCTAACAGAACAAGTGCGATCTCCTCCGTCCGTCTTGTCGCCGATGTCAGAAAATTGGTCGACCGTGTGTTTATCGAGACCTTAATAATCCTCATATCACGTTTCATGTCCACACACCAACCACTTTTATGAATCGAAAAGGCCGACAATGGCAGCAGCCGACAAATAAAAAAGTTGAGCGTACATCCATAGGCCCTTGTGGACCCCAGCCTGGGTGCTTACTACATACCGAGGCAAGTGATCCTCAGTCCGGTGCGGACCTGCACTTCAGAAAATATTTGAAACCAAACATCCCCCGAGATATCATGGAATCTTGGGACCTTCACATTGTGCCATTGCTTGTGAATCAGTTTTCTTTTCCGACTACGCATGGAGGCCGCACAAATGGATCGTTAGAATGTTTGCCTATCCTGCTGGGCCGCGCCAAGGCGGATTCTACTCTCTGTCTCGCGGCCCATGCAGTAGGATATGTATATCTGGCAAATCAGACTAGCTCACAAAAATCGGCAATTGCGCACAAATCTCTATATGGGAGGACTTTGCGGGGTTTGCGAGCAGATCTATCACACCCTACCCACCAAAAAGAAGATTCGACCCTGTTAGCGGTCTGGTTCTCATCTTTATATGAGGTAAGCCCTCCTCTACATCCTAAATAAATTCAACACGCTCACATTCAATCAGCTCATGCGTGGCGATTGTGGTTCTTACGAGGGCCCAGTGAATTGGGACATTCACAGCAGAGCCCTTGGACATCTATTACGATCAAGAGGCTTCCAACAATTCCAAACACCCACAGGCTGTCAACTTTTTCAAATTGCCTATCATTTCATTGTTCGTCTGTTGTCATGGTTCCTCCGTCAAGGCTCCGCTAATCTTCCAAAAGCAAATTCAATCCTTGAGATCCATCACGGACCCAGCCCCAGAATCTAGGGAATGGTTGAATACGATTCAGTCACGAATGGATACGAAGCAATTATCCTTTGTCCCATCATTCTCCTATGGAGATGAGGTTGCTCGAGCCTGTTGGGTAGCAAACTCATCGTTTCATGAAGCCACATCCACAGTCGGCAAACTTGCAGCTATTGATGGTCTAGTTTACGCCTACGACCATCTCAAAGTCTCGTTGGAGATTTTTGCTGACGAATGCATCTCCTGTCCGTCAGAAAGCAGCATGGATAGATTACAAAGAAACCACAGCGGGCAGTTGCGAATCCGCAATCATGTCGATGCCTGCATTCTTCGTGTGCACACGATCGCGCTAGACCTTTTGTTCAATACAATGGGTCTGACAGATATTTCTGAAAGCTCTGCCGAACGCATTGCCCATCTGCAAGAAATTATCTCCGCTGAATCACAGGTTAAAGGAAAACGCATCTTGAGCACCCTGTCATGTCTTCTCCCGGATAATGGCATCATCTCTCCGAGCTGGGCAGAGTCTCTTAGGATGACGTGGCCTTTAAGGATGATCCTCGCGTCACCAGCAATAGAATCCGAGACTAAGCAGGCAGCAAGCCTTGCCTTGGGAAGAATTGCGCATGAAGTGGGAATCAAGCAGGCAGTGGGTTCATTTCATCCGACCAAGTCGATAGTGTTAAACCGATAGTATAGAGTTCTAAGTCTCAGTCATGTTTCCTCTCGATGAGAATTTAGATGCAAGAATAAGCATGGAAAATTTCGAGGTGGATCCTTGGCAAGGGGACTAGAAAGAGTGGCGGTGCCTGAACCAGAATTTAGTCTACGAAAATGGCGTCCACCTGCATACATCGGCCCAAAACCGTACATTTTGACCAACAAGTTGCGACCAGCTAAGTGAACCTCGGATTCTCTCAATTTAGTATATTCTTTCGATTCAGCTTCTAGTCAGACGCCATGGAGCTAACATTAAAAAGACGCTGATCGGCCCTGTACTTGGTCTTGGCTGGTCTTCGGCGGATAAAGTTTAAACTTAATGCGCTAGCCGCATTAGGATATATCATTCGAGGCTAACCTATCTGGGGTAGTCTTCGCCATGTGGAAGGATCAAAACGTTCAGCTGTTGGGCTAATCGATGTTTAACGTGGGCTATGCTATTGACTCTTGTCAGAATCAAGTGTCATCGCCCGACACCAATGGATATTTAAGGGATGCAGGTCCCCGTGCTGGTGAAGATATCATAGAGATTCATTTCACAGATTTCCCATATATATTCTCTTCCGATCCTAAACAAAGGTCTTCACTATCTTCATAATATTCGATCGCTCATTTGCAATCACTCTTTTCAAAATGGGACTTTTCAACAATGATGGGAAAAGCAACCACACATGTCCCATACCTAAGTCATTTGCTATCGGTATATCTCCCTCCAATGCTTCAACTTTGGAGTGTCATGCCATAGCAGACACAGTGGCTAATCACGTGCACAGTTGCTGATCAAGATATACTTCCGAGCATGTCCTTCTATAGCCTCAACATGATAATCTCTGGAGCGTGTACAGCTTTTGTTTGCGTTGCAATATTCATTTTGATGTTTTGGCACGCCATTCATTTGAGCAAGCCAAGAGAGCAAATCAAGTACGAGATCTCTTATCAAGTATGGAGCCAGGCTGACGTGAGATAGAATCCTCAAAATCTGCTTTTTGATTCCTCTCTACACGATAACATCATTTCTTTCAATATGTTATCCGCATGCTTTTGTTTATCTCACGCCCTGGTTGGATCTTTTCCAGGCGGTCGCGTTGGGGTCGTTCTTCCTTCTGTTGTGCGAATTCATCGCGAGGGATAGTCAGGCCAATGTAGACGTGTTCTTTGTTGCTTTTCAACCACCGCAAAAGAAGGGGAACAAGGCACCTTTGACAGGATTGGAATGGTTCCGTGTAAGTGTGCCGATAAGACAAAAGCTTGTTTATCTTCCTGGGGCTTGCCGAGTCTGACACAATCATTCCGCAGAAACAATGGATTGCAATTTTCCAATACCCAGTTGTTGCACTTCTGACAAGCCTCGCTACCGACTTTACTCAGGTTGCGGGGGTCTATTGTCTGGATAGTAACAAAGTGTACTTTGCGCATCTTTGGGTAAGCCTAAACCAAGCCTATTGGACTTTGTTCAAGTGGAGCTTGCGAGCTAATAGTATTAGTTGACCATTATCACTTCGGTCTCGATCGCATTCGCTGTCATCTCAGTTCTTACCTTCTACCGAACTCTGAAATCTCACCTCGCCAGTCATAAGCCTCTTTCGAAGCTCCTCGCATTTAAATTAATTGTCGGTCTAACATTCCTGGAAAGAGTAAGCAAGAATATCGAATAATGACATGGGAATCAGGATACTAAGTACCACTGTCAGATTATTTTCACCATCCTGCGCTCTACCAATGTTCTCAAATCCACGTCAACATTGAGTTACGCCGATGTCAACATTGGAATTCCCAACCTCGTCATCTGCCTACACATGGTACCATTTTCGATATTTTTCCACTACGCCTATAATGTAGGGCCATACAAGCTTACAAACGGAATTCAGGTCTCCGACCCTAGTCTACAAGAATCTGCAGCTGGTGGTTACCAGAAACCCACCCAAGGTAGCATCCCACGGGGATATGAAGGAGGACCCTTGGGTGTGCGCGCTTGGATTGGGCTCTTCAATCCGATGGAAATTATTCGTGCGATAAAGTTCGGATTAGGTATGGCACAAGCATTTAGAAGACATGATATCGTGACTACTGGAAGCCAAAGTGAATTTGGACCCAATATGAGTCCCGAGCACATGCCCTCGACAGCCTACGGACATGGTTATGCGACATATGAGCGGCTATTGATCCCGAATGAGCAGGGAATGCGCTGAGCAATTGATAGAATATAGAATGTGTCATGGTAGCTAGAAAGATAAAATGGCAATAAGAAGCAGCTTTATTCTTTATGCGATCTTAATAATGGGACTTCAATATGACTCTGGAACATCGTCTCCCCAGCGTGTCTCCTTTACGAATCCTTCACTTTGGTGGTTGCCTGGCTCATTTTGATCAAAGTCCAATCTATCCGGGACCCTTAACCCATTTTTGATGTGATTGCGTATGAACCATAATGAAACTCCATCCCGGTACAGCCAAGGGTCCTCAGTTCGACGTTGCCAGCTCTCCAGTCTCGATCTCAGGTTTTCTAATACTTCTGCATATTCATGGTCCTTCACCAAGTTATTCACTTCATCCGGGTCAATTTCCAAATCATACAGCTCTTCTGGTGCGCGAAAGAAATAATCTTCCAGTCTTCGGCCGCCAATCATGATCTCTTTTTCCGTTGAATTTCGAATATCTTCCCATGAGAGTGACCCGTACAAGTCAGCCGCAAATGGAAAGTCCAAACGCCACGCCAGGTTTCGATGGTACTTGTACCGTCGGTCTCGGATAAAACGAGTCGGCCAATAGTTTGTTACCTCGTGGAAGGTATGAGAGCCGAAGACATGATCGAATTTTGGATATCCAGACGCGGTTCCAAGCAAAGGAAGAAGGGAGCGTCCGAGACGCTTGCCTGCGGGATCCTTCGCCCCTGGATGATTAACAAAATCCAAAACAGTGGGAAGAATATCGACATATGACACCATATTTGTACTGATAGCTGGCGAAGACCCGGGATGTCTTATAATCAAGGGTAGTCGGACTCCAGCATCAAACAGTGTGGTCTTGGAATTGATGAACGGTGGCCCGTTGTCGCTAATGAAAATCACGAGAGTAGACTGAGCCAGGCCTGAATCATCCAGCGCATCCAGAATCATCCCCACGCCTTGATCGAGCCGATGTATCGAGTTGTAGTACTCGGCCAATTCCGATCGAGCTCCAGGAGAATCGGTAATGAATGGCGGAACTTCAACATTCTCTGCATTATAATTGCCTTTAGTAACCCGAGAATCGTATTCCGCGTCATTGCCAAATCCACCCCGGGTTTGATCACGATGAGGATCGTGGAACCCAACAGTCAAGCTAAAAGGCTGATGACTTTGCTTAACGTCATGAAGGAAAGACCTGGCTTGGTCGGCAATAACGGCGACATCACGAGTGACGCTTTCCTTTCTCTCCTTCCAAGGATAGACGTTAGATGGTCCGACATGGATCTTGCCCAAAATACCCGTCCGGTAGCCACTTTGATTCAGTAAGTGGGGCAGAGTTTCGACGTGATCAAAGGTGACGAAATGATGTCGATGACTTGCGAGTCCGTATTGTCCATTCTGATGAGTATGAAGACCGGTATATATGACAGAGCGACTTCCACTACACGAGGCAGTACTCGCAAAGGCATAATCAAACCGAGTGGCCCCATCCGCAAGCCGATCAATATTTGGTGTGAGAATGCTCTTTGACCCGTAGCAGCTCAGTTGTTTTCCGAGGTCATCTGCGATAAGCAGAAGCACATTTTTGTGTTCACTCATGGCAGATTAAATTTCACTGGAGAACCTCGGAAGAGAAAGGCTGTTTGAGGATTGAATGTTTTGAGAGTTGAACCCCGAGGGAACGTATAGGGATGCAGTTGACCCCGCTCCGTCATACTGGCGCGTTGTTCTGAACTCAAGACAGCGCAGCAAAGTAGTGGTGGATTAATTGACATTATATTGCTTGGCAAAAAGCCCAGACCCGAAAGCTTAAGCCTTGAAAGGTGATGTGATACCAGGACATGGAAACGCGATTTACCCTAACGATGATGTGCTCTGGTGTCGGGTAATTAAATCTTGATCTTAGCACGACGCCACCGGATCCGAACTCTTCCCTCTCGTGAAAGAATGAGCTCCTGGCAAGAAATGCTCTCCAAATTTCTATTAAGATGGGCGACTTGTTACATGTACAATCCTGTCGATCTCAACAATGCGGGCGAAAGCCTTTGACCCTAGTCCTGTTCACTCGCATTGTAATCCCCGTTATAAAATCTCGGATTCCAAGCGATAGCTGGTCGGCTCATTCCCCAATTAATTATCTCTTTTACCATATTCCTAACGACCACCGGTCAATCCATCGATCGATACTGGCTCAATATCTTTTTAGAGTTGACATTGTGAATGTGTAGTTCACTAAAGAAGAAATAGTCAACTCGTCTTACATCGTTGTGATCGATAACTATGATTCTCATACATCCCAACTTGCAACACGGCTACGGTGCGCTTTTAACATCAGTCCCCAACAATTGCCTTTGCCGGCATCAGCTTCAAGAGGAGCCCTATGAAGACGATCCCGGGCTCACATCCCCTCACCGGCATAAAGCCATTCTAAAACTAATATCGAATACTAACTGGACCTGGCGGTTAGCATTATGAAACTCAACTGGCGTCAATAAAACTGGTGGAGGGCGTTTGCTGGCAATGACAGTCTCTACGTGACTATTCATGAACCCCACTTTGATCTTAGAGAGCCGTTGAGGAAGTAAAGATAGTCGAGGGTGCTCGCAAATAGTGAGTTCCTCGTCGCTTAGACTGATTGACTGGTAATCGAAAGAATTTCCACCAATACCCTTTCTGTAGGGCTGCCAGCTCATTGGATCCATATATTAGGCTAATATGAGGGCCAAACTGCGAAATTCCATCCAGTCAACCAGGATATTTGATTGGTGTATAAGAGCTGATGCCATCCGCACCCGCATGGCGAATCACCTCGGAAGGGACCAATGCGAACAAATGTGGCGGTAACGAAGGCACATAGTCAACACAGTCCACTCTACGGTTTAGTTACACATTCCGAAGGATAAGGATCGAGATACCTGGAAGAAAAGTACTTTGACATGAGTATCGCACCCAGTTTATATTATGACACCATCATTTCTTCTGATCACGCCCTTGATCACGGTTGCTATTAGCCGGGCTTGTAGCTGGACTTAAATACAGGTACAGTTGCAGAAATGGAAGCGAAAGAATATCTACTCACATTGTATCTCGAATATAAGTGAACGACTTTGACCTTTGTGTCCAGATGGATAAGAGTTCTCATCTAGCAAATGCAGCACCTGCTGGGACCCAGTCCAATGAGGAAGAAACCCTCAAGCAAGGGGGGTTCGTGAATCTAGCAGAGGCCGAACCCACCCGCTCATCGCAGTCACTATTTTCATTCTTTCGTCGCCGCCACGCCAAGAACGACCCCGATGCCACCGCTACAACTCGCAGTGTCTTCGATGACCCGGTGCTGGCAAAATTCTACACGCCCCATCCTGGATACGAGAACCTGCACCGCTTCGACCCACAGGCAAGATGGACATATGGCGAAGAAGCCCGAGTCAGGCGAAAGACCGACTGGAGAATCCTTCTGTGGATTCTAGTCATGTTCTTTGGCCTCAATCTCGACAGAGGCAATTTGGGAAATGCCGCCGCCGACAATCTACTTGAAAATCTGAACCTGACGACCAATGACTATAACAACGCGCAAAATATGTATCGAATAGGGTTTTTGATTGCGGAGATCCCATCGCAGATGATTGGAAAGCGACTTGGGCCGGATCGGTGGATTCCTGTTCAAATCATCCTTTGGAGTTTAGCATCAGGTGGACAATTCTTCATGCATGATCGCGCTGGCTTCTTTGCTTGCCGGTTCCTACTAGGATTCTTTATGGGTGGCTTCATTCCCGACTCCATCCTGTACCTGTCCTACTTCTACACAAAGACCGAAATGCCATTCCGGCTTGCATTGTTCTGGTTTACGGACTCCATGTCCGGTGTCATCGCGTCATTCATTGCCTACGGTGTTTTGCACATGCGCGGGGTGGATGGGCGTGAAGGGTGGAGATGGTTGTTTTTGATTGAGGCGCTCATCAGTCTTGTTATTGGGTGCTTGAGTTTCCTCTTCTTGGTGCCCGGTCCAACGCAAACTCGAACGTGGTGGAATCCAACAGGCATTTTCAACGAGCGGGAAGAGACCATAATCGTCAACCGTGTCCTACGCGATGATCCCTCCAAGGGAGATATGCATAATCGACAAGCCCTTTCCCTTGGTATGCTCTGGCAGAGCTTGAAGGACTTTGATCTATGGCCCATCTATGTCCTCGGGATTCTTTTTGAAATTCCCACGTCCCCTCCAAAGACCTATCTCACCCTTTCGCTTACCGGCATCGGATTTACCACTTTCCAAACAACGCTCCTGTCGATCCCGGTGACCGTCTTCGCCGCAGTAAACCTACTCTTGATTACCGAAATAAGCGAGCGCGTGAATCAAATTTCTCTTGTCGGACTCTTTGCCCAATTATGGTCTCTTCCGCTTCTCATTGTCTTGTATACGTCAGCAGGCACGTTATCCAACTGGGGCCTATACGGTGTCACATTTGTTCTGTTGGGCTGGCCCAATCCACAGGCTGCGCAAGTCGGATGGTGCTCCCGTTTGAGTAACTCCGTTCGAACCCGAGCTGTCAGTGCCGCTCTGTTTAATATCATGATTCAGCTCTCTGGTATCGCCTCTTCGAACATCTACCGAACCGACGATAAGCCCCTCTATCGTCGAGGTAACAGGCAACTTATTGCAATCAATGTCGCTGCTATTATAGCATACGCTCTTGCCAAGGTCTACTACGTTAGTAGAAATCGTTGGAAGAAGACACAGTGGGAGAAAATGAACCAGGAAGAGAGGGCTACCTACTTGGAGACTACTACTGATCAAGGAAATAAGCGCCTGGACTTTTATTTTGATAGCTGAGCGAGCTGTAATGGAGCGAACGATTACTCTGGCTTGCATACAGCCTTGGTACTTTGACGTCGTGTAAGACCAAACTCTATTGAAATGTCAAAGTACATCTCCCTTGCATGGCCAGGTTTGAATTTACTATAGCATGATCCAAGACTCTAATTCAACTATCAGCTCGGCATAAAGCCTTTCTCACGCTGAGTTCCTACTTGCTCAAGGCGTTAAGCCCGATATAGGGCTAAGTCCGGAAAGCTTCAAGAATGATCCCTGTACTTTGTCGATCGATCATGAGTTTACTGTGACAGACCGACCCACTTGCCGAGAGACCAACACTATGATTCCAATTAGAGTTGAATAGATACGAATGGAGGTTAGCGTGAGGGTGAATCGGGTGGAATCCATGGGTCGCGCTAACCTCCGTTCGTTTTCTGTCATATCTCCGGGCCTTAGCTCCGCTCGCTGGAACAACGTTAAGTCCATGATGCTCAAGTTCGACGATATAAATAGAGAATCCATTGCCTCAAATGGCTTGGAGAATCATCATTCCATTCTACTATTCATATTGTGACTCATCTAGATCATTCTTGCAATTCTACCTCTTGTGACTACTGCCCAATCTCACCATGTCGACCGAACCCATCAAAAATGTTGCAATTGTCGGTGTATGTGATCTTCTCTCCCTCTTCCTTCCCTTCTTGTACTCGAACTAACTTGAAACAGGCCAGTGGTCGTATTGGTGGTGCATTCGCCAAGGCTCTATTGGAAACCGGGAAACACAACGTCACTGCCCTCGGACGAGAGGGCAGCAACGGCACATTCCCCGAGGGGGTAAACGTCATCAAAGTCGACTACGATGACGAAGATTCGATTATCAGCGCCCTCAAAGGCCAGCAGTTTCTTGCTATCACCCTTGGGGTTCAGGCACCTCCCGATCTGCATGCGAGAATCACCGCCGCTGCCGGAAAAGCCGGCGTCACTTATATCATGCCCAACGCCTATGGATATCCAGTAGACTCTGCCAGTGACGATACTTACGGTAAACTCGTCGTTGAGCGATTGAAAGATGCCGATAACGGTGTCTCGTCACCAGTTGCGCTTTTCTGTGGATTCTGGTACGAGTGGAGTCTGGCGATTGGTGAGCAGTGGTTCGGCTTCACGATCAAAGATCGGAAAGTCACATTTTTCGACGACGGCAAGCGTACCATCACAGTCAGCACGTGGAACCAATGTGGTCGGGCATTCGCTGCTTTGCTCAGTCTGCCGGAGTCCGGTAGCAGCCCGTGCTTGACAGATTTCAATCAGGTCCGTATGTACAGCTTTCAAGTCTCCCAGCGTGACATGTTGGATAGTCTGAACAGAGTGCTCGGCACAACGGACTCTGACTGGGAGATCAAATATGAGCCCGTCTCCAAGCGCCTCAAGGATGGTGCCGAGGAAATGGCCAAAGGAATCTTCACCGGTTTCCCAAAGATGCTGTACGGAGGTGTATTTCGGGCGGATAATGATAAGAGCGACTTTGCCTCTAACCTCACGGTGGCAAACGAGATCCTCGGTCTGCCCAAGGAGGATCTTGACGAGGCCACAAAGCGGGCAGTGGAGATGGTCGAAGGAGGATGGAATCCCTTTGGAAATTTGGTATAATTGTTTGGTGGTACCTGATGTAACGGCAAATATCTTGATATATGCCCCGGGTGGCCTATGGTCGCAGTAACTTGTTAGATTGATGAATAATTTGATGTTTGTTTTTCAGTATCATCGTACGTACACATGAGTGGAGAAATATTTCAATAGGTCTAACGCTACTCTTGATCTGTCAAGGAATAAACAGCAGCCCTGTCTTACGCGAGGGCCCTTTTCTTCAACCAATGATACGCTTCCGCGTAGATCACATCAGCCTCGCGTTTTAACCTACTCGCCTCTGAATAGCGTCTTCTGTTAGGATGAGTGAAGCCATGAGGGCATCCCAAAGCAAGAGTCCACTTGTAACCCCCCTCCTCAAACGCCTCTTCATGATCCTCCTTGCTCTCAAGACCCGCCAGATTATGGATCATCTCTTGAGCTTCCAGGCGCAACATATCCCACTCCGCACCGACCATGTAGATATTCGCCGGAAGATTCTCTTTCTTTGCGTAGTAGGGACTTAGCAGGGGATCGCGTCTATCCTGGCCAACCGAGACATATCCCCAGTCCAGCCACCAAGAGGACTTTTCCAGGCTATCCCTCGGTCCATCTTGACACGGCCTTAAATCCAACTTCTCATTAGGTGGCTGACCGAAATCGAGAATGGGGTAGTAGGAGATGATTGCTTTGACAATTCCCCTGAAACCAGGCAATTGGGACACCGACAATGCAAGGTTCCCACCGGCACTGAATCCACCTACAACCACGCGCGATTGATCAATAGGCAGAGCCTCATCGCTAAGCACCGCCTTCATGACGCTAGCGAGGTCATAGGTTGGAGTCGGGAACGGATACAGTGGAGCCTTGCGGTAATTTAAGCTCGCGACCATCATCCCTGTCCGCGCGGCCCAAGAAGAACAGAACTCATCATCCACAGTTGCATCGCAGAAAGCAAACCCTCCACTGTGGATATCGAAGTACAAGGCTAACTCCTGTCCACTTTTATACGTTGGCGGAATGAAGAAGCGGCATTCCAGACTCGGCCGGCAGGGATAGCATTTAACGAATGTAGGCCGTGACGCTGGTGTAGAATTGTAGATTCTGCGGTAAGTGAAATAAAGAATTGCGAGGACTTTAAAGATGCAGAGGTGAATCAAACAATTTAAACGATGAATAGATGATAACCGGACTTTAGGCAGCGGTGGGAGGGGTTCCATTGTGGGAATTGTATTGACGTGGAAGTGAAGTTTGTTTGGCCTTGGCTTTGGAATATGATACGTGTGATCACATGGTATAGTCTTGATGCACTAGCCCCTATTATTAGTCGTCATCAGTGAGGCTTCCAGGGTTATAAGGCTGCGTTATTCTCATCGTCATCACATTGTGCTCTTTGGACCGGTCGGGTTGACCAATAGAATGGGCTGATTATGATGAATGTCAACTTTCTCCCACCGCGGAGCTATTCATTGCCCCGGCCCAGACAACCTTGTCACCAGGCAGCATAAATACAGAGCTATGCAATTCTTGATCAATATGAACCCTTTATGGTATTGTAATGGATTAAACATTCATACATTGGATAGTCACTGCTACTATTAATTATACACATTACATTAAGATTTCCAGACACCAACCCGTGCCCTTGTGCCGCTGGTTGGAATCGAGGCCAACTGTGTGGCGAGCTGACCCACGATCTCTCGTTCAGAGCGGATCATCTCGGTTTCGACCATGCGCATGGCACGGAGTTCCTGCATCAGCAGTTGAATATATTCCACGAGACCCTGAGCGACCCGCGTTAGAGCCGACTGTTCCAGACGCTCAACCTCCCCAAAGCCCAAGATATCTAGGGTCTGAAGCTGCCGTGCGCATAGTTCCAGCTTGGCCTGCAAGCCTTGTACTTCTTCTTTCCAAGTCCGGTCCAGCGGATCAACAAAATCAGTCCCATCGAGAACTCTAGAGGTCTCGCGACGTCCCCGGATCTCTTCGGCACGGTCAAACCAGGTCTCTAATGTGGTGACAACGCGAGCATAGCACCCGGTTGCGGTGCAGGTTAGATCCGACACCTCCTGCAAAACCTGAGATAGGATCTGGATTTGTTCGGGAAAGCTTTGCTGCCCATTGTGGTCGCGACAATTTTGTAGCCAGGATCCTAGCGCTTGTGCATTAAGCTGGTATTGGCGCATCTTTTCGTCTCTCTGCGTAGATTGGTATTGGCCCGCAACAGTATTAAATTTCGTCCGTAGTTGGGATTCGCATTCGGTCTTCCATTCTGCATGTCTTTCCAGGGCGCTGGAATGAAAAAGACTCAACTGAAGCAACTCCGTCTGCAAAGCAGCAATGTCCGGCCAGGTCGTCGGAATGAGACCACCCAACGCAGGCGTTTCTCCTGGAGTAGGAGTAGGAGGCTTAATCGGCTTCTTCGGCGAAGACTGCTGTTGGTAGCTTGAAAAGCCCGAACGGAGTTTCGGAGCCGCATCTGGCTGCATTGACTTTGTGTTTGGAGGAATCATCTGACTGCGGTGTCGTGCATGGCCTCTCACGGTCGCCGTTGGATCGGTCTTCACCGGCTGTCTCAGCGAAGACGATCGTGTCGGACGAGGAGGGGGTGGCATCTCTGCCTTCTTTGGAGAAGGGGGTCTGGGGGCGGAAGCTTGCGTCGGCGAACGCAGCGACGGTTTCCGCGGGGATGGCGGTCTAAACGCCGGGGTCGCGGTCGCGGTCTTTGTTGGTACTGAGACATTGCGAGTAGTGGATGGTTTCACAGGCGCAGGGCGCAAGAGACTCTGGCGACGAGTAGGAGCTGTGGTGCTGGTCGGCGGTGTCGCCGTCGGGGTAGGGCCCTGCTTTTCGTTTATCGGTCTCTTGGGTGACGTCTCTCGAGGCCGTCTCTCAGGCGGAGGGAGTCGGGTAGTCGCGCCATCCTCTCGCAGGGGGTTACTGCGCTGAGGTAGAAGCGTTCGAGCCCGATTGGAGGTAACGGTATCTTTAGGGGGTTCCAGGGTAGATGTGGGACGGGCGGGTGCCTTCGCTCCGGGCGCCAGACGAGCGATGTGGGATGTCTGCAGCAATTTAGCCAGTGGAATAAAGCAGGGTTTGAATCTGCCGGAGATTCACCTGACGGGGCTCTCGCAAGGAGGCCGTACGGGTTGGAATGGGCATGATGGATCAAAGCCACATTGCGTGTCACACCCTGATAAGTTGAGTGGAAGTGGTCGCGTCGATCCCAAACGGGAGTCGGAAACAACCGGTGGACCATGCATTGTTTACCTGTGCTCCCCACGGACACTGATGTCCAGTGCGAGTCCCCTCGTCATCCCACCAATCCCCTCTTTCAATTGACATGGAAATATTTTCCAGGGTTTCATTGTGTCTTCTATTGCGGAACCACGGATATACTATTGAAATCGATCGCTAACTACTGACGACTCCATTGATTGAACAATCAACAAAGCCAATCGAGATTAATTCCACGGTCCAAATATGGTATCCGGTTTACTTTCTCCCCGGCTTTTGGAAGTGGTACTGACCAAGGAATCACTCTGATCGAGATCTATATACTCCATTACAGGACCATCGGAAATACGTCTCCTGCGAGATGACGTCGACCACTTACGAATTGGCCAGTCTTTGGGTTTTACCGAATTCGGCTAGAATCTACGCAATCCCACGGCTTGAGCACACTCTATCGGCGGACTAGCTGCCCCTCATGCTCTCACCATTCGCTAGATCGCAGACAAGGTGCTAGCCGTGATGCCCCAGTTGGGCGCCATGCGTAGTGTCGACCCGCCATGACAACACCGTGCAGCAGGAGGGTGAAAGTGAGAGAGAAAAAAAGGAAGTGAAATCATTGAAATCTGAAATCCCCGTATGATACTCCCAGCCCTAAACTCCGGGGGCGAAACCATGAAACAATGGAGAGCGCCGATCCAACGTGGATTTCCTGGGAGTCACCATTGTTTGACTTAATATATCAGATAAGGGATGACGCCAACGACTTTAATGACCTTTAATATGACTTGTGACCGAGGGAATCAGTGAATGAATAGCATGACATTTCCTTAAAACCGGATTTCAATACATTATGCCCGTGGCTGCTCTAGCGGTATTTGGGGGCTTTACCCGATTAACCTACTGGGGCCCCAAAAAGGGATGCGCTCATGAGCTTGAGTAAACATAAAACCCCTTTCCTTCCTCTCTTTCCCTTCACATCACCAACATGGACGCACCTCTTACTATCTCAACCGGTGTCCCCGGTCCCACCGTCGCGTCTCCTGTCACCCTGGATATTGTCCGTTGCTCCCGTTGTCAACAGTCTCTCAGCGTGGGAACCCAGTCCAGCGGCGCCGTCCAGTTCGGCATGAACTCCTACTACTGCAATCGATGTGCGTCCAAGGTCGGATTCGTCCGGTGATCATACAACGCCACTATGAGTTGAAACTCGAACTCCACTGGAATTAATATCTACCAAATATGGAAACCACCGATACACCATCACCACAGGCCTGTCCTTTCTACTGTTCAAGCTGAACAATGAACCCGACATTTCAAGGTCGCTTCGACGACCTTTTCGACTCGCCCGGCTGACCCTCCTTATGGCAGGGCCTGTGCGGGACCCAGTCATTCCCTCGCACGCCGGTCGCAGTGGATTTCTTTCTCCGACCAAATGATCCACTTCATCCTGATATGTACCATACACGAGAGAATCAACCTTGCGCTCCTTTTCAGTGCAGGCGCATGTATCTGGAAATTGGGGGGGAACAGGGAAAGCAGAAGTCGAGAGCTCGGGACCTCGGCATTCGGGGTTTGCTGTATCATATACATTGCTGCATTGCATACACGTTTGAAGCCTGGTATCTTGCATGCTCTTTCTGAGCGATCATTTGCGACGTGTGAATTAGACAGTAGAATCTATGCTTTGAATTTCATGTGCAAATACTCCAGACTCGAGATCTGATCAATGAACAAGACTTAGTGGCTAGGATCAGTAGACGGGAAATAGATCTTCTTCAGGAAACGCCACACCTCACCCTTTCAGCCTTCTGCTCCACCGGTGCCAATGCTACTCTCCCAAGGTCCCAGGGTTTTCCCACGGTCGCGTGTTCAACAGCATTCTGCCTTCCATACCTGACGGGCACGTCACTTAGTCCTCGAAACTTGGAAACATGAAGGACTTACTTTGTAAAGTCACACAGTACGCTTGAACCCTTTGCGCTAAACTCTACCGCCTAGAGAGGGTTCTTCAGATCGTCAGATCAGCACTGGAAGCACCACCGTCGATCTCTAGGCGGATCCGCAGGCTTGCGCCAAGTTACGCTATCTCGGGGCCGAGAAGGTGCGAGAAAACCAAAACCCACAAGAATGGAGGGGCAGCTGCAGTGTGACAGACCCTTGACGCCGCCACCAGGGGATGCCGTCTTATCAACTGCGAAAGGTTTCCAGGCTTTGGAGCAGCCGGAATGACGAGGAAATCTTGTTCATGTGGGGGAATCGGTGCAGTGTCAATAGACCAGGCTCTACCCGCAGTTTTACAGCCAGCCACGATCGCAGATCTGCAGGAACCTTCGGTGCTCCCGTAAACATGAGGATCTATTGACGTCCACTTGGCACGGCCCGGATGGCGTGCATCTGTTGATTGCTCAGGTTACAGGGGAAAATCGGCCACTCCGTCGATCTCAGTTTTTAAAATAAAAAAAAGGGCATTCTTATTTGTCGCTAGGGTGTTCATCGGATCGGATCTGACTGAGGACATCTGAACTCCACCCCGAGGCAATTCTGCAGATGGGGTTTTCACTTCTGCAATGTGATTGATACGGTTTGGCCCGCTTTCGCTTCAGAACTCCACCCTTTTTCTCATTCAGAAGCTCTTCACCCTTGTCCGATCCGATCTCCAGCGGTGTAACTCGAAACATGTTAAGCGCTGCATCTAGTAGAAGATCTTATAACTTGCGTTTCGTGCACTCCACTTGCGGGTGTGCGACTTTCTCCTAGGATTTTCACAATTAGTCATTGGCTCGACCTATAAGAGACCGGGACCACCCTTTCAGTGAAGAAAAAGCAAGCAAAAGGTGACAAGTGCATCTTCCTGTTCCTGTGAACTATTACCAGCGGGGTGGTACGGGGGGGCATGATTATTGCATTTGGTGGCCGGAATGGAGCTGAGCTCGGGCTTCGTCGTGACAGAAATGACATATCGCGGCCTCACAGACAAGAGTTCCCCATCCTCCCTGACTGTTATTGGCTAGCGCTACCTGCTCGTAATGCAGCTCCGGGTCTCGCCTCCCGGCTGGTGCAGAATCCCCATTATTAGCAATGCTCCAATTTATTCGCTAGTCGCTGCTCCATGATTTATCCACGATGGGCTTTCTCTGTGAAACATCCAGACACCTTTCCTTTTCTCTCCTGGCATTGATTCTCCTATAATAGTCCCAGCGATCCAGCTCGTGGTTTATTTTCTTCCAGTGCGTTGTGATCCTGCATTAACTTCGCAAAAGCTAGGTATGTTGAGTGCCTTGCGTATCCGTACCCCAGAAACATTCGAATGTCTTGTCTTTATGCCTGGTGATGTCGATACACATGAGACTCGGTCTAGTTTGATTTACAACCAATTCCTGTTCGCATCGATCTCCAATGGCTTAAAGCTAATCGAGACGAGCTACTTGCAGGTACATTAGGCCACGATTTTACTTACAGTCCCGACCGAACTATCCTGGTCGGACACGAGATCGTCGGTTTCGCAATATCTACTACCGAAAATTAGTAGAGACAACCTTGGACGCATCAATACCCCGATAAATCCTCTTTAGCTCCCGGTCAAACGGGCTATCTCAATTCAGCCCCTACCATCCGGGTATCCTCAACTATATACAATGCCTTACCTTGGCCGAGAGAAAGGACGCAGTCCGAGATCGCGCAGGTCAGACGATGAATTCGTCGTATTTCTCCAGGGCGTCAGTCTCTCCCAACCCCCACTTGATACATTTTCTGACTGGTTTTAGATCCCTGCGCACTGTCGCTGGCAAGAATTGAAAGACTTGGTGCGCCAAACGGCACAACACATCCGGCAGGCTGTTGTATACGACGACAGCCATGGATTCCCCACTGGATTGGGACAAATCATAGTCAAGAATGAAGATGAAGCGTGGCGGACTTATCGTAGGTGATCTCCAGGGCTCCCAATTCCGAACGAAGTTGACCGAATATGCAGACCGGCTATCAACCAACGGATGGGAAGGCCAAAGCTTGGTCGTTACGCTAGCGCGTACCAGTGCTCCTACAAAGCCCATTGCCGGCCCTACCAGGAGCCCACCGGCCATGATCCAGAGCTACATGTCCGGTCATTCGACCCCGCCTCGGTCGGGCAGTGTAGCCATGCCTCCATCGCCAATCTCGCCCGAGTAAGTCTTCGAGATCTACAGACCTTCTACGCAAAACTAACAGTCACTAGATCCGTCCAGTCTCCAGCTACTACCTACACATACCCCTGCGACTTCGGACCCATGATGAGCACCATGCCAATGGGCCCCCAGCAATTCGTCCCCATCATGCCAGACCCCCACGCCCAGCCAATGCAATGCTTCCCGCCCTCCCCAATGATGCACTGCACCACATTCGACCCTCCAGCCTGGAACATGATGCCCATGTACCCCATGTACCCAATGTCACCTATCCAGCCACTGCCAGAGTCCAGCATGGGCGAGTACTGCCCGCACCCAAACAAACCCTGGACCAGAGACTCGACCATCACTCCGACAAGCGACCTTTCCCAGCGAGCAGTCTGTATCAAGAACCTTCACAAAACAACCACAGCGTCGGACCTGGAGAATCTGCTCCAGGGCGCTGGGAAAGTGGAACAATGTAATGTGGTTGTAACCTCCGATGCAAAGTCGAACCAAGCACAGACGCACGGGTCGGCGATTATGCACACTGTCGAGGAGGCGAAGCGGGCTATCACGATGCTCAATAATATGGTATTCATGGGCTCGCGCATTCGCGTGAAGATGGATACCAGACCTACTATCACACGCAGTGGAAGCTGGGATGGGTCCATGGGGCCTTCCGATCCGGACTTACTGGAAATGATCTCGAAGAGAATAGGATCCAAGTGTGCCAAGGCTAATGAAGAGAATGTGACCAAGGGAATGGATCTTTGTAAGCCGCTCGTTGTTGATGGATCGGGTCAGGGTCCATCATTAGAGTTGTTATCAACGTCGGCGCCTACCTAGGCCTGGGAACTGGTTGATAAACTGTTTGCGTGGGAGTAATGGCTATGGATATAATGTATTATGTCGGTTGATTGAATGGAACTTGTTGATTGCAATCTTGCTGTAGCTTGACATGTGGTGATATTGTATGGTTTTATGGAGATCGATGGATGCGTATTCTGCTCAGGACTCGGATCATTGAAGCTCTCCTACGCTATCTAGCCACCTATTTGTCGCCCACTCAACTCCTATAATAAGCCCAACTAGGTACATGACCGCAGTCTTAGAGCCTTGCCTTGGAAGTGTCAAGTACAGCCCGGAATTGACCCAGCGCACCAACTTGCAGTTGAACCTGCTGGACAGCATTTGAAAGATGAAGCCCCTCTGCTCCAAACATTGGTCGGATTGTTGGGATAATGGTTTTCGCAGACTTGGCTTATCTGCTGAAATCCGCCGAAGTTGTTCGTGTGTCTACCTTGACAATTGTAGTTTCTAAACATTGTTAATTCTGTAAAATATGACAAACCCGCGGGAGAACGTACTGCCAAATGGCGCATTGATAACCACTGGGAATATCCATTGCTTTGAGATTGTCATTGTATTGCTGGAGCGTACCTCCGTGAAGAGTAACTGTTGGTTCTATTAGCTGAATTCTCTCTTGTGAGAGAGGATCAGTCCTCGCTAGCCTTACAGCAACTGCCGTCAGTATTCACTGCATATGCACTACTAGCCCCAGTTTTACTGTATAGAGTTACTGAGATTGCGCTGGCGTAGCCAACGAAGAGCAACTTGGCAATTGCGTGTGTAAACATATTTGGCAAGGTTCTAGTTGAATTGGTGGCAGTTTCTCAAGAGACAATAGAATGGCTGTTTTAAAATTGAAGCACAAGGGAGCGACGCTGGATATTTGTATTTATACCATCGACGGTGCGCCTAATATCACCACGCCTTTGCATCTTTGAGATAATTTTGGAGATACACCACCTTCGTCAGAAGTTGGGCTTGGAAAAAGCTGCACCTGTCATCCGTTCCACAACTAATTCCTAAGATTAAGCTTACTTCTAAGATAAGGCCTCCTACGATCGAGATCGACTCGGGGTTGCCGCCAGTGCTATTTGACTCCAGACTAAGCCACAACCACTCTTGCTTTGGAAGAAAATGTTATTAGAAGTTCTAAATAGCTCAGAATAATTCCAACCGTTGCTGACGTGCAGGTGACTCTTCTCCTGATCAGCCGAGGTGAACTTAAGGTGCCAAGTACCTGGGCAGCTGATATGCCTTCAGGGATTGGATGGTCAAGCACACTCAAATTCAAACCGAAGGAGCTGAAAAAAAGGTGGCGGGCAGCCCTGGTGAGTACTATTCCTGGGGTTACTTCAGTTCTGCTCACCAAGATGCCAACACATGAAATGGTTGGAGGTGACTGAGTTTGTATTCGAGAATCTGCGACATCACTACTGGACATTCACACCACGAAGTAGAAAGGCCTCCTGTGCCCATCAAGGGCTGAAGTCAGACTCATATTGAATGCAAACGCATTGAGAGCCAAATTTTGTCCCTCGACGCATACTGGGTCAAAATAGGTTCTGTTCATATATGTCCATCGTAAACAACACTGAGGCTGCGGACTGCTGATAAATATACCTATAGAGGACATGTATACCTATAGAGGACATGTATACCTATAGAGGACATGGATTGGATCATGTGGAATCATCATTTCATTTAACAAACATATCCTAAGATGCCGTGGTGATACAAATATCGTATCTCATGCCTCATCCGCTGCATTAATAGTTGCAAACGCACCAACGCCAGAACCTGGAATCATAAAAGCTCAACAGAAATACAATACAGTGCAAACAATGCAGTGCAAGAGAATTGATGGATCATTTCGCATGGGTGACCATTTCAGCATATAAATCAGAAGGAATCCTCTGCACCAGGAGTACTGTCAGAGCGATGATTTCCTTGGCATTGAGAGGAGGGAGATTTCGAAGTATTTTGTTCGGGCTAGTCCATTATTAGCTTCACCAGTTGAAAATATGGATGACAGTACGTACTTATCACTTGCGAGAAGCGTGTCCCGCATACGGACTAATTGGGCCACAATACAAACAATATTGAGATGAGATCCGTAGGCGAAGAGGAAATCCCATAGGTGGAGAACTTCAGGAAGCGGTGGTGTACAAGCGCAGAGCGTGAGGACAGATGGGAAGGCATAGAGCTCTGCATACATACCCTTGGAGAAGAGGTGGGCAGCAAGTTTAGGCTCCACAATCTCTAGGCATCTGTCAACTAGTCGAAGACCCCTATGTACTCCATCCATAGCACCTCGAATGTAACCCGGGCATTCCTTGGTGACAAAGAAGTGGAATAGAGCAAACGCTTCTACTTCGCTGCGGGCTGCATAGAGGAAGGGAGCGCAGAGGACATTCATTCCTTGCACGTAGATTGCAGAGTCATTTACATGCGCGCTATTCGAAGAGCCTGGGTCTTCGGGATCCTCGTCGATCCTCGGTGGTGTATTGACTAATAGCTCCATCTCGCGTCGTCTGGAAGAAGGCCGAGATTTCCGTTTTGTTTTTGAGTCGTGCAGTTTCCATGCCACAGCATTTAACAATCGAATCAAGCTAGCTTCTGTGACGCGGCGTTTAAACAGAGGATCGGTGGCTAAAGTGCGGAATGTGTCATTGCGGATTTTGGCGTATGCGGGGGGAACGGCCACGGTGAATAAAAGCAAGGTATTCATCGGTGGGGACGGGGGGGATATTGAGGAGGACAAGCCATAAGTAGATTCGGTAAGGTGACTGTGACAATGTTAGACAAGCATTACTGCAATCAGCAAGTATCTTACCATGCCATCTCCATCCGCGTCTACTCTGCATGATAGAACAAGTAGCTTCAGTTCCTGTAGCCCTTCCCGGCCTTGCCCGTTCTGCGGCCCATCGCGTAGAAATGTTTCCAAAGGCGATTTCTTGATCCCTATCCCTGACCCAGTTTTCCGTGGAGGGCGTCGTGTTGGAGCGGGTGCGGTCAGAGCCGCCATGCGAGCAGCTGCATCACTATTAGATCGCGCTCGACGATGCGCGGGTGTTCGCACAGTAGCATTGCCAAGTGCTATAGCTGTTCCATCCTCACTGTCGCGGGTCCCCGAAGACTGAGAGGATTGGGTTTGTGCAATGAGGGCGCTCGAGGTCGTCAGGACTTGATGCGATCGGATCTTCCGCAGCGTGCGCATTGTCCGCGGCGATGGCGGAGCCTCGGCAGGGCCATCGAAGGCCCAGGAAGCGTGACTGTGAGCCATTTCAAAGCTGTAATTGCATCTGATGGGCACTACACGGACTGAGGGGGTTGTGTAACGGGCTGGGTAAGAAATCGAGTTGGCGCGGTGGCTGGAGATGATTTTCTGCCGTTGGAGAAATCCTGAGCGCACGCGTCACCAATCAGCTACGCATTTGCTTAGATCTGAAACATTCAAAGTCTCGTTCTGATTGGTACATACTGCACGATCGATTTAAAATATAGATTCACAAATACGAGCTTGGCTAGAGCGCCCGCGCAAATACAAAATATAAAAACAAAGTAAACACCATCAACGCCCACATTACGCATCACGCATTTCAAGCTGGAGCAGTGCCAGTCTCCCGTCTTCCATTGTTCCCATTGTCTCCTCCCACTATGCTGCGAACAAAGTCATGGTACTGGAAGACTTCCGCTCTCTTGCCCATTCCACCTGATTTTGCGCCGAATGCGCGCCGCCCAGTAAACCCGCTGAGAACTTCATCGATCTGTCGCTCTGTCAACGGGACCACACCATCTTCGGGTGCTGTATGTAGCAAGGCATCACGTAATTCCGCGACGTCAATCTGGCCGTTATCGTCATCGTCGAATGCTGCCAGGGCGTTGAGAAGCTCTTGGGATGACGACATCGGGGACATTAATTGAGACAGGGCATTCAAAAAGGTTGCAAAGTTGATCTTTTGTTCAGCTCCAGGTGGGAAGAATCGCGAAAGGGTGGAGTGATTTGCATCTTGACCTAGAAAAAGACATGGAGTCAGTGACTGCACTTGACCATTGGTCGCATGTTTTGATCGGTTCAGAATACCTACCCAAGTTGGTCAAAACATCAGCGACGTCATCTTTGTTGACCAGTCCATCGTTATCTCTATCAAGAACCTGAAATGCTTCCCGAATCTCCCTTAGCTGAGCTGGCGGTATCTTTGAGGAGGCGTCGGTAGTCGCGTTTACCATTCCACTCGACCTGCCCACAATTGGCGATGTAAAACCGGGTGACCGTGCTCCCTTGGTGGGAGATGGAGGAAGTTCTCGAGTGAATTTTGGTTGCGGGATTGGTTCCGCCCGCGGGGAGACTGATTCCCTATCTTCCACGGTATATGTTTGATTCAACTTGCTCGGTGATACCATCGGAGTGTAACCTCTGCTCGGGGAACTCCCTGGGGTGGCTGGGCGACCTGCTGAGGGCGGGGAGTTGGGCGTGGACGGTCGCCGGAACGGCGAAGCCCTCGGCCCACCAAAAGATAATGGTGAAGGCTTGAAAGTTGGGTTGTTTGCCTTAATTTTAATTAGCGCATGTCCATTCTTTTGATTTCTCTTTGGTCATACCATCGTTGAATGAATGAAAAGCTGTAATCTCAGTAGTGCGGAGATCGGAGTGACGAAGGTAAGTAAACAATGCCCCGGCAACATAGTCGGCCCGGTCAAGGCACGTGCAGAGTGGTGTATCAACACTGACAGAATGGATTTCTTAAAGTTTGGAGCTCTCAACTTTCTGTGTGAATCAGATAGATCAGCCGGACTCATTAGACATCCTATTCAATCCCTGTAAATCTTATTCGACGAGACCTTCATGTAACGCGACATCATGTATACTGCAGCTGTTATCGCCTATCGCCCCCGCTGTGGAGATCCTCCGTTTTCTGAGCATCGACCCCTGAACCGTCGCTCGGGCCTGCAGTGATTGGCTTGCAGCACACACAATTTTGTCGACTCCTTGATCTGTCACTATTTTCTTCATTTCCCTGCAGTTCAGACCTGCTTTAATCAGGCATGCCATTCAATCTCATCGCCTAGCCCGGAGCTCCTGTCTCAATTAATTGCCCCTCCGAAGATGGCCACGACGCTGCCGTATCGACCGTCAAACGACTCCCTGTCCACTTCTAATCCAAAGACCAATGGCCTTCCTCGACTCTCTCCTTCTCCCTCATTTGTGGGCCGCTCGCCGAGCGGCTCTCAAATGTCCTTTCGCCGCACATCAACCGAGAATTCGGCGGGGTACAAGCAGCGCCGATGCAAGTCACAATACCCGCTAGACTCGTCGGAGCGCCATGTGGAGTATATCTTGGTGGCATCGTTCCACATTGATCGAGGTCCGATTATGGAGCATCAGTACCCCGCAGCGATCAGTGGTGACGAGAGCATGCTAGCAGAGCTAATGCTGCCCGACCAAACACACGTGCGAAGCCAGGACTGGACGATTTTCTTCTTGCATAAGGATACCAGCGGTGAAGAAGAGGAAGAGACGGAGGATGGAAAGAAAAAGAAGAAACGAAAGTCAAAATATCATGCAAACGAGGAAGCCGCCCACCTTCAAGAAGAGCAGCCGGACGAGGCCTCGGACGAGGACAGCAGTGACGACGAGGAGGGCGGCGAAGGCCCGCCCTTGATGTATGTTCTGAACTTGGTGAATACTAAGCAGGATAATACGGTTCGAAGGTAATTCAAATTCGTCCATGTAGCAGCATGCAGGCGCTGACAGCACTATAGAGGTGCAGTGGTCAAGGCGATGGCAATTTGTACAAGACATTCATTTCTCCACATATACAAGGTGCGTCTCAGCTAAAAATATTCCAAACGCAAGACTGACATATTTAGCCGCTCCTACTACTCGCGCTCGAAGACTACTTCAAATCACCCTATCCCGAAACCCTTGCTTCCTTGTACGATGCTGTTAACTCCATGGACCTCTCATTAATGCCGAAGATGTCACTCTTGGAACGTCACATCTTGCAGTCTAGCAACACAAAAGAAATGTTCATCGAAAAGTTTGAGCAAATGGTTCGCCAGCGGGAAGAAGAGGAGATGGAAAATGGAGATGTTCCCCCCTCGCCAAAGAAAATGAGTCGATACGTTCTCCCGCGAGATACCCACGAGTTCGAGTCGAAAGTGGTGTATAACGACATACCGATCCCTGTCAAAATTCCTACAGTCATTTGGCCCGAGACAGTGGGAGACTTTTCCCTCGTCAAGCTCATCCAGACTTTCGCCGGGCCTCATGCTACTTCTCCTCAACCTTTCCCGAGCCATCCTCATCTGACCACCAGTGGCCCGCTCACTCATCCCATTATTGTGCTTGTCAATGCAATTCTCACCCAGAAACGGGTGGTCTTTTTGGGACACAACCGCCCGTCAGGGGAAGTGGCCGAGGCAGTTCTTGCAGCTTGTGCACTTGCATCTGGCGGTGTTCTGCGGGGATTCACCCGTCATGCTTTCCCTTATACTGATCTCACCAAAATTGATGATCTTCTCAAGGTCCCCGGTTTTATTGCTGGTGTCACAAATCCGACTTTTGCCAATCACCCAGAATGGTGGGATGTGCTATGCGATTTACCAACGGGTAGAATGAAGATTTCCAGTCACGTTGAGCCTGCTCCTGTAACAGAGGGTCTCCTGTTCTTCCAACAACAGAGTTCCATTTTGCCCAGCCAGGCTTCTAATGCCAATCAAGACCCCACGGGAGACACTTTGTTCATGGAAGATATCTTACGCAGCATCAGCCAACGTCATGGTGAGAATGCAATCCGGGCGAAGTGGTCTGCTTACATAATGAAGTTTGTCCGCGTCTCTGCCGCCTTCGAGGAGGCTGTCTATGGAGCTTCTAATCTCTATATCATCGGTCCTGGCGAGGAGCTGTCCCCTGACAGCCCTACGGGTCAACAAACAGATGCTTTAGACCCATCATCTCTTCGGGGCCATGGTTATGTATGGCAAGATGAAGTTGCCAAGCAACGTGAGCTTTCAGCATCTGTTTCTCGAATCGAGGGCTGGCGGAATACCAGATCATATTATTCTTATATTCAAGACATTGCAGCCAAGTACTGGCCTGCGCGCCCTATTCAAAAACCAGACCTGAATCATCATCACGATCGACTGCGGTCTTTGAAACTATCTCATGCGGACGCGGGTGCCATCTATCTAGCTCTCGCCCATGCAGTCAAGGACTATGCTGGCATTTGTCAACTGCTCGCGGCTGCTCCGGAGAACCAGGCTGGCCTGTTCTACCTCAGCATGGGTCTTTTCCATCCCGACCAGGTGGTACGTGAAGCGACATGCGATTTACTCGAACGTATTGGGGCACACCCAGCTGGACGACATTTCTGGTCTCATCTCAGCCGATTTGCAAAGCTCGGCTATTTCCGCGTGAAGCGGGACCGTGATGCCGCACAAAGTCCTATTTCTGGTCCTGCCTCCGGGGCTGGCTCTCCTACAAGCAACAGTGGTACTAGCTTTGGCGGTGAACCACAGAGTCTTGTCGGCGTTGCCCTGGGAGACAGTTTTAAACGCCAGAGCTGAACATGTAGATTTGATTTCCTTCACTTGAGCGATTCTTTTTTATTCATGTCTTGCGCCCATACCTTCCTGCTTTCACTGACGACGACAAGAGCTATGTCTTTGCTTCTGAACATGATCTTCTTTGCATATTGCCTGTTCATACTTCTTGAATGCGCTTCGTCGATTGCTGTCGCTCTGGACATACATTACCGCGGTTTGACGGGAATATATTTGCCTGATTGCCAACAACGATTCCATCATGATTTCAGAGTCTGCACCTATTACCAACATGGAATCGAGCTCAACGGACTCATTAGATTGTGAACAACATGGATATCTTCGCGAGTACATTTCAGGCACAATAAAATCAAAAGTCAACGCTAAACTTGACGCTATATGATCCACCAAACAAACGCTCAAAATGACTAATTTCCCTCAGTATTTGTATTGGTAGGGTGTAAGCCCCGTCCCGTAATTGAGCATAGCAAGCATCTCCGTTCTTCCATGCATAGCAGCCAACGTCAACGGTGTCCAGGCTCGAATAGACTCCGGAAGATTAGGGTCCGCTCCATGCTGCAATAGCACCCTCACCACCTCAGGCCTATCCTGCTCAACAGCTTTATAAAGAGCCGTCTTCCGTGGGTAGGCAGTATGATCCGGCAGTGCCCCATTATCCAACAAGAACCGAACAATATCCAGATGGCCATTCATAGCGGCTTGCGAAAGCGCAGTGTCCCCCGTGTGAGAAAGCCCGTTGATATCCGCACCTGCATTAAACAACAATCGAACAACATTCTCATGTCCCCATTCGGCAGCCTGAGATAGTGCCTTGTTCCCTAAGTTCTTGCGTCCATCAACTGCCGCTCCACGAACTAGCAACGTCCGGACAATCCTTTCAGCGCCCCTCGAAGCAGCAATACTCAACGCAGAGTCTCCCTTCGCAGACATCAATGCTGTATTCGCATCATATTCCAATAATAAATCGACAATGTGCTCTTGTGAAAACAAAATAGCAACCATCAAGGCTGTCTGACCGTGTGAATCCCTCGTATTCACATCGGCGCCTTTATTAAGGGCGCTCTGGACAGCGTACAGTCCGCCCTGTTTTACTATAGCGATGAATTCGTCCTTGCTGGTCGTGAACTTGAATTTCATCTTCCGCATGATGTTAGGCTTCTTGGTTCGGACAATATTCGGATATGAGGAACTTCCCCTAGATGAACTAGCATCTGAGTAGGTTCCTGAAAGAGTGGTTGAGCTTCCTGGCTCAGCTTCTAGGGGCATAGGAAAATTCTCGCAGAAATTCTCGTCATTTGTGTCGTGGCCTGGGCTGTATGTTGCTGACAGTACTGGTTCGGGAAATTCTTCTTGTAGGACTTGTTTATCGGCGTCCGCTTGCATCTCTGACGTGACAGAGATGGGTAAGTCCGAGAGTCCCCGTGGTAGAGCTATTTTGTCTGTGTCACTCATAATATGTACTTCATGATAATGATTTGTTGGTGCAGCATTTCTCGGGAAAGGATTCCTTGGTGCTTGATCTCTTGGTGATCGTGGTGTGTCCCTGATGTGTGCTGCCTGCCTGCTCTGTAAGAGATTCTCATCTTTGACAGCCTTGTCAAGGACGCTGATGATAAAGTCATGATCTTGATGTGATAATTCCGGAGCAATGCCAACATCGACTAGTTCATGCTGCAGATTCTGCCATGCCTCATCCGTTGGAGAGCGAGATGGTCCCAAATCAAGAGCATTAAGAACGAGCAACGCATCTCGCTTGCCAGCATGGATATCATCAATGAAGCTCCTCATCGCCTTATTAACATTATTCTGCGATGATCTTTCACCAACATTAGTCAACACCCTTCATCAAGATAAACATACACTCACATAGCCATATTGGCATTCATCATACTAAGCTCAAAGATAATCGACCCAAGCCGCGATCGAATCTCGGTAATCTGCAGCTGAGACCCGGCTCCACCAGGGCACGACGAAACAGTCTGTAGATCCAATAGGACCGCACGACAACACTCCAAGATCTCCGGTAAGCCAGTTATCAGCGGCGTTTCCGTACATAGCACCGCATTCGTCTTTGTAGAAGCCAATACTGTCAGCAGTAACCCCAACTCACTCGCTGCCTGGCTCACGAGTGAGGTTGACAGACGAGTGGAGTTGTAAAGCGAGTCAGCCAATGGGCAAACAGTGTCCAGTTGAGCTGTTGGATCGCGGGGCGCCCCAAGTGAACCCATCATGAGGTCTAATGCAGGTGAGGGGTAAGGTAAGCTGGATTCCTTCGCCAACGACGATTGCGAACGGTATGAGATTTATTCCGATTTTGGGATTTACGCTGACTTGCCTTTTTGGGGTCGACTTCAGTGGTGTGTTTACCTTGATTGGAGAATGGCCCCCGCAAGGCTTCTCATCATGGGTGGGGGCCAAAAGGGATGTGGAGGTAGTGATAAGGGGATCCTGCAGTTCGCATGAAATTCAAACCTGGGGTTGTATTCTTCCCCTTAGAATTGCAGTTCAAATGTTTTATGGCTGTACCCCTGGAATCAGGGGAGATTGGTCGTACATGGGGAAGTAAATAGCGACCGCTATTTATAGAGCTTGTAGATCTTCACGAACTCCAAACTTGCCTTAGTGGAGAATCAATTCTAGCCTTAGCCGTTGATATGTAGTCGGATTGAAAATAAACAAGGTTAAGTAAATATTAACATGGGAATTCGCTGTCATCAAGCGTGACCGTAACTCCAAAAAAAAATGGGCATGAAGGAGAGAGGCCATGAATAAACACCAAAGAAAAAAATCTGCCAAATATACATCTAGCCTGCGCTATAATATCCCCAACGATAGAGCTCCGACCGTGACAGTGATTAAAGACAAGGCAAATCGGGAGGGTAATGGAACCATGAGGCCGGCACCGGCAGTGACATTATCAGAGCCGATGGTGATATTGGTAGTCGCAAAGCCGGAGCCACAGAATTCATTGACGATCTTCGCCGAAGGGAGATAGGTCGCGTCAAGAGCTTGACCATCCACCCTGGCCCACTGGGCGTACATATCCATTGTCGACCGGAGACACTCGTTGCAGGTGAGTTTTCCCTTGGTGAGCTGAGTTCCAATCGGGATAAAGTAGACATTATAATCATTCGGGGCGGTGGAATTGGTAACAGCGTCGACGAAACAATAGTCATTGGTGGTAGGGTTGGTCAGGCAGGTGGCTCGGTATACAGGCTCGTAGGCCATCAGTTGTTGATAAGTACCTGTGACGACCGAGTTGCCCGCCTCATAGTCGGGCCCGCAGTTGTCCTCGTCCAGCATCTGGGCCGCTAGCGAGGTCATGATCGACTGGCATTTGGTGGGGTTCTCGGAGCAGGTAGTATCCAACACGCGCGTAGTTTCCGTCGCCGAGCTCAAATCATGGAAAAATGCATTCGAATTCTCGAGAAGCAGTGAAACGGCATGGCATTTCGTCACCGTAGAGTTGGCGAGGAACTTATCGAAGAAGCTCACGCAGCTAGAGTTCGCAAAGTTGTTCGAGCTCGTATCGAAGGGCTCGGGCATCGACGTCGATGTCTCGGTGCTGGCATTGAGGATTCGCCGCTGCAATCCGTGTTTGGCATCACTTTCGAGAGACTCTGCGATGACATCCCGATCCTGTGTGTCCAAGAATGTGTCTCCACGGGGCTTGAGGGGCGAATCATGGAGGTCTGCGGTGATCTTTCCACTTGGGCTGGAAGCCGATCGCGGGACGTTCACTAGATCTGCCGCGATTGCAGTAGGATGAGCCAACGTTGATGGCGACAAGCAAATAATAAGAATTAGAATTAATAGGCCATGGTAAAGAGACCCCAGGTTTTTGTTTTGGCCGGATTGCGACCGGTGAGGTCGCGTGGAATCCATAGAGAGCGAACGGTCCATACTCCGGCTGTTGCGCGGAAGACCAAGCATTGCTTCCATGAGGAAGCTAAAAATGAGTGACGAGCCACAAACGGGCGAAAAAAAGAGTGAAAGACACGACCACACACTATTAACAACTCGTCATGGCCATTCACGGTTGTCGGCCCCCAACAGCACGAGAGGCTCAAGGCATGTCCGAAGCCCGCTGCCCACGAGGGAAACAGACCATGTATAAGCGGGAAATCGGCAAAAGCACGGAGCACCGCACTGATCCTGTTTGGACTTTTAATCTTAGAAAAGCCGGGCAGGCAAGTCAAGCCAAGACCAAGAAAAGACATGGCCGCAAGGACTAGATCGGTCTGTGGATCCCGCAGCCCGACAGAGAGAGTCTGGTTCAGGGGAACTTGCATGGGTGCAAGGACCAATTGTCAGGACCGAATGCTTAGAAGGGATTAGTTCAAACAAAAAGTATAAGCCGGAGTAGGGATGATCGGGGTTGATCACTTAACGGGGATGCTCAGCTTTGGTCGAGGCCATTGACTTGGAAGTTGTGACGAATCCACATTCACCCTTCTTTTGAGTACTCGCCTCTCGGTTATGAGTCGAAACACCAAAGCATGTCCAAACAACTCGTAGACTATATGAATTATGTATATCTAACGATGCTGGATTTTGGTGATTTGCGTCGGCAAAAATTGCTTGTGTCCAATGTGTTTTCTTCTTGATCGACGCTGTTGTGCTGGTTAACCAATCGCATGTAAGAACACAACGACGCACGTCTTCTGGTCAATTCCGTTCAATCCCGCGTTGACTGCTTGGATTGACCTAACACGGGTCTACGGCCCTTTCTATTAGGCATACTCAGGACTCATATCCTCAACTCGACTCCTTTCAATGGGGATCCGGCATTGACAATAATTCAATCTTCGGGTCGAGTTTTGACGGTTTGACCTGCGCGTCGTCCTCGCGGGTTCTCATCTTCAACCTCCTCGGTGGTGGGAGGCGGTGTTCACCGCTTGCACCTCAGAGCGATGGCTTCAATATTGGCAAGGCTCTTATAGCTTTTGGCAGAAAGGATTGATGCGACCCATTTATCTATGGAGCTATAGTGGATCTGTCCGGCTCCACCATGCTACAGCCTCCGGAATCACATATATTGATTGCGTCACGAAAGACCTGCTATTTCGGTTGAAATTTGCTATATACGGCCTTCCACCTTGTAGAAACGGCATCACCAGCTTATTGAATCTTGGCGCGGTCCACGGCCCCGGGGGTGATGTGTGCTTGACCGACGTTGTGGACGATAGAGATCCCCTGCTTTCCCACCGATGTCGTATTCGCGCAGCGTGTACTTGGTCTCTCGCACAGCAATTTCAAGACCTCCCCTTCAGCAGTGATATTGCAGATGTCCGTTGAATGGGTAGTATCAGACAAGGTTCCAAGGTTGAGCGCTTTACATCCGTCGTCACATTGCCAAAGCGCTTGGCAGCAACAATTACCCCAATATAGTCTTCACGACCTCGGGAATCTTCTTGGGAAAAGGCTTGGCTCCTCGTAATCAACCTGAGCTAGTCAAACGAATTTCCTGAGCTTCGACATCAGAGCTTTGATTGGAGGCATCCGTTAATCTCAGGTGAGCCACATCTGGTCACCTCTCCAATCCAATAATAAGTTCCCACACCCTAAACCAAATATTCAGCTCCAGTTAGGTCTATCTCGAGCCGAGTTTATGCTGTATCAAGCTTATGGGTTTTTTTAACCAAAAGTATGTTGAGGGTGGGTTTCTGAGTTGGAAACGGATGAGGCTCATATTGAGGTGTATCGGTCACGTGATATCCATGGTCTCTTGAAGCCATGAGATTTACTAAGCAGAAACGCGCACAAGAGCGGCAGCTCTAGCCTCTAGAACGCCCCGCCTGCACGGAGTATAGGTGCATACAGAACTAGGTACAGATTCAGGATATTTGATGCCGATTTTGAAGGCTGAGCAATCTTGGCTCTCTTCATCTGAAACTACTTCCAATGATAGATCAATTGATCGATCGTTACTCAATTTTCACTCATTCCGATTGGGTTGTATTGTCCGAGTACAATGTGCGAGGCTGAAATTAAAGGAATCGCGCACCATGCAAGGAGCCCAGACACGGGTTACAACTCCTGATCAAACAAAAGACATGTCGATTATCCAAACACAGGACAAAGACTTATTTTCATAACACGCATTCTGCCCATACTGTATCTCTCTTATCGGGCTCCATACTGTAAGACGGAAGCCAATGAGAATTAGGTAATAGGAATGTCAGTGACTTCCCCGTCCAAACCCCCACAATTTACGACCACCTTCACTCTCATCAATCTCACAATGTCCGAATTGCTTGTACCTGAAACCCGGGTACTGGCAGTCGCCAGTCATGTAAGTTTAATTTCCGGGTAAGTTTATTCAGAAACTAACACGGATTAGGTCGTTTATGGGTACGTTGAGATCCTACTTCGATGATAAGAGTCATGCGACATCAAACTGATCTTTTTAGCCATGTGGGTAATACAATGGCCGAGTTTGTCATGCAGTCCTTGGGCTGTGAAGTGGCAGCTTTGAATACTGTGCATTTCAGTGCGTTTTCTATCGTCTCGTGCCATTGGGGTCGACTCATCGGTGTCACCCGATGAGATATATCATGTTCAAAGCTAACTAGCTTTGGTAGGCAACCATACTGGATACCGGCAGTTCAAGGGTACTCGTGCAACTGCCCAGGAGATAACAGATCTATACCAGGGTCTGTGTCAGAGTAACCTCACGGACTTTGACGTCATGTTGTCAGGCTATGCCCCGAGTGCGGCGGCTGTGGAAGCCGTCGGTGCAATTGGAATTGATCTGCAAAAGAAGGCTGAGAATAAGCCCGGCTCCTTCTTTTGGGGTGAGTCCTGTAACTCCAGTAGAATTATGCAAGCAAGCTTTGGATTTGAATCTAATCTGCAATATAGTACTGGACCCAGTAATGGGAGATCAGGGCCGACTATATGTCAATGACGACGTCGTTCCGGCCTATAAAAAGACCATCCACCATGCAGACTTGATCCTGCCCAATCAATTTGAAGCAGAGTGAGTTCATCTAAGACCAGTGCTATATCTCACAAGCGTGCACCCCTCTAAACTCCAATAGGGTCCTGTCCGGCATCAAAATCACTTCTCTGGCCACACTAGCAGAGGCCATCACCGCCATCCACCGCATCTACGCCGTTCCCCATGTCATCATCACCTCCGTGCAACTATTCAAATTGTCGCAGTCAGGTTCAACTCCAAGCCCACCAGAGAACTACCTAACAGTCATTGGCTCCACGACCCGATCCGACGGGTCCCCGCGTCTTTTCCGCATTGATGTCCCCGCACTAGACTGCTTCTTCAGCGGCACAGGCGACATGTTCGCCGCGTTGACGGTTGCCCGACTTCGAGAAGCCGTCGACGCCGCTAGCCCAGACTTGCGAAATACCGCCTCCTGGGTCTCACCAGATGACGTGGTACCTAGCAACCTCCCATTAGCCCAGGCCACTACCAAGGTCCTCTCCAGCATGCACAGTATTTTGGAGCGGACGATGGAGGCCCGTGATGCAGAACTTATGTCGGCGTCGTCCCAGAATGGAGGTTTGACACCCGAGGAGCAAGAGAAGCAAGAGTACCTGCGTCGTACTAAAGCGGCTGAAGTGCGTTTGGTGCGGAACGCGCGATTCTTGCGCGACCCTCTGGTTCAATTTGCTGTGCAGGAGTGGCGCAAGGAGGATATGCCCACTCATTTACAATAGGGTAGAATACGATCGGAGATAACATCATGATGGGACGACCAGGGTCTGAATATAGACTCCATTAGACCAATGCATGCATACTTTCAAAGCTGAAGTGATGAATTTTTCTGTTGATTGGGTCGTTGTCGACATATAAATCATTAAATCATCCCGGGAACCATTTCCCATTAGATGTACTCCGTGACTTTCTAATCAATGGTGTCAGGTATCAATATTGGCAATTCAAATGCCAGTGCTGCCGAATCCACCAGCACCACGAACACTCTCCTCCAACTCCTCGACGACAGTCACCTCAGGGGTGTAGATCTGCGTAACGAAACATGTTAGAGCACAACTCAACGAGCTGGGAATTTATAAAACTTGACTCACCCTCTCAAGAACCAGCTGAGCAATGCGATCCCCCTCCTTGACTATTTTCAAACCGTGGATCAGCAATTTACCTTGCAAAAGTAGCTTCAATAGAGACCGTACCAGGAAAGTCGACATCCGAGTGGTTAAACAGCAAAACCTTCACCTCGCCTCGGTAGTCGGCGTCAATAACACCAGCACCTGTATCGATGAAGTGCTTAGAAGCAAGACCGCTACGAGGAGCAACACGGCCGTCTGCAGGGGGAAAAAATCAGCCACCACGCCTTCCCACTCAATTTGCCCTGCTCCATGTTGGAAGCTCAAATTTCGATCAATTGACATACAAGTTCCCTCAGGCACAGCAATGGCAATGCCAGTATCAACCATAGCCTTTCCCTTTGCAGGGATGACGGTCTCCTTGGCGCTGTACATATCGTACCCCGCAGCGAAAGCAGAGCCCCTCGTGGGGGCGCGAGCGGAATCAACAAGCTTCTTCACCAGCAGCGGGGGCATGGGCTGCTGGATAGAGGTAACAGCGGGGGCATCGGTAGTCATGGCGGCGATCTTAGTGCGTTTGGGGAGCGGAGAGGTCGGGAGGGAGGGGGGTTGGTGGGTGGTTGTGTCGGTAGGTGGGGAGGTCTCTTTGGTCATGGCAAGGAAATAGGATCAATGGAGAAAGAGATGGGAAAGAGAAGAAAGGAAAACTGGAGCAGGTATGGGTCCAATGGTCAATTGATTCTAGAAATTGCGGTGTCGGTGTGGGGATCTTTTGTCCCTTGCGCTTCCACTTTCACCGCTGGGACGCGTTTCACTAAACGCGTGACGGGCGTCGGTAGTACGGCCTCTAGCGACCACTGTAGCAATTCTGTCAAGGCGGTGTGGGCAGCTCTCCCCGCTCCGCTGGGGACGCCGAGGGTTTTCGGGGATTGGCTACTGCCGAGGTTCACGGCTGTGCAAATTAATGCCTTGAACTTGCCACTTGTATATATCCCTTGAATTCAAACCTGGCCATTACTGGAAGCTTCTCCTGCATTATTTGTCTTGCTCTTTCTCTCGAACACACATATCCATATCTACAATCATGGCGGGAGCTGTGCGCCAGCCTATAGACCTGCCCTCGTTGGAGCGGTATATTGACCAGAACGTACCAGCACTCAAGACGCCACTGGATATCAAGCAGGTGAGTTGGCCACTGATATAGAGACATGAATGCCCTTGCTGAGACATGGCAGTTCGGTTTTGGCCAATCCAACCCCACCTACCAGCTCACCACCGCCGATGGTAGGAAGGTCGTGCTGCGGAAGAAGCCTCCTGGAAAGCTGCTGTCGAAGACGGCACATCGCGTGGAGCGAGAATACCAAATCATCAAGGCATTGGGTGGGACCGATGTACCAGTACCGGAGGTGTTCTGCCTGTGTGAGGATAACGACGTGATTGGGACACCGTTCTACATTATGGAATTCCTGGATGGGCGGCACTTCACCGACCCAGCGATGCCTGGAGTCAGTGCAGAGGAGAGGAATGCATTGTACGTTTCACGCACAACTCCACGCTGAAAGCCCACATCAGACTTATACCGTTTTAGATGGAAGAATGCCGTGCAAACCCTTGCGAAGTTTCACTCGGTGGTGCCCTCATCCGTAGGTCTTGAAGGATTTGGCAAGCCAACGAACTTCTTCGACCGCCAACTCGCCACGTTCAACACCATCTCGAAAGCGCAAGCAGCGGTAGTGGACGCTGACACCAAAGAGCCCGTCGGCGAACTCCCTTACTTCGACGACATGGTGCAGTTCTTCGCACAAAAGTCCTCGCAGCCACGCGACCGCGGAACTCTCGTCCACGGAGACTACAAGATAGACAATATGATCTTCCACAAGACCGAGCCGCGGGTAATAGGAATTCTCGACTGGGAGATGGCAACGGTCGGGCATCCACTGTCGGACTTTTGCAACCTGAGCAGTCCGTGGATCATGGAGGGCGCGGATTCTCAACTAGAGACGTTCCAGACCGGGCGGGTGCCAGGGCTGCCGACGCGTGAGGACTGCATGCGTTGGTACAGTGAGGTGGCTGGATACAATCCTGCTGAGGATATTCTTTGGGGTGATGCGTTCTTTGCGTTCCGAGGCTCCGTCATCATGCAGGGCATTGCGGCCCGGTTTGCAGGGCGTCAGGCCAGTAGTGCCCGGGCGGGAGAGTATGCTAAGCGGGCTAAACCTTTTGCGATGGGAGCGTGGGAACGGGTGCAGCGGGTGCAACGACTCTCGCAGGGGAAGTTGTAAAAGGACCGGAGGACCTCGGTAGGGGTGGGATTTTCGGGGTTTTTCTCCTCATTTCTTCATGGGCTTTTCTACACCAAAGATGACTCTTATTGTTTGGCCATGATAAATAGCATTACTAGTCGGTCGGCCTTGGAATTCCACTGTACATAGGCAATCTGAAATGACCTGGTCTGTAGATCCTAGGGAATGATTCGAAGAAGTACTGGGTACTTGAGAATGATTGCCCTTCCCCCTACTTCATTAGTTCTAGGCGCAATGACGGTAAAGTCCGTGCAGAGTCAGCACTAACCACGTTGAATCTGGCCCGTAATTCTGCGGGCGCCAATACTTGTCACGCCAGTGCAACAGAACTTTGTTTTGATACATTACGAATCCTCATTCCAATTTGAACGTGATAACTGGTCATCCTATAATATTCCATCGCCCATCAGTTATAATGGGCGTAGGATTCGTGGGCGTGACCAGGTGATTGGTGTAGAGAAAGCGGGGCGGCAGGAATGAGGCTGCGTTTGGCCCTGCGGCTCTACGTAAACGTGAGTGAGGCTGAGGGGGCGAAAAATAAAAAAGAAAATAAAAAACCTTGACACCCGAGGGAAACTGGAAAATGCAAGAAGAGGATCAGAGAAAAAAAAGCAAAAATGGAAAAGTGGGAAAACCAAAAATCTAAAATCCCAAACCCCGACAATTAATTTGCACGTCAGAAGCAACAAAACCGAAAAGGGGTGAAGAACCCACTTCCTACACCGTCCCCGGTTAGTACGAGACTCGTTAGAATCATCCAGTTAGAGCATCTCGGCGCGGGCCGCGTGATTTGCCCTTTTGAACTGCGCCGGGACAAGGCTCTTGAAACGGATGCGTTGTCATGATTCCCATTCCCTTATCTGATAGTTTATGATACTCCGTACTCCGAAGCACAAGGCTCCGGAACAGTGAGATAGAACCACATCTGACATACGTACGACGTCCAAATGGGCTTAATTAGCAGGGTGGAGCCTCGCTTTGTGCAGCTTCCATTCCTGGGTCGGGAGGTCCAAGAGTGTGTATGGGGGAAGTGGGGAGAGGGAAAGAGGGGATTCGTGGACGTGACCACCACTCATACTTTCCCCGGTTGTTGATTCCGAAATTATTGAGGAAAAGCGAATAGTGGAGCCTGGATGAAGTGTTCCAAAAAAAGAGAGAAAAAAAAAGGAAAAAGGGTGTGTACGACTTGGGGACTGCCATCCCCTCCTCCTCCCCCCCCCCCCTCTCTTTCCCTCTCCCTCTTCTTGTTCCCCTAATCCTCCGAGCAATCATCTGCACCGGTCAGCGGATTCTAGAGCGTAAATGTAGAAGTAAAGAAATCAATACATCAGAAGACAATGGATTCAGGCCTGCGGGGAATTTCCTAGGAGCCTCGACCCACTCCCGAGTTACTGCAAGAGCCGCATTTCTCTCTCTCCCGTGCGTTGACGTGGATGATTTGCTAGCTCATATCTTGTCATTTTCCCCTCTTTTTTTTCTCATTTCTCTTCTTTCCTTCCCTCATGAGATCCGATGGAGCCGCTGCGTTGAGCCTCACCCGACCCGTTCAAGGTTCCATTTTGGTTCTTTCTCGGTAAGTTTGTTCTTTCTTTTTTCAGCCTCATCTTGTTCTCTCGAAGCTTTCCCCTCTTTTCTTGTTCCCCCCTCTTTGTCCATAGTCCTTGGAGCCTCCCCTACTTTCTTGTTCCCGTTTTGTTTTTCTTCCATATGTTCTCTCCTTTGATTTAGGTGTGTGGGAATTCCCCTGTGACGACATCTTCCAGCACTCTGGTCGCATCTCATCTAGGCGCCGGGTAGTGTTTTGCATGATTCCGTGTTTCGGGTTCCAATATTGCTTTTCCAACCCTCTTATTGGGCATACATTGTGAGTTGAAAGAGTCTCAAAAGCTAACGTTCCCTCCCTTAGATCGATAGTCCGGATGGATTTGCCCTCAGCTTCCTAGCGTCTTACACATCACATCACCCTATGCCCATGCACCCCCCACCCGCCTCTATGACGTGCGACATCTACGTCTCGGAAGAAGCGTTCAATCGCTCCCCACAACTGGTCCCGCAAAAGATCAATTATGGGGTGGGGGAGGAACCACCGCCGTTCGCCTCCGCGGCCGAGTGCGACAAGGGAACGCATGACCGTTCCCGTAAGCACCACCAGCCGGGGACCCAGCCGCAAACACGTTTCGGCGATGGTGTGCTGATGAGGATCATGGGACCAGACAATCCGGAAGTTGCGACCCAGGCTGAGGAACAACCGTTGAACTGGTCCCCTAAACAGGGCAGAGCCCAGGATTTGGATCGATTCCCCAAGGACCTGCCGCCGCCGAAATTCGAGTCAAAACCTGCCGCTCGTCCGCCGACAATAACATCGCCCCCGGTGAAAGAACGCGAGGACGAATCCCCTCAATCGCCCGAGCGTATCCTCCCTCCGCCCGTCCCGTCGCAAGATCTCAAACCAGCCTTCTCCCCGCAACGTCCCCGTCTCCTGTCCCTCACCGCTCCACCGACAGGCCCGCCGATATATCTCGCGCCGCATCGAAGAACCTCAACTGCAGAAGGACACTCCCCTGATTCCAAGCAGCCAGAACTGCACTCTCGCATCTCTCTCCCGTCTCTCCAGTCACTAGCCTCGCCTCCCAATTCATGTGTCGGAGCTTCCCCAGATACGGGCGGTAATACGCACAGCCTACCCTCTATTCACTCCGCCTTAGGACTATCACAATCTGAGTTCTCCTCAGCTCGGATCAACGGCTTTCCTCCTCCCCCTTCTTACTCCTACCCACCGTCTGCTACGTCGCGCAATGATTCCCCTCACGAGCGTCAATTACCTAGTCTTTTACCGCAGATCCCTCCTAGTCCGCTCTCTCATCTCTCTCCTATCAGCATCAAAGATATATCCACCAATGCTTCTCCGGCCTCACAGCCATCTTTCTGGCGTACGCCAACCTCCGCCGTGTCAAGCGAGCAGCAAATTCCTCCGCCGCCACCACCCCCACCGCCACCTCCATCGGAATCCAATCATCATCACTCCTCGATGATTGCCAAAAGCCCGGCCACAAGCTATCCCACTCCCACGGAGCCAGTGGCCTCCACCGCCGGGGAGCGGACTTCATTCAGCTCGCATCCTTCACCAGAAGATGGATCAGCAATCACGAATATAGGTGTCTACAAATGTACACATCCTGGGTGTACCGCGGCCCCATTTCAAACCCAATATCTGCTCAAGTAAGCCTGCCCGCCCATGCCAACGCACGCGTCCCTAATCCAGGAATAGTTCCCATGCAAATGTGCACTCGTCAGATCGGCCACATTTCTGTCCCGTAGAAGGCTGCCCTCGTGGTGTAGGCGGGAAAGGGTTTAAACGTAAAAATGAGATGATGCGGCATGGCCTAGTGCATAACTCGCCTGGCTATGTCTGTCCGTTCTGCCCGGATCAGCAACATAAGTATCCCAGACCCGACAATCTTCAACGGTATGTCAAAGATATCATAGTCTTTTGTAATGTCACTTAGCTAATTCCGGAGGTTTTGTTTACAGGCATGTTCGTGTCCATCATGTTGATAAAAGCAAAGATGACCCAATACTCCGTGGAGTTCTCGCACAACGTCCTATCGGCAGTACACGAGGCCGTCGGAGGCGGCTAAATGGATGATGTCTTCCTTTGTTGATTTGCGTTGCTGTGACCTTCTTAGCGTTGCGACCCACCGAGGGGATGTGAGATCAGATCATATCACGACAGCCCACCTCGGTACCTTTGCGAAACCCCTTTACGAGTTAATGACTTTCTCATCTGCGATACCTTTCTTTTGATTCGTTCTGAGCAGCTCTTTCTATCTTTGTTTATTACTCGATTCGATGATACCACTTATCACTGTTAGAAGCATGATGATACACGGGACATTCATTATGTGTTTGGTTGTGGGTGCTTGTCACCGCCATTGTAAAATGATCCACTCGTTATTCCTCTGTCTTCTATTTATCTCTTCCCCCGATTTGTCTCTCTCTATCTCCCCTATGTGGCATTGAACAGGGTCCATGCCAGGATCACGGCAATCGGGGAGTTGGTCAATCGTTTTGGATTTTGAAAAGGACCTGAGCAATACATAGCAATCCAATCATCGTACTTTTAACACGTTTGCTGCCTCTTTTCTCCCCTGTTTGACCCGCTCAGTGGCGTGACCCCGCCCAGGGTAGAGGGGCAAATGTGAAATCGATGATCAGCACCTCATGTGGACCCCCCCCCCCCCCCTAAGTCCGTACCTATATGAACCCCTCCTCACCCCCTATCCCTCCCTCTTCTTGTTCTCTTTCTCTCTCATCAACATCTCTCTTTCTCTTACTCAATTCACAATCTCCATACAAATATATCAAAATGGGTTGGTTCAGCGGTAAGTTGTTGACATCTACATCTTCGGACTGCATGGAGCCGCTTCGCCAAGCAATCCAAGCTTCCCAAGCATTGACTAACATCTTGGCTTCTTCTCCAGGCGACTCCGAGCAGGCTTCCCACCACCAGCAGTGGAACAACTCTGAGCCCCGTGAGCACGAGGCCAGCTTCACCCACGAGCTGCTCGCCGGTGCCGCCAGCTACGAGGCCGCTAAGGCCTACGAGGAGCACGAGGCGCGCGAGGGTAAGACCCACTCGACCCATCCTTTCTCAACCAATTGCCCCTCAACACGAAACAGTACCAAAAAAGAAGATCCCGAGCTGACAATGGCTAATAGGCAAGCCCCCTAGCCACGAGAAGGCCAAGGAGATCATGGCCGGCATTGCTGGTGCCTTCATCGACCGTGAGGTCGAGTCCAAGGGTCTTGACTTCGTCGACCGTGAGAAGGTTAAGTACCAGGCTCGCCAGCACATCGACAATGCTCCTGGTGGCCGTGACGGCTGGTAAACATTTCAATGTAAATAAATTGTACATATAGGCTGTGCCTAGAATGTTCCAGTCACGCATCTAAATGAACATGTGATACCTAAATGCCAAAAATATTCTGCCCGTAGTAGAATCTAGATAAAACATTTGAACGGTTGCTTAATTCAATTCCTACAACGTACGTTCAATTTATCTGGGGGATGCCCGTAGGGCTGTACTAGAGATCGAATTGACTTGCCCTACATGCGACTAGCGGTAAGGCAATCTTATTTCTCGGTGATAATATCGGGTCGATCTATCCGCCACTTACGTATCAGTGGGGGAGTCGGGTAAACGTTTCAGAACCGCCACCATGACCACATTGCATCTATACAGATTTTCTAAAATAAGAAACAATATAGGTATAACACCTTTTCAACAGCCCTTTAATGACTCTTGGCGGTTTTGTTGGCATATCAGGTGATTTGAGCCGCCTACCGTCACACAAGGCTCGGAAAATTAATCTCGGTATCTCGCCGATGCAGCTCGGCACCTGCGAACAATTAGATTCCACTGCTGTGTACCTAGGGCCATGTAACTCTACTAAGTGGGAAATCCAGAGCGAAATCTGTTCAACGCTGCAATGCTACTCTAAAGATCAAGGGTAATCCTAGAGTTGAATTCAGATGAACCTAGGAGCCTTGGAATCTGGCACGACGGGGCAGTTTAGATGTATGTCGTGATACATACCACAGGGTTATACGACCCGAATGGCTGACCAGGGTTTGCCAATTTTCGCACTAAGACACTCGGGTAAGAGCCGCATGGCACAGGCATCATGTGAACGGGAATCGACCTCGGGACAGATCCATGCCATGCTTCAATTTTTGGGATATTGAAAGATAAACTGTCATCCATGAGATTCGTGCGATGTTGCATTTTCTAACCTCTACTTCCCAGCTAGATCCGACATAATCTGACCGTGGCGCCAAGTCGAGGCATTTTCTGTTTGAAACGACCGCCTCATTCTGCGTTGGTCCCTGGTGTCGACTGTTTAGCCTTGAAGGTTATCAGGGTCTCTGATTCTGTGCGCCCAGAGTGTCAAACACAGTCATCATAAAGAAATAAAATGTACGATTTCACGGGCCGCACGGGGGACCGTTCTAAGGCTTCCAAAGTCATTCTGAATCTAAGAGTATCCGTGGATTGAATACTTTAGGCTTTCTCTAAGTCGATTTAAGGCATCGACTAGCCTTGACAAGAGGAACTCGTAGCGGTATACGGCACAGGCAATGTTGACTTCAGAGCCGAGCAACTATCTGATAACAGAAAGTTTCCAGAACATGGTTCCACGAACCGGCTACACTAAACGTGTCCACGCCCGATCGATGAACTGTCAAAGTTAAATCAAATGACTTGAAACGAAAGAAACAGGACGACAATTACAGCGGTTGCAGTGAAGGATCTAATTTGCTGCAACGTCACAACTAAGATTGAAAAAAAAAAAAAAAAAAAAAAAAAATATATAAAAAAAGATAAAATAAAAAAAAAATAAAGATAGCGCAGAATAGATGGACTCGAAATCCAAAGCCAGCCCTTTGGAGTAATAAGATACAGATGAATGTCACTGCTGATGCGGTACCCTCATTCCAACATTCCACTGGTCTGCTCGGGGAGGGGCCCCAATACGCGGCATTGGGTCACGAAGAATGCATTTCGTCAATTCCACAGATGATATACATAATCCCAGGGGAAGATAGTCATGACTTAAGTGATGATTGCCGAGATTATGGCTGAGTCTACATACCATATTCCTTAGCTGCTCATTTCGATTCAACGTCTTGGCTAGATTCAAGAATTCCGATCTCAAGGCAGTCGGGTCGCATTCCACTCGGCTCAGCCGGTGTGAATGGAATGTCAGATGGGTTTTATGGTCTATTTTCGTTGTAAATACTGGAGATGCTCGGGGCTGGAAACAAAAATAGAGTCTCGGATATTTATATAGAAACGGACTGGGCGTAGGACTAAGGGCTACCAGGGGTTGCTGTGTACATTAGCTGAATTGGGAACCGGACTAGATGGACTCAACCGAAGTAAAAGAGCGTTGTGTGAAACCTTTTTTAGATCTCCTTCATATGACTTGCGTATGCATTTTCTAGTTGGGTACCTGGCAGGACTATGCCCAGGTGAGATGTATGTAGATTCTGTGTTAGTTCAATGTTAGGTAGTGATCACTTTTCTAAGCACTTCTAAGCACACAGATATCGTGTAGTAGATTAAGTTAAAAAAAATCAATTTCGAGATTCAATCTAGATAAGTGGAAATAGTAACCGTCCAGCCGTTATACTTCACAACATAGCTTCGAACTCTTATGCCCAAGGTCCATTCCTGGGGTCATTTCCCATTGCCTTTCTTGACTCCTTTTCATATAGTAATTTCACCATCTTCCATTTCGCCAAACCATACCCGCTATCCCATGCGTATCTCTTACAGATTCGAAAATGAAACCAAACAAAGTAAAACATAAAAATAGCCAACAATTGGGATGTGAGGACCAGCCCACGGTCAAGTACTCACTCCACGACGATGGATCCTCCGCAAATGATCCCTCATGTTATCCACCCGGCTGAATACACGTCCACATCCCTCCCACTCGCAGACAACACCGGGGTTGTGCCTCGCCTCATGACGAGTACGGTCTTTCTTACTAGAGAAACCGCCATGTCTGGACTGCGGACATCCCTCATATCGACAGAAGAGGTGTTTCTGATGACGGTTGAAATGCTTCCGCAGATCACAGCCTCGTTTGAATGAGGACTGGGATGTACAGCCCGGGTGGGCGCAGCGCCATTCTCCGTCCCCAGTTGGAATTCCGTAGTGGGATAGATCGGCTCGATTTTTCGGTGGGGAGTTGGGTTGGAGAGTTGGCATTGGGATGTCGAGATCGGAGATTGTAGTTGGAGTTGGGGAGGTGCTCATTACTGAGGTTGTGTCGAGGGTTGAGACTGAGGCAGCGGTGACTGTGGGTGGCGATAGATAGCCATCGGCTTGAATGTTGAACCATGGTGCGGATGTGTTCATGTTCTCGTTGAGAGATGCGTAGTCCGCTGGAGGCATTTCCGTTGTTTCGGCCTGTTGGTATCGAGGGCCGATAGCTGGGTATGATGTTGCAGACTGGAAGTTACCGGTGGCATGACTATTCATGCACCACTGACCGATTTCTTGATGAGTGTAGCCAGTCTCTGGGAGCAGCTGACCCATCGAAGCGTGGGCGGAGTCAAAGGCGAAGTAGGGTGTCATGAAGGGCGAAGAAGAGGCAGAGCAGATGGCAGAGTCTACCGAAGCGGGAGGTGGAAGCATCTCTGCATCAGAGGCACTAGACCAAGTGTAAAGAGATCCCATGGCGTCGCTAGCGGGGGAGGCCCTTTGATCTGATAGATAGCCTTCTGGGGCTAGAAAAGAACCCGTGGAATCGGGGTGGACGGGTGCATAGCCCAGGGAAGGCTGCAGCCCAGCCGAATGCGTGTGCGATGACGATGAGCTGACAGGGATTTCCGTCAGGCCTACCAGATGTGGAGGCAGACTACATGGCGTATTGCCAGGCGCTATCAATCCGCCAGAGGTGGCGACAGCGTAATTATTGCGCTCGTTGGACATGTCAGGCAATGATTTTGCACGCTGATTGAGAACAACGCAGTCCGATAGTGAATATAATATATCAATTTCTCGGTCCAAGTCCAATAAGGTCGTTGAAGGGGAATTGTTAATACGCATAGCAATTAACACAAGGCTGCGGAAGAAATTGTGGTCCGTTAAGTCCCGTGTCCGGGACAGAGCAGATGAAGGTCCGTGGATAGATGAATAAACGTGGTGGATTCCCGATCCAGGCGGGAGTTAGCGGGAGTTATAAGCTTTGATTATATCCCGTCCAGTGGAGAATTGAAGTGCTCCAGAATAACAGTGGCTGTTGCATTCAGGAACCGTAAATATAGTGATGGATTGGAAGCCTGAGCTGTGTATAAGAAAGAATGTTCGAGGCAGTGCTTTCTTGGTCCAGGTGTGCCCCGTAAGATAAATGCGATTTTAAAACCAAAAATTACCGAGAAGAGATCTGCAACAGTCTTGACTCAGAAAGAAGGAAGAAACATGCAGTTCGCATGTTCAATAAAAAAAAAAAGGAAGGGCAAGTAGGGATTGGAGGGACGATGAGATCGACCCGCCCCGTGGGACTCCCAGAACCATGAATCACAATGAATCAGATCAATCCTGACCCCGGGGCCCGGAGCATGGCACATTATGCACGATTTTTGGCAGCCAAGGTGATCGACGTAAGAGGGGAGATGCGCAGCAAAGAATAGGGTTGGAAGGACGCTTATTGGTCCGGTCAGTAGGGCTGAGCAATCCGGCTATCGAATAGAGCGGTACGGGGCTGAAAATATGAGCCAAGAAATATTCCATTGCATGGCGATGATAGGTTGTCCGTACGGACGAGCTAGATACGACAATCCCATATGGGAATACGTCGCGGAGTTAAACCCTTTGTAGACATGCGGCTTATGGTCGCTGCGGGGTCCCACTTGGAGCAAAGCCCAGGTCAGAACGTCTTCCCACTGTGCTGGGACTTGATTACAATTCCATTATCTAGATTTCCAAGGACTCCGGAATCTTCTCGATGGACCCTAATCCAGATCTAGTAATCGTGTTGTTCTTTCTATGACGATATATGTACGGAGGGGAATGCCTATTTCGTGAAAAGGCATCTTGTAAACAATCGTACTTTTGCCTACGCATAATGGAATTCCCAATCATCTTTCTCTCTCTATTTCTCTATCTCGTTCTCTCTCTGTCTCTAAAAAAAGCAAACCCTTTTGCGGTCTGGGCGCCTCGACGCAACGGCAGCATAAAGGTAGTATCGGGTTTCCGACCAAACCTGTAAATGTGGCATAGGCCAGCTCAGGTGTCGAGGATTGACGAGACAGCATGTTACGCTGATCCATCCCTGAAACAAGCAGGGATTGGAGCGATGAGTTAAGGATATGGTCCGGGGGGTCAGCTGAGGGGCCGCTGAACCCGACACCGACGGTTAGAACCCGGTGGGGCTCCACCTCGACCCCTGTCACTACCCCTGGATCCCTTGCCATTGGCCAGTTCGCAAAAAATTAGTGCTTAGTCGCCCCTTCCACCACTCACATTCCACGCTCCGGTCCAGTGGGGCAAGGTCCCCAAACACGAGAAGCGGTGTCTCACGAGCCGCAAAAGGTGGCTGCATTACATTATCAAGCAGATTGATCGATTGATCGGGTCGTCGACAGTCCTGCAATGTCGGTGGGGAACTTGGTGGTCAAGGGCACGTAGACATTTGGCCACGCTTCCATTTCTGCCAAGTAACCAACGCTGACGCACTGAATCATGTAATAGGAAAGTGAGATGTACACGACTGACGTGCTCATATTCATTTGAGTTTCATCTTTGCGAGCTGGGTAGGGCTGACGCAAACATCTTCTAGCTTCCAAGATTTTCAAGATTCTTTGCACAAATAAAGAGTATCCCAAATAAGACTTTGAGTTGTTAAACCAGCAGACCCGACTTTACGCGAGACATGTCCAAGATTGGGAGATGGTGGAAGGTTTGCTAGCCTTACGCCCCCAATGTCTCAACGCACGGTGACCAACCCAACTGCCGAACACAGATTGTTCACATTGCAAAAATAGTAGTTCCTTCTCCACAATGTCTTTAATTCGGCCCCGCGGTTTCACATTTGCTTGATACGTTCTATAGATGCTCCCCTCCATATCATCTGGCTTGCGCGGACTCCTCAGCCAATAGAGGCGCGGTCGAGTCGGCATCCGAATGCGGATATCCGGGCTTGGACTCCGCCCCTCGATATAGGATGTAGTGCTGAGTTATGAAAATCAGATCGGAGATGATCGTAATATTCCCCAGGAAAAGCTTAACCGGATTTCCGGTAATACCGCTCCAGTCGCTCTGGAGGCTCGAGTCCATGATGAGCTGAAGTAGTGACAGCACACCGCCGGCCAAGTCCAGCAAGATTTGATTGATGTTCCAGCCCAAGGTCGACTGACACTTGTAGTTCATCCAGGCCTGCGGTACATACTTCACAACCGTGATGACGAGCTTGATATAGGAAAATATGTAGATCTGGAAAAAGATGGTTCCTGCGTTAGATTGCCACACGAAGGACCTAGGGATGCCTTGCGGATTAAACTTACCACATCGATCCACGCCCAAGTCGAAGGATCATGACCCCCGTCAGGGCTCTTTGCCAAAACAACCCAAATCGCGATGAGTGGTGCCAAGACGGACCCCCAAAATAAGCCCGCTATGGGCTTGCTGATCCTTTGAAAGCGGGAAACCTGTAGACCCCAAATCATTGGCCAGAATTGCGAATACACAACCAGACTCATGATCACCGCGTGAACCGCGAAGGCGAAGTCGTTGAGGCGGACCGTAGGCTCTTCCGAGAGTGGATGCCGAGATGCGTATTGGGCGCGAATCACTGGTGAAAATAGGAAAGCACCATTGTAAATGGTGTAATATATGAACCCCAGACAGTTGACTGTGGGAAAATCAATTGACGTCCCAGCTGTCGAGCCCCGTCGAAAATTATAGATGGGCTGAGGATAGAAAGATGTTGACCAACAGGCCATGCTGTGCGGGTACGTCAGCCCCATACGAGCCTTAATTACGGATGTAACATACTATATCCAGCCCAACAGTCTGCTTCTTATCAGTCTCCGTTCCAATCTCCTGCCCAGTGGGGATACCTACCGAGACAGAGCCCGAACAAAGATCTCCAGCTGAGATAGAGTCATCGCGGATGGACAATTCGGCTGAGAAATCGTATTGTCCCAATTCCTAAATTTCTGTGGTCTCCTGTGTCCTCACCGTGAGGAAGAGAAAGAAAAACAATCAGGAACATCCAGGGATCAAGGCATCATTCTAGTGCTGGATCATGTCACTGATAGACTGATAAGGTCAGGTGATGTTGGGGCATCGATCGGTCTTATCATGTGACTTTCTGGTTGTCCCGGTTATGAGCTGGCACACTAAACTGCATTAGGAAGAAAGTTGACATGGATTCGTTGCGCGCAGCCCGCTTGTTGTCTGGCCCTGTACGACTCCTCTCTGTCGCTCTCCCTATTAACTGCGATTCTCGTGGCTGTTTTTCCAATCTTCCCAGGCTGGAACTTGGTTGGATTTCTTTGGACCTTTGCGCATTTCATTCCCTTCTCTACTCTGTTAACGACTACGACTTCGAACGACCTTTTTCACGCTCACCGCTACCACATCGAACCCTCTGACACCCACCACCATCTTCAAGACAAGCGCCTTAATACTACGATTAATCATTTGAAGGCCTGTCACCAAGCATTCCACTCGAGTCGCCGATCCCGTCGCATGGTGCATTCCTCGGAACGGGAGATCTCAATAGATCTCCTTCAATAAACCCCGACATTCCAGAGACAGATATACACGAGTGCTGAGAAAATGACGGTCTCCGGGCTCGCAGCTGCAGGGAGTAGCACATATTCCTCGAATACGCTGCACGTAGGAGATGGAACGTGGGACTCTGAGCGCGACACATTCTTGCTGCCCAATCTCATGGGATTGAATTTTGAGACGATGCGATACAATGGTGCGTCCTACACACCGATTTAATATTCCAGTGGCAAGTTCGACTGACAAGGACGTGGATAGGCATGGGAAATCGATTCAAGAACATGACCGGGTACCAATCGATGATTATCGCGCACGGCGTTATTGCCGCAATCGTTTTCTTGGGCCTCGTTCCAATGGCATCCCTCATCATCCGATATTACTCTAGATGGAATCCATACTGGGCATTCAAGCTTCATGCATGGTTCCAGGTTTTAACATTACTTTTAACAACAGTCGTTTTCGTGTTGGGCTGGTTTGCTGTCGGTCCAGAGAGGAGTCTGACCAATCCGCACCATGGAATCGGTCTGGCAATCTATGTCATGGTCATTTTCCAAGCGCTATGGGGCTGGTTCGTCCATAAGGTGGAAAGAAACAAGATGCGACACCGTGTCCCATTGAAGCTAGTGGTTCGTTGCGATGCAAATGACTCGGTCTTATACTTGTGCTGATATGGAATATAGCTACACCGATGGCTCGGTCGCGCACTAGCTCTTCTTGGAATTATCCAAATCCCGTTGGGCCTGACATTATATGGCTCCCCCAAGGTCTTGTTTATTCTGTTCGCGCTGGCTGCATTCGCATACTTGCTAGCATTTTTCATCCTGTCCTACATGTATGACGATGAAGGTTATCATGTTCCAAGTGATCATGGCGGCAGTCGGTTGAGTCACAGTCATTACACAGGGCCATCTGTTGTAGAAGAGCAGCACCATGGCGGGGGTGGACTGGGACAGGCTCTCGCTGCCGGTGGAGCAGCTGCAGCACTGGCTGCGTTGTTCAAAGGCCGCTCAAAAAGTCGCCATTCAAGCCACGCATATGAGGAATCACGCACATCTTATTCGGATGAAAAATACTCTGATGAAGTTTCTCGGAAAGAGAGCGGTGGTTGGGGCAAGAAGATTCTAGAAATTGGTGCTCTAGCCGGTGCTGGTATGCTTGCGAAGAAATGGTGGGATCGTCGAAAGGAGCGCAAAGATGATGCCGAGTCAGGACGGTATAGCCCTGCTCATTCGCGCACTGATAGTTTCTCCGAGGAATCCCTAAGTCGACTTGAAGATGGAAGACCAGAGCCCAGTCACCGTACACCCCTCAACCGTCCACCCAGTCGACCCCCAAGTCGACCTCAAAGCCCTGGCTCATCATATTATTACAACAGCACATATCTCACTGAGCCTGAGAGGCGCCCATCACATGGCATTAGAGATGCTTTGCTTGGCGCGGGCGCCTTTGCTGGGCTGAAGAAGATATTTGGCGGTCGTCGCAACAAGGATGACGAAGAAAAGAGGCGACTAGATGATATTCGTCGCCAAGAGGAAGAAGATGAGCGGATCCAGCGGGTCAACAGCAAGCGACGACAGAACAATCCCCCCGGACTAGGACCTTACCCGTCCCGACGCCGGCCGAGCTCATATACCGAGAGTGACCTCACACCAACTGAGCTGACTCCTCGGCCTCCTCGGCAGGCGTCTCATGGATCGCTACTTTCGGCTGAGCCCATGGCATCTGGGGCTGTCCACGACCCGGTCCCCTCAGATCTGCCTCCTCCCAGGCCTCCAATCCACCACGAACTTTCCGGTGACTCAAGGTCAGAACTACCACCTTCTGAGGCTGGAACTGAGCTCGCAGCCGGATTTGCAGGGGGAGCTGCGGCGGCGGCCGCAGCTTCCAGCCGCCGTCGCAACAGTCGTAGTCATAGCCGCAGCCAAAGCCGAAATCGACGTCACGACGACCACGTCGAGTCTCCGCCAGTCTCCGTCAAAGTGAAGATGCACAACGACGGTCGTCATGTCACCCTCCGTCGTCTCACAGAAGAAGAAGCTGCTGCAAGCCGCGAAGCCAGGCGCCGCGAGCGACGAAACTCGAGACGTCGTGCAGGAAGTGCAAGTTCCCTCTCTGGTGACGAACGAAGTCACGATCGCTGGCGTCGTGTGGAAGAGTTGGAACGACAACAAGAGGAGCAACAACGTCATGCTGCCGCTGCCGCCGCCGCTGCGGGTGTCCCTATATCCATGGCACCGTCAGGCAGTATGCCTGCATCCTCTATGCCTCCTCCATCTCACATGAGCCATATGCCAATGCCACCTCCACCTCCTATCCCGGGCCCTGCACCTTCCGGGCTGGCCTATGGCAGTGTAACCTCACCTGGTACATGGACTGGCACCGAAGCCAGTGGGTCATACGCCAATAATCGTCGCCGCAGACGGGCAGAGCGAGCCAGGACACGACAAGAGAGGCAGCAGCAGCACGGAGTGGAATTTGAGTAATACTAATCCCGCTAATCCACGTCTTTCTGTTTCTTTTTGTTTTCGTTTCATCATGGATTTCTACGACCTGTACAAAACGTCCTCTGGTTCGGCCCCTGTCGATATGTTTCATGTCTGATTGAAATTTGATTATTTTATGCACGAATTTCAAGGTTATGGAAGGTCATTTTTTTGTTCATTTTTTTGTTTTTTTTCTTTTGTCCAGGGCAAGCGAGTTTATGGGATTGATTATCGGTCGGGTTTGGTTCGTTCAAGTCGCATCTGACTTACTCATTTTCTCCTGATTCCCATATGTACTTAACGGCTGCAATCATGCATGAAAATTTTTATCTGCTATCCAATTGCGTGTTCAATTAGAAACTGGAAATTTGCGATACCCAAAATACTTACCAAGGTGAACATGTGGATCCCTTGAAAGACATTAAAGTGCGATTTGGGGAAACTAGGAACGAGCTCAAAACCCTATCTTAATGAGAGGAATGGGACATTGTTACAGCTCCAGGGGAAATTCATAGGCCAGTACCTTCTATTCAAGCGATTGGAGATCAATGTGACGGGCAGCTATTTGTAGGGGCCTTCCAAGCTCTCGCATCTAAGTAAGATGCATAGAATAGCCATCAATACATAGAATGATAGCTACTGTGACCCGGAGCTACAGCTGCTTTCCATTCCTTATGGGAAAAAGTTGCACAGATGTTGTCTCATTTACCATGCTTGCAGAAGGTAGACCAAATATACCACGTCCCTGCAAATATGAAGTGCTTTTAGTCTGATAGATAGCGTGGGGGCCCCAAGGTAAAAAACCACCATTATCACTTGCAAGACTCATTGACACTTTGTCATGCTAATCTATCTCAGCTCTCTTACATCTAAACGCAAGTTGCGGAAAGCAACAACTTTCCCCTACGTAGTCACGCTATACCGAAATGTCTCTAGTGGTACCATATATAGAAGCCTACTGAGACCAAATAGCTCTGACTCGATGTTGTGTGAATTACTAAGAATTTGTAGACGGTCAGACCCTCGTGGCTTGACTAGCTAGTGCCACTCGCGACTTTCAACGAGTAAAAAGGTGACAACTCTCCTCACGATTCATCCAGCCTCAAGACCTCTAAATTAAGATTCCAAGTGTTTTAACCGAGACTTAGCGCATATTTCAATACGAGCCCGTGCCATTCCGAAGGGAACACGGAAACACGGAATGTGGTGCTTTGAGCTGTCCACGGGAAACCTTGATACTAAAGAGCACAGACGCAGGATATCTCCAGCAGCGTAAATGGAAACGGTCAACATCTGCTCACGTTTGCCTGATTTACCCCCACGGCTGCGAGACCATTCTTCTGCCAGTATGACTAGCTCCAATCATGTTATCTAGGATATTAAGGTGGATGAGGTGGTTAGATGTGGGGTTGGGCTTACACAGATAGGAGGCTTCCCTTGGCAAGGCTTCTTTTCAAATCTTGATTGAACCTATATGGAGGGGCTAGAATAGACTTATAATAATTCTAAATTCATGCAAATGGACATTCGTGCCACCATCATTTCCCAGTCGTGATTTACAGGGCAAGAGCAAGGCCCAGCAAACCAGCAGCACCAGCAACACCCATAGTGATACCGCCAGTAGCAGCGGGTGCACCACCAGTCGAGCTTGTAGATGCAGGACTAGATGACTTGGCGCTGGAAGCTATACTCGAGGCCGCGGAAACCTGAGTCTCTGTAGCAGTTGAACCAGATGAGCTGACAACAGTGGTGGCCATAGAAGCTCCGGAAGAAGGCCCGATTGAGCTGGTGCTCATAGCCACCGTCATCGAGCTAGTTTCACCAACCATGACCTCGTCAAACCCGCCAAGGGAAGTAACAAGAGCCTTGATGCTGGCAGGCAGGTCATTGTACCAGGCTGGGTAGATGCCTTCCGCAGCGGCGCTCATGACCGCAGCTGCAGAAGCAGAGTTCATCATCTCATATTCCCAAGCAGTTGGGACAGCAGTTTCTAGGACACTGACGTAATCAGAGGGAATTGATGGAATCGAGGTGATGTCCGTGGTGTCCAGAGAGTCGGAGCCTGAAGATTCAGAACCCGAAGATTCGAAGCCAGAAGAGTCGGAGGCCACGGATGTAGCTTGGGGCTTAGCCAGAGCGGGAGCCAGAAGAAGAAACAGGGTAGCAAGTGTCTTGGACTGCATTATGGATATACAGGAATATTAGGTAGAACTTGTATCAACGAGCGACAATAAAAAAGAAATCAAAGAATGAGATGATGGCAGCGCTGGGGATAGAAGTGACAGATGCCTCCAATGCCATAAGTTGAAATAAGTGACATTGAGACCAGCCAGTCGGTTAAAATTGCCAGAAAACGTCCAGGCAAGATCTCATTAGCGCTTCAGAGTCAATTAGCTTCTGGTCTAACGAAATTCCCCACAAGCCCCGTGCCCGAGCCCATTCGTTACTAAATCAGGGTTTTCGTCGGACCCTGACCATCTTCCCCCCTTGACTCGGTAGAATGCAGGCTTTAACGTAGCCTACGCTAAAGCCTTATTCCATTGCATTGTCTGAAAAGAGCATTTTATGCATTTCGAGAATTTATAAAATGAAAATTTGCATTTTCGGTGGATTTGGTATGCGATCTGACGGGCTTGGCACGGCAGGGCAAATTGCTTGTCCAAACTAAGAAAAACCCAAGGACTGAGGAATTACGCCGCTAGAACCCCCTCTTTTAGTATGCGCCATTCGACCAATCTAAGCCATAGAGTTTCTCCTGCGGCTTTTTGTGGCTCCGGACGCGTTCCTAGCGCTGATGGCCATAAAAGAAGGTGTCAGATAACCCAGTTGGCCTTCGGGGTTTATGGGCTACAAATAAAGAGAGAAAGGGGCTTTTGAGTGACAACCAGACTAAATGGAATCCTATAATATTCAGAAGAGAGCAAGTCTGATTAATATTGTAAATAAGGGGGCAAAGAAATATTCAAAACACGGGATGCCCTCCAAAGCTCACTGAGGGTATTCCATCCCAGCGGGAGCCTTGTACCCTGACTGGAGACGAGTGTATTGGGCTTCCACCTCTTTCTCTTGCTGCACGAGCAAACAGCACGGGCAAGCGCAGGCCATTAGACAATCGTTGCAGGTGGAGCCACCTATACCGAAGTGTTGGCGGATTTCCCGGCGTTTCATCATTAGAGGAACCCAGCACAAATAGCAGTAGTGGGTTGCAGCGTAGATACAGCACTTTTTGGAACCATTTGTTAGCGTAATGGGCTCGGGATATGTGGGTCTCAGGAGGCAAATACGTACATCACCGTTGAAATAGGTGTATTCTTTGAGTGCAGGGTCTTTGAGACGAGAGGAGGTTTTCCCTAGAAGGGCACACGGGCAGCACCATGCCAGAACGCCTAGATGGGCTGTCAGTCAAATTTTTATAGAAATGTGAGCAGAGCTCTTTCAGGTAAATTACATGTTTTTGTTGGGGAGAAGCAATCCCAGAAGGAACTAGACCACTCGTTGGTATTTTGGCGGTCTTCCTTTCGTGCTTCCATTGCTAGTTAGTTGATCGGTTCTTCTTCATAAGTCAAAGTGACCTCTTCAATTGATTATATGAGAAAAGTAGCTGTGTCTGCTCCCAGGTGAAGATGTATGAGAAGTGAGATATGGCTAAGACCTCTCTCTTGCCCTGTGCTGATTAATAACAAGGGCTTCTTTCTTGATAGCCTCAAAATTCGATATCTAGAAGCCAATCAAAGCAATCAATATGCACTAGTCTGTCTAGTAAGGGGCTGAGTCTCGTGTTCGAAGCTTCAAAAAAAGCCACAGCTTTAGAGGTGCACAGACCACCGCTCCAGGCGAGGGACGGGCGGAACTGCATTTTAGCGTGGGCTCTTTACTTCGAAATAAGGATCTGGGTGCATCAGAAGCTTTTCTTTGGTGGCAGTCGAGACAATATTGTGGTTTGAAGATTGTCGAAAGTCGCTTTTGCGCTCGGTATGATCGTCAGGCCTTGCCCTCTAGCAAATGTCCAATGCAACGCATTGAGTAAAAGCCATACCAGCTCCTTGTTCCCCGTAGACCTTTTCAAATGCTTGCTAGTAAGCAGATCACACTCATAATATGTCCTTCAAAAGTGACATGTAAACACCTGAGAAGAAATGTTAGTATTTCTCGCAAGAAAAGTAAGTATAAGCTAACCAACCAGCAATTTTCCACCTCCGGTCAAATATCTCAAAGAATCTCTCAATATCCTGAATAGCTTTCAAGGATTCATCATGCCCTTCCATCCTGTATTTCTCTGAGTAGAATTGGATCACTCGGAAGCCCCACGGCAAAATAAAAGGTGGTGCTATGCGTACATCTCCAAGGTTCCCATCTAGGAAGTCTCGGGTACGTCCAAGATAGAAAGTAGCTGATAGCTTTCGTGGACGCTCAAGTTGTGCTACGCGTGGGTTTTTGACATCGCTTAAGTGCGAATAAAGCAAGAAGATAGTACTGTTGATATGAGTGCTCAACCTCCCATGACAGGTTGAAAAAAGAAAAGAAAAGAAATCACCACATACCAATTGAGAATATTGCGCGGCATTCCAATCGCCACGATTGCGGATTGCCCTTCAATTTCGAGAACAGCCATCAAAGCTTCCACAGTACGGAGCAGCTGCACGTATCTTTCATCAGGAATAGGGATGCTTTGTTGGCACTCAGATGCGCACTGAATGGCCTTTGAGAGAAGATATGTCGCATGTACTAGAAGCTCGAAGCTTCCCATGCGAGATGTTACCGGTGACAGCAGAGTCAGTTTTGTGTCTGCCATTGAGATCGGTCCTTCCATATCATTCGAAGGTAAAGTGTCATTTTCATCGGGTTCTGCTAGTAGAAACGGCTCACAAGGGCGACCAATTGCCATAGTCCTGGTTTCCTCCATTGGATCAGTATTCTGATCGTGTCAACGAAGAAAAATCCGAAGCAAAATGGCAAGCAAACCTCTCATTAATATATACTGACCACCATAAACGTCTTTGTGTCTCGACGTCTATCCAGTCAGTAGAGGCTTTAGGTGACTTCGGTCCATGAATTCCGAGAGCAGTGAGATATCGCGAGCAAGCCGCCAGCGTCAAATAGGCAGAAGGATATATGCCGTGACCGTGTTCATATATTAGAACCAAAATCTGGGCTTGTAAAAGCTGGGTAGATAATTGGTCATTGACTTCAAAAGCCACAATACTGATTTTCACGGCCAGGTAATATCGATTAGACCGGTTATCTCCCGGGAGGTGGTGAATCAAAAGCTTGATGCATGCCAACAAAAGAGTTTCTTCATTGGTCATCAAAGTAACGGGTTGTGAAAGATTCTTTCGAATGTACTGCACAGGAATAATCGGCATCCAGTAGTTCACAGTCCATAAGAATTGGGCAAGGTAGTCACCGTTGTTGGCATCGGTAACAAAATCTTGTAGATCTTTTGATACCAAGACCCTATTTACGGGTTCCCGTGAAATATTTCCTTGGAGGTATGGATAGCCTAGGAATGCAGCGGCGGTGTGGACATTTGTGACAGGCAAGCTATCGGTATCATGGAATTGATCCAAAGGGACTGCCCTGCTAGGAGGATGAGTCCCTTGGCCGAGCCCTCTATACTGGCAGCGATTATCTGACCTATGGGGCTTTAGTAGTTTTCTTGTATCGAATGGCAGCGATACCAACCTCAAGCAGTGTGAGCATTTGGGGTAGGCACGATCGCATTTCTTCTTGCGCACCCTACAATTCTGACAAGCCAAAGGTGGTCTCATGGCGTGTCGTAAATTATGCAGTAACTGAGCAACAGTCAGGAAGATAGGGACAAAATCATGTTGATGAAAAGGTGAAAATAGAGCTGGGTTGCATTGTACAGAAAGGCGGACTAAGAGCGGACTTTAGTGCAATTTAAGGTTTGAGGCCGTAGCCGGCTCTGGTCTAACCGAATAGGGCTTACTGTGGCCTGAGGCGAAAAGTACCATCCTGTTGACTTCGTGCTGCAATGTGTAGAGCCTGTCACTGAAGCAATGTGTTTGACAATTTTACGTGAGGAAAGCCTAGAGAAGACACGAATTAACAAATATCTAATGCGTTCAATTTCACAATGTAACACCATAACCCTCCATAATTCCACCATGAACATAAGACCATAATAGCATCTTACCGAGCCTCATACAAATACAAAACCAATCATAGATTCATAAGAGTTACTCAATTAAAAGGCGTTCCAAGCCTCAGAATACAGAACCTGGTCCCACAGACAAGCAGGAGAGCAAGGGGGTCCATAATATCCGATTAGACATTTAAGAATAGTCGTGTTCCTTTCGCGGCAAGACGGACACGCCGACTGTCCGTTGAAGGGACAGTCACACTGAGGTTGATATCAGAATCGGCGAAATTTTTTCGGTGACTTAGCATTGACATTCGCATGATAACCGAGTTTCATGCCCCAGACTCGATGTGCAACAATTTTGACGAAGGTGGCTATGAGGGCCCAGACAATTCTCAAGATATCGAGGGCCGTGAGGCCTGCTCGGGAGTTTGCCAGTCGACCGGCCTTGGCTAGTGCAGTAAGAGGGACGTGCACAAAAAAATAGGGCACAACAACAATGAAATGAAGAAGCAAATCCTCAGCTGGTAAGCGGCATACGATCTGCTTCGTCTGCTGGGCCTCTTCGACCAAGCTGCGGGCCGGTATGAAAGTAGGGCTCATTCGAACTCGCACAAAGGCCCATTTTGAATCGCAGGGAAGATGCTCGGTGTGTCGAGGTCGGTAAAAGCCGAAATTCAGAACAACAAGGTCATAAACTCGTTCCTGTGGCGGAACTTCTTTGTTAGAGTGTGCGTCTTCGAGCATGGGATCTGCCTCTGGGCTTTGTGCCCGCTGTGTGCCCTGGAGGTGAGTTGCGAGATCATCCTGGCGGAAGAGCACGTTGGACAGGGACGAAAAGCGAATTTCGGATCGCGGATTAAAAATTGTCGATGGCTGTACTTTGACAGGACTGCGACGTGGAGAGACTCGTGGAGCAAAAGCACGGGCTGCGCCTTTCCACTTTTCGTGCTGTTTCTGCTGGCGGTAGAGAGAGATGTAGTCGTGTTTGCGCTCCACTGATGGAAGAGGGCGTGAGCCTGAACGGGGGGACCGACATCGAGGAGACTCAGGTGGAGAGAACCTAACACACCTTGTAGTGATGCTTTCGGCAAAGTCTTTGGTGGGGGAGGAGTTCACGGTCGGGCAGTCGGCATTTCCTTGAGTAATTGGCGAATTAGAACGTGGTTCATCTGAGACGGAGAAACAGCGTTTGGGTGGCTGGCGTCTTCCCTTCCCTTCAATTCGTGGGTTGATCGAATCCCTATCTTCAAGCCAATCTAGCGTCAATACAGGTGCCTGCGGAGCAGAGCGCGTTCGTAGAATCTCGGCTTCGTACCCTCGGTGCCCTTCGCTGGGGCTACCATTCGTTGAGTTGGGGGTGTTCTGCGGGATCAATAGTTCTGTAGGCCCGTCGAGAGCATGATATTTGTCCATGGCAACGTCCAGTTCGAGTCGGGGGTATTGAGTTCGCTTGACACTGCCTTGTTTGAGAGACGAGTCACATGAGCTTCTGGATCCAGGTTGACCCTGCCAGTCCATGGCGTGCTCGCAGTGGTTTTCATCGTCATGTGCTATGAGATCCTGGAATCCCGGTTCATTCGATTCATCGAAAGCTAGGACCGATGCAAAAGAAGGTGAAAGTAAGACATCTACTGGAGTATCAGTCATCGTCACACGAGGGTCGAGATTGCCCATGGGCAATTTCATGGACTGCATGGCTGGAAGTTGCGGGGGCGTTGAGGTTTAAGTCACTGGAACAAGAAACTGCCAAAACGGGGGGAGACACAGCCGTGGTCTACCAAGATAGATGAAAAGGGAAGGAGCGCGAATTTGAAATGTCAATCGACAAAAAGAAGAATTGCTATAATTCTACAGGTTCAACATGGTGCGCGAGTGAATATGTACATCTATTTGACATGGGCCTGGAGGGTCTCGAGAACCTGTTGATTGAATAGATAGTTAGTTGGCGTTAATCAAGTCAGGAAAACTAGGCGATGCATACCTCAAGCTCGATCTTGGCCTCAGCAATATCCTGCTCGCTGCCACTACCGTTGGCGATCTTCTGAGCCTCAGCAACCTGGTTGCGGATAGCCTAGAATTGGAGCATCAAAGATTAGTATATCACGCGCTATCGCGGAAAAAAGTGACGCGACCTACCTCGGCACTGAAGTCCTCCAGGGCAAAGCCCTCGACGGCGTTGATGCTCAACTGAGAGTCGGGCTGGACAACGGCGAAACCACCGGAAACTGTCGCAAAGGTAAAAAGGTATGTTAGCGGGTATTCTCGTGTTTGTCGTAGGCGCTTTTTCGATATGCAGCTCGGAAGCGAGGATCGGACATACGGAAGTACTGCTTGGTGGCACCACCCTCCTCAACAATCTCGACAAGACCGGGCTTGAGCTGCTCAATGGAGGGAACGTGGTTGGCGAGGACACCCATCTCACCGGAGGCGGCGGGGATGTTGACCTGGGTCCTGTAGTCGGAAGGTTCGTCAGTATTCAGGGCACGGATAACACGAGCGCAGGGTGAGAGGCAACGCACACGCCAGTGGAGCGGTAGATAGTCTATCAAAGAGATAGGGTGTTAGTCCGGGGTCTATCAAGCTAGGGAGGATTGACCGGGGTCGGGTTTGGCATACCTTGTGAGGGAGAGTCAGGGACAGCTTGATCTTGTCAGCGACAGCCTCGGCGTATCCACGGCGCTGGATGGGAGCGCTGAAAGCGGAGGGGCGAGCCCGCAGGGCGGAACGAGCAAAGCGGAAGGAGTTCATTGTCGCAATGGGGTGGGAGGATGCAAAGACTGGGGGTGATCCCTCTTGAAGTTGCCGTGCAAAGGTCGAAGTCGGAACGCCGGTTGTTCCCTAGTGCGGGTCACGTGGTGAGCCCACCCGGCATGCCAGTCGAGTCTACTGTTTATTGATACTGCATGATAATGCTAGATACTTGGGTAACAATCAAGATACCTGTGAACAAGCGATTTAATTCGGTTCAAAAATTGCTTTATTATACTACTCTCATAGCCCAACATCGCCCATGCAGTGGTGCGGTGTCGGACATCTTATCGTCGGGTTTTTCTAAATCAGCCGATTGCTTGCTATTTTGAAAGCTAATAAGGTATCCTGTGTTTGAAGACTCACTAAGTTGGCTTGTATAGCATCCGGTATTGAAATGATGCAGATATGGAGCATCTTCACTTGAGCTCAAAGATCTATACCTCGTAGTCACGTGCTATCATGATTATGTCATTTGCACGTGATTGATGATTTTTTTGCCCGTTTCTACTACTTTGTAATCGCCCTCAATCCAGGCCACAATATGGTATTTATGTTGAGATAGGAATATTATAATCAAGCAAAATACAAAATTTTCATGAATTATGACCCCAAATTCATTAAGCTTATTATGTGGATTGAACTGACGTAGCTGGAGTACGGAGTATAGCTGCTAAGTATAGAAGGTCCGTGCACCCATGGCGGTAAGCGAGATCCCACACAGAAGCAAGCCCTAGCCGAAGTCTCATTTGGGTCCAACTCCAGTGCTCTCCTCTACTCTCCTTATCCCGTCCACGTCAATCAGCGACAACATTCGTCAAGATGGCCAGTATGTGAACCCCAGCCTTTTCGCCGGATCAACGCCATCCAGATCGTCTTGAAAAAAAAAAAACCTCGATCTCTAATCTGACCTGCTCTCCACAGAGTCCAAGAACGCGTCCCAGCACCACCGCAGCCAGAAGGCTCACCGTAACGGGTGCGTACCCTCCTGAACTACCGATCTTGAACATCCCAATCCTGGAACAATTTTGCTGCATACCGACAAGTCTTTTACGATTGATGAGTGGAGGAACTCGAGACCGACCGGTCCGACTTGAACATGACAAATTGGGACGAAAAGCGAACATCTTGGCCATATGTTCAAGTCTGCCGGAAACGTCTTGAACTTCCTCTACTCTGCGCCGCATCACATAATTCAGAGAGAACCGAACGACTGACATGCCACCTCCCATACAGTATCAAGAAGCCCAAGACCAACCGTTACCCCTCCCTCCGTGGTGTTGACGCCAAGTTCCGCCGCAACCACCGTCACGCCCTGCACGGCACCGCCAAGGCCCTGGTACGTTGACCTCGCCACGGCCACAGCGCAAGCTCAGAATACTAACAACCATACAGAAGGAGCGCAAGGAGGGCAAGCGTGAGGTCGCGTAAATGTCTTTCTGAATGTGAAAAATTGAAAACTGGAGAGGAAACCAGTGCGCGCAAGGACATGGGGATTACAATAACGTGCGATGATCAAAGAACATTCGCTGTGTCGAATAGGCCTGGTTTCTGCTTGTTCCTTGCGCGCTAGCGTCCTGGGTTGTTTGATAAACAAGAATCAACAGGCTTAAATTCGATATCCACGCAGCGGTGCCAGTCCCAAAGCAGGACAGCAATTCCCCCATCTTCCATCTTTCTTATTGTGGTCGATTGCAGCCACTTCGTACGTCAGTCTCTGATTGACCTGCTTCTTTTTTCCAAATCGAGTGTCTCGATCTTTCGTTACACGGCATATGTGTGTACAGCAACGTGCTCTTCTATGCGCGACTGCTGAAGGATTTTATCAAACGTGCCAAGACAAAACCCCACAAGCCCCTGTCTTTCTCTATCACCCTTTCGAACTTCTTGGTGGTCGAAAGGGTGCGAGGATGGATGGCTACAAAATTCGTAATCTGTAGCATATTAGAGTAGTGCTCGGTCAGCTTTGGTTTCGAGGTTCTATTCGTTTGCAGAACAGTCATTGAAATCTAGCTATTCATACCTATCCAATCAACATATCATACTTTCCACACAACTAACCTCTTGTCAAATCCACCACTGATCACCCATTCCTGCTCTGTCTGACTATCATCTTCACCAGGAACATCAACGTAACCCGCCCAGATCGTCCGCACCTTGGAGCCAAACTCATGGCCATTTTTCAACGTAGCCACCACCTTGCCCGTCTTCGTCTCAATTCCCCGCACCAACCCATCGTCCCCGTTGACCCAAACTCCCGACCCATCAGGTCTCCACACAACCTGTGGAGTCGAGTATGCCGTCTGCGGCGCAAATGTATTTGCCTGAAGCAAAATAGCAGCGTCCTCACGGTTCTGCAGCGCCAAAGCTGCAAGAGCCTGAGATGCCTGCGTCATTGCTGCATCTGCAAAGTCGGTATCACCAAGGGACTCGGTAGACGGAAACAAAAGGCGCACGATCATCACTTTCAAGTGCGGGAGTGTTGAAGTGGCAACAGCTAGTAAACCAGGGTCGTGTGGGCTGAGCGCCATGTAAGCTGGAGAAAAGGCAACCCAGGCATTGGAGTGGGGAGCTAGATTCTGCTTTCCAAGAAGGCGGGACTCGGAGGTGGACGATGCGACTTCGTAGTAGTAGATATTTGTCGAGTCCCGGCGCGAGACAAGGAGAAGTAACTCGCCGGTATCAACATGCGGGACGAAAAGTAGTGATTCGGGGTTCGTGGTTAGCTTGATAAGCGCCACAGGCTCCCCGATGACCAGCGAAGAGTTCGGCTCTTCCTCGGTTGGAATATCGAGTCGGTATAGGTAGACAGTTGCATCCCAGCCAGCGGTGGCAACCCAAAATCTTCGTGATGGCCCGGACGAGCTCTTGTCCTCATGTGCGACAACCTTGACAACGTATTTAGCGTGGTCTTTCCTACTGTCTAGGACACGATTTTCTTGCTGAAGCAGAAGCTTGCCAGACATGGTACCCATCAGGATGTATCGACCATTGAGGATTGATGCATAGGAGAGCACAGGTGAATCAAACAAGCCAGATAGGGAGGCAAGAGAGGCATGATCCGGCGCTATTTCGAACAAATGCGCTTGTCGATCAGCGCCTGTAGAGAGAATCAGCGGCTGTACCGAGTCAGGTGCATCTGCATCATGACTTGATTTATTCCAAAGCTCTACAGACGCAGAGAGAATATTTGATGATGTCGGTGTCTGAATCACTGTTGGCTTTGATGGTGCTAGACGGCATCAGTAATCATCTCGCGAATAGCACAAGACGGACTCACCAGGAACACTCCATCCCTCATTCTCTTTGCCTTCTTTTCCATACCTCTCAAAATTGACGGTGTGGTCGAACGTCTTCTTCTCTTCCAGCAAGCTTTGGACGGTCAAATTGTGGGTGTCATCACCAGAAGCTTGCCCCACGTCAGGTGGAAGATCTGCTTCGCGGATGAAGGCTTGTAGGGTCTCTGTGTAGTTATAAGTCCGTAGGAATCGCGCAACTATAGCGCTTGCCAGCGCATCTACGGATGTGGAGGAGGCCATTGACGTTGAGTTGAGAGATGTCAAAATGAATTGGTGGGGCGGCAGATATGCATGAATCTTGCGCGGGAAAAATGCGGCGATAGTACAACTTCAACGACCACCTTAACTTGCGGTACAATAATCTTCATCGTCCATCCTTCTAACATGGTCTGGATTGTTCAATCCCACGAGGTAACTAAGTTCTCAGAAATACAGAGATATAAAACCTTCCAAGCTATGATCAATTAATAATAAATGGGTCAAATTATATACAAATCTATCTATACACAATCAATGAGCATCACATTACTTCTTCTCCTGTGTCGCCTTCCAGCAAGAGGCAATCCGATTCCAATACTGCTCCGGGTGCATCCTCATATGCCCAACATGCGGCGAGCCCTCAAACATCTCAAGTTCAATCGGGAAGCCCGCCGCTTTTACATTTGCAACACTTTCTTCCAAGTCCTTCCAAAAGATAATCTCATCCTCCTTGGAGTAGAGATAAAGTCTGGTAGGGTCGATCGCACAGATGTCTTGATCCATACAAACTCGCGTCGCCCAAACACCCGACGGCTCAAGACCACGCAGGCGTTCCCAGGCCCAATTACCCCACAGGAAACCATACCATAGTCCCTGGGTAATAAAGAACGGCCAAGGGAAATATTTCGCTGAGCTCACAGCTAATGCCCGAGACCAGCGGCCAACCTGAGACGCAAAGTTCAGACCGCCAGGGGTAGAATCGCAGACCAAAAGTTGATGCGGGAGTTTCTTATCTGCGCCATGCCGTTGCTGGTACGCAACGAAGGCGGCGGCTAAGAAGATGCCGCCAGTGTTCGACATGACATGTAACAAGACGCGCTCTTCCTCGAGCCCATCGCCTGTGGGTTTTGGGAAGACAGTGTCGATAACGGGCAGCATGGCTTCAACCCTGGCATCCAGGGGCTGGTTTGAGGCCTGGAAAGTGCGTGATAGGATGACCACAATTCTAGCAGAGGGATACAGTTCATGGAATCCGTCGCTGTACTTAGCGACATGCTTAGGCATCCCGTCACCCCAGCCGAAGAGAATGATGGTTGTTGGCTCGTCTGCTGGAGCAGGTGCGGCATTTTCGGGGGCATTGCGAAGATAGACCCTATCTGATATCGGGGTGAACCCCGGGAATGGCGCTGGCTGTGAAACCATTATGCTACAATAGATGATCGAAATCTGATCGGATTGTTGCAGTGGCAGACGCGAATATTTCCAAGGGGAAAAAATCGCGTTATTTCGTCTCCCGCGCTTCCGCTATAGGGTTTCTCAGGAATGAAAGTTTCAATGGCTGGAAGTGTACATGGAAGAACCCCGATCAGGTAATTCATCCGGTGCCCGAATGTACAGCATTATCCAAATTGGAGGTTCTGTTGGGGACCGGTACTGACACGGTCATGGCAATGTGGGTCGTTGGGAGAATTTCAAGGGCGCCGGCGAATGAGATAATGTCATTTCCTGATTTTTTAACTCTGATAATCGCGTGGACCTCGGCATAGTCAATACCTGAATATGACATTAAACGATTTATGTGCTTCATAGTCCCAGATATTTGGCAAGGGATTATTGCCTCTATACACGTACGTGAAATTTGGTCGACGACACTTTGATGTCCATAGGTGCGCACTATAAGGGTATCTGGAATAATTATATGCAATCACTAGACCAATTTCCAAGTCCATGCGGATAACAAATAACGCCATAAATAGTATGCTTTGAGATGAAAAACAAGACGCCCAACCTCCTTGGTGCAGATGTTTGTGTTTGAGATGTTCCTCTTAATTCATCATATCCTCTGCTCTTCGCCGGCGTCCTCCGCGACCCTCCAAAGTATCAGAGAAGAGTTCCTTTCCTGCATTGGCCGACTGTCCTGTCTGATTGTCGTACTTGGATGGGAACAGTTCCCGAACTGACGCGCCACGTCCTTTGATCGAGATGCCACTGGCGCCCCGAATCGCAAAGCCTTGATCCACATCTTTGGCCATTCCACGGATCCGCTGGTCAGAACTGCCATCGGCAAGGGGAACGGAGATTCTTCGTCCCAAAAGATCTGGGGTCTCATCGGCAGCATCAAACGCATCAGACCGGCGGTGGCCGCTCGCTTTGGTTGGGAAAAGCTCCTTCTTAATATAACTCGACGCAGGTTTATTGGGGAATAGTTCACGGGTGCCAGCTTCGGTTGGGAAAAGCTCCTTGCCTCTGTTTTGACGTCCAAGCTGGGGCGATCGTTCACGGAATCTTCTGCGAGTGTCGGGGTTTCGATCGACACGGTTTCCCTCTTCAAGGGTATCTCTGCCGGGGGAGGCACTGCGATTGCGCAGCCGTCCAGATGCCCGGTCATCAGATGGGAACAATTCGCGCGGTCCTCCCTGTCTGCGGCCGGAGCGGTTACGCTCCGGTTCCGAGACGCTCTCAGGCTGATCGTCGTACATATTGGCATTGAAGTTGTCATCGTCGTCGCGATCGCGTCTTCGACGCAGTTCTCGATCATCAAATCGACGACGCCTGTAATCTCCCTCATTTGTGTCTCCGCGTTGTCTTCTCTCCGCAAGTTCCTCCCGCAGGCGCTCTCGAGGATCGTGTTCCGGGTGCATGAGGTAAAAGCGACTCTTTTCGTACGAACGCGGTTGCTTACGGTCTGATTTGACAGCTGATCGCACTTGCAAAACGGAGTCTGGGTGACTTGCAAGGAGCTTCGCTGACCGGAGACGCAAAGGTGGGAGGGCGGAGGCATCTTCTTCCTCGTTGACCTGAGTCAGAGCTAGAAGAGCCTGGAGGCCCACGTCGGTGGAAGAGTAAATGAGGTTTGCCGAGGTGTCATCGATCCATTCGACCCGTGCAGGTGTCTCGTGCTCGAAGTGACTGGTCGCGAATTGCTTGATGTCGTCGGTGGACAATTCATCCACGCCGCGTACGTGAACTTTTTCGTATACGGCTTCCTCGGTGGGTGGATCGGTCATGGTATCTTGGATGGTCTCCTAGGCCAGGGGCAGGATGCATCAGCATTGGCTCACGCAGAGGTATTCGAGAGCACTCACAGTTTGAATGGATTCGGGTTCGGGTTCAGGTTCAGGCTCCAGCCCCAGGTCGATATCCATATCGATGTCCATGGTTGCATCGGCAATTGATGCCTGATTAGTCGCATCTAGAGGCATGGCCATAGTAAAAGAGACAGGAAGCAGCAGAGATGAGAGTGAAGGTGAGGTTGGTGAGAGGGAGGAAAACCCGGGTTTGAGCTTCCCGCATCCATTACCTGATCGAGTTTAGCGTGTGGGGGACAAATGCGATCCACTGCGTGTACTTCCTCTGCCTTGGATAGATCTCTATGGGGCGGCTGACCTGAATAAGACCATTTGGTTCATTGGATTTGCCAGGATTGTGTCAGCTGGGGACTTGAATGTAACACCTTGACCCCGCACTGGTATTCACTCAGTGAGTTTTTGAACCCTCACCAATGCAACAGTGTAGGAAAGTGCGGGCAGAGGCAATGCACCGTATAGAGGCACCTTGATACTCAAACCCTGGATAACAAGTCATTTGAAAGGACTCAATATGCCTTTTTCCCATGGTTTCTTCTTTCAATTGAGAGCAGATCAGTCCCATTGGTCTCTCATAGCGTATGTCATTTACAAAGTCAAACTAGAATCATTTCCAGTCATCATCAGATCACAAGATTTCGAGCATCTGGAATCACAAAGATCTTGAATCTGCATCTTAAAATCTGTAGATTGAGTTGATCCAATTTATGATAAATCTAAAAGAATACGGAGATCTGGCCGTGTTCGTTTAGGAAGCAACCTAATGCCTAATGTCATTGCACCAGTCAATCCACACAAACAGGCTGTTCCATGATACTTCAGAGATTAAAGAGCAAAAGTACCCAAAGCACATGGGGCTTCCGTTGTCACTCTCGTCATACCTGCGAGTTTGGATCTAGCCAAGGCTGCCCCTCTTCACATCGCCTCACCACGTGAACCAAGGTTCACCTTCCATTTTCAACACCCAAGTCAACATTCCAAGATGCTTTATGCTGAAGATGATAAGCTCATTTTCCGCTTTGATGACCACCTCCTCTGGATTCAGCCATGGGGTGAAAATGCCCTCCGGATGCGAGCAACCAAGTTAGCGTCCATGCCTACAGAGGACTGGGCCCTCAACTCTAACCCCGCGAGCTCCTCTGTCGACATCGTAACTCCCAAGGATCAAGATGCAACTATCATCAATGGCAAAATCAAAGCTACCGTTTCGCAGCGGGGGAAGATAATAATCTACGACGCGGACGGAACCAGGCTACTCGAAGAGTATGCGCGGAATCGTCGTGACCCCCAAGATGCGAAATGTAGCGCGCTGGAGATTGAAGCACGCGAGCTGCGCCCCATACTAGGCGGTGATTTCCACCTAACAACACGTTTCGAATCGTTGGACCCCAAAGAGAAAATCTTCGGAATGGGCCAATATCAGCAACCGTACTTGAATCTCAAAGGAGCAGACTTGGAGCTGGCGCACCGCAATTCTCAAGCCAGTGTTCCATTTGCAGTCTCATCGCGTGGTTATGGATTTCTATGGAACAACCCTGGAATCGGACGAGCGGTGTTTGGAACCAATGTGATGAGCTTCGAGGCATACTCAACCCGCTCACTCGACTACTGGGTTGTAGCCGGGGACACACCCGCAGAAATTGCAGAGGCGTATGCGAAAGCCACCGGCTACGTCCCTATGATGCCGGAATACGGGCTTGGATTCTGGCAATGCAAGCTCCGCTACTGGAACCAGGAACAGCTGCTCAATGTGGCTCGGGAATATCGTCGCCGTGAGGTGCCTCTTGACCTGATTGTAATTGATTTCTTCCACTGGAAGCATCAAGGTGAATGGAGTTTCGATCCGAAATTCTGGCCTGATGTTGGTGAGTATTGACACTTCCCCGGGGGATCACAGAGACTAACAGACACACGTTTCAGGTGCCATGATCAAAGAACTTAAAGAGCTTAAGGTGGAACTTATGGTCTCGATCTGGCCAACCGTCGAGAACGCATCCGAGAACTATTCCGAAATGCTGGAGCGCGGACTCCTGATCCGACATGATCGCGGATTGCGCGTGGCAATGCAATGCGATGGGGATATCACCTACTTCGACGCAACGAACCCCGAAGCACGAAAGTTCGTCTGGAGTAAAGCAAAGAAGCACTATTATGACCTCGGCATCAAAGTCTTCTGGCTCGACGAGGCCGAGCCAGAGTATTCGATCTACGACTTTGATATCTACCGTTACCACGCCGGTAGCAATCTGCAGATTGGCAACATCTTTCCGAAAGAATACGCGCGCGGATTCTACGAGGGCATGGAGAAAGAAGGACAAACAAACATCGTGAACCTACTGCGTTGTGCCTGGGCAGGCAGCCAGAAATATGGAGCCCTTGTCTGGAGTGGGGATATCGCTTCCTCGTGGAGCTCATTTCGAAACCAGCTGGCAGCCGGATTGAACATGGGTCTCGCCGGTATTCCCTGGTGGACTACTGATATCGGTGGATTTCATGGAGGAAATCCAGACGATCCTGAGTTCCGAGAGCTGTTCACCAGATGGTTCCAGTGGGGTGCATTTTGCCCTGTCATGCGACTCCACGGTGACCGTGAGCCAAAGCTGGAGGGTGCAACTGGCAGCGGAGCTGATAATGAGATCTGGTCGTATGGCGATGAAGTTTACGAAATCTGCAAGAGGTTCATTGGAATCCGGGAAGAGCTTCGCGACTACACTCGGGGCCTAATGAAAGAAGCTCATGAAAAAGGAACGCCTGTTATGCGTACACTATTCTATGAGTTTCCTCAAGATAAGCAGGCTTGGGATATTGAGACGGCTTACATGTTTGGGTCGAAGTACCTAGTTGCCCCAGTTTTTGAACCAGGTCAACGCAGGACCTCTGTATACCTTCCTGCTGGAGCTTATTGGGCCCCTTGGGGTAAGGTGAATCTCCAGCATGAAGAAATCCCCAAAATATTCCAGGGTGGTATCACAGTGGAAGTCGATTGTCCAATTGAATCTATGCCAGTATTCTACCGCGTGAACTCCTGAGCTATTCCAGTGGTGTTCTGTGGATTACAGGATATCAATAATGAATCCGGAAACTGATCACATTTTTGTCCCCTGCTTTAAATGAGTGTCGGGGATTTGAATTGGAAGATTATCGGTAGAATCTCTGAATAGCAGCCTCATAGCTCAAGAGGAATCAGCCTGATGCTATGCTTCTCTTATCAAGAATTGCAATTATCATGTATGTTTTTGCTTAGTATTAGCGCAGCACATCAACCGGTCTGTTGATATCATACAAATGGCATAACATCATATTTGTACAGTCTAATATAACAAGCAATGTATGACGAACCTAACAAGCCACAGGAATTCCAGATTCCTTCTTTACCCAATCCTGTCAAGCAGTTCCTTCCATGCATCTATGACGAGAAACTGTACTCAGGAATATTAATTCGGGGAACGATCCAGGTTTTGCCACCGTCAGAGGTGGTCATGTTACCACTGACACCCTCACCCAAAGCCAAGGTGTCAATGTAGCCGGGATCAGCGGCGGAGAGGGTAATCTTGGTGTTAATCCAATCTAGAAAGTAATGCATTAGCTACGATTTTTGAAGCGTCAGAACATAGTCGCCAACTTACAATGGGCATCAACTGTGCCACAGTCTGTTGTCGCGCATTCCACCGCACTGCCCCAGCCCTCGGCCCAGCCGTCGCTAGTTGATAGTGTTGAGACGCTCTTGTTGTTTACAAGGACTGTCTGGGTATAGTTTCCGGTGGACTCGTCGAATTTGTCTATAAACAATTAGATGTGTTCTCTAGTTTTGAAGAGATGCTTCTTTTCATACAGTGCATAGTCACACGGTTGCCAGGGGTCGCGACATCGGCAGGTCCCTGAATGACCTCTTGCGAATCCGCTAATCAAAGTCAAGTTAGCATCCTCTCCAGAGACGCATATCTCGAATCCAAAGACTCACATCTTGTCTCCTTCAATGTGTAGGCAAAAACATTCCAGGAATCAGATTGGTAGTTATCGGCAATAGATTGGATCAGATCGCCCGCCGATGTACCCATTCCAACCCACAGAGCGAGATCGCCATTATTGTTGCTAGGAGCGCGAGGCAGGACGAGTGTGGAGATTGCCTCGGAGATGTAAGAGTTGGCCGAAGTAGGGCCAGTGCTGAATGCAGGACCAAATGCGGCGTTCACGGACCCAACCGCTGTTGCCGCTAGGAGAAGAATGTTCTGGCGCATGGAAGGCATGGTAATGTGAGCGAGAGATGGACTCGTTGAAGAGGTTGTTTTCGCCCCCGTGGAGATGCTATCCTCTTAAACGTGCTGTTGGAGTACCTGAATCATTGATGTTGATCTCCTGACTCCTGACCCCTGGTGGGGGAAGTTCTTCCAAAGAAAAGATTGCATGTTTCAACCAACATGTTCCAGAAGTCCAGAATTCCTTCTCAAAAAATGAAGGGTCGCCGTGCTTGGCGCAAATCGGCAGCTGCTCCGTGCCCCGTAGTAGCACTTCGAAACAACGGTCGATGCACTAACACGGTTCCAACCAGCTAAATAAGGTGGGCAATTTACTAGCTGCACATCAAGGGCCCAGATGTCTTATTTATAGTTCCTTGCACTTTGGAAGGAACCCGCTCAATTTGTCTGTATGTTACTACTGTCGCAGAATCGCTCCCACCCTTGGAAAGCTTCATGTCTACCCCATACACGTTCTCGGAGACCATCCGCAAAACAATACACTACACATTAGACTCTTGAAATACGGGAGGTCAATAAGCTGGTTTTTTTTCTTTTCTTTTCTTTTTTAATTTCAATTTATTTGGTGTGTGCTCGTGGGGTCCAAGGTCCATATTTTGCCCACAATCGAGTTGAAACATAGGTGAAACGTACTTTGATTTGGATGAACTTGATGTAGGTCAGCAACCCTGGAGCGACGATATTGCTCTTATAAGTCTTGAGATAGTTGGGTTCGCACTCCCTGATTGAATGAACTTAATTTGATAGTGACTGCTTGATATTCTGGATTTTCAATTCAATGTCCAGACCGAGCCAATATCAATTTGAGTCCCTAGGATTTTCCGTGTCCAAGCTTCTCTAATGCCCAACATCCAAGAAAGCGCGCTC